GAAATGTTGGTTGGTTGGAATGTGAAGCTGAGACTGGGAGCTTTTGTTTGGGATTTACTTTTGCCTTTTGTACTGACGATTGTGCCTAAGGTGGGTGTAATGATAACTCCAATTTCCAGGCGCACCAGTAACTATTTATCATCATGATACCCCGGTCGACTTGTCTTTCCAATGCTGTGTTCAGCCGGCATGTTCCCTAGATGGAGATGATTGCGGCCGTGTCAGTGCCCACGACCGGAACGGACCTAGAAACCCGACCAGGCCAAGTGGGATTCCCCAGCTGTTGGCCCTATCTCGGGATGCCTCTGCGCCAAGCTTGAGGATCTCCGACGGGAATAGTGTGGAGTCAGGGGAGTCAATGCTCCTATTCGCCCGGATTCCCTATGGGTCCCCGGAAATGCTTTGAAATCCAGCCTCGAAAAGCATCGTCAATGGTATATTACCCTATCAGGAGATATGATCGAAACCTTGGAATGGTTGGTTATGTTATTATAAGAGCGATGGCCGAAATTTCTCGAATTCTGGGATTTCGCATCTCTCAGCCGCCTTCATTCCGGTTGAATTCCTGCCTCTCAACCTTGCCCTGATATCATGTCCGCCCAAACGGTCACGTTCCAGCGCCAGTCGACAGAACCCTCCAGTGTCATCCGCATTTACCGTCATGAAGCTGTAGGCGACGCTCCGATTCCCGCAGACTCAGTTCTGTTGAAGTTCCTGGCTGCTCCCGTGAATCCCCAGGATCTCTTGGTGATTGCCGGCCGGTATCCCGTCCAGCCACACCATCGCTATAACGACGAACCCATCCCGGGATACGATGGCGTGGCCCGCGTCGAGCGCGTCGGCACGGACGTTGATGTGTTGAAGCCCGGAGACCACGTAATCCCCCGGTCCCACGGCTTGGGGACCTGGCGCACGGAAGCCGTGGTCCCGGCGGCTGCGGTGCTGAAAGTGTCGAAGAGTTTGGAACCGACGACCGCCAGTCTACTGAAGACGGGTTGCTCGACAGCTTACCTTCTGTTAGAGAGCTGTCCCTCCCTGCGTCCGGGAGATTGGGTCGTTCTGAATGCCGCGACGGGATGGATTGCGCGGATGGTGGTGCAGTTTGCCCTACTCAAGGGCTGTCCGAGTATCTGTGTGATTCGAGACCGGGATGACGTCGAGGCCACGCGACAGTCACTTCTCAATCAGGGCGCTCGTGTGGTCGTCACCGAGTCTGAACTTGCCAAAGAAGGCCCGGCCGCGATTGCGGCCGAGAAGCGTGTCACTCTCGCACTGGATGCGGTCTTCGGACAATCTGGTCAACGACTCGCCGCCATGCTCGCTCCTGGGGCTACCTTCATCAATTACGGGTCTCTGGGAGGTGCAGGTGGGCAATTAGTCCTGAGCCAAGAGCTAATCTTCTGGAAACAAATCACTTTCAAGAACTTCCGACTGTCTCAGGCGCTGAGTCGGTACACGGAGGACGCACAGATTGACCTCCTTTCGTGGTTCACCGAGCTCTTCGAACAAGGGAAGTTCACTGCGCCACCGGTCAACCGTGTGGACTGGGAAGAGGAAGGGGATGGTGGAAGTCTCGAGAAGAAGGTGCAGTCAGTGTTAGCTAGAGCCGGTGGGAAAGTAGGACCGGCCATCGGGTGCACCAAGCACGTCGTGCAGTTCTGAGTGTCTTTCTTTATTTTCTGTTTTCTTTGTTCTGTATTCTTATCCGTAAATGACGAGCCAATCATGGTTTCCTTCAGCCCTTCAATTTTGCTTGCCGGTATAGCCGATTTTCGCATCCTAGAGCATAGAATGTACATAACTTATATAAGACAGTCCTCATAACAGGAGAATAACTGAGTCCGTACCTGCGAATTTCCGGAAGGACGAAAGGCGAAGCACACACCTATCGTAGTCCTAGAATCTCTTGATGTTCTTTATCCATGTAGGCCCTGGCATTGCCAAGTTAACGACCTCATGTTGACAAGTGGAGACCCGAACAACCGCTAAATTTGCCTAGAATAACACTTAAGAATCACCACGATCGTGTCTATAGTCCTACTCAGCTGTGGTTCTCTTGACTCAATATTGGACTTCATTGTTGAGAATCCCAGTTAATTCTGAGCAATTAACATGGTTTTGGGATTCAACGCTGACCGCTGCTCTTTCCAGTACACACTCATTTCACAATCCAATCTTCCATACACTGGAGTTGTAGTGTTAATTCACCTCAGTTCGTATCATTTGTCTTCGGTCGACACGTTCAACAACTATTAAATAAAGTAGCCGAGGATAAATAATACGAACTAATGTAAACTAACACTATAACTCTAGTAGTTAAATATTAAATAGTGAAAATAAGTGTATATTAGGGAGAGTAGCTGGGTGCTCGACTATTTAATATATATTAGGGGCTGACAAAGTAATGCTAAGCTTAATAAGTGGCTTCCTACCTATTTATTAATATAGCTTACTTCCAAGGTTACCTAGGTAGGCCGCTCATCCCTACACTTAGAGAGCACTCGGTGAGCAAATCAGGGTGCTCAGATAATGATCAGTGAGTGGATTAGGGTGCTTGTTTGATGTAGACAAGACGTGGCTGTGTTCCCCGCTATTGTGGCCCGGGTACGTCAGTCGATAAACAGTCCACGGGTGGACTAGTGGACTTCCCTCTGCCTCCCCCCAACTCTTCTGCTTGAGTGTGCCGACCTTAGCAATGTCACTTACGAATGGTGAGCACCCGACGTCCTCATATCATATTCTATTAGCCTGACATATCCAAAGAGTCCATTTGGGCTGCTAGCCCCTCCACCACCCGCGGCCAGCCCACCCAGCTTTCTTCTGATGCTAAAGGCGAGCGATTGGCCTATGCAGTATGTTATTGGAAGAATCTCTACAATGACATTGCGTTGTTCTGACACAAGCACTTATAGTCCAACAAATCCATCTTCCTGCGTTCAATCGACGACCCCGCAGTCGCTAGGCAATACACTGAACACAAGGCGCCCACAACTGTCGCACGCTTCGCCCCTTCCGGATTCTACGTTGCAAGTGGTGACGCTGCTGGAATCGTGAGAGTGTGGGATTGTGTCGGCGAAGGAATCACCAAGGGTGAATACAGCATTGTTAATGGTCGAATCAACGATTTGGCTTGGGACGGTGACTCCCAGCGCATTATTGCCGTCGGCGATGGCAAGCAGCGATATGGACACTGTATTACCTGGGATAGTGGAAACACCGTTGGAGAGATTCACGGCCATACGCAACAGCTCAACACGGTGTCAATTAGGCAGCAGCGGCCTCTGCGTGCCGCCACTGCTGGTGACGACAGGAAGACGGTCTTCTACCATGGAGCGCCGTTCAAGTTCAACAATGGAATCGCCGACAAGCACTCAAACTACATTTACGGAGTTGGCTTTAGCCCGGATGGTTCGCACTTGGTCAGTGTTGGCGCAGACCGGAAAATCTGGCTCTACGACGGCAAGACTGGTGAGACCAAGGGTCAGATTGGCGAAGGAGAACACAAAGGCAGTATCTTTGGTGTTTCCTGGGCCAAGGACTCACGAAAATTCGTGACTGCTAGTGCAGACCGGACCGTCAAGATCTGGGATGTGGAAGCTGGCAAAGCAACACAGACCTGGACCTTGGGAGAGGAGGGTGCTATGGCTGTTCGCGACCACCAAGTTGGCGTGGTCTGGCCCCCAGGAAGAAGCGATAACTTGCTCATCAGTTTGTCTCTCAGCGGAGACTTGAACTACCTGGTCGAGGGCGCCCCAGAGCCCCGGCAGGTTGTCTCGGGCCACCAGAAGAGCATCACCTCCTTGGCACAGACCACTGTGGATAACAAGGAAACTTTGTGGACAGGCAGCTTTGACGGGAGAGTCTGCAATTGGGATGTAGCCTCAGGTAAGAGTGAGGAGATTGAAGGAGATGCCCACCCCGGTTACGTCGCCGGGCTTGCAACTACGCCAGAGGGAAGCGGTAGAATTTATAGTGTCGGCTGGGACGACACCCTCCGCTCTGTCGATGTCGCTGCTAAGACATACACTGGCAGCGCTTCAAAACTCAATGGACAGCCGAAGGGCGTTGCAGCTGGTGACTCGACGGTTCTTGTTGGCGAAGCAGAAACCGTCGAGATTTTCCAGGATGGCAAGAAGACCGGAGAATACAAAACAGACTTTGTGGCTACCACCATAGCCGCACACGGTTCTCAAGCTGCCGTTGGAGGCGAGAATGGATCTGTTCAGATCTGCGCCATCTCCAGTTCACGGCTTTCTCCCCGGGCAGACATCAATGCCTCTCGCAACCCAATCTCTGCTCTTGCCTTCTCCCCAGACGCCTCCCACTTGGCTGTAGGTGACTTGCGGGGACGTGTCCTGGTTTTCAAGGTTGCCGATGGCAGCCTGGTGACAGACCGCTGGACGGCGCATACTGCAAGGATCACATCACTTGCCTGGAACGAGGGTGGCTCACACGTTGTGAGTGGATCGCTGGACACAAACATCTTTGTTTGGAGCTTGGCTAAGCCAGGCGACTGGCTTGAGCTGCAGAATGCCCACAAGGAGGGTGTCCATGGTGTTGGATGGGTTGCAGGAGGCTCCAAGATCATCTCAGCTGGTGCCGATGCAGCGGTGAAGGTGTGGAAAGTGGAAGGCTTGAAATAAATGTGAAGTAGTTGTGGCTGAATTTTACTACGGAATTATAAAGACCGAGACCTTTTCTTTATTGATCAGACAGATTCGAAATCAATACTCCGTATCAGATCTATTTATATCAAGTCCTCCCAGTCGTAGAACCACCTTGAAAGCAAAACGCAAAAGAAAGAGGTGCGTGGCAATGACAAATGGGGAGTGGCCGCAATTACCTTCGAGTCGCTGCCAACGAATTAACCTGCATAGCTCTCTGCACCTCCGCACAACCCTCTGACGTCTTAAAGCCTGGAGAAAGGGCGAGTCTTTGAAAATGTGCCATGCGGCTTGTACAACGCCCTGAGTCCACGCGAAGTACGTGAAACCTGAAAGATGTCCGCGACTCCCAGCAGCTCCCGCCGCTCGCGCCCAACGGTATGTGCTCGCATTTTCTGACTCGAGGGATACTAATCGTCGGTGAAGCTTCGTCAGGCGACATTTGTTCTCCCAAAAACAGGCCAGCGCCTGAAAGGCCTCGTGAACCTCCGAAATTCCACACCGGTCTCCGACGAAAATGAGGAAAGGCGCGGGCTCCTCACAAACGAAATCCAACATTATGAGGGCTACCTCGACGTGCTCACGCGCCGTATTCATGAAAAATGGACGCAGATAAATCAGTTCATCAGGTCGGAACCGGGCATTGGAGTCTTGAAGTACAGTCTTGCGTACTCGGTCGGATCTCTTGCAACATTTATCCCCGCGGTCTCAGCCTTGCTGGGCCACCAGGATGGGAAGCACATGGTGGCTACGGTCACGGTCTACTTCCACCCTGCCAGATCTCAGGGAGCGATGTTCAAGGCCTTGATCTGCGCGTTCCTGGCGTTCTGTTATTCTACCTTCTTGACCATTACCAGTATGTTCGTGGAAATGTTTTTCCAGGACACATTGGAATTGCCTGCCCTTGGCCATGCGGTGGTTCTGATAGTATTTTGTGGCGGTGGGCTTGGCTTTGTTGGGTGGACCAAGCAACGACTGGGAGATCCTCTGGTGAACGTTGCCTGTTCACTCACTGCTCTGTCAACAATCACCGTCTTGACTAAGGAGGGTGCTGTGCAAAGCGGCGACTTGTCTCTTGCCAAAACCTTCCAAGTCTTGAAGATGGTCGTGATGGGTGTGGTGGCCGTCATTATTATATCCTTTTGCGTCTTCCCCATATCAGCGCGTAAGAAGCTACGCGCGAACCTCGTCACGGTCACTGATTCATTGGCTCTAATGATGGCACTTATCACGGAAAGTTTCTTGAGCGGCAGCGAAGAGGTCCTTGTCTCGGCCGAATTCGTTGACGCAGAGGCGAGGCACCGCAAGGCCTATAGCCAGCTCGACAGGCTCGTTCGAGAAGCTAAGCTTGAGCACTATGTGGCAGGCACCGAAAAAGAGTACAGGCTCGAAAAGAATCTCGTCCGCTGGGTGCAAGATATCACCCACAACATGGGAGGGCTGCGTAATGCAGCTTCTCTCCAGTTCAGTTTGATTCGTGAGACCATTGCCCGTGAGTCTGCCTCCACGGAAGATCAGCAGGGTACCGCGACTCATGTGGACTATTTCACGCCGCTCGAGCGATCCTGGTCGTTCCCAGATGGGTCCTTTCTAGAGCCTATCGTTGAGCGACCAGAGGAAGAAGTATCACCGGACGGTTCCGACGACCTTGGAAGTGCTGAATCAACACCCAGACCCGCACTTCTTCCAGCAGATGTCTTCACTATATTCATCTCTCATCTGGGCCCTGCAATGGTAAGCTGGAGCTCAATAAGTATTTGATACAATTCAAGACTGACTGGAAGCAGCGATCGTTGGCATTTACATTGAAAGAGATCTTCAAGGAGATTCCATTTGGGCCAGCACCGAACTACAGAGTCTCCGTGAATGGTCGTCTGCGAATCAGTCTTGACCGGGCGCTTGATCTTTACAAAGAATCGCGCGAGAAGACACTAGCGGCCTTGTATCAACAACAGGAAACCATGAAATTGAAGACCCGCGAGGCTGAAGCCGATCTTGAGGAAGTCTCAGCCAGCTGTGGCCATTTCAGCTTTTCCCTCCTCGAATTCGGAGAGCAGCTCCGAGAGATGCTTTCCATTTTAGATGAGCTGCAGTTGGAAGTCGAAGAGCGGCCTAATGGGCGAACCTGGTCATGGCTCAAAGTCTGGCAGTGGTCAAGAAATACGGAGGCAGCTAAAATAGCTTCCTCTGATGACGGTACGTATACCTTTACATACCAGTCGCTGATATGCGGATATCATGTTAATCCCCTACAGAAGCAGCTTCCAGATCCAATCCACCCGCTACTGGGCAGGCCCTCGATGGGCATGCTAGACATGCATCAGACGGCTTGATTGCACATAATACACTCCCTGACAATATTCAGACACAAAAAGGCCCTTCGGCAAAGGAAACAACAAAGCAAAGACTCGGTTACCGTCTATGGAAATGCCTTGGGGTTTTCCGACGAGATGATACGAAATACGCGATCAAGGTTGGAGCAGGAGCTGCAATTTACGCCCTGCCTGCTTTCCTTCCTTCAACCCGCCCGTTCTATGGGCGTTGGCGGGGAGAATGGGGTCTGTTGTCCTACATGCTGGTTTGCTCAATGACAATCGGGGCCTCGAACACGACGGGGTATGCCCGGTTTCTCGGTACTTGTCTGGGGGCAGTCGCTGCTATCCTAGCATGGAACATCACCGCTGGAAATGTATTTGCTCTTGCATTCTTGGGATGGATAATGGCGCTTTGGACGGGATACATCACTATTGTTCGTGGGAATGGTCCCATGGGCCGGTTCATCATGCTCACTTACAACCTGTCTGTGCTATACGGCTATTCCCTTTCTCAGAAGGGGGCGAATTTCGACGAAGACGAAGGCGGCTCTAATCCAATCATGACCGAAATTGCACTCCATCGAGTTGTTGCTGTGTTGTCTGGATGCATTTGGGGAATCATCATCACTCGAATGATTTGGCCCATCAGCGCAAGACGTAAGCTCAAGGATAGCCTGAGTCTTCTCTGGCTGCACCTGAGCCTTGTCTGGAAACGCGATCCCTTATCCATCATGGCTAAAGGTCAAAAGTCTGTTTTATACATGTCACCTCGAGAGAAGCTTGAGATTGAAAGATTTTTGTCTCGGTTGGAGTCTCTTCAGGCTGCAGCAGGCTCCGAATTTGAACTGAAGAGTGCATTCCCGAAGCCTCATATGCCAACATTGTTCGCCGTACACGCAGCATGGTGAATTCTCTCCATACTATGAACATCGAGCTGATGAAGAATGATGTGGCCACTGAAGGCGAAATCAGCCTTCTTCAATACACAAAATTAGAACGGCAGCAGTTATCTGCTCGCGTGAGCCATCTATTATCAGGTCAGCCCTCCTACAACTACCGTGTACTTGATTCAGTGCTGACTATATTCTAGTGATTGCTTCGTCAATGAAGCTCGAGTACCCTTTGAGTGATGTGCTACCTAGCATTGAGCATGCCAGAGACCGATTGCTTGCCCGCATCTATCGCTATCGCCTGGATCGTGAAGCATCTCAACAGACTACAGATGAGGATTGTGCTTTGCTTTATGCCTACAGTGAGTATTTCTTGATTTCTCGTTCTATCCCATTCAATCTGCTGACCCATTGTACTTCTAGTCTTGGTGACGGGCCAATTATCGAATGAGATTACGGAGATCATTGCGGAGATTGGACAACTCTTTGGGGTATTAAGTGAAGACGTAGTGCAGCTAGTTTGAAAATTCTAGCTAATCGATTTGAAAAGCACCTGAAATTCCAGTGTAGAGAAATATATGTAGAGATATAAGGGCAACACTGCTAAGTTTGGCACACGATGTATCCGTTTCTGGCGACTGGCGGGGAACCGCAAGTCGGAACCTCCCCTTCCACCCAAACCCATCGCCATCTCTTTCACTCCATCAATCTTCATCTTCAATTCATCAGGTTCTCTTATGAAAACATTCTCTCTTCCTCCATTTCTAGTTTGAACCCTAGAATCCTCCTTGATGAAGGCGTAGTTGCCAATATTTCCTGCCCTTCGGCGTCGACCGTCGCGCTCTCCCCAGTCCAGCAACCATGCAGATTGATCCGGCGGCTCTGAGTCGAAGTGACTCTGTCTCAAACCCAAAGGGCGCCGTGCCCAACGGCTCAGTATCCGCGAAAACCTCCAGAGCTCTGATATCGGTACCGCGGCTAGAGCTGGAGCATGCCTACACGGACCTGAAGGCCGCCATCGGAGACAAGTGGGCTGAATACAAAGAGTCCACAGCCCTTTTCTTACTAGGTATGTCATGATGCGCATGGAATTGCTCTTCAGAGAACGATTGCTTGAGCTTCGCGCCGACTGTTTCCCCCTTCCTATCTATTGGCCTCGGTTCGATCACCTCCTGACCTCTTGCCTGATGGATAGGACATTACAATCAGAGCGAATACTCATCACGAGTCGACTACTTCCTATGCGCCGACCCTAAAAACGAACATCTACATAACAATTTCGTATGCGCGCTCATCGGAAACCTCACGCGAGACCTCCCCGATCATGGCGTCGCAAACTGGGTATCGGCCAACGATAAACCATCAACCGTGTCGAAACCCGTCTCTGGGGATGCTGCGGAACAAAGGTTGAAGACGGAGGTTATGAAATTGCCTCCGAGGGACCGTCGGCGCATAAAGGGAATCCCAGAGGTACGTAGTCGCAAACGATGACGAACACCTTCATCCCAGAAACCCACAGCTAATGATTACCAGCGAGATCCCAATGAAACGGTGCCCACAGAGCTGGAAGAAAGCCATCTAGCTAAGCAATTCAAATTACCCAGCCAGGTCCCCGCAAGTGCAGGTGGGCTGAACAAAACTAGTAAGGCGACACCCTTCGCGTCGAACTCGAGATATCCTCTCCGTTCCCGTGGTCCCCTGTCAGGAAATAGTGCCTAACCATCCTCCTCAATTACAGACTGGGAACTCGAAATCCGAAAACGATATGCGCAGCCCCTGGCCGCAGAAACAGGCGAATTCCCCGATGCCGAATCCATCCATGCCCGCATGGTCCCCATATGCTACGAAGAATCTCTACCCAGCGGTGCAGGACTCCCATGTGCTGAATTCATGGCAATTGCGACGGAGACTTTCGTGAAGGAAGTTTTGTCCGCGGTATTCTCGCGCACCCGTTCGAATGGCCCGTCCGGTACAATCAATAACATGATGATGCGTCAGTACCGACACCAACTGGAAGTCGAAGAACTCGCATACACACGTGGGGAAATCACGAAGGATGCGGCCACAGGCCTACTCCCCGTTGAAGCGAAAGAGGCCAACATTCGAAAACCATTGGGCGTTAGAGACCTACGGTTGACTTTGGAGTTGGGCGGTGGTGTCCTCGGTCACATGCCACTCATTGTAGACCAGATCATGAACGGGTACCTCGAAGACGAACTCGAGACCGAAAGACACGAACGGTTGGAGGATGGCGTTGGTGAGCCGCATCATGAAGTCAAACCCGAAGACGAGATGGACTTGGACGAAGACGAAGACGAAGACGGTTCTCTCCTAGACTGGGAAGGTGGCACAATTGGTGATCGGAATCAGTTGAGCTCTTTGCTCGATGAGTGTCTGTCCATGGCCGCATGAGAATTTTATACCCCCGTTGACTTTTTTTTTTTACCCCCGTTTCATACATGCCACATTACATGCTTTTTATGCTCTTTTTTTTTTATTCTACCCACGGTTTGGATGGTGGCTCACGGCGTCTGGGTACTACCAAGGGGGGCTGTCACTATTTGTGACGCCACATGATTTGCATATGGATTTGGAGTTTGAAGATATTGTCTTATCCGTTCTCGATCGCCTCTGCCTTGTCCCCTATGTTTCACCTCCTTATCTTGGTCATGTACAGTATCACTTCTTAAGGGACAAGGTGAAGCGGTCGATATCTGGAGGATGAAGAGAAAGCAAGAGACCTAAAAAGCTGGATGGCCATGACCCCTGTTGGCAAGAGGTCAAGCTTGCTCGATACCCATGGATTCTATTGGTTATCTTGAGAAGTTATTGCATAGTTACACATTAGGACATGGACTTTTAGACATCTAACAGAGACAGATTCCTGTCAAGTATTGAATTCCATGGGCGATTTGCCCCCGAAACGCCTGTAGACAATACACCCCCAATGAACATGCCAGCTAGTTGATGGTACTTGCCACGAGCTTCAAAATCTCCTCGGTGGTCTTGTAGGCATTGACCGGGTCCTTCGCGATGGACTGCCAGACCTCACCGTGCTTGGGTTCCATCGAGATGCACTTCGACACGACATCTGATCGTTTTTCCTGTAACGTAGATGTCAGCTGGATTCCAATAATAACAGAGAGCCTAAAGAATGAATGAAAAAGCGGAAGGGGGATAACAAACCTCAGTGCCATGCTGCATAAGGAACTTGTAATACCAAGCCCAGCCATCACCGTAATCACTATCCAAGACGATCGCCTTCTCAAACCAGGTCATGGCCTTCTCCAGTCGACGCTCGCCCCAGAAGATACGCGCGACAGTGATGAACAGAATCGGGTCGTTCTCGACCTTCTTAATAGCCTCCAGACTACGTGCCTTGCGCTGAGCACGGGGCTCGAGATACCAGATGCTTTCGCTCCACAGAAGCCCCGATGTTGGGACTTCCTGGATCGCGCGCGCCATGATGACCTTGGCCTGGGCGATGTTGTTAGCGCGACGTTCAACGCGCACACTTTCGGTCCAGAGCTCTGGATTCTTGGGAACGGCCAAACGGGCTCGATCGAGAACGGATCGGGCCCGGACGACGGCACCCGCTTTTTCTTCCAGTCGCGAGGCAAGTAACCACAGCGCAACGGACTTGGGGCAGGCTCGGGTGCCTGTTCCATATGCCTCGCGCGCCTGCGGGAGCTTGTTCTGCGCTTCGTAGATCTGGCCCTTCATCATCCAGAGCTTGTCGGCCTTCGGGAAGAGCTGGAGGCCTTGGTTTACTAGATCCAGAGCGTCGTCGATGTTGCCGAGCTGCCGCTCGAAAGCAACACTCTTGGTCCACACGCGATCTGTGCCGGCTTCGCGACGGGCGGTGGCCAGGAGCTCTCTGGCTTGGTCGGTCTTTTTGGCATCGGCCTCTAGCTTGACAGCAGCCAGCCAGATATCTTCGTTGTTGGGGTTTTGGTTGAAAGCACGGCCGAGGACTCGGCGAGCATCGTCAATATCGCCAGACTGCCATTTCTCCTTGGCGAGAAGGAGCCAGAGCTCCTCGCTCTGAGGGCACGCTTCGACTGCCTTCTCCAGAACCTGCCAGAGAGCTTCTTTGGTGCCGTGGTTACGCTCCAGGTCCGCTGCCGCGAGCCAGATTGATCGGCGGTTCACAAAGACTCGCAGGGCATAAGCGTAAATTGCCCGGGCAGTCTCGTAGTTACCACGGGCAATGCTGGCCTTGGCGTCGTCCATCCAGATATCTTTTCGGTCATCATCCTCATCCAGGCCCCATCCGAGAGTCTCTTGGATGATACTACCACATGTAAGAACAGCGCCTTCGGCTTCACATTTCTCGGCTTCTGTGATCCATTCCTCTCTCTTCAGCATGGCATTCTCTCGAGCCAGGGACTGAATAGCACGCTTCATGACATTGACCTTCGCGAATGTACCCATCTGCTCCTGAAGTCGAGCTGCAGCAATCCAGACTTCATAACTGGTAGGAACGGCCTTGCGAGCAGCGTTCAAGACTTTCTGTGCATTTTCTGGTGTCTCAAGGCGAGCAAGGGCAAGCCACAACTCGACCGACAGAGGAATGATTTCAACGGCCTTGGCCAACAGCAAGCGCGCATCGGCGGGATCGTCTTCTAGATTGACAGCTTCCTTCCAGATCTGCACCGATTGGGGAATGTGTAGAATAGCTTGTCGAAGAACGTTCTTCTTGGCACGGGTATCCGTTTCTAATCTCATGGCCTCAGTCCAAAGTCTTGTGGAACGGTCATTGTTCTTGATGGCATTCGCTGCAATGACCTTTGCATTGTGACCTTCATTGAGTCGAATGTTTTCTAGCCATGCATCTTCGCTTTTTGGGCAAAGTTCACAGCCCTTGGCGATGAGTGTCCTAGCAGCCACAATCCGGCCGGCAAGCTCCTCCAGACGGGCTAACGCAATCCAACCGGGAGCATGCTTAGGATTGGTCTTGGTGACGGATTCTAACAGGGTACGAACTCGCTTGATATCGCCCACCTCAACTTCACCGGCTTTAGCTTCTGATTGTGTCAAGCTGGTGAGGTAACCCTTGGGGTCGACATTCGTAGCGGTTCCGGACGTTTCAGTGGATGAGCCTAGCGCAGCCTGGTCAAGTCGGACCTTCAACACTTTATCACGCGCCGCACCGATATCTGCGAAGTTCATCATAGCGCTGTCTGCGCTTTCTCCTTCGCCGATACTTGTTTCCGTGCCATCTTCGGCAATTGTCGTTCCGTATTGCGCTGAGTCTCTCGCGCCAGCAATGACACTATCCGGGACGGCGTAGTGCCGCTGTCGGGCATTCTGTTTATCTCGTCGATGCTTGCCCGTCAAGTCTCCAACCTCTGGAAGGTTGGCCCAGTCTTCTTCAGATACTGAGGCCAGTGTGCGTTTCAGATCGGCAAATTGGTGTTGGATCTTCGGGTTGTTGCGTTCGTATTCTTGTTGTTCGGCTTTTTCTCGAGCTTCCCTGTAGGTGGCGAACGATTCATGTCGGTACTCTGTCCAAACAACCGGGGCTAACCCGATAAACAAATGGTTTTGAAGGGGTTATGGGAGGGGTACTACTAACCTGCGAGCTCTCCGGCGCTTGTCCATCTTCTCATCTACCTCCTGATAGATGCGGTCTGCCTCATCGTCTTCTTGGTCGAACTGTCCGTATGCGAACAGCCCGGCCTCGTTCTCGGGATCCTGGAACCGCTCATCTTCCTCCTCCTGGTCTTCCTCTTTTCCACCTTTTTCTCGTGTAGTGGCGCCGTAGGCAGTGGGTGCAGCAGCTCCGAGAAGCTGAGCTCTCTTGGTCAGAGCAGCCTGGATCTGTTCAGGCGTAGGTCCTTCGCGCGCCGGGCCAAGATCGGAGCGAGTGGTGAATCCTGTCGCACCACGACCTAGACCAGCAACATAGTTCTCAGGCGCTGCCTGGCTTAGGAAATCCTTTCTTCCAGACGCCATATTGGGCACAACACAACTCGAAGAGCTCGACGTCGACGGCGCAGAAGGCTAAGGCGGCGGGCCCGGAAGATAGTAATTCCAGGACCGACAATCTTATCGCAAAAAAAGTTCCCGCCCACATTGGAGTCGATGTGCTTTGTTGCCGCAGGCTTTCTCTCTGGTTTCTTTTGATATCTGTCAAATTCCAGAGACTCGTTATTCCAATATGCCAAAGGTCAACAAGCCGAAGCGCAACAGCGCCGCTTCGCAGGGCCTGTCAGATGCTGCTGCCAAGACAAAAGCTGCTCACAGCATCTTCAAGATGAACACTGATATTGGCCAGCACGTTCTGAAGAACCCTGGTATCGCTGGTAGGGACTGCTTTTTACTGCACTAAGTATTCCATAGTTAACATGGAGTTATCTAGCTGCAATTGTGGAAAAGGCCGAGCTCAAGCAAAGTGATGTGAGTTACAAAAGACATTAGTTGACTTGACAAACACTAATGGTGTGAATCAACAGGTCGTCCTTGAAATTGGTCCCGGTACAGGTAACTTGACTGCCAAGATTTTGGAAAAGGCGAAGAAGTGCATCGCCGTGGAATTGGATCCTCGTATGGCTGCAGAAGTCACCAAGCGCTTCCAGTCCACACCATACCAAAAGCGCCTTGAGGTCATTCTTGGAGATGTGATGAAGACAGAGCTCCCATACTTCGATGTCTGCATCAGTAATACTCCCTACCAGGTACGTATAACTCCAAATCTTTTGCGCATGTTCTTCCCGATTCTAACAGAGTCAAGATCTCTTCTCCTCTCACATTCAAACTCCTAGCTACATCTCCTGCACCTCGTTCCTGCATTCTCATGTAAGTCTCCGTCATCGAGGCTAGAAGTACTCGGAAAATGTTCTGTGCAATTGAGGGCTTACATGTGAACTACCCATACAGGTTCCAACGTGAATTCGCTCTGCGTTTATTCGCCAAGCCTGGCGACAAACTTTACAGTCGACTTTCAGTCAATGCGCAAATGTGGGCCAAGATCGATCATATCATGAAGGTTGGCAAAAACAACTTCAAGCCACCGCCGCAAGTCGAGTCCAGCGTCATTCGAATGGTCCCTAAGAATCCACGACCACAGATCAACTACGAAGAGTGGGATGGTCTTTTGCGAATTGTTTTCGTTCGGAAGAACAAGACTCTCCGTTCTAGTTTCATCGGTACGTCAAGCATCATGGAATTGCTAGAGGCAAACTATCGGACATGGTGTGCGCAAAACGACATCCCAGTGGAGGATGGCCCGGTTGAAGTCGCCAATGATGATGCCATGGTGATGGACATGGGCGAGGAGCAAGAAGAGGAACAGGCTGCCGAGGAACCGGTCGACGAGGTCATGGATATGGACGATGACGATGTTCCTGATTTCTTTAAGGAGACCACAAATGCCCGCCTCGAAGCAGCACTCAAGAATGGAGCTTCGCGCAAGAAGCGTGGCAAGGTTGCGGAGCTAGTCCGTGAAAAGGTTCGCCAGGTCCTGGACGATGACACTGGCCTCGGAGAGAAGCGCGCGAGGATGTGTGATGAGAATGATTTCTTGAAGCTGCTGTGGGCATTCAACCAAAAGGGCATTCATTTCAACTGAGCGAGACAGATCATGTCTGCCCCGAGGGAAAGCATCCGAAAACAGAAGTTGGGAATTCGGGTCATGAATTATGATTACTATCAATAAAAGATACCATTTCCAGGGGGTTCATCACCAGCAGGCCGGAGATGAGCACGCGAGTCTTGAAACAGGCTTTGCCATATAAATGCTTCGCTCAGTAAGAGCTCAATGTCTTTCTCGGTCCAACCCTTCGTTGGCAATGCCTGGAGGAACATCATGACCTCCTGGAAGAACGTTAGTTCCTGTTTAATAGTGGCGATATTCACTTCGGAAATCGTACCTGGAAATCCATCTTGACCAATTGATCCGTCCATTTGACCAAGAATGCGGCGCAGACATAGAGGTGGAATCGAGAGAAGCCCTGCTCCTCAGCCTAGAATGACGATCAGTATCATGCAAAAAAAAAAAGTTCCCTAGGGGGAAACGTACCATGTACGTGTCCCACATGCGTATCGTATTTTTGATGCTCATTTCCCGCATGAGCAAGCAGTTCATCCATCGGAAACTAAATTGCATAAATTCCACACCTTCTTGTTCAAGGTGTTTTGCCAGTGCTGCATCGATGCGCACTGTCAAGTCTCGTAGTGCCCTGACCTGTCGGTGAATGCCAGGCTGGGCATAAATGTAATTGTCCTGGATACCATCCAGCAGCTTTGTCAGGCACCAAAAAGTGTCCGCTTCCACCGCATCTAACACACTTCGAGGCAATTGGCCTGGGTCCATGCCTTCTTCAACGTTCAAGTCGGTTATGTAAACGCCCAGGAAGACCTGCCAGAATGGTGTGACTAGATCATTGATACCCTGAACATAACCACTTGCTGGGTGTCGAATGGCCCAGAGATAAAGGATGCGCTCCAAAGACCGCTGGGTGGCTTCATAGCCGTACAGCGGAATGTGGGGGCTGGTACGTGGGACATCAATGCTAATCTGGTGCCATACTGCCTCATCAAGTCCTCTCCCGCGGCCCTTGTTTGAAGGGGGGTTTGCAGAGCTTGCCCCGCTGCCTCGTTCAAAGGCCTGCCGGACTCCGTCAAGGTACTCCTTACGCTTCCGTTCGAGAGTGGAGACACGTCGTTCACTATTTGTAGGAAGATAGCCAAGGAGAAGCTGCCAAGTCATTGGCCGCACTTCTTCCGGGACACCTGACCAAGCGAGATCCCGCAGTTCGGTAGGAGATACCGTACTTGCTTGTAGGATGCGCTTGAACTTGTTGATTCGCGTAATGCGACTCGAATGGATGTCCCTGTCTTTGGGTGAAGCATCTATAGGAGGTGGGGAGTGGTTGATGAGGTTCAAAGCATTAGCAGGGTCTATAACTGTCAGCATTGCCCTACTTTTTTCTGTGATCAACTCGTACATACCTTGTAATATGTCCTTGTATTGAGGCCGCAGAATCTTCCCTTCTCCCTTGCGAGCAGTTGGATACATCGGGGCACCACGCTCTTCCGCGATATCTGCACTATTCGCGCGTTGTCTGTTGGCAGCTGCCAATCCATACCCAAGGGTTGAGGGGTTGCCTGCCCCACCACTGAAATCAATATTCTGAGCCTTCAAAGGCGCGGATCTTTTCCTCCTCATACTAGCAAGACTAGGGAGCCCGAATTCATCTTCGTCATCATCATAAACAATCTCGTCGTCATCATCTTCTTCGTCATCATCCGTGGGGTCACGACTCCACTCGTCGACCCCTTCGGTCATAATGCCGGGATAGGGTTGCCGGGGAGGTGAGGCAACCAGGTTTCCTGTCCTGCGAGCCAAGTTCGATGGAGTATTTGTCGCTGATGGCTTCGGCGGTGTTTTCGGGGCCGAGGTAGGTCTGCCAAAAAGACACTTGTCAGTCATTGTTTCCGATCAATTGCTGGATCTGTAGGATGCATTGATAACATACTGTACAATATTGGCATGCGAGTATGATGCGCCAACAACAGTATTGGAGCCATAGAACTTTGATGATCCCTGGCTTAGGGGCGTACTTCGGCCAGCCCAGAATGGTGATTCGGAACGTCTTCGAAGATATTAGCATTCAATAGACCTTATAGGTACTTCTATAGCTGTAGAAGAGGGCATATAAAGCTTTCACTTACTCCGACTTGTCTGTAAAATGGAAAGAAAGGCCATGTAAGCTATAGCTGCGATTAAAATGCAAAGGAGAGGCTAGAGATACGAACCAAGCTGGACCATTTCCTAGAGATGGAGTTAGCTCAATGGCCAGCAGACAAGGATTCAAGAAAGCCTTAAGGCTGGGAAGATGAACATACCTGCTGCCCTTTTTTGTTCGCCATTGTATGGGGATTCCGAAAGTGGTGTGCTCATGCGGGAGTCTGATACACGTGCGGGGTGGCACTGTGATAGGATGAATGCCGTATCCTGCAGCCAGGCCATGTAGGAACAAAATAGAAGATCAATAGAGCATATTTGGGAGGAATGAACTCGAAACAAAAGACAAATCAAAGCAATATTGTAGGTTCTAAGCATGTATAGATCCAGAATGCCTAGCTTTGGTCCCGAGTCGTGAAGACAACCGCATTACGTAAGCACTCCGGTTGGGGACTCCCGCGGTTGGACTTCTTCTCTTCTCCCGCTCGCTCACAAGATTTTCGCTCTTCTTCTTAGTTTTGTTTTGCTTCTACTCTGATTTACTAGGGTTACACTTATTCCAGTGACTAACTGTCTTATCGCTTTATTGACTGCTCACTGTGTTATCATGGCTGACCCAGAGGATGGAGATGATCTCTTCGCTGATCTGTATGTTTTCTACTTCACTTTACATTGAATAACGAATTCCTAATCGAATTTCAATTTTTAGTTACGATGCCGATGAGTCTACCAATCGTACCACTGCAGCGACTGAGGCGCCGAAGCCTACTGATGTAGGCGCGACCAACCCTGCTCCTGCTGGAGACGGTGCTGGACAGGATTTCGCCCCTGCCCCTGTCAGCACATATGAATCGCAGCCTGCTCAGCCTTCCGAGTTTGACCCGGGTTATCACAATGGCTCCGGAAACGCTTATGGCACCCCTGCCACTACCCAGGCACCCCCTCCTATCGAAACCGAGTCTCACGGAACAGGAATCAAAGAAGACGGGTAAGTCCACTAATCGCATTTCTTTACATCTCCACATTCGAACTCTACCCAATTGCATGTATTCGTCTGGTTGGGGGCTTTACCTCGCTGGTACAAGCCTGGGTGACGCCAATTGCTATTCATGGGTTCGACTACAATTCTGGGTGCAGGAAGGAGTCTCCTATCTGCGGGTTAAGATCTCTCTGGGCTGTGAAGTATGGGCTATTTGAGGAAAATTTTACCGGTTGGTTGATGGCGCCTGCGTTTTCAACCTTGGAAAGGAGGGAAAACAAAATGCGGACTCGGCGGCCAATCAACATATCTGTTGGAAGAACGCCATCGCACAACGACCAACGTCCACCAAAGTCTACGCATCATATCGGGATACTCCAGCATTTGCTACGCGGAATCCAACAGAGGCTCAAAAGGCACGTCGCCTGGAACTCTTGATCAAGACAATCGCTTGCGCAAATCAACCGCCACCCACGGACCTTTGTCACAAACGATATATAGTACAGCGGATACTATATAGTTTCCTGTCGATATACCTTGATAGGGCAGAGCAGAAGTAGCTATCTAGCTTGGGACTCTGTGTTAGACAAGGCAAAGGTTTTCACGGGTCAGACAGACAGACAGTGACAAATTCACTTTTTACGACTGAAATACTTGCACCTCCACGCTTCTCATCTCGCCTGTCTCCGGCTTGAGCAATTCAGAAAGAGGAGGATATGAATTCTGCATGGCCCATGTAAACCAGTGGGCTTGACGTTAAATCCCGGTCATGAACATCAAAATCTCTCAAGACCATACAAGTATACATTGACAGTGACTACGAGTTACAAGGGCCATGTACCGACCTAGCACGTGCCCTGTTTTGGGCAGTTATGCTCAGAATAGCGAAGCTTTTCGCATTCGAATAGCCCATGAATAGCAATACCCCGCCACCTTTGCACATTGGTTTACTTCCTACCCTCATTATTATTATTCTATCACATTGTCTTCATCATGTCGCTCGTTGAATATCGTTCCCCTGGGGATTCTGCTTATCGTCTTTGCTCTGAACGTTTGCTAACCGATGACTACTCGATGGTTAGAAAGATGTTCATCGGTGGTCTGAACTGGGAAACTACAGACGGTAAATATATCTTTGTTACGCGGAAAACGCGTGATCTAGCTAACATATCTTGGTGTTTAGAGTCCCTCCGTGACTACTTCTCTCAATTCGGTGAGGTTCAGGAGTGCACCGTCATGAGGGATAGCGCCACTGGGCGCTCTCGCGGCTTTGGATTTTTGACTTTCCGTGACGCTAAGACTGTCAATACTGTGATGGTGAAGGAGCATTATCTGGATGGAAAGATTGTAAGAACTATCTCACAGTTGGGACAATTAAGGAAAAATGAACTGCTTGCTGACAAATATCGAAGATTGATCCCAAGCGTGCTATTCCTCGCGATGAACAGGAGAAGACTTCGAAGATTTTCGTTGGTGGTGTTAGCCAGGAGGCTACCGAGCAGGACTTTAAGCAATTCTTTATGCAGTTCGGCCGTGTTGTGGATGCTACTCTTATGATGGACAAGGACACTGGACGTCCCCGCGGATTTGGTTTCGTTACTTTTGACGGTGATGCTGCTGTTGAGAAGGCTCTCTCCCGTCCTCTTGAGATTCTTGGCAAGCCAATTGAGGTCAAGAAGGCACAGCCCCGTGGCAACCTGCGTGATAACAACGATCAACGCGGAGGCCACCGCGCCGGAGGATACCGTGACCAATCCCAGAACGATGGAGGTCAGCAGCAAGCCACTCAGCAGGGACAGGGTAGTACCATGACTCCTCAAATGATGGCCCAATACTGGCAACGCATGCAACAGTACTTTACCGTTTTGCAGCATCAGATGGCTGCTGGTCAGGGAGGAATGCCCGGTATGAACATGGGTGGCGCTATGAACATGAACCCCGCTATGATGGCTCAGATGCAACAAATGCAGCAGATGCAGCAGATGCAGATGCGCCAGCAGCAGCAACAGCAACAGCAAATGGGTGCGCAGCAGCAAGGTACTATGAGCCCTAGCCCTCAGAGCCCTGGCTCCCAGCAGGCTATGCCCAACATGATGAACACCGCCATGATGCAGCCCAACCAAGCCAGTACCCCCGGTGGTCCAGGCAGCGACTCCGCCAGCCCCGCTCCCAACGCCGCCGCTATGGCTGCCAACTACAACAACGGAACCCCAAACGCAGCCAGAGGACAGGCTGGACCGGGATACAATGCCACGGAGCAGATTGCCTTCGAGCAGCAAAAGTATGAACAACAGCAGATGAACCGTTCGATGGACCCTCGTGGTTTCTCGCCTTACCAGCAGCAGGGTGGCCCAACTTCGTGGGAGGGCATGTACGATGAAGTTCCTCAACCTCACGTCCCGACCGGACCAGCAGGTATGAGACGCATTGGAAGTTCGGGTAGTGGTATGTGATTCTTACGAGTCTTTGCATATTATGCCCCTTTCATCGCAATTCCGTTCTTATTTTATTTGTCCACATTAACTAACACTTCTCTCAAACAGGAACCACTCAGGCCCAGAGCACTGCGCCCGCTAATGCCCCCACTGGACCTCGTAACGCCGGCAAGCCTGGTGCGAACTACCGTGGTGGCGGCCGAGGTGGACACCGTGCCTTCCATCCTTACCAGCGCTAATCTGCTTATTATGGCCATTTCAAGTGACGCATCTAGTCTCTTCTCGTTTTCAGATACGATTTCGTTTCTTTCATGTGTTTTTTAAGTCTTTTTTTTACCTGAGGCCAGCGATTTTGGGCCTCATGGATTGATAATTGCGTGGCCGCCAGCCAGCGCGAAGTGGACAACCGGCGAGCTGTTTGTATTGGCGTTTCCCATACTCTTTGACTTCACTTCAAGGTTATCTCGTCCGGTGCTTTTGTGTTTCTGTTCGTGAGGGCCGAGGTTCGAGGATCAACCTTGGGTGCTTGGGCTGAGGCTATCCGCGCTAAGCGGGAGGGAAATTGTTCGGTAATCGGTGAGGGCCTGTCTTCAATCTTCGTTTGAAGCTCGGCGATACACTACTTTTTGTTGTGGAGATAGCCTCACAATCAAAAGTCGATAGTGCTCGTTCGAGAGTTATGTTGTGGATGATCACGTAGGGCGTAGGGCGTAAGGTCTTCGGTGTTGGTAGTCCGTAGGGTTCTTGGTGTTCGTTGGAAAAAGAAATTCAATATATAAAGCTGCAAGGTCTGCGGGAACCAGCGCGACAGGCCTCTACCAAGCCACGCAGGGCTCTTATGTACAGTGTACTTCAATTTACTGGATGGCAATTGAAGATACTTCTAGATAGACGTCAATGCATGTTTGATCTCAGAATCTTTGTTTTTATGGTGTTGATCAAATTAATTGCATGGGCTGTCTTCCAGATAGGGCCACGCAATCCACGTGACTGGGAAGATTGGCCAGTTGGCGCATCATTCAACCCAGTCCATAGATCTTTTAGCACGCTTGTGAGACCCTGCCCACAATATAACCACCCGGCTTGCAGCACGCTAAGAACAGAATTACCAGTTAATAATTTGTTTTTCACAAGATTTTTCAGGTAAAGGACTCGTCACTTTGAAATGCTCTTTCTACCCATCCATCGCGCTTCCATTATGTATACCAGCGTTTCTATCTGCAGACCTGTCTCAACTACATGTAGGAATCATAAGATTAGCAGGTAGTTATATAGGGTTCAAAATACTATGGGGTTATGTTCAAATACTTAATGCTAAGAAGGGATGGAATACTCGAATTCAACCCCGGGCTGCTATTGGGGCCAAGTTCTAAGAATATACATAGTCCATGGGACTTTTGAAGCAATATACTCATTTCCAGGGCCACAAGACTATCAATAAGACACAGGGAAGATTAAGAAATCAATATACAAGAAATGCTCATCAATTGCAAGCTGTAATATAAATGGATAGATGGTAAACATGGTAATGAATGAGGTATGTATAGAGACAAGATGAAAAAAGAATGGCAGTGATATCACACAGGAAGATGCATCTAAAGGCGGGAAGATCAATAAATGCCCAGCCGCCATTTTCAAGCACGCTAAAAACCGTCAAAAAAAGTAACTCCCAAGCCACAGCGCGCGTGTCAGATCTAAGAATGTCGAGTAGGAAGGAAGGTGGAAAGATGCGAGAGAAGAAAGAAGTGTAACGTCATATCGAGTCTGTGACGCTTTCGTTGGTTGTTTTTTATTCTTTTTTGTTGTTTCTTTTTTTTTAATATGCCATCCCGTAGCCCGGGGCTGTGGGACGACGGCCTTCGATAGAGCTTCGCGAGCGGTGGCTGTCGGGACTTGTGCTGCGCCCGTGCGCTACGCCGTAGTCATTGTAGACTAGGCCATCGCGTTCGTTGCTGCCAGGTGATCCGGCTCGCTTGGGCTCGTCTCGGTAAGACTCGTATGGGCCAGTGAAGTTGAAGTTGCTCATCTCGGCGTACTCCTTGCGCTGTGGGTGGTCCATCAGGAGAGAGTCTCGGGCGTCCAGAGGAGTGAGGTCGTCGATGTCGCGGTTTGCTTTTTCTATAAGAAAGGGATCGTTAGTATCTTCATGTGTTGGAATGGGACGCAGATCACAAGGTAGCTTCGACTTACCAGCTTCTCTTCTCGCCTTAGCATGCGGGTTCTCGCGACAGCAAGTGATGAAGGCGTTGACTGCAATGAGAATAGCGAGGACTGCAGTGAGAGTAGACTGAACGACAATGAGGACAATGCCGGTTACGGTCTTTGTTGTTTGGGAAAGACCGAGTTCTTCGACGAAGACCAGGACGCATGCAATGGACAGAACACGTACGACCTGGACGGCGATGTTGATTCCCATTGATGCCTTGGTGGCATATGGGCGGCTCCACACCAAGAGTCCCAACAGAAGGATTTCGCAGGCGAGCTGACCGGCGCTTTGGAACAGACCGTGGCCCTGGCCGCCGGCGATGATGCAACCCTTGACCAATGCGTATATAATGACGGGGATGAAGAGCCACCAGAAGTCCTTCTTGTAGTTGTCGTAGAACAGACTGTACTTTCTCCATGTTTCCTTATCCTCGTACAGGCTGTCGGTATCTCCCTCGACCTTCTTGTATTTGCGAGCCATGTAGACGATGCGAATGGCAAAGAAAAGAAGTAGCGCTGTGAAGAGAGAGAGGGTTATGGCAGCCAGCAGCTTTGCTGCCCAGGAGTCACCCTTTCGTAGTTGGTAGACACAGTATAGCACCCAGATACTGTAAAGCACAAGGATCATGTTGGTGATTGTCCGTGCCATCAAGCCCCAATAATCCTTCCGGAAGTCGGACAGCTTTTCAGGGAAGTTGCCATACAGCGCCCATACTTCCAGGACGACCTTCATCAAAAGAATACCGACGACAACCACAGCGATAACGATGGCGAAGATCACGAGAACGGTCATGAAAACATCGGCAGAAGGAACCATCAGATCTTGAGCGACTTGCTTCAGGTCGCTGACCGTGCTCGATGATTCCTCACTGTCCGAAGAGCTGTCCGATTCCGAAACACTATCATCGGCGGAGGCCTCAACCGAGCGAGCAACCATCTGGCCGAATTCGATGGTGTAATCCCAGCTCCGTTTCGTTGTGTTGGTGGAAGATGAGCCACTATGCGTCATAGATTGATTCTTCAGGTACTCATAGCTTTCCGTGGTCAAGTTACCACCTGTGGCCGCCCGGAAGTTGTCGATGGACTGCAGCAGACCAGGCCAAGGGATCATACCCGTACTCCACATGAAGTTCGAGGAGAAGCTGCGATAGACCTGTGGGTAGGCGACACTGAGCATGCCATTGGTGGCCATGGAATGGAACCAGCCCATTACATCGCCAAATCCAGGGCTGGATGTCGTTGATCCAGCAGCTCCTGCCGAGCCGACGGCAGAAACACCGCTCAGTGCTAGAGCGCCTGCCGCAATGCCTGCCGAGACATATTTGACCGCCCCGACGTTGGTGGTGTGGCCGTTGGATAGTTGAGATTCGATGCATGCCACGTTAGCCTGGCTTCCTTCCTTGGATTTGAGGATAAGCTTTGCCTGACCATCCAAGTCGGGCATGTTGAATGCGATACCAGGGATCTGGCTAGCATATTCGGCCGGAACCTCCATGGATCCACTCGCCTTGAAAGTGCCCTTGGGGACGGGGCAAAGTTCTTCAACATGGATGTCATTGCCACAGGGATCAAATTCTTTGCGGTAGAGTTCGTTGCCATAAGCAGTGACGGTGATAGCCGCCGACACATTCTGTTTCATCGCGTTGGTACCAGCCACGTCGAAGACAACTACTCCAGTAGAACGAGTGTAGGTGACATCCATCTTTTGGACATTGATTGCCGAGTCGGTCATGCATAGGTTGAATCCGCTCGTGGATAAGGTGTCGGCTGCCAGGGCTTGAGGCACGATGGCCAGGCCTAGCAGAGCCCAGATGAAGTTCTGCATGTTGGCCAGGCACAATTGATGTTCAATATGTTATACCAATCTCAATCTAACAGTTTGAACCAAGGAGGCGCGTATTCATCAAGGATGTAGGGATCGACTCGCGCGATGATCGGACGGGTTGTAACGATATATGGAGCGACTGTGGGTAAGTGCACAGGGGGAAAAAGTCAAATGGAAAAGCAGGATCAACCCGCTAGAGGAAAGAAATAAAAAGATAAATAATAATAAATGAGTCGAAAGGGTCGCAAGGACGTAGTGGGATTGTGAGACACTGGTTTTTCGAGTAAACCAAGTGCTGTAAATAATTGAGCGACAGACAGTGAACGAGAGTAGTAGGAGAGAGGAAGCGATTGGGGATTAGTGAATGAGATTCCCCCTCTCACAATGCGATGATCAGTGGAAGAGGAAAAGAGAAGTCTCCCAGGGCTGGATCGTAGAATTACTACACGATTAGTCTAAAAACTTGGCCCCTGAATTTGGGACTGATTGTCCCCCCCGTTTCAGTCTAGACCTAACGCTTGGTATGTTACTATTTCCATTAGGCTTGGTATTTATATCTTAATTTTATTTTTCTCTCGTATTATTTCCCAAAATATGGTCTAATCGTGTCAGTTAGAAAAGGAGTCAAGGTACTCCGTACATACATAAGCAGTTGAAGCTCATATTTAAAGCTTCCAACGTTTCCACCAGACCATTTCAACCCAAGGTTAACCACTCAAGTTACCAAGGTTCCTGCCTAAGATGACCCAAAGGAGTGGGCGCTAAAAATTCTCCCGGTCGCCCACCCATGGAACACATTCCTCCAAGGGGATTCCAAACGCCACACCAGCCACAACAACACGGGATGTCAATTGCCTCCCGTGTTTACGAATTATGATTCGACCATTCAAATTAATTCGTGTATTATTACGTTGGCGCAAGGTACGGAGTACATTACTCGGGGATAGCGGTACCTGCAGAACCGAAACTTGAATGCTCTATATCCATAATCCACATCTTCACGAATCGCACATCCCCATCACAGTGCTCAGGTACATATTATGTATGACGTGTGCCCCTCGCGGGGCAGGCGTCGCACACACAAGGATGAGAGAAAGCTACAGGGCTTAGGATTGGAGCGCCGATCGAAGATCCTCGCACAATCCCAGTTCTAGACTTACCAGTGGACCCCTTACAGGCTTCTAGATGGACACATAATGTTCTTGGAATCCTTGTTATGATGCATGTAATCAATCGGGTCCAGAACTATGTTGTAGGAATCACATTTTGTGTTTTGCACACATATCTTGGAAACTATGAGCGTGTACGGAGTAAAAACAATTAAATTTGAGACCTATGTGGGTTCACCCTATGGTCCGATCATCAATGTGAGACAGGGCCAAGCGCTAGAGTGCCACCCTAAATCACCAAGATCTATTCTTATCGCTAGTGACAGCAGATGGACAGCAATTATTGTTGTGATTATCACTGACAGCCTCTGATAGCTCCAGGCCTTCCACATTGCTTACTAGTTGTCCATAGATAATTTGTATACTCCCGAGGTCCGTCTTCCGTACAGACTAGCCTGTTGTTAGAGAGCAGTCACAGAGTAATCCGTAGAAAAGCCTTGCAAACATTTATCTGTTTCATGGTTTCAGGTTGATTGTCACGAAAATGAACAAACCCTTCCTTGGATGATATTAAATAATGGAGCAACACCAAAATAGGGGACTGATCCCGCCTCCAGGAAAAGTCCATGGGTCCCACCAAAAATCTATTCATGAAAACAACATACGGAGTAAAAGATTTCCCACTTAAGAGTTAAAATACGAGGTCTAGAGTAAAGATCAAGGATAAATCGTATATTGTAGATGCTTTTTTCCTCTAAACCCCCCAATTATCCAAATAATCTAAAAATAGTCTGCCGTTTATTCACAGTACGGCTTCTGTCCTTCACCTGGGCACAGCATTGGATTTTAATAATTTTAATATCCAAGCTCGAGATAATCCTGGCTCGCGAGAAAATTATGCTCAAAATAATGCAACAATATATGTACCCTTTTTAATGTCTTGTTTCCTACTATCACTAGATGTTGAAATAATCAACAATGGTCGCAAATCACAGAATACCTAGGTATACGCTATGTCAAGTATAATCGATTATCCTACAAGCAGACTCACCTGCGTACCTGTTACTTGTATAAGGTGAACACCTGAATGAATACAAAAATGAAAGGTATATATATATATATACTTTACACCACCTTCCTATTAGAGCACGCGGCAGAAAATGTGATATCTATACCGCCTACTACGGACAACCAAAGACCCCCATTTCACCCCTCATCACGTCTCTCTCCAGGCACAAGCTCGCTACCATGGGGCCCGAGGGGCTCGAGAAGCCGGAGACCCCAGACAAAACCGAGAAAAGATCTCGTCGACGTGGGGCCGAACTCGATCCATTCATTCGCACCCGGCTCTGTGTGCTCAGAACCACAGCCAAATGGACCTACAAACAAATCCACGATGAATACCCGCATATCCCCCTCTCGACCATCAAATCCACCATCCTCCGAGAAAGCAACCGAATCAATAACCACTCATTAGCCCGCTCTGGCCGACCGTCGAAGCTGAAGGACGAAGATCGAGCCCGAATCCGGGAAGCTTTCCACGCGAATCCTCAAATTACATACGATGAACTACTGGTGGTGGTTGATAATAAAGTTGGCAAGGAGTCGCTTCGTCGGTTTTTGAATGATGACGGGTTGAGGAAGACACAGACGCCTGCTCGGTCCTCTTTGGCTGGGAAAACAGATACCAAGCAAGTTGATGGGGCTCAAGCTGCTCAGTCATACGATACACCTCCCGCTGGCTGGGCTGGTGATTTAGGGTCTGGTCTAGCACCCAGCGAGTCGGAAGATCCTGCATCTGCTACAGCGAATCAAGTCGTCCGCAATTAGATGGCTTGTTGAAAGAGATACCCTGGGATTTTCGGCGTTGAGTGTTCATTTGGGGCTGTGTGCTCCATTATCCAACCAGATTTATTCTGCATGTCATGACAAATATAAACTATATGGATATATAGGGCATTGGAGTGGAACCTCCACTGCAGTATACGTTTTGTACAAACTATTGTATGGCCTCCATGTCACATGGCGGACAATTGGTTCCAACGTGCATTGTAGTAGAAACATTCACAGTGCTGTTCATTTACTGTATCTAGTAGCCTGCAGCAGTCATTGGTCCCGGGCGTCTGTTAGGTCATTGTTTTCGCACAGCTTGTTTGTATCATGCTATTAGTGTTAGGTATATACAACATAGTGTGGGAAATTGCAGGCAAGATGCTAGCACAATAGACCCATTTATGATCCTAAGACGAAATGAATATACTATGTGATCAGAATGAAGACCTGGGTAGATCGTAGCCATTTGAGGTAGATACTCTGCCACATGAATATTGCTAGATCCTTGCTTTCAAATAACAAAGCTGTTGTCACGTTGAAAGGATCCATATATCACACCTACCCTCCCGAAACAATGACAAATGAGCTGTGTTTCACTACATCTACTCTCAGATATACCTGACTAGATAGTTACTGGACACTCACTAGGTGGGGGAAAGATAACAGCGATGCAAACACTGCGTTTATATATTCCTTGCAGCCCTTGTTGCATTCATATAGAGCTGACGTTCCCTTTCGATAGGGATATAATCGTTTTCCAGCGCCCGCCAAATCATATAGGTGGCCCCCGCCATCTATCAATCAAGGAGAATAGATCCATGTTGGCGCAAGAACAGTAGGTGACCCAGAAGATGTCACTTTTTACCGATTCAAAGACGAATTAAGCTCTACTGCTCAAATGTTAGGAGTGAAATATTGAATTATCAGCCTCTGGATAATTACATTCGCTCGATATGTCACATGTTGGAATGCAATGCAAGTACATGTATCAAGCAGATGACGTATCATCGGCAATAATAAAAGCCCAAGCTGAGAAAACAGCAGGGAAAAACAAATCGTCCATATGGGAACAACTCCAGACGCCGGGGTATTTTCCCTTTCCCGAAAAAGCAGTCGCCTATGCAGAAAGAAAGAAAAATCGTTAGATAAATGACAAAGATCATGTCATCGTCACATCTTCCGCCGGGGTAGCAGCAGTGGAAGGCACAGCAGAGACGTCAGTCATGGCATCATCACCGTCTGCATCATGCGCAGGGGTGCTCTTTTGCGAGTGAGACCCGGGTGTAGGGGTGGCGTCGCGAAACTCATCATCGTCAAGTCCGGTGTCATTTTCATTCACCTCTTCCCACAGACGAACAGTCTTGTCCGCTCCGCAGCTCACAACCATACGCTTGCCGTTCAATGTACCCGTGAACACAAAGGACAGCGTTTGAGTGACCTTTAAGGCGCTGCAAGATTTGCTTGCTCACAATATCCCAGAAGATAATAGAGCCATCCTCGCTGCCACTGACGGCGAAGCACAGGGGCGGGTTGTAGATCGCATCTCGGGGCCCATATGTACCGAAGCATCCCGACAAGCTGTATTTATTGTTGACATGGCCTTGGAATGTCTTGAGGACGCGGCTCCCGACGTAATTCCACATCCGAATACAGCCATCCAGGGTCCAGGCCAAGACGTATTTACCATTGGGGGAGAACTTGACACAGGTTGCAGGCGGGTTATCTTCCATAACCAGGGTGCGGAGACACTGGCCACTGTGGGTGTCCCAGATACGAATAAGTCCGTCCAGAGCGCATGAGGCGATTAGGGTTCCGTCAAACACGACATCAATGCCGGCAACAGGGTCGGAGTGCGCTGGCAGAGAGCGCATGACTTGTGCTCGGCGGACATCCCACATGAACACGGCCTCGTCGTAGGAACCGCTGACAAGGATGTTACCCTTTGGTGCGAATGCGATCTGATACACGTAGTTATGATGGCCATCAAAGACCTTGGTGTGGGCCTTGAGCTGTATCAAAACATTAGTAAGAGGCGCTGGAACATAAAACAACAGATGGGTTTCTTACAGTGTTCACATTCCAGAAACGAATCGTTTTGTCATCGGAACCAGTTGCAATCCAGTCACCGCTAGGGGCCCAGGCAAGGGTAGAGATACCAGCTAGATGACCCTCAAAGACATGAATGAGTCTACCACTCGCAGTGTCCCAGACCCTGACAGTTGCATCGGCACCTGTTGGGCAAAGTCAGTTATCAAGCCTTGTAGTAACTAGATCACGAGTATAATACATACCTGCACTAGCAATCATAGAGCAATCGGGCGAGAATTGCACAGCCGACACTCCGCGCAGGTGGCCGCGCATCACAAACTTCTCCTTGTAATTCAGATGCTCGGGCTTGGGAGGCGGCGGAGGCGGCGGAGGAGCAAGAGGCGTGGCAGAACGATCGGACCAGTTGTCGGCGTCGCTAGCCTGGTTTTCATCTGAGCCAGTCACATCATCTCCAGCAAGATCATCCGACCCGCCCTGAGAGAGGTCGTCACGGATGCTAGGGCGGGCGATCGGAGAAGGGGATCGGCGGTGGTTGCGCTTGCGTGAAGAACGCCAGTACTCGTCGGCATCCACAGCTAGCTCGTCAGGGCTCTTCGGACTCGCTGTACAGACGTCCGGTCTTCTGTGGGCGCAGTGGGGTGATGCCCTTTTGCAGAGTCCAGCTGGCTCGGCGGCGTTCCGCTTCATCATGGTCGCCGGCGGCGAGTTCATCGGAGGAAGACTCAGCGGGAGATTGGGCGCGAGGGTCCCGGCGGCGAGGCTGGGGGTTGACGCGATCCATTGTGGAATAGGGATGCGCAAGAGCATCCAAATAAATAGATACGAATGCGCCGAAATGGGGTCAACAAGCCAATGTCGAATCCCGAAAATGCCAGACGCGTCGCGAAGCACAATATCAAGGCGGTGTGGTATTTTGCGAGCGGTGAGCCTGGGGGCGGCTTCTCAGGTGCGTCATATTAAACCACGTGGGCTCGTAGACCTTCAGGTAGAATAATACCTTCCAAAGTTATTTAGCACCTTATTGAGAGCTTCCTGGTCGTTTAATAACCTTGACATAGCCGTCAAAGCTCATTCCAGTCAATACCGGGCCAAATGGCCTGCTCCATCCCCTCCAAAGCTCCAAGTGACATCCGCATTCTCACATTCAACTGCTGGGGTCTCAAATACATCGCCAAGTACCGCCATGAGCGCATGTCAGAGATTGGGCGGCAGTTGGCAGTAGCCAGCCCGCCGCCAGAGATAGTCGGGCTTCAAGAATGTTGGACCCAGAAGGATTTTGAAAGCATTCGCGATCAGACTCGACACATCCTGCCGTACGGGAAATTTTATTACGGAGGCATATTTGGCGCGGGATTGGCGATTCTGTCAAAATGGCCGATCGAGGAAAGCAGCATGTTCGGATACCCATTGAATGGCCGACCAACGGCATTCTTCCGAGGAGATTGGTTCGTGGGGAAAGGAGTGGCCTGCGCGCGCGTTCGGTTCGGTCCTGGTACCGCTGACGTCGCCGAGGTATTCTGCACCCACCTACACGCGCCGTATGAACGCGAACCGAACGACTCTTATCTCTGCCACCGGACCGCACAGGCATGGGAGATCTCCAAGCTCATGCGTGGCGCCGCGGAACGCGGGCACCTAGTCATCGGATTGGGCGACTTTAACATGCTGCCTTCCTCTTTTGCGCACCGTCTTATCACCGCGCAGAGCCCTGTTCGCGATGTCTGGCGGGAGCTGCACCCAGACTCGTCTCTCGCGGCGGCAATTGATCCTGTTGAAAAAGCACGGAATCGGCCGATTCCCACCGCTGAGTTCAATCTCGCCGAGAATGGAGCTACGTGCGATGGGTCCTTCAATACCTGGCGCTGGACTGAGGCGATGCGCAAACGCTTAGATAAGGGTGAGGATATTGTCATTGACAAAGACACGCCTGACCCACGCGGCAAACGTTTGGATTATATCTTCATCGGTGACGGTGGCTATCCGCCTGAATTCCCGCCATCTACCTGGTCTGTCCAGTCAGCTCAGATATCCATGACACAGCGCCATCCCACTCTTCTCTGCTCGCTGAGCGACCACTTCGCCGTTGAGGCTGTCATCACCCGTTCGGTACCGACATACCCTCCTTCACACTCCACAGACTCTGCCCCAGCTTCTCCCAATTCTCCCGCCCTGCATAAAACAAGCTCAAAGCCCGTCTCCCCCAACGCTTCTCTTTCACCAGAAACATACGATGACATCATTGAAATCATTCACAAATACGTGAACCGTGAACGCTCTCAGCGCCGTTGGCGCCTGGCGCATTTCCTGATATCTATTGTGGTTTCTATTGGTTGCATGGTCGGCGTCTGGTGGGTTGGCAGCCGCACGTACATCGGATTTATCCTCGTCCTGGTCAGCACGCTCAACTTCGGCGCTGGGATATTGGATGGTTTGATTGGTGGACTGTTCATGTCTGGTGAATTGCGGGCCTTGAAGGAGTTTGAGTGGGAGGTGAGAAATGCTAGGAGCTTGGTGGTTGCCGCGGAGAGTGGTGCAGGTACAGCTTCGAAAGAAGCAGAGAGACCAGAGCAATGATTGATTGTTTTCTTTTTCACGAGCTAATTTGTGGAAAGAGCATGACATGATACGTGGGAGATGCGGCTTGATTGCGTGGCTTATCTGTATGTTTTATATTGGTTACAAAAGTGTAGTATTACATAGGCCCGGCTAGTCTTATCCTCGACTGGCAAAACTAATTCATAATTTCAATTTGAAAGCAAGATCAACTCTCGAGATAAAATATTTGTCTACAGGTTCGAACGGAAGAGGATTTGCACAAAATGAGTGTGAAGTGCATTTGTTAAGAAATCGTCATCATCAAAGCTACATAAACCTCCACCGAGTCCACCAGCACCAAGAAGCAAGCAGAAACGACAAAGCGAGCCAGCACAGGCGAGTGCGGATTTACTCAGCACACTCGCGCTTACGGGTCTCAAACACACGCAGAGTCTCCTCAGCGGCCTTAACACCACTCATAACCATGGCGCCAAAAGTAGGGCCCATACGGTTGAAGCCATCGATCTCCGACAGCTCCATACCACCGATGATAAGACCCTTAGCGACCTCACGGGTGTTCTTAACAATAGCGTCCTCAGCCGCGTTCATGTCAAGGCCACGCATGCCGCCCAGCTTCTCAATAGCGTTCATGGAGACGAGACGCTTGGCACAGAAAGCGCCGAATGGGCCGTCATGGCCAGTAGTGCTGACGATAACTGGGGCGTTGATGGTGTTGGGGTCCATGCAGGAGTGGTCGTCGTGGTGGAGGGTGACGAGGGTCCAGTTGACGACGACACCGGCGAGGCGGACATCGTTGCCGTCTGGACGGGTGATGAGGTCTTCGACGCAGGTCGCGTTGAAGAGCTTGACGTTCGGGAAGGTGAGAACCTTTGACAGGAGCGTCGACGTGAACAGCGAGGCGTGCTTGACGACCACGAAGTTGGGGTTCGAGGGCTCTTCCTCGAAGGGCACGCCGAGCTCGGTCAGGAAGGCGTCTGCGGGGCGTCGGAGGACCATGGCGCTGAATAGCTGACCACCCAGCCAGGCACCGCCGCCTGTATGGTGTGTTAGTGATGCTGTATTGGTTTGGGAGTGGACTACGAGAGTCTGCTCCCATAGGGACAAGACTAACCGGGCGACACAGAGGCCTCCACGATGGCAATCTTCAGGTCTGGACGGGCCTTGGCGAGCACATAGGCAGTACTCAGACCGCAGGAACCAGCGCCGACGATGACAACATCGCTCTCGGCGTAGTTGTCCAGATCCTGGAAGTAGCGTCGGGTCATGGCGCGCGAGACTTGGCTCTCGCGGATAGGGGCGAACTTGAACTCATCCCATTTGTTGCCGAACTGCTCAAGGAGCTTTGACTGGCCCTGGCCGGTTAGGGTAGTAGTCACCGACTCGGGGACGATGACCTTGCCCTTGATGCCGGTAGGGGCAACAGTAGCAGACTCAAACATGGCAGCGGGAGGAGACATAATGGTTCAGAGATCAAGTCGAAGATTTGACTTTGAGCCTTGGTTAGTTTGACTACTCAAGTTGGGGGGAAGGGAAGGGGAGGGCATGATCCTTTCGCTGGTATTATCCAGATCAAGTTAAAGGCCGTATAATCTCAGAACGAACCCACGCCGAGGATGAATCTGATGTCCGAGAGACATTGGATTCACCACCGACGCAAGAACGAACACCGGCTCATCACCCAGAAGTTACCTGAGATACCTTGATCCCTAAGGGATAATGTGCCCAGCCAAAGAGTATCCATGGCTCCCAAAGGAAGGGCAGTATGTACTTGTCCGTTTGGGATCTAAACGAGAGTCAGCCCTGCGGATATACAAGTATAAATGGTAGATAGTTACTGTTGTAATGAAGATTTGTCAATGGAATAATATGAAGAGAAGAGAAGAAGAACGAAAGAGAGAAGGGGCCAACCTTTTATGCAGTCATACCCCGCCATCCCATTCGAGATGTCATATATTCTCCGACTCTATCCGGTTTTCCGGTGGACTCCCCGGTGAGCTCTGTTGTACGTTGCACGAATGAAATGCTCTCAAGTGACGTTTCTAGCTTTTCTGACTTTTCTAGCTCTTCTGGCCTTTGGCTTCATGACTGGCCCGGAGTGTTCCGCCCCGGGCTTGTTACTTTGCCCCACGGAGTAAGTCCCGCGAGTAAAGGTAACTATGTTGTACATTGTAGATTCTTGAATAGGGAATATAACACATAACTCTTATACTATAGGATCACCGCTGTTTGGGCTACAGATTTGGGTGTATGTTGTAGTACATCGATGTCTGACTACCTGCTATGTATGTACGTGAGGGCCAAAGTACCATCAAATGGGAACAATTATTATCGGAAACGAGATCCACCTGGAGTCGCGTGTACATCTGTAAATTCAACAGGAAATATAGTACGCCGTACGGACTACAATATACAGATTTCAATTTTCGTTCAAAGAGCTTGGGCTTTCTGACATCATAGTCATCATAGTCATCACAGGGCATCCATGGATATATATGTGAGAACGCAAGCAGACGAGAATGTGCAGTGATCTCTGAAGGATGCAAAAATCACAGCACATAACGGTAATTGGCACCGTAATTATCCTCTGCTACCGGGCCATCCACAGCTTTCGGGTCTTCAATGCGAGGCCCATACTTCTTGTCCAGACGCCGGTTCTCCCATACCAGGAGCACACGCAGACACAGAGCAAGGAGGGTAGTAAAGAACATAAAAGCGGCACAGATTGCCATGCCCTTTACATACCTGGGGGCTTGTTCATCTGGGAAGATATTGGTGCCCAGGAAAGGCCCACACTGGCCGATCAGGTTCAGCAGGATAATACCTCCACCACGGCGTGTATCGGAGCCCTGGTTGTCTGTACAATGTGCAACGTAACACGGCCAGTCAGTAAAAGGCCTTTACAAAAAAGGAAACTCTAATCCGAAAAGGAAATGACTCACTCAGAACCCACGGTAGAATATTGGCGATCGAGGGGAAGATCCCACAGGCCGCCAAGAACACACCAAAATATCGGATACCCACTGATGTGCAAGTCGCGCAAAGGATGTACCCCACGCCACCAACCAGTGATAAACCTGCGATCATCAATCCACGCTGCTGAATTCGATCCGCTACCCAGGTGGTCACGATCGTCGCCAGAAATGAGGCGAAGAATGGAGGTGCAGTGAGCCCCTGGGCGTTGATGGCTGTGAAGCCCATCTCCTTGAGAATGGTGGGTAAGAACACGGGGAGAGAAGAGAAACTGACGTTACAGCTGAAGTACATCAACTAGGTACACGCGGTTTAACGTCAGTAAAATTGTCCGTAAAACATAACAATGATGCTGATGTTCCGCTTACTGCTGTAATCCACGCTTTAACATCGAGAAGCGTCATGGCTAATTCCTTCCATTGGATCTTGCCATTGCGATCCGTCTCACCTGATTGTTGCAGTGCACGAGCACGCGCAACGTTCTTCTCTTCCTCAGTCAGGAACTTAGCGTCTAGCGGGCTGTCTGGCACATAGAACCAAGCCAGCAAGGCAGCCGCGCAGACCGGAACACCCTCAACCAGGAACAGCAATCGCCAATTGGCCAACGCAGCATGCCCCGAAGTAATACCATAGGCCAAGGCACCGGCGAATGTATTTGCCAGCGGCGCGGCAGACAGAAACAGACCACATCGGAGACCCAGCTCGTGGCGGCGGTAGAAGAATGACAGCAGATAGGGCACACCGGGACCGAAGCCGGCCTCGAAGACGCCCATCAGGAACCGGAGCGCCATCATGCCCCGCCAATTACTGACCGCTGCTTGGCAGGTTGCCATTAAGCCCCTTCCCATCGTTCGTCAGTTCATAATCCATAGACCCATGTATATTTGCAATTCCAGCCGAGTGACAGCATTGCATGTGGGGTTCATACCAGGAGAATACCACGAAGGCAGCCCATTGGTGCGGTTTGACAATCTTCCACATCAGCGCTTGAAATTCAAACACTGTATATGAAATATAGAAGATTGTCAAGAGCCAGGCGTAGCTTTTTCCATTGAGGCCGAGGTCCTCTTCCATGCCGGCGATTTTGGCATTGCTATGGTTTACATCGTCAGCGGTTGTGCTATTTCTCCTGCAGGTCCAACGATGGTATTGCAGACGAACCCGATGTTACTTCGGTCGAGGAAAGCGAGAAGATCTGGATACCACAGACACACATGGTTAGAGTATAAGTTCGTTTAATGTCTGCAGTTCGAAGCATACAGAAAAATCCCAATAATGTTGGAACACGCCAGTCCAATTTCCTTACTACTCGACGCTCTAACTCAGGGTCAATAGCCGGCAATATTGCAGTCGGCGGTTTCTCCTCGTGAGCGGGCACGGTATTTTTCTCAATATCCTCATTCGGGGCTGTTTGGATCACATCATCCGGCTGCTGCTGCCTTTCCGAGAAACCCATGGTAAATCGAAGACGTCACAATTAACAATGGGATAGTGATCTGAAGGCGAAAGGAGAGAAGGGAGAAAAGACCGGACAGATCTCCGAGATTCGGAGTCATACTGAAAGGGAAAACAAGCCAGGATCGGCAGAGACGTGCTACCTAGTACAGGAAATAATGGCCAGCTCAGCTCGGTTTTGTAGTGATTGATCTGCAGAAACTATTGATGTGTCTATTGGTCACTGGGAAAGACGAAGGGGGATTTGAGTGGAGAATTGGAGACAAAACAGAATGCGGAGGAATTGGCAAAAGCTTAGGTGGAGAGCTGAAAAGGCCGAGGTTGGGGGAGTATGTACGGAGTACTTCATCTTCCTTTCAAGGGGATGAGACTGTTCCCTTTTATTGTTCTTGACTAGGATAATGAGGAATACCAATTTGCCTATTTAATAGGAAAAAAAAGGTCCTATGCAGGAAAATGCTAGTTTGTCTTAAATGCGTACAAGATAGAGTACCCCTTTTCCTATCTGCCATCCATTCTTTGGAATTTCCTATATAAACAGAATACAATCAATTATTCATTAACTACGGCCTATTTATGAAAAAATTACATGAATAAATGAATGAACATCTTAAACCGAGAAAATAGTTTATGAAAATACTTATGCCTGCAAATTCAGGTGTTCTGCATATCAGGTCTATACCGTCGGCCGTATCAAAAATCTCCCGCGTAGTGTCGCGTTCATTAGACACCTCCATCCTTCATTGCTCTTGACCTGTCTACCTCCATCGCATCCCAATTGCTTCACTTGATTTGAACCTAATTTACTTGTACCTTCCCAAATTTGATTGCACTTGGCAATCAAGCGCCCAATATGGATGACCCGGCCACACGCATCCCGGGGCAGCTGGTAAGACCCCAACAACTTCCTCTATTGATTGCCTCATGACCTGTGACCCCCCCCACTAATCTTGTCGCAATTATGATAGCTTCCCCACATGCACCTGGTTTCACGCAACCGATACCCCAGCATGCACATGATGCCCTCCGAGACTGCCGTGGAGTATTTGACGAGCGCACCCCGGATCTGTCAATCCCAGCCAATGCATTGGACATTCCTCGATGGTCCCCCAGATGGGACAGTCATGCTTACATGGCAGCCACAGAACCATCTAGGCAATAATTTTGCTAGCGATGGCTATATCTGGGCCGACCAGGAACAGGCCTTCACCTTTGAATCTCGCGGCTATGTATGCATCCTGCGACATGAAGCTTCCCTTGCTCCATATGGATTCCATTCTAATATTTGAGGACACAGACCGTCGAGATGTACCTTCACCGAAGCGGTTTCCACCCTCCCAATGAGCCCGTGGCAACACACTGCCGTAAGCGCTACCGCATTACTTCATCTAAAGTACCGAATGCTCCCCAGCCCGACCCATCGCTGTGGATTGTGCACTACACCCGTGCGGCCCCTCAGGATCATGCCCCTGCAAACCGAATCCAAGTTACACCCCAAGTCCAGGGCATGATGGCCCAGCGCCGCTTCCTTCAGAGCCAAGGACAATTGGCCCGCAAGGACTTTTTGCTTCATGATCGTAACAGCTGGCCAGTTATCAATTTCCCGCAGATGACTCCGCAGAACTTTGGGCAACCCGGTGCTTACCCGGCAGCTGCGCCTCGTGGGCCTGGTTTCTATGCACCCCCGGGGCATCCAGGTGCAGTTCCGCCTAATGCACCCGTCGCCAAAGGGCCGCGCGGACACCGTGCGCCGTCTGCTGCCCTCACTTCTGCAACAGCTGATTTTGCTATTGAAGACGAGGATGTGTCCAGTGGTGATGCTATGGATCTGTTGACCCCCCGCGATGTCAGCAAGATGCGATACCAGCAGCATCACGAGTGGATGGAGGAAATCTTCGCGTCGCCATACGGTATCTCGCAAATCACGCCAGTTTCTTTGGGTCTGGGCCGAAAGGGAGAGCTCGAGTCCCTGACTGCAGGCTTCTTTGATGCCCCTGTTGGAACCTCTGGCGGAGAAGGTCAGGAGGCGGGCGACGCCCCACAGGCTAACAAGATGGAGCCGGCTAAGGCAGAGGAGTTTGCCGAGCGGGTTTCTAAAAAGGTGGCGGACATGACTGCCGAGATCGAAAACCTGAAGAAACAGCATGCTCGCCGGATGCAACGTTTCAACCGAACCTCATTGCTCAAGGATGCCGAGTTGCGCCTCCGGGAGTCTGCTGCTGACCCAACCGAAAAGGGCCCAGAGATTTGGAGACTGGAGGGCCGAGTGGTCATTCCAACAGAGGATGAAACCCCACAATTGGATTATATTGAAGATAAGGCCAAGTACAGGGTTGATGAGATAGTCCGGGAAGTTGAGACTGCCTGGAATAAGCAAATCGTTGCCGAGCCCAAGGTATCCTGTGTCGAGAAGGGCGGTCTATTGGAGAAGATTGAGCCGGAACACAGGGATGAGCCTGACTCATTTACCCACGATATGGTCATGGATGATGACTCCCACCTACTCAACCAGTTTGGCAGCCCGGGCGTTGGTGTAGGCGGAGTCTCCAGTGTTTCCGTCAATGGACAACCAATTCACGGCGCTGACATGTCCGCTGATGTTGACATGGATTTGGGCGATCAGCTCCACGCTGGTACCAATGGCCAGGCCAACGACTGGGTGATGGTAAACAATGAGAGCAAAGACCATACCGCGGTCGGTGGTGACTTCGACTTCACCAACATCGATAGTGCTGGGGATGCCTTGGCGGCTTATAGTGAGCAGAACGATGGGCTTGACTTGCCAGACCTGGAAAACTCGGCGTTTGGTGACGCATTCCATGCATCTGACAACGAACACTCGCACAACCCCGATACCGACGACATTTCCTAATCTGCCCCGAGATCTTTTAAAGTGTTTCCTTGTTTTTTTAACGAATGATTCTGCGGATCAGTTATTCTGGTCTGTTTCAGGCGTTGCGGGGCTTGTTTGGGTGTCTGGATTTATGCAGGAAGATTTAGCTGGTTGTGTACCATAAAGATTGGCCGGGGGGGATTTTCTGCTTCCTCCCTGCGAATTTCTTGTTTTATTGCCTCGAATTGAGAGGATAGAGGGTGGGATCTCTCATGAATTTAATCCCTATTTTTCACCCTATATTCCCTTGTAGGTTTGATCGAATAAGATATGTCCCAATTAGGAAGGTAGCAGTTGAGTCGCATATTCAGAATCAGAAAATAAAACAAAAGTCCCTATATGATTATATACCTACATATGTATGGAATGTATAAAATATAAGAAATACCTAGGTATAATATCATAATTAAATAATATTCGGCAGGGCTACTGCTCTGATACCGGGAGAAGCCGGTGGAGAATGACGATCAGCCGTAGATACTTCAAATGTTTCATGCATAACTCAGACTCTATAAGACCATCACCACTCACTACTATTTTACAACAAGTAAGCTTGAAATGTCTGCAATCGGAAATGTGATGTTCACCTCATGAACTTCCAATTCCGCCCCTCTCCGTTCATGACGTCAGAAAAGTCGGGACTACACTTCCTCTGAAGCCAAAAAGAGAAGCCCTGGGGAAGAATAGGGTTCGTCACCATCGTCATCTATAGGAAGGCGCTACCGACTTTTATCATTTGACCTCCCCCCCAGATTCTTTTCTTCTCGGTTTCTCATCTTAACACATATCCCCCAATAATCCTAACTTGTATTGATTGACTATATCTACATACAAGAAAAACAAGATGTACGTATTTCTGTATTCCCAGCCCTCACTTTGACTAAACTAAAGCTTAGGAACCGCAACCTGTCATTCCGATCGCGCAAAGAGCCCCCTCGGCAGCGGTTCGGCATTTCCACCCTCCGTGGGATGCAAGCGCCGGAGCTCAGCCGCAAGATGACCAAGCTGATCAAAAGCGAGAACTCTGCCATCGGTGCCCATGAAGCTGCCGGTCGTGAGCGCACCTCGATCGCCGCCCAGCTGTCTGAATGGGGAGAGTCGACTGAAGACGACAATGTCTCCGACATCTCCGACAAGCTCGGCGTCATGCTCGCCGAGATAGGCGAGCAGGAAGACAACTTTGCCCAGAACCTCGAGGACTACCGTGGCATCCTGAAGCAGATTCGCAACATGGAGGCCTCCGTTCAGCCGTCTCGTGACCAGCGCCAGAAGGTCACTGACGAGATTGCGAAGCTGAAGTACAAGGATCCCTCGAGCCCGCGTCTGGTCACACTGGAGCATGAGCTTGTTCGGGCTGAGGCGCAAAACTTGGTTGCTGAGGCGCAGCTGTCTAATACCGTATGTTTCATTCTGACTTCATTCTGTTCTTGTGTGGTGTGTGAGGTTAGTTTGGACCGGCTAACGTTCATATCCTTTGTAGACCCGGCAAAAGCTCAAGGAGGCCTATGATATCCACCTGGCGGCCGTTATTGAGCGTGCCGAGAAGCAGACCATCCTGGCTCGCCATGCTCGTCGCCTGCTCAACTACATCGATGACTCCCCTGTTGTTCCTGGTGATGCTCGCCAGGCGTATGACAATGAGCCCTTGGCACGCCAGGTCCTTGAGGATGCCGAGAATGATCTCCGTGAATGGCAACCCAGCGTTGAGCCTATCACCTCCGCTGCGGGCCGGGAGTCTCCAGTTCATGCCAACGGTGCCGGTGTTAATGGACACGAAGATGTGTCGGAGCGCCAGTCGGAAGTTCTCGAGAATGCCTCCGTGAATCCTCATGAGGGTTACACTGAGCCAGTGGGAAGCGGTGCCCTGCCCGCGAAGATGGTGATTGAGCCTTCGCCTGCGTGATCGGTTCAATCCTTCGCAGTGGTCCAGTGGTCTCCTTTTTAGTTCGATTCGGACATACTTCGGCTGTTATGTGTAAATTCGGTTCTTCTCCTCAGATTGGGCACCAAACGTTGCTCGTGGGAAAGGCGTTGGCACTGAACATGGGGGGGTTTTATACTCAGGAAATACTCAAATTGTGTATTCTAAAGTTTAATTCGCTAGTTTATTAATTCGTTAATTCATTGATTCGTCTTTTCTTTTTCTCTTTCTTCGAATTTCTTCCAAAAATAATTCAGATCAATATCGTGATTTGTAGGTACTGTAGAGCATCCACGTGACCGCAGGCGCCAGAGTGACGCGGAAACCCCGAGCTCCAGCGGAGCTTCAACCATCACTCGCCTGTCTCACCAGAATCCCTTTCACGTCCTTCCAGCATCTTTTTTTTTTCTAATTTTCTCCTTATTTTCTCTTACTTCAGCACACAATGGATAAGCTTGTCGCCCAATACTCGCGCCCTCCCCATCAGAATGAGATGTACTCAGAGCAAGAGCAGCAGGACCTCACTGCGAGCGTCCCTCCACTCTCGCTGAAGTTCAGCCTCCCTCCTGTCGACAACGTGAGTTTACGATGGATATTGTTGCATATTCTCTTTGATCTGGATGGCGGTATGGTCGGGGGATATACGTCTATCCTGACGTCAACCCAAGCTGCGCCGTCATCACAGCTATGCCTAAGAGAATCGCTAGCCAGAACCTATCTAAGCTTGAGACAAACGGAATAATGGACTGACAATGATTTGCTTTATCTAGCGCTCTGCTTTCCTGCGTGCCATGACCGATGACCACTCCAATCCCAGCTGTCCTATCAAGCTCGCTCACGGCACAACAACCCTGGCCTTCCGATTCCAGGGCGGTATCGTACGTTTTCCTACATTTCGTTATACCATGGATTTCTTAATTTTGGGCATGTATGCTGATTGTCATAATGGGGTAGATCGTGTGTACCGATTCGCGAGCAACAGCCGGCAACTGGATTGCCAGTCAGACAGTCAAGAAGGTCATTCCTGTATCGCGGTTGAGTCGGGGTGAGGACAAGAAGACGAACGAGCCGACACCAGGTCTTCTGGGAACGATGGCCGGTGGTGCAGCTGTAAGTTTGGACCGCAAGCGATGATGACGAGTGATGGTGTAATGGACCTTGGTTGCTGATGGTTGTTGTCAATTGCTAGGATTGCCAATATTGGTTGCGGTATTTGAGTCAGCAGTGCACTCTGCACGGTAAGCCAGCTCGAATCTTGATATTCGCAGGGAGTGGAAGGACATTGCTGATGAATTTCTGTCTAGAAATCCGACACAAGCGCCGTATCACTGTCGCGGCTGCATCCAAGATTCTTGCCAACCTCACTTACGCCTACAAGGGATACGGTCTTAGCATGGGAACTATGTTAGCAGGAGTATGTCCCATACATGACTGACAGCGGTGAGATTTGAAAACTGACAATGATCTCTAGATGACGCCCCAAGAAGGACCCGCACTGTACTACATCGACTCCGACGGCACCCGCCTGCCCGGTAACCTGTTCTGTGTTGGATCCGGTCAGACTTTTGCTTATGGTGTGCTGGACGCCGAGTACAAATACGAGCTGACTGAGGAGGAGGCATTGAACCTCGGCCGCCGGGCCATTCTGGCTGCCATGCACCGTGATGCCTACTCCGGTGGTTTCATTAACCTGTACCATGTCAAGGAAGAGGGATGGGTGCACCACGGATTCGATGACATGAACCCTATCTTCTGGGACACGAAGCTCCAGAAGGGCGAGTTCTCCAACGTGACATCTGCGTTGTAGACGGGTCTAGAGGAATGAATTGTTGTGTAATATTGATATCGATATGTCATTGAATTATGCTTAGGTTAAGTGTCACGCTGGTTTCAAGTTATATGCTGTTCAGTTGGATGGAAGGCAATCTAAACATGCTCCATCTTACATTAGTAGTCGCTCTGTCTTTCTCCTGGCCTCTTCATGGGATATCTCTGATTTCCAACTAAACAGCCAACTGCATAGCCACCTCAATATGCGGAAACCTCCCCCTAATCAAACGAAACTTATCCAAGAGAATATCCTTCGACATCACCTGCAAATTATTAAACGGAAGCACAACCCCCTGCATAAAAACAATATCATCAATGCGACTCGTCGTCTCCTCCCTAGTCGCCTGCGGCACATGAATCACCACATCAGCAATAGTATTAACAATCTCCAACAACTTGCTAATCATCGACGATCCATGCACTCGAATCGTATTCTCCGAGATCTTCGTCAAAAACTGCCTGAGCTGACTCGACAATCTCAACGGCATCTCCAGTTCCAGCGAAGGACACGACGCATGCGAACTAAGCAAACAATTCGACATCGCCATCTGCCACAACAACGTCCGCATCCACTGCCTCGTAATAACCAAATCCGCCTGCTGCAGCTCCGACAAAGCCGAAACCTCCACTTCCCACAACTCATCATCCAACTCGCGGTGTTTCCGCTCAACCCACGACGCAGTCACCTGCGTCCGGTCCCCAATCCACAGGCTAATAAACGACGCATCAAGCATGCAAAACGTCTTAATCACCTGCGTCCAGCCCTGCTGGATATCCGCGCCCACGAAAGTATCTTCTTCCGGGTACTGCGAGTGCGGGGGTAGTGTCACCGGCGAGAAGTTCACAATGGACATGAACCGCTCGTGGATGAAACATTGCCAGTAGAGTCGTTGGCGCCGGGCTCGTTCCGCCGTGCTGAGGCCTGCGTTGACGGTTTTATCGCCTATGCGAAGCATCTGGATCATGCTGATTGCTTCGCGGAGGTGGAAGAAGCCCAGGTCGTAGTGGCCCAGACTCATGGCGCACATCTGGATGAAGATGCTTGTTGTTGCGCGCAGGATGGAGGGTCGGAAGCCTATTACTAGTGGTTGTTGGGTTTCCACGGACTGGCGCATTAATTCGGTTACCTGGGCTGAGGCGGATTGGGGGGTTGATTTGGTGGTTTGGGATGAGCGCGTTAGGTCCAGGGTTACTGCGGTGAAGGCGTAGATGAAGGCTGCGTGCTCTCTTTCTGTGCTCATTTTGCTGATTGAGGTGCGTACTTCGCTCTCCGTGATTATTGGGCTGAAGGGGTATACATAGGACATGTAGGCTGGGAGTAGACTTTCATAGTATGAGGTTGGTAGTTGGAGTAAGGCTGGAGGTGCGGGTGTGGAGAGATGTGGTGTCAGAGTGGTGGGTTTGGTGTCGGCGCTCTTGTATTTTGAGATCACGGCTCCTCGCCGTACGTTTTTCCTTGATCGCAATAGGCGGTTCTCTGTGTATGTGCAGAGGAGATCCAGGTGCTCGCATTGCTGACATCTTTGCTGGCCGTTGCAGCGGACTTTGCGGCGATTACATGGGTCGCATGCTTTTGGGACTCGCGGCTGGGTATGTTCACTAGCCATTTCTCTTCTTTTTGATTTGAAGAGTTTCAAATGTCCAGGGGTTGATGTCTAGTCGAAACATGTACTTCTCTTCCCCGCGTTGTTGAAGAGGGCCTTGGCAATTTGGACTTTTTGGGCGTAGCGTCACGGGGTTGTTCTCCGTGCGGAGGTCTGAGGTTGGTCGATATTGGAAAAGGTTAACGTGTGAGACTTACCTAGATAGGCCTAATTCGTACTCATATGCATTAATTAAAAGCTTAACAAAACTGAAAAACTGGAAATCCGGGGTGATCCGGGGTGAAACTGGGCGAAACTGGGCGAAACTGGGGTGCGTAGTGGATTCAGACCGGGTATATCATACATGTGCATAGATGCATAGAAGATTGGAAAGATCTGACAGATCAGACTCGAGTCATTGAAAGGTATTCGATTGCAATCTGCCATGACCTCTAACCAATTGCGAGCTATCTAACCAGTAGTATATCCCAGCCCTAAACCAAAAACACTCTTCCCTCAAACGCCTGTAAGTCCTCCTGTCCATCTACATTGCTAGCCAGCAATTTCCAATCCTGACTCTTCACAGAATCTGGTTTTTCAAACTTCTGTGTTGTCTCCGAGAAGTTGAGAACCACCAGAATGGTCTGGTTGCGATTCGTCTTGGTGTAGGTAAAGACATTCTGATTTGGCTCGTCGATGATCTCAAACTCTCCAAAGACGAGGAGATCGGCATACTCCTTGCGCAGCTGATTCATCTGTTTCCAGAAGGAAAGAACAGAAGATGAGTCTTTCTCCTGGAGCTTCACATTGATCTCGGGGTAGTTGTCATTCGGGCGCATCCACGGCTTTGCCGATGAGGCCGGTGAAAAGCCAGCATAGGCCTCATCACTCCACTGCATCGGCAGCCTGGAATGATCTCTCGCCAAATGCTGCAGAGAATCCATCGCTATGCTCAACTTGGCTGGGTCGTCGCCAGATATTTTGCTTGCCATTCGATAGTAGTTGGTGCTATCGATGTCTTTGTATTCGTCAATCGTCCATTCCCGGGGTGCATTCACCATTCCAATCTCCTGGCCCTGGTAGATAAACTGCGTGCCGGAAAGTGTGCTTTGCATCATGGCAAGCATCTTTGCAGACCGAACCCTCAACTCGGGTGTCTTGTCAGAGCCGAACCGACTCACAGAGCGGCCTTGGTCGTGGTTTTCCATGAATACTGTGGTCCAGCCATCGGTCCCCTTAATGATATCTTGCGTGCTCTTTACGGCAGTTTTCAGTTCTCGTAGATTCCAGCCCCGCAAATCGGTCAGGAACTTATAGTCTTTGCCGTGGCCGAGCTCCACGAGATCGAATTGGAAGACCATGCTCAGCTGCTTCTCTGCTGCTGAGACGTAGCGCAGAACACCCTCCACGGTATGTGTGTTTGGCAGTTCGCCGACGGTCATTGCATCGTATTTGGAAAGCACGTCGTTCATCTCGCGCAGGTACTCGTGCATGCGAGGACCGTTGCAGAACAGCGAGAACGCCGGTTGTGTCTCGGACTTTGGATTCATGATTGGAGCATTGGGATACTCGGGGTGCTTGCTGTACATGTTGACCGTATCGACGCGGAAGCCATCCACGCCCTTCCGCAGCCAGAATTCCATCGCCTCCTCGTAGACGGCCTGGCGAGTCTCGGCATTCTCCCAATTGACATCGGGCTGTTCAACACAGAACAGATGGAGATAGTACTCTTGTGTTGTCTCGTCCCACTCCCAAGCACTGCCTCCGAAAATGCTGCGCCAGTTATTTGGCGGCTGACGATTCCCATTGGCGTCGTATTTGGCTGGCTTCCAGATGTACCAGTCGCGTTTGGGGTTTGTCTTTGAGGAGCGGGACTCTTTGAACCATTTGTGCTGGTCTGAGGTGTGGTTCACCACCAAGTCCAGGATAATTCGCAGTCCTCGCTTGTGGCATGCATCAATGAGGGTCTCCATGTCCTCGACAGTACCGTATGGGCCATACACGCTTTGGTAGTCGGCAACATCATAGCCCATGTCAACCTGCGGGCTGTCGTACATGGGACACAGCCAGATCACATCCACACCAAGACTTGTGATGTAATCGAGGGATGAGATAATGCCTGGGATGTCGCCAATGCCATCGCCATTGGAATCTTTGAAGCTAGCGGGGTAGATTTGGTAGATGATGGAGTTTTTCCACCACTTTTCGCCCACTATAGCAGGAGACATGGTGAATGTAAGGGATTGGAATGCAAGAAATGGAAATAGAAGAGAAAATATAGGTCCTACATTGGATAAAGCGAGGAGGCTATATATATTCCTAAAGCATTCGATTTTAGTTAATCGCACTAGGTACCTCTCCAAGACTCGATGGAGTCCAGCCTCCGGGATCACGGAGGGAGGCCGTTGCTCTCATTGACTCGATGTCGGGCCGACAATCATTATCGGCTGCAACATGCATCTTGGTGCCACTCGTTTCCCTGCGGGGTGTCTCTCTAGCGCTGAACAGGGGGGGTGTATCAGTGGTGTATCAGTGCGACGGGGATTCCCGCTGATCCCACTGATCCCACTTATTTCCACTTATTCCCAACTGAATCGCACAATCCGGAGAGCATACCGAACTGGCCGACTGTCCATGTGAAATGTCGGGAGTGTCCATGCCGATTCGTCTCTCTTTCCGGGTCTAACTGACCTTCGTTAGTCCGTTTGAGCAGAAAATGAGGGGAGGGGAAAGGGAGAATGTCGGGCCGACAATTTCACCAATCAGCCCTTGCTATCCCCCAATTCTCTCTAACTGCATCAGGCGAAGTGGTCCTTCGTTGGCCAATACGAAGAAGGCCAAACACGGGACGGGGAAAAGCACATGCGGAGGAAATGCAGGGCGAAATTGTTTCTTCATCTCTGCCCGGCCCGACATCAGACCAATCACGACTCCACGAAAATCCGGGGATAGTGGACTCACCCAATACCCCGTACAGCCAAAACCGGGGAAAGTTTTCCTCCAGTCGCCTCGCTTGTCAAAAGAATTAAGCAAGGATTAGACTTGACGAGTGGGCCAATGGAACCCCGCTCGAGTCCTCGCTCATTATGCCCTATTGACGACCGTTAAGCACCAATTTTGTACTTAAAGACCGGACGCCCGCATGGAATACTTCTCTTCCATCCAGTTCTGTCCACACAATCTGGAATCATCCTCAGAGCCTCCATTGGCACCCTCCCAGCAATGGCTTCTGAAAAGCAAGCTACCACTCATGTCGAGAAACATGACTCAATCGAACCAGCAGGTCCTGCCCTGATGGGCTATACGGACCTCCAAACCACCACGGAAGCCCATGCCGCCATCCAAAAAGAACACAACATGACGGCCATGGAAGCCCTAAGGCTCTACCCCAAAGCCGTAGCCTGGTCCCTCCTCCTCTCCTGCGCCATCATCATGGAAGGCTACGACGTGGTGCTGATCGGCTCATTCTTCGCCTTCCCAGCCTTCAACATGAAATACGGCGAGCTACAATCCGACGGCAAATACGGTCTCGCCGCCTCATGGCAAGCAGGCCTAACCAACGCAATGAGCGTCGGCCAAATCATCGGCCTCTTCGTAAACGGCATCGTCTCCGAACGCTACGGCTACCGCAAAACTCTAATGACCTGTCTCGCCACAACCGTCGGCTTCATCTTCATCCTCTTCTTCGCGCCAAACGTCCAGACCCTCGTTGCCGGCGAGTTCCTCATGGGTATCCCCCTAGGCGTCTACCAGACCCTGACAGTCACATACGCATCAGAAGTATGCCCCGTCGCACTGCGCGCCTACCTCACCACCTACGTCAATCTGTGCTGGGTCATCGGACAGCTCATCGCCTCGGGCGTGCTGAAGGGTCTTGTCGAGCACACGAATCAGTGGGCGTACCGCATTCCCTTCGGTGTGCAGTGGGTGTGGCCGGTGCCGATCTTCATTGGAGTGTACTTTGCGCCCGAGAGTCCGTGGTGGCTTGTGCGGAAGGACAGACGCGAAGACGCCATTAAGTCTGTGAAGCGGCTCACGCGCGCAGACCCCAATTTCAGCGCGGAGGAAACCGTCTCCATGATCGTGTATACGAATGCCATGGAGAAGCAGACCGTGACCGGCGCTTCGTATATGGACTGCTTTAAGGGGACGGACCTGCGACGCACGGAGATCGCGTGCTGTGTCTGGGCCGTGCAGAGTCTGTGCGGTAGCGGTCTGATGGGCTACTCGACTGTCTTCTATCAGCGTGCTGGGCTGCCTGACCCGCAGTCGTTTACTATGTCGCTGGCGCAGTATGCGATTGGAGTTGTCGGGACGTTTTGCTCGTGGCTGTTTATGACGTACTTTGGTCGCCGCACGCTTTATGTGGGTGGTCTGGCGATTCTGGCGGTTATCTTGTTTGTTATTGGGTTTGTGTCTATTGCGCCGGCGACTACGTCGCTCTCGTGGGCGACGGGTTCTATGTTGCTTGTGTATACGTTTATCTATGATTCGACTATCGGACCTGTGTGTTTCTCGCTCGTTTCGGAGATGCCGTCGTCGAGACTTCGGACTAAGACGGTTGTGCTGGCGAGGAATACGTATAACGTGCTCAATCTGGTGACGGGTATTATTATTCCCTATATGCTGAATGTGGATGCGTGGAATTGGAGGGGGAAGTCTGGCTTCTTCTGGGGTGCGCTGTGCATTTGCTGCTTTGTTTGGTCATTCTTCAGACTTCCTGAGCCCAAGGGTCGCTCTTATGCTGAGTTGGATGTTCTGTTTGAGAACAAGGTGCGCACAAGGGAGTTCCCGTCTGCGAAGACCGGTTTGGTGCAGAGTGAGCTCGAGGGGGAGAAAGGCTCGGTTTGAGGTTAATATCTGATAATATCTGGAAGTACTGGAAGTATGGCAAGTTTGACATGTATTATGGCACCTATTAGTGAAATCAATATTTATCTTGTTTGACTTGGATCCTAAGATCGTGGCACCATTGGTAGAGAAGATTATAGCTGGGAGTATCCCATACGAAGGCCATTTTCTTGAAACACTTCTGATTCTGCTAGGAAATGCTGTTCGTACACAAAAGAATATTTGCAAAAAAATAAGACAAGAAGCAGATGAGTATAATCATTAAACCAGGTATACGCCACCTATGACATTGAAACAAGGAAACAATTTTTAGATCCTCAGAGACTGATATATCAGTTATTCACCAAGAACTTCATCCTGATACCCATAGCCGCCAACTCGACATCCAAGTACCGCAGCACACCAGGCACAGCAACGATAGTAACGTCGTCACCGCCCACATAGCGGTGTCCATCACCATCTTCCCAGACCTCAGCACGGGAGTCATCGAAGGTAGCCTCACGGGCGCAACGACGGCAGCGCACAACACCATTGACACCGCCCACAGCACCAATCGCAGCACCAGCATGAGCATTAGCGCTCTGCTGGTTAGGAGCAACCTTGGCAGCCGCAGCCGCAGCACCAGGGTTGATAGCAGTGCGGGAGCGGGATGAGCCGGAAACAGCAACCTGCGTAGACAGGAAGGAGCCACAGCAGCGACAGATCCAGGTATGCTGGGCGTCGGAGCAGTTCATCAGACGATCCTGCAGCAAGAAGGCCGCACCGTGAGCAATGAGCGAATCACGCTCCATCTCTCCGACACGGATACCACCACCCTTCGCACGACCCTTCACGGGCTGGCCCGTGAGCGCATTGACAGGACCAGTCGTACGCACTTGGAACTTGTCGTTCACCATGTGACGGAGACGCTGGTAGTAGACCAGACCCATGTAGATGTCGGCGGAGAACTCGCGGCCCGTGACACCGCTGTATAACGGCTCGTTGCCGTAGTAGTTGTAGCCGGCTTTGCGGAGCTGCTCGCCGAAGTAGTCGGTTGCCGTGTTTTCTTCGGAGAATTGGAAGGGAGTGGAGTCTTGCGGGAGACCGTGCATGGCACCGGCTTTGCCGGCCATGGACTCGATCATTTGAGCGATTGTCATACCTGAGATAGGTTAGATGGGTGAATATACTTGATGTTAAGAGAAAGGGGAACTTACGGGATGGGAAAGCGTGAGGGTTGATGATCAGATCGGGCTGCATGCCGCTCTCGGAGAAGGGCATGTCGACTGCAGGCCAGAGTTGAGACAAAACACCCTTCTGACCGTGACGAGAGGAGAACTTGTCACCAATGACGGGCTTTCGGGGAATGCGGTACTTGATGCTGAGCGATTGAGCAGGCTCGTTGCCAGACTCGGAACCCATGATGCGGATGCTATCGACGTAGCCTTCCTCGGCATCCTTGTATTTCATGTAGTGGGTGACTCCATCGACGTTGACGTACGTGTCGGAGGCGGGATCAAAGCGGACATTGTGCCAGGCCGCGATCTTATCACCTTCCTTAACACGAGCACCCAGGTGCGGCATTCCATCTTCGTCGATAGTGTTGCGCACCTGGTCTTTGATCTCGTCGCCGGGGGCGAATCCGAACAGCTTAGTGACCTCACGCTTGGACTTGTTGCGGCGGGAGTCGTTCTCGGCTAAAGTAACAACCTTGGTCTTGTAGACTGTACCGTGACCGAAGCCACGTTCGTGTGCGGACTTGTTGATAATCATAGCGTCGTCCATGTCGTATCCGGTGTAGGAGATAATAGCCACAACTGCATTCATACCGTTGGGGAAGTTGTCCAGACCGTAAGCGTTGTAGAGAGGTGGCCGCACAATTGGCGTTTGACCCGTTTGGATGCGGTACAGCTTGTTGTCGGTACGGTGAGCAATTGAGGTACCTGGCGTACCCATGGTTTGTTTGCTCATCTGACACTGGTACATGTTACGTGGAGATTGGTTGTAGTCGGAGAAGGGGGTCATGTTCGCGACGATGGAGAGGATGTTCGTGGGCGTGAACTCGATATGGGTCGAAAGACCGGGGATCAAGTCAGACTCCACACAGGCAATCTCCATGAAGGGCTGCTCGAATGGTCCGACGTAATCCAGCTTATCCAGCGCCAGATACTTAACAGGGCGGTACATTCTCGCTGATTGGGAGAACATGTAGACACCTGGGTATTGTCCGCCGCTTGAGTTGGGAATATATCCAACTTCCAATTCACGAGGGATGTTGTTTTTGCCTTCGACCTTCCAGTACCGGATGGTATCGGCGATTCTCTGGGCCTGCTTGGGCGAGCAGTAACCAATGATTCGGCCATCCAACTGAACGACCACGCTCTCGTCCAGAGCCACTGAAGACTCAGACCGGACACCAAGCTGAACCAAAGTGCGAGGCAGATGAGATACATCCAGGTTGTCTGTGGCGATTAAACACTTGTGCGACAAATGGTTGAGCAGACCGCAAGGCGATCCATCAGGAGTGTGAACGGGGCAAAGGAAGCCCCAACTTTCTGGTAACAGTTTGCGGACAGTGGTGGTCTTCAACTGAGCGAAGAAACTACCACGGTGAATCATGCGGAAATGACTGATGAAACGGTAGAAGTTGATCTTCTCTGCAATGACAGTGTAACCTGAAGTTTGTTGCAAATCAAGACCCGTAGGACTGACCAAGTTACCGGTGGAGAGGAAGTATTCGAGCGCATTACCAATGTTCTCGTTTGATCGCTTGACGATCTTGGAAAGGAAGTCTCGCTCAAATGCTTCATCGGTGAACTTTGCCCCATTGTTGCGGATGGACCAGTCTCGGGCAATGGGACCGAATGAACGGAGCCACTCCTCAATACGTTCCTTAAGAATCATTCCGTAAAGGAAGCCACCAAGCAGAATCTCTTGGTTGGAGACGGCATCGGGATTGTCGGGAGCACAGTCTCCTGCAACAGTAGAGTAAAGCTTGCGAATCATGAAGGTAATCAACTTGAACTTGTCCCAATCTTGCGACTCGGTGACATTCTCATTGCCAAGATGGGGCAGAACAACCTTGCGGAGGAACTCTGTGCCAACTTCCTCGTCGGGCATGTCAGCGGGCACTCCGAGCACAGGTCGGAAAGCCTTGCCCAGGTGAGATCGACAATCGTACTGGCTGTGCTTCTGGTAGGCGTGGTAGGTTCTCAACAAAAGCTCGACACGGTCAGTGACGAAAGTGTTGTTCATTCCCTTGGAGGAAGCACCACCAACAATGGCCTCGAAGATTTCGCGGTCGTTGGTCTCAGCAAGTGCCTTGAGGATCATCATCACGGGGATAAGGTATTCATTCTTGCGCCATGAGAAACGGAAGGTGACGTTTCCATCGGAGAGGTAGTGAAGCACGTTGGTCTGCGAAGTCTGATCGGGACGGACGGATCGTATTTGAACACCGAACTTTGTGTAGGTCTGACCACGCTTGACGAAAGAACCACGAATAATGGACATGGGGTAGTTGCGCTTGCCGACAATCAACATACGAATGAGCTTCTCGTTACCGTTGACGATGTAGAAACCACCCAGTTCCTCCGATTCTTCCTTGTGTCGAACTAGCTCGTCGGGGGTGGCCTTTTCAAGGTGACACCGGTTGGTGCGCACCATGATGGGGACATTACCCAGCTCGCGGACAGACTCCATCCAGTCTCCATTATTGACCTGGTACTCGAGGCGAGCGCGGAGCTTACCACGATACGTCGCATGGCGCTCTCGACATTCCGAAGGGTAGATTTCACGATTTCGGGTGGTGTACTTGTTGGTGGGGGGCAGGGTAGGCTTTTCGAGGAAGATTTCACGCACGCGGACGTTCAAGCGATTCCGCTTAGGCGGGCGAATGCCTTCTGCTTGACGGGCCTTCTTCTGCTCATAGGTTTCTAATTCACCATCGAGGAAGGTCTTGGTACCGATATCCCTCAATCCTGCCTCGAGGATCTTGCTGTCCTCGAAGAGAGCATTGAAGGAATCGATATGCGGTCGAATCGACTCGGCCAGTGATGGATAAGCCGTGTGATCGGTAGGAGGATTCCTGAACAGGTTCTCCCGTCGCAGGGTGTCGTATTCGACTGACCACTGGGTATCTGTGGCTGCGGGAGCCATGATAGAAAATCGCAGCTCTCAAAAGCCGATTGATGTATAGGAAAAAAAAAAGACGGACTAAACGGCACAATAAATGTGACCGTCAATGTAAAGATAAAAACGCAACAATATCGGTTCGATTCCTCCGCCCAATATTATACAGCCACGAGACAACAGGAATTGAACCGACAATGGCAGGCTGCCAAAAGACGAGAAGGTCTGTTCTGCTTGGGGAAATTTTTCGAGGGTGGAGCCGGATGCTTATCATCACGTGGTGATATGCATTATGGCCTGAGGCGCCCAAATGAGGTTCCCAAAAGTTCGAACGTTCAGAGGTTCATGCCCGTTCATCCCATCTGTCCCTACTAAAACTCTAGTTCAACTGCAAGTTCCTGACGTGCTCTTGAACCCCTAATCCCAGTAAACTTTAGATTAAAATTTCCAACACCAACAGGAATGTGGAAACTTTTTGTAAACGCCACACGGGCTGAATATGCTGCACAACGCCATTCAAACCCCCTCCATTTTGAGGCCAGAGGGTAAGCGCCCTCGGGTCATGTGTGTAGGTAGATCGGTCAATTCTCCATAGAAAATAGTACATATGTAGATCCAATATCCTTTTTGTGTTGACATCTGCCGGCGGTTATCCCCTTAAAACATCCTCATCCTTTCCCTCTAATAATAGGCCTAAATTGTTGTTTCTGGGTTTGTTATGGTGTGACGATCTTTCTTTCTTTTTCTTTCTTTTTTTCTTTTAACCTTTTCCTCTTACTTCTTTTTTTTTCTATCTCTCGAATCAAGAGATCAACCTGAATATCAAGTTGCGCAGTTAACAAGGTTGACCCCACTCTCTGGCTTTTGTCATCCTGAGCTTTTTCCACACAGGCTTTCTCTTCATCCTTTTGGCCTTTCTTTTTTGGTAGTTCTATTCTACTATACTGTCTCTTTTCTCTTTTTCTTGTTCTTTCCCTCTCCTTTTTCATCCCTCTCTTCGTCATGGCCGGCATATTTCGTGCTATCTATGACTGGCTTCTGAGGATGTTCTGGTAAGTGGGCCGTTTGATAGATGCAGTTCTCGGGAGACCACGGCCCGTCCCCGCAGATGAAGCCCAGCTAAGACTCCATACAGGGCCAGTGAGATGGATGTCACCATGATCGGTCTTCAGAATGCCGGCAAGTCTTCTCTGCTGCGTGTGTTGGCGGTAAGTCGATCTGATAATGTCCTCATGGGTCCTGGCTGACCATAACAGGGTGGGGAGTTCACTGTCGAGTAAGTTATAGATGGTCTCACAGCTGAGATCCCATCTGGACCATGTCCTAATTCCTATTCCTTATAGCTCCATCCCGACAATCGGATTCAACACCAAAAGAGTGCAGAAAGGCCATGTGACTTTGAAATGGTATGTTCATCCTTCCCGATCAAGCACGGCGGCGCTAATCTATCCCCGCAGCTGGGATCTGGGCGGGCAACCTCGATTTCGGCCGATGTGGGAACGCTATTGTCGGGGCGTCAACGCGATCGTGTAAGGCTGGCTTATTTCCTCATTTCCTGTGTCCTCTCTCCCTTCCGGTTGGCATACTAACCAAAGCGAAGGTATATCGTGGATGCAGCAGACCGCGCTGCACTCCCAGTAGCGACTGAAGAACTTCACGACCTGATGAAAAAGCCCACGCTGGATAGCATCCCCCTCCTGGTCCTCGGGAACAAGTCCGATCTTTCAGACAAGCTGTCTGTTGATGAGATCATCGAGGCGATGGATCTGAAATCTATCACTCATCGCGAAGTAAGCTGTTATGGTATCAGCGCCAAGGAGGAGACCAATCTTGACGCTGTCCTGCACTGGCTCATTGCACGAGCTAGCCGATAAGGATGCTGTCTGTCCCTTGTGTCTGCCAGCTTTGACCTTCGACCTCGACTCGCGATATCCCTTTTGTTTTTCATACCCTCAACTGTCTCGCATTTTGATTGTGTTCATATCCCGTAGACTCTAGCATGTTTGGCCCGCAGCCTCGGATGTAACGATGTTGACGATGTAGTTTCCTTTTTTCTTGTTGCTCATGGATTCTCGAGTCCCTGATGATGATGTATGTTAATGGTCATGTGCGCTTCGTTTGATCCTTGTTCTTTTTCTTCGTCTTTTTTCCCCTGATTTCTTTCCTGGATCGATATGTAATAGAATGTTTCGGCAATGTTCATAGGAGAAGAAATTGACAGAAAGTCCAATCTGGGCATGGCCAACATAAATAAATGAAACACGGACCACTGATGTGTTGGCTGCCAACGCATCGATGCAGAATAAGCATCCCCGCCAATGGGCATCCCACATTAAACACATATTGTGGATGATTGTATGAAAGCCGGAAAAAATAATTCCGTAAATAATTGCAATATCATAGCTACACCATATGTTGCTGGTCTACATTGCTGTACGGAATACACCATGGCTTGCTGATTATTCTCAGACAAATCAAATCAAGTGGCATTAGTCGTACACAAAATATCTAGATCAGTTTTGTAAGCCCTTCATTGCAGACGGGCCAGATCCGGAGTTGCTCAAAAACCCTTTGAAGCGCCCAAGGTAGCGCAGTAACGCCCGTAACATCAAAAACAAAAACAAAGTGAAATGCGAAGAATGGGATCACTTGCAACGTTTCTCTACAATGTTCGGTCCATGCTCCTCGTACTCCTTCTTAGAGATCCACATCTGGTGGAAAGTTCCCAAACTAGCCAGGATACTTCCTCCAATCCAGGAACCGAAGCGTCTCTCGGAGGTGTTACCGGGAGCAGTGACACGCACCCTGGGACCAGGGAACATCTGCATCAGTTCGTGGTTCAGACGATCAGTGAAGCCATAAAGCAAGCTGGATCCGCCAGTCACAACGACATTAGCCAGCAGGTGGGGCCGGAGGTCGACATCAACACCGGCCAAAGAAGCCTTGACAAGTTCCGGGATAGTCTGCGCGGGTGTCGGGGGAGGGAAAGACGAGTCGGGGTCGGGAATGGCAGCCTTGGCATCGAACAGAGATTCCACGGCGCGGAAACGGTCGACACCGAAGACTTGGTTGTACCCATCCGGGAACTCGAATGGGCGACCGGGGGTAGTTCGAGCCATATCTTCGTTGGAAACGCCCGTGGGGCTGGGGGCTGAGAGCCTTGTAGGCCCGGGCCAAACCTGGACAACACATTCCTTGAACTCGGACAGTGTGCGCTCCTCGAGGAGAGCACGGTACGACGCATCGGGTGCCTTGTCCGCGGGGAAGGTCTTGTATTTAGCTTGGGCCGGTTGGCCAGCTTCGACAGCCGACTTCGAGCTGATAAGGTAATGCGGCGTGATTGTGATGGGTTGTGGGGTGTTGGCCTTGAAGATTGCCCTGATCTGCGACGAGATGTATTCACCGCCCAACGGAGAGTGCTGAACGCCCCGTTTCAGGATCATGCCGTCGTGGATCGGGGTAACAGAGATGTTGGAAGCTCCAATGTCAATAACAAGGGCGGAGGCCTTGCCGGAAGCGAAACTGCGCATGGAATTGGGTCAGCAAATGGTAGACATCTCATAGTGAGCCTGGTATACGTACGCAGCAAGAACACCACTGCGCGCCAGATAAAAGGCCGGGGTATCCCATTTCTCCATTGCGATTTCAATAGTCTTTTCGCGTGCCTTCGCCGGGTTCCATCCAGGCTCTGTCATCAACAATGGGCTGTCCGACAAAGGCTTCTCCTCTGACTCCACCTCCATTTCCGCAGGGAGCTCGTCCGGGGAAACGTCGTTTAATCCGTTCTGGAAGGGGTTGCCCGCTTTTGTGCCGGTGAGTCGCGACGTAAATGAGTGCTCCCAGACTCTCTCTGCCATATCCCAATCCTCGACGATTCCATCCTTGCCAATCGGGTTGTGGATGGACAGACCGGGGCGTGGGGTAACGAATACGTCGTCGCCAAATACGAACTTCTCTTGGCCGTCGGCGTTGTATTTTCCATAGCAGGTTGGGATCAGTGACTTGGGAGCATCTTCACCAGCAAAGCCCGCGCGGGTGGTTGAATATCCTGGGTCTCAGGACAATAGCCGACACCTCATCTACAGTGCGATCATTAGTATCTTGCGCATTAAATAGCGTGTAAGAGTTCTTTGGGATTGCAATAGCAGGCGCAATTGGGATGGCATATCTGGGATTACATACCTCCACCATACTCGGCAGCTTGAGGTGGGTTGGAAGGGTTCATCGCGAAAGTTGTGCAGGTATATCTAGGATAAGGGCGGTAGCTGTCACAAGGATCATGTGAATATTTTGAATTAAGTCGCCTGGAGACAAATCAAGACGTGACCATGCGTATTGGACGGACAATCAGAGGGGCTGGTTGGAGGCAGGAGAAGGGCGGGTCTTTTTGGTGCGGGTGTAGCTTTGGCTTTGACACCCAAACGGGCAGTTCACGATCAGGCTTAGTCATCTCAGGTGGACTGGTGTGCTGACTAAGGTAGTTCTAGGACCTCACATATGGCACCTCCTGGGCCCTGTATCATTTTTATGATTAAATATTGGAGATATACAGAGTATTTGAAAGGAATGTCCATATTGGAAGGCCACATGAGAAAGTAAGTGTAAGCTGATGAGCTATAATTCGCAACGAAGCAAAGATGATCTATACCGAACAATATGTACCCAACAACAACATTGAACATTGAAGATATCATTTCCATTTCACTTTTTTCTTCAAGATTATTCTCACATCTTGATGCGCTTGTATGTTAATTTGACGTCTGGACAAAAAAAAAATCATTCGGCTTATTCGGGTGTATGCATCACTCACCTAGCATGTCTCCAGAAAATATATATACGAAAAATAGTCAGTCGTTTAGTCGACTTTTGCCTTTGCCAACGCAGGACCTTGCTAAATTGAATATCTAGTTGGTTTGGGATAATCTGCAGACCTTGTGCTTGAAATAATACTACAATGTCTTCATTCCTTCCTGGGGATGGGAGCCAGAAGGATAAAGATAATTGGCCGCAAACTGTAGATCACCCGCGATTAGAACCAGCCTGTGACTTGGTCGGTAGCCCTTCAAAAAGATAGTCAGAAATAGCATTGGCGCAAAGTCATTATGGTATCGTATGCATATCGAGTAAAAACACATCACATGTCTCAGAGAACCAAGTACATAGAAGTACATATCAAAAGGAACCTGCCGTTTCAGACGAGAATAACAATCATTTCTTTCCCGCCTGTGCTTCTTTTTCCCGCATTGCAGCTCTCGCACTGCGACTGCCCCCAAGCTTCGGACCCCGAGGCCCTTCAACATTGGCCACCGGTTTTGCTGCGGGCCGAGTCCGACGCCGAGACTGCATCGCATCCATAAAGTCTCGCCTGAACTGCTCAGCAACGCGGTCATCGGCAGCCTGTTGGTCATCCATCTGGGTTTCCTCCTCATGTTCATCATAAATTTCCACTATAACAGCTAGTGTTAGCAAAGACACACACCATGTAAGATTTCCATTTGAATTCCACACACATTTGCTCTCACGCAGTACCTCCTCCACAAGACGATCTCTTGCGATGTCTGCTTCTGTCCTCTGCTTGCGATTGCGCCATGACTTGCCATCTGGGCCAGGGCGACCCGTCTCTGAAGTAGCATGATCCGCTGACGTCGGCAATTCTCCCTTCTCGGCCATTTGCCGAGTCGCAGCTTCTGTCCGCGCAATATTTCGCAATGTGGCTTCTTGGCCGAGGTCGATTTCGTGGAGTTTTCCTAGCGATGCAGGTTCGCGAGTCTGGTGTCCAGACACTGACAGCCCCCCGGCGACTTCCGCTTGGGTTGGTTGGTTGGAACCTGAATGATCCGCCTTTGATTCAGGTTGGTAGCGCTTAGCCATCTCGGAATCTATGAATGCCATCCTTATCTCGTTAGCCCACATCAAACGAACGGGACGACCAGTTGTAGGAAAGGATTCGTACATGTGCTTGTCAACATCCACTGTCTGACCGGTATATCCTGTGAAACGTTCATTCATTGCTCGTATCTTCTCGTCCTCGGTTTCTCCGGCTGCTGGTACTAGCGCCACTTGCTGGCCCTGATCATCTCCTAGTCGTGATGCGGTAGAAAACCCAATGCCACCCTTTCGAACTGCGCGGCGTCGAATATTACTGCTCCCTGGAGCTTGTGACGCGCTGGGATTCTCATCTTGATTATCGGCCTCTTCGGTGTCTGCGAGCTCAGGATCGGGACGTCGTCGCATGAACTTGCGCTTTTTTGCTGGGCGAAACAGGGGCTCGGTTGGTACGACTTCTTCTTGAGGGTCCATCATGGTTTGCGACAATGTGAACTCGTGTGGTAGGGTAAAGACGAGTGAGAAATTAATTGCCAACTTGAGGTCATTTCAGCAGTAGACAAACTATAATTCGTTGATCGCCGACCGCCTTTTATTCTGCCTACTTTATCGGGCTTACGAAGGCGCATGGAAGAGATATAGTAGGCGGTCAAGGCCTACATCATGAAACTGGTTGTGGTAACTTGCCCTATACACCGGCGTTTAGTTAATATGGTTGTTCAAATATAGTTGATGATCTAGTCAAATTTATGCCCACAACAGAGCTAGATCAGCTCAAAGAGAGATGCATAGGTGAGGTAGATATTGACATGGCCACGCTGGCTAGGTAAGGTAGACCAACACGTAATTCTAGCCTTGGACCTCGGGAGTGCAGGACCAGGCTGCTAATACTATGATGTCAGCTTTCTCGAGCCTCGAACGGTATACCATGCGGTATCTCTTCTGCTAGGTGTTATATTCGTGTGCACAATTGAATCCTGTAGCCGATCTCATTACTTTTCAATGTTGTAATATCTTTAATCATAGATGGAGTGTTCGTTTTATATTCGTTTTATATTTTTTTTGTTTCTAACAACACAAGGGTACTTCAATTTCAAGATTGGGGAAAGGGAGCAGAAAGTGGTCTGACATTAAGAGAAGCTCAGACAATGCCTTTGCTACATGAATTAAAGAATAGAGGTATACAAGACTTGTACTCCATATATTGTATGCTGTAGGCAAGGAGAATAAAGTATCGGAGTTAACATTAGAGTTTGAACCTTGAGAGTGTCCTGATCCCCGACCAAGTGGGATTTGACTCTCGGGAAAATGCCAAGGTTTGTGCTTAATTAGCCCCCAAATCGTACCTAATTTAACCGAATAGCCTTATATGCATGCCTTGGCAGAGACCACCAAGGGTAATGCAATTTGGACGATATCTTCCAAGACTGGGAAGTTTATAGCAGGCGATATTGTCTTGCAGATGAGTCGAGACAGGGTAAGATGGTACATTGAGTTATTGAAGGGAAATGAAAGTCGAACCTCCAGTGTCGTGCTCCATAGGGGGCGGGAAACTGGGTCACGCACAGAAAACACACATGGATATGACGCGTTTAGTCTCCAGGGCTAATTCGAATTATTAATAACTATGAATCCTCTGGGAAGGGCTCAGAATTCCCGAGACCGGAACGTCTCAGACGGCAAATGCAATCCGTGCCTAACCGATATAGGGTTTTCTCCGACTTATGCATCCATCGTAGGTGAATAAAATTCTAGAACATGACCGAGGATTAGCCGGATGGGTCTATGTATTTCTGGTCTGGTCAATAATCGGATTTGATAGATGCAAATAATGAAAGCGCTTCACGAGAGAGAAAGAAACACCAGGAATATCTACTCGGGTAACTCGGGTAGGTTAGAGCTGGTTGAGGCTCCAACCTTGGAAGCTACCTAGATATGCGGTGTAGATGGGAGCATATTCTTTCAATTTGGCCATTAGAAAAACCGCTGACCTTTACACAATTCACCCATTTGATTATTGGTCAGATTTTCTACCTTATCATCCTCGACACCTACTAGACCCCGCAAATAATGTTGAAATCTCTGCGGGTGAGCCAAATACGTTCACGGTGTGGAGCTATCTTGCCTACGTCTTCTCAACAATATTTCCCGGACATCTTTCGGAGACCGAGAACGCGGGAAGGTATCCACCAGGGAAGAATGCTCCGATGTACAATATACGTATATCATATGCGAGAACATGGCTCACCTGATGAGGTTGAGACTTCCCTTTTCTTTTTCGTTTCGATGACACAATCCCCACGATCTGTAAGAAAGCGTGCGCGGACAAATCCGGAGAGTGACCGAGATGGTGGGGTGCATTTCCCTCAACACCCCCAGGTGAGATTCGAAGTCAAATTTACTATATCTTGGCACTTGGCAGGGGGTGCACAAGCATTTGGGGCTCGCTCAAGCCTTTTTGTGGCCAACCAAAGCCGAGCCCGGCCCGAGTTAGGCAATGAGCGACATCGGAACCAAACCGAAGTTCTTATGCCGGCATTGCTCGGAAGATTCTTATTGCCCTAAACACATCTGACCTTCCCCATCCCGCGTTATAATTGAGCATGGAGATCGTGGATTCGGAAACCCGTCTCCGATATTCGGTATTCCCTCCAATCAGCCCTGGACATGCTATAGCATCCCGCCACTTACCTCTCATTTTCGGTATTAAGCGCATGGAGTTAAGTGTTTTTGAGTCGGGAGTGGCGAAGGCGCGGGATCCTTGTACACCGGGACCAAACCTACCCCGTGGAGTCGGCGCTGTGACCGAGTCACAGTCGGGCATTTTTCGAAATTTGATTAAAAGGTGCCACCATGGTGGATATACTTTATGTAGCTATGATATATTCTATCCACTGTGGGATTCTCCATCCCACAGAGAATTGTAATTTTGTGATGCGGGGTCTCCACGAGAAGGGTTGACCGAAAGCAGGGTATAAACCCATGTAGAGGCCCCTTCTCTCTTTGTTTCTCTCATCCCTCAGAGTGGCCTTTCCTAGACACACTCCAACATGTTCACATTATTTAGAGGAAAGGCGCTGAGCGTAGCGCAGGCATTGCTCATTGTAGCACCGGCCTTCATCGTCTTCGGTTATAACCAGTCTGGTTTGGCCCCTTTGGCTTCATTGCAGAGCTGGGTCAGTGTGTTCCCCGAGATCGACACAATCAACACAGAGGGTGCCCTGCACGCCCAACACTCCACAAACAAGGGTACCGTGATCGGCTCCTTCCAAATCGGTGCTCTATTGGGAGCTTTGTCGTGTACATTCCTGGGTGACCGACTCGGTCGCCGCAAGACTATCTTCCTGGGTGGTATCCTTACTATCATCGGCCAACTGCTGCAGACTGCGGCTTATGGCTTGCCACAATTCGTCGTCGGCCGTGTCATCCTCGGTGTCGGTGTCGGTCAATTGAGTGTTGCCGTTCCTGTCTGGCAGTCCGAGTGCACGTCAGCCAAACATCGTGGACAACATGTTGTCGTCGACGGTGTCTGTATCTGTTTGGGTTATGTTCTCTGTAACTGGATTGACTTCGGCTTGAGCAAAGTGGATGGCGCACTGCAGTGGCGTATCCCGTTGGCCGTTTCCTTCTTCTTCTCCCTCACTGTCGTGCTTTCAGTCTTCTTGCTTCCCGAGTCTCCTCGATGGCTCGTGCGTGTTGGACGTATTGAAGAGGCTACTAGCAGTCTAGCTGCCTACAAGGGTCTGTCTGACGATGACGAGGCCGTCCGCGTTGAAATCGCTGGTATCGAGACCTCCCTCGAGAGTACGGTCAACAGCGCCTCCATCATGGAAATCTTCACCTCCAGCAAGGCCGACGACGAGCGCCTTATCTACCGGTTCTGCCTGTGCGTCGCATTGCAATTCTTCCAGCAGATGTGTGGTGGGAACCTGATCTCGACATACGTGTCGACAATTTTCGAAGAAAACCTCAACATGAGCAGCGACCTGGCTCGCATTCTGTCTTCATGCGCCATGACCTGGAAGTTCTTCTGCAGCTTCATCGCCTTCTTTGCCATCGACCGACTCGGTCGCCGAAAGATCTTCATGATCAGTGGTACTGGTATGTCCGTCTGCATGATAGTCCTCGCCATCACCAACAGCTTCGAGGACAACAGAAACGCGTCGATTGTTTCGGCCGTCTTCATCTTCCTTTTCAATTCGTTCTATCCTGTCGGTTTCCTGGGCGGTAACTTCCTCTACTGTACCGAAGTCGCCCCCATGCGTCTCCGTGTCGCCATGTCCGCCATCTCGACTGGAAACCACTGGCTGTGGAACTTTGTGGTTGTCATGATCACTCCTGTCGCGCTTGATACCATCGGGTACAAGTACTACATTGTGTACGCTGTTATCTCTGCCTGCATTCCCATCTCGGTTTACTTCTTCTACCCCGAGACCATGAACCGCAACCTGGAGGCTCTTAACCATGTCTTCCGCGATGCTCCGACTACATGGGACATTGTCTCCATGGCCCGTCACCTGCCTCAGGGTGAGGCTGCTGAGGTGGACGTGTGGATGCGGACGGAAGAGAAGGGTGCGATTGATCAGAAGGAGAATGCCTAAATTATGGATTAAATTTATTGCGACGTTGCCCACTGTATATACTATGATGATGATGATGATGGAATGGGTTGTACTAAAGTACAATTCAAATAGATGAGACCACTAGAATGAGCCCATCAAATTTCAAGTTTCTACTGGTTCATTCATTTCCCTATAAGATGTCCTATAAGCACTAGGTAAATGCAGTTCGGTATCAGACGTAAATACTTGCCTCTGAGGACTCCCCACCGCTGAACAACCGATAAGTCTTATAGTTTCCTCTTCCCCTATGGTATGATATACCAGTTTACACATCCAATTCAACATAATGTAATTGGTTAGTCTCTGTAGAAGGTGGCATTGGCAACTCTTTCACCAACGCCAAGTCCGGGTTCTTTGTCTTTTATTCCTGCAACTCTGTCGGTTTCAAGCTTACTATCTTTAACATACCATGTCATTGTTATTGAGATATTCTCGGACTTATTGTTTTCCCAAAATAAGCCGCTCCACTTCGAGTTCCTTTGTCTTCCAAGGCTATGTTTGGATCCCTCGTCCACGACCCTGGGGTATTGTTGATTGTTCATTCTTTGTCTTTTTGTTCTTTGGCCTTATTTTTGGTGAATTTCGTGTTTGATCACGACGAACTAACAATAACTTCAACGAAGACCATTCAAATGTTCGACGTTGCCTATATAATTCCCCTCTGCATGTCTCCTGGTCTTCGCTCCAACTTCATTATCCAACAATAACATCAGTACCACATTTTATCTTACTTCAAGAACTTACGCAAAAAAACACCACAATGTTGAAGAGGATTCGTCACTCACTAAGGTGTTTTCCAAGACGCCGATGCGATTGTCACGACTACAGTCAACCTTCAGGAGCCCGGCCTAACCGTCCAGTGGAAAAGGCACCAAGACGCGCCCTGCGTCAACCACTTCCTAAGAATGTGATCAAAGGCGCGGGTCCAGCTAACCAGCCCCGAGGCAGTGAAGATGAGGATAGTAGCGATGACTATTACCCCCAAGCTACCCCCGCCAGCGAGTCTCACACAGGGATAACACCCGAAATGAGTATGACAAAACTTGACGATGAGTCTTCGTCTGACGATAACCCATATCCCCTCTCAACCAGCAGTTTCCATACAGACAGTCTACACGAGGTAAGCCATACCGATTCCAATAACGCGGTTGCATCAGGTGGTGACTCTTACTCCGCCGCAGCAAGAAATCCACACACAGACATTACTTCTGATATGAAGGATGCTAGCCTCATTGGGTCCCGATACGAATCATTCCCCGATCCAGGAGAAAGCTCTATTTTCGTGAGTGCGTCTGGTCCAGGTGAATACAATGCCGACGAAGAGGTCTATAACGGAGCTGACGACGACAGTCTCGATCTGAACCTTGAAGACGTGGAAATGCACGGTGTCTCGGTAGAACCCGAAGAACCCCAATATTCCAGCGGATCAGGGTCGAGCAATTCAAGCGACAGGAGACGTCGGCGATCTCTGGATAGCCAAGCACGAGCCGATGCCGAACACAGGGGCCTTCATGGATCTAGGGGCAGCAGCAGCAGCAGCAGCAAACGCCGGCGTCTTGCTGGCTCATCCGACACCGCAGGTGGGCGAGTGAGAACTGGGACCGAGCCGACTGTGAAGGACGTCACCAGGTACAGAAATAAAGGGGCACAATACCAAGCATGGATTGACGACCCCGAAGAGCCGGGGTGTCGAATCCAACCGGCAATGTTGACTATAGAAGAGATGACCGACAGAGCACAGCCAATGCCTTGGACAATCGATGAATCGTACTACGCAGTCGAGCCCGTGGCGCTAGAAGGTGGTGATGTGGAATCGATGAATATTGCTCGCGGCGGTCCGCGATACCGCTATACATATCTCCGAAGGGAGCCGGGACCAAATACGCCTGAGGTTAACGAATATGAACATCGAGTTGCTCGTGGTGTTCTTGTTGCTGAGAGGATCTACAGGGAAGATGGTCCTCATTGGAATGAGGTTGCTCGGGCTCAATACTTGCTTGATTTCAACTTGAAAACGTTGAGGCATGTTATCTTTACCGATATCGGGAATGAAGAGACAGGTCCATATATACGTCACGAACTCTACCCCAGATTTGGTGTTAGATGGTCACAGGCAGAAGAGGTTGGCTGTATGGTATTCAGACATGGTAGTGCTGAGTATCAAGAACTACTCGGTACAAAGTTGGGTAAAGCAGTGGCTTGTCTTGTTCTTTCTTCGTTCCCTAGGGGCACGATGCAGATCACTCGTATCGTCACTTGGTGTGATTCAACTGCGCCGCAGATGCGATTTGAGATTGAACCTGTTATTGCTGCGCCTATTGCTCTGGCTACAGCTGCATGATGTATATGATTTGAATAATTGGCTGATAATAATTTGCATATATTTGGTGTTACTATACAGTTCTTGGCATTGCCTTAGAGATAGAAATTATCATTTTACTATTATAATGTCCTAGGTGTGTCCTATAGTAGATGACGTCCTGCGCAAAACACAATTACCAACAGGTATGCTTTGCATAAAGGCTTGAGACCAGAAAGGTTCCAGGCACTCATCAGAAACGTTCAATAAAGAACTTATACAAGAATGGCAGATGATCAGTCACAGACAGCAGAAAGAGAAAAGCAACCGATGAGAATTGCAAACAAGATGCCAGCACCAATATTATACAGCATCAGCAATGATAACCTCAGCAGCCTTCTCACTGATCATATAAATAGGCAGGGCGATATAGTACCCCGGGATCTTGGGGAAGACAGAAGCATCCACAACACGCAGACCGTCAACACCACGAACACGGAAGTCAGAATCCAGCACAGCCTGAGGATCCCCATCTTCTCCAATAGCAGCAGTGCAGCAGGCATGGTGCCCCCATGCTTCCCGCTTAATGAAGTCTTTCATCTGGCTCTCGGTAGTGACATTGGGTCCTGGCCAGACCTCTTCAAACCCGCCATCGAGGGGAATAAGGTCATCAAAGATCGTGCGGGAGAACTGCATTGCCTCGTACACAGCCTGAAGATCCTTCTCATCTGCACCATCTGTGGTCACTCCGGAATCAAACGAGTGGAAGTTGATAAGGGGCGTATCACGCGGGTCAGTAGATCGGAGCTCAACCGTGCCAGCGTTATTACGGGAGCGCGACTTCAACGTGATCCAGGTCCAGTGCTGGGCATTTTTGAGACCTTCGTATGAGTAGTTGGGATAATAGCCGGGGAAGTTGGCAGGTGCTCCTGAAATCAATAGATCGGGCTCGTCCTCTGCGACAGAGGACTTGTGAATGATGGCAATGGCGATTCCATTGGTGGTATAGGTGCCTTTGAAGAGGGGATTGTTCTCGTACTGTTCCAGACAGGGGTCGGGAAGAGAATACAAAAAGGTACACTTGGACGTGAGGACGAAATCGGTGGGTGACTTGCCCACTGTGCCTGTCTCGTACCGGTCCTGAAGATTACGACCGACGCCGGGGAGATCCACCAGGGTTGAAATTCCATGTTTGGATAACTCCTCCTTTGGTCCAATACCACTCAGCTTCAGCAGCTGGGGGGTGTTGAACGAGCCTGCAGACAGAATCACTTCACGAGTAGCACTCACGCTACCTGGTGTCCCGTTCGACGATGTCTGGGAAGCCCGGGGGTCTGCGCGGTAGAGGCTCTGTCCACGAAGATAGTCAACACCGGTAGCCCGTGGCTTAGCGCCGGTGGTATCGAACCGGAGCTTGGTGACCAGGGTGTTCAGCTGGATATCAAGATGATATTTTCGCGAACCATCTGAGTTCACAGCGTTGACTGTCTTCATGAGGAATTCTCGAGGGCCTGTCCGCTTGTACTCGGGAACATCCACGGCGAGAGGCACTTGGTATGGACCCTCCTCGTAGTCGCGCGAGGGAGAGGGGTTGTTTAGATCGCGCAGCAGGACTTCTGCGAGGCCCGTGACCGTGGTGATCAGTTTACCCAGCAGTGTTTTACCCGCGGCGGTCGCACCGGCCAGGATTAAGGACAGAAGCTTTTGGTCTTCGATGACGAGACGCAAGTCTGTAAGACTCGTTGTGAGCCATCCGTCGAATCCGTGGCCCACCAAGCTGCTGGGCAGGTATCGGTTGCGCTCTAGTCTCGTAAAGTATTGTCGCATGTTTGAGGCGGACCATGAATCATTGCCAGTGAGACTGGCCAGTTGCTCCCAGTCATTCTCGTACGGGTAGATGGTACTATCGAGACACTGGTCAGCATATGATAGTCACGTTGGATAGACACCGAGAAGATATGGCTCACATCATGGCATTGTGAGCAGAGCATCCCCCCAAAGTACCTGCTCGAGGGTATAAAATTCCCAAGGGCTCGGAGCCATTGGGCGCATTGCTTCCAACATGAAGGTCGCCAGCAGGAGTCCGATAAGTCATCTTGGAGTCTTCTTCCTGACGAGTCAAGTTGGAGTAGTGGTTCACGAAATAATCCCATCTCATCGGTTCGTATTCGGTGGACTGGAGCTGCAGGGCGGGGACAATCTGCTGGGTCGCATTTCCCTGGTCATCACCTGCCTCTAGAAGAAGCACCTTGTATCCTGCAATGGCCAATCGTGCTGCTACAGGGCCACCTCCAGCACCAGAGCCAACAACGACATAGTCATACTCAGTAGCGGAATTCTCGTTATCCGAAGACCGCTTGTGCAATTTATGATGTCCATGGTCACTGGATTCTGGCGTTAGTCTTCTGTGTCATCAAGATCCAAGCAGGCACCGGGGCATGGAGGTGCACCTACGAAGCCAAGACAACCGAAAGGGTGGACAATAGTCCAACTACTGCAGAGAAACGCATAAAGGAGAAAAGACGGAGATGTTCTCCGAAAATCAAAAGCAATCAAAAAAACAAAACAAAACGAAACAAAACAAAATGGAATCAAGCAATAACAGACAACGAAAGAACCGATTTGGGGTATATTAATGACCACCAAGCCCTTCTCCTGACTCTATTATAAGACCATAAAAGCAAAAGCACGGCGGGCATGCCTAGTACGATATTTGGCCACGTTATTGGGTATATTCCTTCAATTTCCTCGTGAAGGCGATCGACATAAGCTTCCACTTTCTGCATTAGCCTGTATCATGCATGGATAGCCATCCCGCAGCACGCCACTGCGGCCCTAGTAACAGACTATTCCTATAACTCATGTACATACGAAGTAAGAATGGTTCTGACTCGTATTGAACTTGGCAATGTATACAAGGAAATTGATACTTTTCGCTTGTGGGGACTGGCCAGCCAATCAATATATTCTAAATCCTGACCACCCGTGCCGACTTGCTAGCGTCTTCTCTGCCGCTTGACATGCCGATCGTACAGCTCGAGGAAACGCCAATCTAACGGTGAAGCTAGACTTGTTTGGGTGTTTATGTTTTTCATTTGCAACAATGATACAGGGGGGTTGTTGCGGAGTACATCGTAGACGTCCGGACCCTACCTAGGTAAGCCACATTAACGACTAAGTGGATTGGGGTGATATCCACTCTCATTGTGAGATCCAAAACCTAACTCAACTTGATTTCCCGGGAGTTGTCTCACTTTTCGGTTAAATGGTAAAAGCGTGTGAAGTATTACTCCATGAAAGCTCCAGCCCCTTATTGTTGGTGCAGAGCTGGGGATGTACAGCATAGTGATGCTATCTTGCTTTCTTCCTATTCCACCAAAGCCTGCTGAATTATCCTCTTACATTATATGGGGTTAACTTCATATGAGAGAAAGTACAATGTGAGTTCTGAATAATTAGTGGTTAGTGGTCAGTTGAATACATATCTGAAAAATATAGACATCAAAGAGAGACATCGTAGTTCGGTGCCCAGGTGGGATCCAATAATTACATAAGTAAATACAAAGACAAAATGCAAAGGAAATCAAGGGAATGAAAGTAATTGCCCCACATAAAACAACCTCCCCTCTTCGCCCTCAACTACACCGGGTGTGGGTGGTGTAGCCGGGCTTCATCTGAGGTGTCTATGTCATCCAGCGGGTAGAATTGGCGATCAGGATTCTTATTCTGGGCGGGGACAGCTGCAAATTGAGACCCATTCCCGCGAGAATGAGAGTCCATAGCGTATGAAGATTTGACTTTGGCAGTATCGCCAAAGAGTCCGGGAGATATACGACGTAGTAGAGATCGAATGGCAGGCAGACAAGCACAGATAACGCCAACGTCGCATTCGATAGTACTCCAATATCCGACGGTCACGTAATCCCCTTATAGATGTTAATACAATTGCCCAGATTGAAAGAGGAAGGGGAAGAAAAGAGATACTCACATGTTAGGTTCGTGGTAGAAGCAAAGTGAATTAGTGAATTCAGCCGTAGGATACTGATAAGGGTGACACTAAGCTCAAGAGTTAGTTATTGACATTGTGGAGCAGGATGAAATAGGGAAACGCACAAGATGCCCAGACTGAACATGCACATCACATATGATTTTCGTTTCACGGAAAGGTTTAGACCGTATAGCTGGCGCAGTGGAAGCACCATGACGATTATATCAAGGACCATGTTGAGCACTGCCGCTGCCCAGCCCTGTGCATTGATATGGTTGCACTTATAATTCTCTTCTTCATACCAGCGGTGCCACGCTCCGGGTAGAGGTCGACACTGGAACACCGAGATCAAGACAAAGGCAATCCAGTAGCCGACGTTCAGTGCAATAGCCACATAAGTTGCCATCCGGAACCTCTGATCAGGGAAGATACGAAGGTAGAAGAAGCAGATTGATATTTTGGTCAGCGGCAGAATACTCAGGTAGAGCAATTCATCCCAAAAGTAGACCTGGTGCAATTAGACAACTTCCCTTGGCAGGTGCATAAAGCCAGCACTGTGGAGTACTCACATAAAGAATATGGGTGATGTTGTCGAAAGGAATGGTCCACATATCCTTTCCTAAACCTGAATCGGCCACTATAGGGATTGTTAGTCAAGTGAAGGTGGTTTAACGAGCTACAACGGGAACCATACAGACGACTGAGAGTGCAGAAAGTGGAATGAGAAGAGCCTGTTAATTTCCAGTGAGAAGAGATTTCAGTTTCGAGCAAAGGGAAGATTGTATATACCATCGTGAACATCATTGTCCAATCATCCGCCCCAAAAATACCACCACAGCAGCTTAATCGAGCCAGCATGCGAAGAACGAAAGCGATAAGGGCTACAATTCCACCTGCAACCCCTGCATGAGAAACAATCTTTGTGCGGTCCCGGATAGGGGCTCCGCACGCTGTTGAGGTGACATTTTTTGTGGCTTGCAGTTGTTAGCCATGATGACCAGTGGGGATGAAGGACGAAACATTGACTCACTTAGAGATTCTTTAACTGTGCAACTGACAAGAACGCATTTCTGCAGAACGGCCGTGTAATGTGCATCAGTGCATAGACATTTCTGGTCGGTTGGCTCGCAGGACGATTGTGGCACCGAAGTCGTCATACATTTCAGCTTCATAGGTCAGTGTTATCAACTTCGCGCCAAAGGAGCAATAGAAAGATTGAAAATACCTACCGCACACGAGGGTAAAACGGCCGCCAACTGTTCCATCCCTGCTATAACAGTCGTTGCGAACAAGGCGGCCACGAGGGCTGCTGCACCGAACAAACGCATTGTGAAGACTACAGGATAGGATGCATTCGTGATCAAGAAACTGACAGAGAGGATTTGGACTAAATTTGACGAGGCGAGTCAGGAGAATCTAATCTTATGAGATACATGACGATCACTTGACTAGGATATAAGAGTTTGTTAGTTTGATGTACATCCAACGTTGGGATTGTTAGCGCATGAACAACTCAAGCTTCAAGATTAAGTAGTGGCCCACGTTTATCCTCGAAAAATTGCCTTTCTACAGAGTACACCGTAGTTGTCTAGATGTTTAGACGATCTGGTATTAACATTGCGGGAACTGTTTTGACTCTCTGCCAAGCATCGAAGTGTGGCCTGGAAGCAGTCCACATCTCTGGGATTTCCTAAACTAGACGACGCAAGTACAAAAACTTTCCATACAACCATTCAGCCGGTAATCTTGGACGGCTCTTGGGACCCATCGTGGAGTTGCCTAAGGTGGTCTTACACTCTTTTTAAGGTTCCAGCCGCGAATGTGGCTGAATTAGAAAATTAGAAAATTGGGATCTACACAGATACGAGCCTTCCCCAACCCTTGGCCCACTTTAGACGTTTTAGGGGCCCACAAATGGGCACAAATACCGGGCTGGACGTCCATCGAGCAAACCAAAGACCCTGACAAGCTGTGGGACTTTCGTACTCGGCCCTACTCGGAACGGGCTTATGCGTTCCAATTCCTCTAATTGAGCCTAATTGCCTCCAGAAAGACCCACAGGCGGGATATGGTCCGGAACAATGACTATTGTACTCCGTACCCTACTCCGTAGTAGCCCTTTGTCTCTCCGAATCCCCGGAGACGATCCGAATACCTATTATCTAAAGTGGGCCCAGAGTCCTGCTATCTGAGGGAAAGATCGCTTCGATAGAAAGTATTTACAATATACACGCAACCTACGGGATTTGATGGGATTTGGTGAGCAATGCAGATCCAAAGACTTGTGTTGTATAGCTCAAAAGCCTAGTGCTGTAGTGCTGTGATAGGCACTGTTAGGCGCTGTTATTGAAGTTATTGAACTAAGATTTGAATTTATCAAGGGGACCTTTGCTAAAAGTCGGCTCACCGGAGGCATGCGCCAAGTTTCATCTCCGCCACAAGAGCCTTCCCACATTCCCAAACCAGAGTTGATCAGCATCAACTTACCAATATATCCATAATTCAGCCGAGATATAGCCACACAAATGGCCATGCAGAAATCAGGGGCGTGTACTCCGTACCGTGCTATCCAGAGCCTTTTACGGGGGGTGCTAAACGAGAACGAGATGTACTACAGCGGAATGCTTCACGAAAGAAAGAAGGGGGGTTGAAGCTGACGTTTGACATCAAGTGGGACTTAATTTACGATATACATACAAACGTATTCTGTGCAATACGGCTACCATACAGCTGGCCAGTTGTCTCTACGATGCTCTGGGCCATAATTGCAAATAGTCTACTCCGTACCGTGGACTCGAGCGCTAGGACGGGGCCATTCAGGGGATCAACATTTCTCAGCATGTGTGCTCCGTATCATCCGAAGAGTTACCTAGGCACAGAATTGCCGCGGGATATCTAAAGAACTCATTATTTTATTCCCCTAGAAGTGTGTTCTTCAGTCGCTCTTTACATGATCCCTGCGAACCCCGGGGCAAACTGGAATTTCTAGCGGAGGACTAACATATTCGATCATCATGCGCATCGCTCCAGGGCTCTTGGTCTGGCCACTGTCGCTCCTTAGCCTAGTGTCGGCTTTCCCCGGATCAATGAATGGCCACAATGGCCACTCAGGACATCATCAGGGCTTGCACAAGCCTTGCCCATATGCCAATATTCAGGACCAAGCCAAGCCGAAGACGGAACATGAAAAGCGGTTTCTCTTCAGTTTGATGAAATCGCCTGTTGACGGTATGGCACAAAAGCTCCCCCGAGCTGTCACCATTTGTAACAATTAACTCTAGTTACCGGCGAACATGCATTCCAACCCCCTGATTTTGAAAACGGTGACCAGCGAGGCCCCTGTCCAGGTCTCAATGCACTGGCAAATCATGGGTATATTCCGCGGAGCGGAGTGGTATCGGTAGGTTATTCCCGCGTGACTGGCGTCGAATCCTAAGCTAAGCGTGAAAAGTTCACAAACGTGGTTGCAGCAATCAACAAAGGTACTATTGCATCATGAGATTGTCGATGCAGCGCATCCTAACATCTTTCGTATAGTGTATGGCATGGGCGTCGATCTCGCCACCATCCTTGCGATCATGGGCACCGTCTGGACCGGTGACGTACTGTCCCTCGATCCCAGCTTCTCCATCGGTGGTCCCGATACTGGCGTTAACAACCTGCTGAACAACTTGGGTGGCGTCCTCGGTTCGAACACCTCACTTGCTTGCAAATCCGGGTCGATCGCTAACACCACCTGCAGGCGAACCCCAAGGCTTGATTGGCTCGCACAACTTCATCGAAGCAGACTCCTCCAACACTCGTGACGACCTCTACGTTACCGGAAACAGCTGGACACTGAATATGGACAAGTTCATGGCTTGGTACAATATGTCTACCGACGGCACCTACGACATGAGTCTCATGGCCAAACGCGCAAAGATCCGTATGGACGAGACTATTCATACAAACCCGGATTTCTACTATGGACCTGTGACGGGGCTCATTGCGCGCAACGCCGGTTACATCTTCCCAGGTCGGCTGTTCCGAAATCACTCTGCTGAAAATCCAGAGGGAACACTGAGTAAGTTGATTCAAGAGATTGTGAAATCCGACTGAATATGCGAGATTTGCTGACCCGCATCCTAGCTAAGAGCCACCTCCGGAGTTTCTATGGTATTTACGGCCCGGAACACAACCTAACCTACCGCGAAGGATGGGAAAGGATTCCCGAAAACTGGTACAAGACTCCTGTGGACTACGGACTCATCTCACTTAACTTGGATGTCATTGACTTTATATTGAAATATCCAGAACTCGGAAGGTATGAGACCCTGCTAGGTGACCCACGCTGATAAATTTCTAATAATTATTTGAATCTAGCATTGGAGGGAACTTGGGTGAAGTAGACAGCTTTGCGGGAGTTGATCTAGGGGATTTGACAGGTGGTGTCTTGAACCTGGCCGGTCTGCTGGAGGATAACAACTTACTGTGCTTCGTGACTGAGGTACTGAAGTTCGCCAGCCCCAACGCGCTTGCAGGGATATACTCGACCGTGGCCAAGCCGTTAGAGTTCGTCGCTAATATCCTCGCTGTGCCTTTGCTCAACCTTACTTGTCCGGCATTCCAGGATCTTCAGATGGGAGGGAAGCCACTATGGGAAGCCCTTCAAGACAATTTCCCCGGTGCTATGAAGAGCAATCGTGCTCTTTAGACGTTATGGGTTCGCTTGGATGGATTGGCTGTACTATTAAATAATACGGTTGAGTTAGGATCTTTTAGTAGAATATTTCGTTAATATTTCGTTAATACAGACTTGACTTGTCTTCATGTGAAAGCCCGAAACGGGGATATCAAGGAACCGAGACGTGCAAATCCTAGTTGGGGATTAAGATTCGGGAATATGCAGGGATATGCAGGCTGGCATTTCATGGGGACCTGCGTAGAGACCTTGTTTGCATTCCTCCTAAGTAGGGCTGTCTGAATTAGTCGATTCAGAGATTGTTCCATGAAAGCAGAACTGGGATCTTATCTACTATGCGGCTCAGTGGTTTAGTGGGATAATTCATCTTTCGGGAGAAATCTCTGGTTTCAGAATTACCAATATAGATGAGGTCCCGGGTTCGATTCCCGGCTGAGCCCCGTTTTTTTATTTTTTGATGTCGAAATCTCATACACCTCTATTAGGAGCGGCTGCATTAATTTGAAGTTGTAGTTATCGATACTCATGCATATAGTCTCAAGTATGTACATATGTAGCTTACATATATGTACATACATAGAATCTGCCAAGACCACGGCACTTGGATAACCACGTGTTAGGAAGGTACAAATCTGCTTAGGGAAGGAGCCAACCTCAATCTCTTCGATATGAATAACCTTCCAAGGTTGGAACTCATCGCTCTGACCCCGGAACCTCTGCACTTCCTTTCTTTGCAATACCATTGTAGCAGATTTGGCTTCTTCGATCCAGTTCCTTTGGGATCTGGGAAATTCTCCGATCAGACGCCTCGAAATCAAACAAAGAACTCTCATCTGCCAAGGTCACTAGGCCCGATTAAACAGAAGTCGCGCATCGTCTAGAGAACTACTTGGACGGTCCGGCCAACGACAGACCAACGACAGACCAACGACAAACCACGCTCATGCAACTAAGCGATAGCTCTAAACTATCGTACGCGTCTCGCAAGGAAGCGAATGCTCGGACGCAGCGGTCAGAAGCATCTACACATTAATGGTCGGCTATAATGGGTAGGATGACAAGGATTGTTTAGTGTCGGGGCAGTGTCCGTACTAGCTATGCGGGGTTCTTTGCGCCCTGCCCTGTGATTCCAACATTGAGGCTGTCACTCTGCATTTGCCCGTATCTGATTGTACCAATCTATATCAGTTTAATTAACTTGAGTTTAGCCCTGGCTCGACACTATCCTAGGCTCCTCGAATGTACCTGCCGGGGGTGTAACCCAAGACATTCCTGAGCCCTAGAAAGGAAAACAGTAATGCCCTTTCTTTAAACTGGCATTTTACGATTGGACCTACATATAAGGATGCATTTCCCGGCATTCGATGTTTGGATCTGGACTACACGTCTATCCATTCAACTTCTTGATTCCTCTTCATAATGCGCTCCCTGTGGACATTATCCGCCCTGGCGCTCTCAGCCGAAGCCATCAAAACAACAGGATGTCCTCTTTTAGGTCCAGCATTCCCTGCCCCTACCGCTCTGTCAGAGGATCCCATTTTTTTCCAGCAAAGCTGAGGAATTGACCTCAAAGCTCAATGAAGCTATCGAGGATGGAAGTCTACCTGGTATATCATTCGCAGTGCAGGTCTTCAGCAGCGAAGAGGACCATTCGGCATTCGGTTTCTACCACACAGATAATCCAGTTAAAGTTGGATCTGTGGGGGGTTAAAGAGGTAGACGAGGATACCATGTTCCGAATTGGCAGCATATCGAAGCTGTGGACAATGTTTCTCTTCATGACTTTGGAAGGAACGCGGTACTTCCACGAGCCCGTTTCGAAATACGTGCCTGAGCTGCAAATAGAGTACAGCCCAGCGCAAGCAAAGGACAAGATTAATTATTTGCAATGGAGCGATGTTACGATCGGCGAACTGGCTAGTCACCAAGCGGGCCTTGCAAGAGACTGTATGACGACCCATACCCCGATGACCCGAGTGGGCAATGCGAAAAGACACTGATCTTGGATTCTAGATGCATTTGGTGACCTCGGATTTAAGTCGGATCTTCTTCAAAGCATGGGCTTCCCTTCGCTTCCAGAGGACGAGCAGCTGACTTGTGGGAGTGAGTACCCGTGCGATAGGCAAGGTAAGTCGATTTCGTGTGCTCACATCATCGCTCGAATTATTTGGCTGACAGAGGGGACATTTTCAAGAATTTTTCCGTGGCATTCTAAAAACGCGTGAGTAGGGTGATTCCACTGAATCTAGGTATACCCCTAACGTGGTCTATTAGATCCCTTGACTTCGACCTCACAGACACCGATATACTCCAACGCAGGATATCAAATTCTGGGATACGCGTTGGAGTCAATCGCAAAACGCCAACTACGAAGAAATATTATGGGACCGTCTTATCAGGCCGCTCAACTTGACTCGGTCCTGTCTCAAGGTCCCGGACCCTAGCTTGGCGGTGATTCCCCACAATGAGACTTTCAGTTGGTTTGGATATGAGATTGGCGAAGAGGCTCCGTGAGTGCTAATACATTGTTTGATGTATACCTAACTTACAAATTGCTAGAGCTGGAGGCATGTTCTCTTCCGCAAATGACATGGCCACATTTGGACGCGCCGTTCTCTCCAGCACCCTTGTGGACCCTGCCGTGACAAGGCGGTGGATGAAGCCGCTAACACACACGTCATCCCTGCAACATTCCGTAGGCGCGCCCTGGGAGATCTATACATTTTTGACACCTCGTCGGGTCGACCTGTACACCAAGGCCGGAGACATCGGGCTTTACTCCAGTTCCATTGGTCTTTCGCCAGATCACAATGCCGGTTTTACAGTTTTAGTTGCTGGTGGTAACTCCCATGTGATGACATCGACAATCGGGGAGATGGTTGCTGATATTATGCTTCCCGGGTTTGACGAAGTCGCCAGAAACCAAGCTCTGAAACGCTTTGGGGGCACATATGCTTTGACGAGCGACTCCTCCAATTCCTCAATTACCATCACCGCCGATGACGGGGCTGGCTTGGTAGTCTCATCATGGATCAGCAACTCGGTCGACATGATCGAGTCTTTGATGGGTTTGCAAGGAGTGACCGATCGCTCTGCGATAAGCATTCGTCTACAGCCTAGCGGCCTGGAGACCCCAGGGAAGATCTCCTTCTTGGCTGTTATCTATACACTTAGTGCACCAAAAGACGCTGGGCCCCTTGTTGGATCCTGCTTTTCGTGGATTTTGCTCGACTCTTTGGTGTATGGCAACGTCGGTCTTCCAGAGTTTGAGTTCGCACTGAATCATGACGGCTATGCGACGAGCTTATCCCCTCGGGCGTTGCGTGTTACTCTTCCCTAGAGTTTAAGGGGAGAAGATCTCGTTTGCGGTTGATTCGTCATGATGCATCGAACTTGGCGGCTGTTTTATTTTCTTACTGTACATAGTTACTCTACGTACCAGCGCTAAAAAGTCGATTAATTATGGCTGGACTTTTGAGAACCATGAGCCCAAGCTAGGAAAAGAATTCCATAGGACACCATGCTCCAATATCGACGCGTCGCGTTCTGGCCTCCTTCGTCGAGAGGAGGTCGCGCGTGTCTTTTTGCGTTTCACGGTGAAATAGACTATTTTGATTACCTCCTTGGAGACAAGCTGTGCCTGAAAGTCTCCGTTACGTTTGATGACTGGGGATGGAGGACGTCCGGTGGAAGCGCTTTGAGACCGTAGCAAGAATCAGGCAAACGGGTCGTGTAATTTGACGAGAACAGTAACGCACGCGATATGGGCCGTGGCTGCGTTAAAACACAAGATCAGAGACGGCGGCCGTTCGGTGGGGGGGGGGAAAGGAGTACGAAAAGGGGGAGGCCCCTTGCCAAGAGCCCCGACTCACTCGACGTGGATCTCTTGGCAATCTTGGCACAGGGCAAGTGGAAACGAAATCGGGCAGGAACCTTGGAGTAACCTTTTTGGGTGGGGACTACCTGCCTCTTTTGCAATATAGTCCTTCTAGGTCAAGTCCAGGCACCACACTATACCCAACATATTGCTTACCTAGGTACACATGTCTCATGACATACATATGTTGAAGGGTGCAGAGCAGGTACTTAGATCTAAGGGTTGCGAAAGGGCCCGTGAGACAGACTACAAAAGTAATACAGTCATTTGATATAAGTCTTATGATATCTACCGTATATTACTTCCATTCAAAAATAAAGATAGAGAGAGATAGATGATCAATAAAGGAGGGGGAAAATACAGGAAAAGTAGATCAAAGGAGATATTGCTATTAAGAGATGCCGTATTCCTGTAGCTGCCTAAGGCCTGTTTGCAGATTGAGCATTTTGTTTGTTGCAGGTGTATAAATTCTTTGCTTTTGTTAGTTTAAGTGATAATAATTTCTTCCTTCTTCTTCTTCTCTCTCCCCCCTGGTTGTTAGTGGCAGCCCTCAACAATTATAAAACCCAATATATATATCCAAAAACAGAACACAAAACAGAGATTCCAGAAGACTTCTGAGAAATTATTCGAGATGACATTCAAAGAGGACATACGGATAGTCCCATAAAAAAGGTCAACAAAGATACCCGGAGAATGCAGCTGTGGACCTAAGGAAATGCTATATAAATGCCAGAAAAAGACGGGGACACCAGCTACCACCCCTACCGTTACTCCCCAGCAAGTGGGGACTTTGAACTCCTCGCCTCCCGAGTCAAGACTACCGATCCCCGCGAGGCCGTGGCTTTCGCTGACGTCCTACGTATCATGCCCACTCCGAGCCAGGTACAGCACTATAATCACTCCCGTCAGCGATGTTGGGAGCCTGCGTTCGCGGTGGATGCAGTGGCGAGCTCAAAAGCGGTCGTCTTCTTTCACAGCACCAAGTGTGAGTTGATGTTGGCCGATTCAATCGTTTTACAGTTTGCAGATTTTGCATAACCTCACTCTTCCTACACTCTCACATTCTACTTGTTTCACTACCCAACAATTCAACCACAACTGAAACAACTGACGTGGCTAAGGAATAGGCGCAATTCCAACACCCCATTACCCGTGCCATAAGCGGAAGCTTAGCTGGAACAAGCAACAGCAGCATTTGCCAGACACAATATGCCTTGCCATTCAAGGGATGAAGACGACTACGAGAGGATCATCAACCCTGAAATGACCAGGAGAAATTCAGTGGCTTAAACAGCCAAAGCTATTTTCTGGAAGAGGACTGAGAACAAGCCAGCAAGAATTCAACGCATGACCTCAACCATGAATTCTTGCAAGTATCCTGTGATACCCTCTCCCTCAAGCGATGGCGGAGTCCAATACCCAAGCTCCATCTCGCTCAAACTCGATCTGATGATCGTGAACTGCGGAATATTCTTGGTAAAGCTCTTCGTGTTCATAGACCTTACTTTTGTGCTTACACAGTTTTAGGTCAGATTGCAGAGTACATGGATGTCATGGATTTGAAGTACGGAGTTTTGGCTAGAGCCACACCAATACAGCATTAACACTCAATCTGAACGAAAGGAACCCGTCCACAACCCTCGAGTAAGCTGGAATGGGACGGGCGAAACCAGCAAACACAAGGGACCCATCGTATCATTATCGCTAAGGGTATTAGTGGGGGAAGCATTGCGGTTTCCAATGCTATTTTAGTCGTCCCTTTCGAGAAACTCGTGTGACGAGCTAGGTTCTCTCCAGCCAAGACCGTTCCCAATATCGGCGTGGAAGAGCCTAAGGCCGTTGCAGATGTCGCAGATGGCGCCTGAATTGTCCGAAATCTCTCGAGCGGGCTCCCTGTATGTGAATAACCTCATCTCTAAAATGGCCATTACCAACACTATCCACATCGAGGCCCATGTGGGCAGCGTTGATGGCATCAGTGTCATCTGGAGCCCGAATTCAGCCTACAACCTCTCATCAAACGACAATGACTACAATGTGAGACGGAGTGTATTTGGAGAGTTCCACAGAGAATATGGGTGGGAGTGCACCTACCCAAAAGCAACAGGACGACGGCCCTCTGCACTCTCAACAAAGGTCCGAATACAACTTGAAGTAGTTGGGGCATTTGAGGTACAGTTGCTGCCGTCACCACACCCACTACCTTTTGCTGATGCCCTGCATTCCTCTTCTAGTTATACCAACTCTGTCACTTTCCGCAACCTTTACAGGTGGGATTCCGCTTCGGAGATCGGAACGCGCACTAGTTGCCTCGCCTAATCCATTGGACAAGCACGCCGAGCGATCAGATATGCGATGTGGGGAAACGAACATTTTGCTGTTGCACGGGACAGTAAAATGAAAGGTCTGCTGTTAGCTCACGACAATTCAGCCATCGAGTTCCATCGGCCTAACGACCGGGTTGATCCACAGACGCTTGATCCACAGACGCGTCAATTTCTCAATAGAATCCGGGGATCCCGGAATCCGAGGCAGATCGACGCAATCCGATCCGCATTCTCCGATGGAAGGGAATGGTTCGACTTTCTTTCTCTCGTCACAGGCCCCACCGGCACTGGCAAAACTTCTTTCTCTCTCTCTATATATAGCGAGAATACTCTGGGTACATGAGAAGGTTCCCGAGCTCACGAAATCCGAATCAAAATCCTGCGATCTCTTGAAAGTACCAATGAATCTTGTTGACATAGATGGGATGTCTTCACATTTCTCTTTGTTTATGCAGGGTATATAAACACCCTGCTATTCCATAGTGCATGGATTAGTTTCTGCTTCTTGATTCTCTCCATAAACACCCCCATCCCCATTCTCCGATGATTTCGTTCCGACCTGGATTCTCCCTTCCCCCTTCCTCGCCGAGCTAGGGGCCCGCCTTGCAAACCTCTGCTCGGCCTTCCGCTTGCTGGCGAGGAACCACATCACCGAACACGGCATTCATAATGGCTGCTCGGTATGACTCTTTGTGTTAATGGCCCCTCTTCTAGCTGCTTGCTTGCTAACCCTTTAATTCTTGGTATCAGGGCTCCCGCTGAGCTCACTACCGGCAGTGGCTCCTGACTCACCAGCCGATCCCCGTTGCAGTCAATCTAGACGGCAGTCCCGAAAAGTTTGCAGGATCCTCCATGTCCAAGCACAAGTCCATAGACACGGAAGGTAACGTACACCTCTAGTATGGAGCTATCCAAAGCTTCCACCAGAGCGTGGAGCTGATTGTCGAGGAGGGCATCCAGGGCACTGCCTACCAGGCGGAGTACGAGGAGCGGCTCGCTCGGTTCCCAGAGAAGATTCTTCCTATGGCCTCCCGTCTCTCTCGCTAACGGTCGTTGGAGGTAGGAGGTGGACTTTAGATTTTGGGTGGGGGGGTTATGACTAGCAGATAGCATGATTTTTCGGGGCAGTGAATGCACCTCTGGGCACATCACGGTCGTTGTGATGCCCCTTTTTTTGATTTTTCTTGACGTAGTCTCCCTCCAGTAGCCCTGTAGCCTCTCAATAAATCTGAAGCTAGTAGCCTTAAATTTCAATTTATGAACACAACGCGTAAACAATTCCGTATGTCAATATCTGCCTAGATACAATTTATTCACAGACCTCAAGATGTTGAATCAAAGGTATTGAACGTAGCGATTCCTTCGTCGCAACCCTAGTTCACAAGCTCCCACTCCTCACCGGCGTACTCGACTTTGTAAGCGAGAGTTGGGTCTGCAGTGAAGTTGGGTTTCTCATCCCAATTAGCCCCGAAGTCTCCATTGTAAAAGCTACCAAAACTGAACCGGAAGGAAGTTGCATTGACCGACACAGATTGACCCATCACACCGATGCTGTGGGACCCACTAGAGCTCAGTGCAAGTAGTTGGACATCATCTTTCCTTTCAAGGACACGACGATCATTTTCCGGCGTTGGTGAAGGCTTTCCCGAGTCATCGCGGTTGATTCGGAACTTGGTTGCCTTTCTGGTATCAAGAGTGATGAATCCATTGTTCCCATCTCTAACGGACCAGTACAAGTGGGGTGTTGTCTTGGTGCGAATGTAATAAGCACCACCTGAGACATATTCCACGTTAGATGTTGCGTCATTGGGAATGACCGGCATGGCGCCAGTGGCATGGTTGTTGTCGTATCCGCTGATTCGGGCAGCCATGGTAGTCGCCATGAGGTCCTTCGCATTTGAATCAATGAAGAAGAAAGGGCGAGATTCCGGCGTAGCGGCGGGGAACGTCCAGAACTGAGGGCTGTATCTCACGACATCGCTGAGCGGATTGACAGTGCCAGGAGCTGTGGTCGTGACGCATCGGTTGTAGAATTCGTCTGCATATTGTCTGTTAGGGAAGACGAGAATTTCACGGCCATTGTATTGGTTTCCAGTCCAATTGAGGTAAACGTGGTAAACCATCTGGAGGAAAGATGGTGAGTATTTGTATCGTTTTTGGGATAGGGGTGCTATTCACCTTGCAGTTCTGAGTATGTGAACGAAGTTGGACGTTATTGTTGCTTTATGATCCTTTGAGGGAAGAGATGATGATCGACTGGAGTAATGAATTGGATTGTATCGGAAATAGCAGCTCTTTTATAGATGACTCCCTCGGAGGATTCGGATACTCAAGCACGTTCTAGCCACCTCTAAAAGAAGCGCTGAGTATCCTTCATGCAAGACGCATCAACATACTAGACGTAATTCATGCATCTTTAGATGCACGCGGAGTACTCCGTACGTGACAATGTACGATGCATGATGAGTGAAGGTGAGCTGAACGATGTCGCAAACTGAGCAGAATAACACTTGCATATCCAGCTAGATGTTTCAAGTTAATCAACTGCGCCTCTCTCGTGAGATTTCCGTTCTTTCCGACTAGACATTGTCCTAGATGTGACCGCGCCATGCATCTGATTGAATTTACAATGGTGCAGATACGGTACACCTGTGGGTTCGACAAGTAGTCAATGTGGATTTGGTTAAACCTGGAAGAACCAGATCAGATATGGACAGAAAGTTATCATTGACTAGAAACTAATAGACTGTTTCTGCCTAACTAAAAGAGAATTGATATGACACATAAACTGCACGATCTACGTTAGACCCACCGATGTGGGGGAGCTGAAAAGAGATTGACACATGTGAGTTTGTCTAAATGGGGTCATCCAGGGACCTTGGGCCAGTCAAGTAATGATCGTAGATTAGGTATGTGAATCATGTAGCATTGAGATGCAACTGCGGAGTTCTCCGTGATAAAAGTGCCCAGGTGAGGTCAGTAGATTCAAGACTATGTAATATCGGTTTAACAAGGGAGCTTTCGTGGTTACCGGTCTTTAGTAATACGTAATCCAGAAATATCAGCAGAACTGGTCTTGGGAGCAATATTGTTCGAGCAACAGTAGGATATAGCAGTTACTAATAAGGTAGCTGAGCGGATATGCGAAGCTAAGGCTTACAGTAAGCGCTAAATTGAGATGCGTTATCCCAATTGGGAATACCTGCATAAGTACCCACACCAGCCACGAAACAGGTATCATGTCCATGCCGAGACCTCCGCGGGCGGAGAAGGGTTCCCATCGGTTTAGTATTACAAGCTAGTTCCTCTACGGAGTACGGAGTAGTTTGCTTTGTATTAAATCACCAAATAGTGGACCCTGCATAATGCGATCGCCGATAGGCCGATAGAGTTTTCAGAGGAAATAACGCATAGTAAACCTCGTAAAAATGAGTTCCCAGATGACCCGCCCTCGCTATATTGCAGAGAGGGAGGTGTAGTGGCTGGCTGGGAACAAATGTAACAACCTGAGTTGCTAGGTTGCTAATCCACTATGCAGTACTCCGTACCCGTGGACAGAACACAAATCTAGCGATATGCAAGCTTCAGCGAGGTATCTTTAGGTACACGAGATCGCAGATCGCAGATCGTGACGTATTAGAAGGTTCGTGCCTGGACAATGTATTGTGGCTGAAAAAGTCAATTGCATATAAAATATGAAGTATATAAAGTGTTTGATCGCACATCTAACTATTCTATTTTAGATTAATTTCGTTCATCTTCTTCTATCATGCGAGTCCCAACAGAATCCAGCCTTCCGCTGTTATCTACTCCTCTATTTCAATCAAAGGGATATGAGGCTGCGAGTTATGAAACTCTGGAACGTTCTTATTACCGAGCCAGAGAGATAGGCAGACACCATGGTTAGGTGAAAAATATCAAACTACCAAATCAGGACTAACAACATCATAGGGCTCACGATTAACGATATCCTCTCCCTCACCCCGAAGTTCTGGAAATCCCATATGGATGCAATAATCATCCGGGATATCGTGGCTCATATTCTGTTTTCAATCCAATATAATTTGGTTGCTGGCACGATCGCCCCTTATGCCCTGAAGAGGCCGGACCTACGACCTGTGATCGAGAAAATTCTGAACTTTGATGTCTCGTACGATGCATCCAACAACCCCGTTTTAAGGAACCCTCTCACTAATCATCTTACAGCGCTTGCTTTATGCTCAATGAGGTTGACCATGGCTGTGATGCAAAGAATCTGGAAACCACTGCGACCTTGCAGTCCGATGGCAGTTTTGTCCTCCACAGTCCTACTCCTGGAGCAGCAAAGTAAGCTGAAAATCCAAGATAGCAGAAGGAATATTATACTAACACTTCTAGATTTATGCCACCATCAATGCCCATAGCTGGTATCCCTCGCATCGCCGTCGTTTTCGCACGTCTCATGATTGGAGACGACGATAGAGGGATTCGTCCGTTCATAGTCGGACTCGGGGATGGGAAGGAGATGTGCAAAGGGGTAACGACAACGTGAGTGAGATGGAATATCCAAAAAGAAAATAGTTGAACTCCGACTAACGACATCGTTAGGTTACCCCTCCCATCGCTTGCGGACGAACTCTCGACCACTCCATCACTTCATTCAACCAAGTCCGCCTCCCATCAACGGCCATGCTAGGCAGTCACCGAAAGCCGGACGACATGCGAACTCAATTTTTGATGGCCATCAACCGTCTAGGATTTGGAACACTAGCTTTAAGCTTGTCCACAATACCCGGCCTAAAGTGTGCCGTGCTCATAGCGGGCAAGTACAGCCTCCGTCGAATAGTTCATGGCCCCGAAGGATCTCCAAAGCCGATCATCTCCTTCCGTACTCAGCAGCTGCCCATCTTGCATGCCCTAGCGGAGAGTGCGGTTATGGAACCGTTTGCAAACTGGATCACAGCTAAATTTAGTGATACTTCACTTGACTTTTCTGTTAGACATGGGCTAGCAGTTATCTTCAAGGGAGCCGTTCTGCAATACACCCAGAAGAGCTTTGCAAATCTCGTTGAGCGATGTGGTGCTCAGGGTGTGTTTATCCACAATCAGCTAGTGGAGATGGAGGTAAGCCGACCCAAGAACAACCCAAAAGATCACACAAGAAGTACTGACCGCCCTGTGTAGGCTCTGAATCGTTGTAATGGCATCGCAGAAGGTGAAATTTTGGTCCTTTGCATTCGTAATGTCCCCGCAATTCCAGAATACACATATTATACAGCTAACACAGTATAGGCCTGGCCACTGAAATCCTCCTCGGTCGATACGAAATCCCAAGTGCCATCAAGCCGAATTCGTTAATTGCAAAGCACGAGGAAGGTTACATTGCGGAACTGAAGATGCTCCTGGGGAATATCGAAGAAGGACACCGAAGCGAGGCATACAACAGTCGCATGCTCCCTCACTGTCGGTCTCTGATCCTGGCAATAGGCCATCGCATGGCATATGAGGCAGCGGTGGATAAGGGAGTTGATCCCGACCTGCTCGCTCTGTACGAAGCCGGTGTGGTCAAGACTGACTCTAGTTGGTATGTCGAGAATCTGGGACTCAGTCGAGCAGATCAATTCGAAATGGAGAGCAAGGCAGCCGATGCTCTTGTACCGCAGGTGGGCGAGCTTTTGAATGCACTGGGTACGATGGAACCGTATATCACAGCCCCGATACTTTCAGCGGAGAGATGGGAGACGTTCGTTGCTGGCTGCGAGACTATTGAGGGAGATGCATCCTTTGATATCATCGACAGGGAAGATATGCGGGCCAAACTTTGAGATATTATTCGACACCGAGGGTCTCAGCAACAGTCATTCTCTGTAGCCACAATATTACTATATAGCGCAGAAGCCTATTAGACATCGTGGATGCTGAATTAAGCTTCTCATGGGCCGGGATCGCTATGATTGTTATGAGAGAAGCAAAAAAGGATGATATTTTCTGTCTACCTAAGCGTCCGACTAAGAATACCCAACAATGCCCGATGACAGAGTGTCCCAATGTCCCTGTGGTACCATAACGAAGCAAGAGGTGGGAGCTTGACTCAGAGACTGCCACTTCTGCGGCGACGGCAAGGGCCGGACCGGAGAGATTGGCATTCCCCAATCTCGGATTTGATTATGGTCAAGCCCCATAGACTCAGGGGACTTAGACAAGAGCATCCACCCAAAAAGGGTTCTTGTGGATCTTGAACAGTAAAACCAATCGGTGTTGTTGTTAGTTTCCGAACCACCATTCGGCACCCATTGGGAGGGGTTGGGAAGCCGAGAACGAAGGGGCTGGCCCGACGTAGACCTTCTTGTTCTCGCCTTTGTGGACCTTAACCTCTTGCTGACGTTTCAACCTGTCATTGTCGAGCTTCCAGGACTCCAGAACGATCTCTGGGTTGCTCCGACCTATTCTGATGGAGATTGCAACTTGGATTTCCCGGTTTGACAGGGTAAGCCAATAGCGGACATCTGACATCAACTTTGAAGGGGATTCCGAAAGCCCAGACTCTACTACAACCGACGGCCAATTTTGGCCCGGCTCGCGAGATTATCTTGGGTAAGAACAGCCTGGTTGCCGTTGTAGTTTTGGAATGCAAATTGCAGTCCCATAGCGGTTAGAGCGAAGGTGGTCATGTTGTTAGATCGGGACTTCATTTCTGAATGCACTCTCCCACCATTTTGACGAGTAAGAGGCTAGCCGTTAGATAAAGTGATAGCCGTAGGGAGAGGTTAGGGGCTTCGACTTTGCGGAGCCGTTTTCTACCACGCAATTGGCGGACTTCGACGAGAATCGATTGAATCAGCCTTTTGTCCCAAGCACTTGACATATCTATTGTCACACATGACGATAGGTCAGAAATATTTCATGGTTGTCCTGCGAGATAAGCAGGCGTCTATAAGAATTGGTTAGAACAGAATGCTTGAGAGAATGATCAGATCTGACTTACCAATGAAAGTCACCAGTTTGACCATTCTTTTCATCGTGCATGATCCACGCCACCATCTCTGTGGACTGTTGCCATATCACTGCTTGTAGATATAATTGCTCTAACTCTGCTTGGAGTAGACGTATCGTAGACTGGTGAAGCAACCCCTGGATAAGTTGGGATGAGAGGAGTCTGAGTTGGGGCCTACGTCGAGTGCAGACAGAATGCCGAAATTTTGATCTGAGACTGTATCACAAGGGGAAAAGCACTCACTTGACGGTCAGCAACATAGCATTTTCTGTTGTCAATATTTTTGACGTACGATTAAAGCGAACACAGAGAATTTCCAATCAATTTCGAAACTGGATGGACCAGTTCGCTCGAGTTGGTACTCAAAAAGTCCCAAATCTTGGGGCTATGCCACCCACTAGGGGCACGAGAGGATAGAGGTGGCGTTACCATCGCCAAAAGGAAGCCCAGGGGATTTACTGGGATTTGAATGATATTTTGCAAGGGAGTTGTGAAGGTCGAAGGAGAGAAGTGAGTAAAGTGAGTAAAGTGAGTACGGAGTACATGGGAATGCTTTGGCTCCTTCTTCAGAAGGCTGACAACAGAGGAAGGCACCCAACCAAGTAGAAACAAACATCCGAGACACCAAATATGTACTCTCTAATCATAGTACTTAGCTACCACACCCCCAATGATAGGCTGATCTTTGATTTCACTTTGAACCACACCTCTGTCAACTCCCTCAATCACTCTCGCCTTCACCCACTCGCCAGCAGTGATCCCAAGCGCACTATTGTCAGTTGTCTGATCATACCCCAGACGACGCAACGTCTCACTTACCACAGGCCGCAGTTCGAGGCTATCCTCCGGTCGAACAAAGTACAAAACACCCAGGCGGTCTACGTCCCTCTGATCCGGCGGCGGTGCAACGACGCGATGGATGCTGCTCTTGAGGAACCCATTAGTGAGGAAATGGAGTGAGTCCGCAAGGTTTACTGTGATGCTCTCGGGATACGGCTTGACCCACTTCCACTCGCCCTCGGGTGTGCGAACCTGCAGCGCAGCAACGGGCTGACGGAACAGCAAGGTCATGCTGCCAAAGTCGGTATGGCCCTTGGTCCAAATCCCGCCGGCCTTCTCGTTTTCCTCCTCTGTACGCCTGTGGTACTTCATGTACCGTAGGTGACAGTCGCTTCTCTCGTCGTAGCGATGGACCTTCAGGAAGTAGTCCTCGGGTAGCTCGAGGATGATGGCGAAGAGCGTGAGAAGTTTGCATGCTATCTGGTCATGAATATGGCGTGCGAAGCCCTCGATGATGGGACGATTGTCGTTCACAATGTCCGGCTGCGGAAGCTCAAGGGCTGGGATGAATTTCGGGATGTTGTAGATTTCTGTCTTGTCATAAACACCCGGACTGGTTTCCTAAGTTGAAGGATTAGAGATAATTGATTTCCCGGGTCACAGATTATCGGTTCAACTTACCCGGAGACCCATTGGCTTGTAGCCATTGTAACCACCATTCTCAGTCTCCGCACGAAACTTGAGCTTCTCCTCGATTGGGAGCTTGAAGATCTCCTTGCCAATAGAGAATTGGCGGTCGACATCCTCTTGTGATAGGCCGAAATTGATAATATAGAAGAAACCTAAGGCTTCATAAGTATTCCAAGCGTGCAAAACGGGAGTTGGAATCATGTAGTATTAACCTATATTTTGGATAGCCCCAAAAAGCTGTTTGGCTAACTGCTTTTTACCACCGGGCTCGTCAAACAGAGATAGATCCAAGGTTGCGAGGTCCGCCCAGTCCACTGCATGCAACTCACATGTTAGCGACGGTGTCTCAAATCTCGGCCTCACCAAGATCCTGGATTTTGCAGTAGTGCATGAGTGGAGAATGCGTAAGACCTACGATCAAAAGTAGTCTCGGGGACCTGGCTATAGGTAGGAATATCGGATCCTGCAGGAACTGGGACTGGAGCTGGAGCCGAAGTTGCCATGGCCTATGCAAGATATTGGAAGAAAATACAAGAATGGGAGGTAATCGCAGCAAGTTGTACCAGTATGGTGTGATTATGGAGACAAGGGTGTGCATTGCATTGCATTACATGTGGCAGATGGGGTATATACTCGGTTTTATACCCTGTACTTTTGATCTTCTCGTGTGTACATTTGTATGTATCTATCCAAATCGGGCAAATTGTTGGGATGTGGCGGCCTGGATGCCTGAGCTCTTCCGGGGACTTAGTGCCCCGGGGATGTTGTTGACCACATTGACCTCATCATTTCGTCGATCTCACATCTTGACGCGTGGAACTTTCACCTTTTAACCCCTCTTTCTACCTCTGTTCTAGGAAAGGCACATGAGGTTGGTATACCGCATTCTCCTACTAGCATGAGAAGGAGCCTTTGTGCAACCCCGGCCATTATGCTAGACACAAAACTTGACATTGGTACTGAGATCTCGGGTGGCAGGTTTCTCGGTGATCTAGGACCACCGATTAGAAGGTACCCATACAAGGGAGTAACACAGTTACTACACACTTTGAAGACCGAGAAATGTCGCCAGCAAGAGGATGTTGACGTTAGTGACTGGGTGATCTTCACGAAGGTTAATAGCCAAGCCTTCACTCGCGATTTCCTTAACTCGGAAAGCATGGAGCGACGCTGGAATTCTTATGACTCTCTTGAAAACCTCATCCTCGTCAAGGTGCTAGCTTCCCACCCGCATGAAGCCGCCGCTCGGCAATTTGAAAGACTCTTGTTCCAGTCTCTTCTGCCGATGGGCCTCGACAACTCTCTTCGAACCCTTGGATCCGCCACTTGCATTGCAGAAAACGGCTCCGCTAAACAGCCCGACTGCCAATATTTGCCACGGAGACTCCCTAAAGCTCGAACAGATAAATGGTCCTCGCTTGTGGTAGAATCTGACTTGTCGGAATCGCCTTCTAAGTTAATGTCCGATGCGCGGTTCTGGCTTACGGAATCTAGCGGGGAAGTTCAAATGGTTATCACGATCATGATCGGTCGGAGCACGCCAGAGATCGTCCTGGAGTCGTGGGAACATGACAATGATAGTGCCAAACGCACACAAGTGGTTATAATCGGCAAAGGGGAGAACAATCATCTCTACCTCAGGGGCCAGCCACTTATTATTGGATTCGACAAGCTCTTTCTTCGCCCGCCTAGTACCTCGAAAGAAACGGATATAATATTTGACGACGACATTCTGAAACAAATGGGCACGCTGGTTTGGGTAGAGCAGGAATTCTAACTGTGCATAACTAAACTTGGCTCATGGTGTCTGTTTTGTTTAAACGGCGTCACCAAAAAGACCACTAAGAAGACCACTAAGAAGACCACTAAGAAGACCACTAAGAAGACCACTAAGAAGACTACTAAAACAGACATGACAAGGGCATGTAAGCAGCTAAGTATTCTTGTATACTGCGTACTGCCTAGGTACTAGGTATAAGTCGAGTTAGGGAAAAGGACTAAGGTGGGATGAAGGCCGATTAGACCGATTGTCGTGATCATGAAATTCTAAAAAGGTCCGAGAGTCGAATCAAAACCAACCGACCTGACCGCCACTAAAACCCTCCGACTCCTTACATCCCCCAAATTGGTAGGAACTTCTTGATGCACTTATTTAGATTCAACATTACTCCCTATTTGCGGTACAGTTACTAGCATTTGTACTCGGCTCATCAAGCTTAGAAAATGGGCTCCCTCGACACCCAACCGCCTGCAAGAGCCTCGAGCGACCCCTATTTTGATCTGGGAACATTCAGTCGCAAAGTCAGTACCAACTCCCAGGAAGCCCAGATATGGTTCGACAGAGCCCTTGTCTGGACTTATTGCTTTAACCATGACGAAGCAATCGCCTGTTATAAACAGGCAATCGCCCACGACGAGAACTGCGCCATGGCCTACTGGGGGATATCCTTCTGCTCAGGCTCTAATTACAATAAAACATGGGCGCTGTTCGACGAAAAGAGATCGGGTGAATGCAATCAAGCAGTGTTATATATTTTCTCAAGAAGCGCTGAGGCGGGCAAACAATGCATCAGAGTGGGAGCAAGCGCTCATCAACGCTCTTTCACAACGGTACCCCAACGATGACCCAAGTAGGGATCTTGCCGCATGTAACCGAGCGTACGCCGATGCCATGAGAGAGGTGTATATGAGTTTCGGACGCCAAGATTTCGACATTATCACACTCTTCGCCGACGCATTGATGAATTGTGCTCCGCGAAAGCTATACGACGCCTCCACGGGGCGCCCGATAGCGTCTTCGCCGGTATTCGAAGTGAAAGACCTACTTGATCGGACGTTGAAGATGCCGAAAGTCGAATTGCATCCAGGTCCCGCGCACATGTATATCCACCTGATGGAAATGTCGGCGACTCCCGAGGCTGCCCTGCCGGCAGCAGAGATGATCCGTGAAATGTTTCCAGATACAGGCCATACCTTCCACATGCCTGCCCATATCGATGTTCTCGTGGGTGATTATCGCCGCGCTGTGGAATACAATCTGAAAGCGACCGTCGCAGACGACAAATACTTTCAACAGAATGGCGGCTTGACATTCTACAGCTACTATCGTCTACATGACTATCACTCCCTCATCTATGCTGCGATGCTTGGTGGGAAGTCCAAGGCAGCATTGTCAGCCACGGATCGAATGGAAGCGACTATCACGGAGGAAATTCTTCGGGTCGAAACGCCTGCACTTGCAAACTGGATGGAATTTTTCAAGGCCGTCAGAGTCCATGTTCTGATTCGCTTTGGAATGTGGGAGGAACTCAAGAAGCTCGACACGCTCGAGGATAAAAATCTCTATTGTGTCACGAACGTGATGAGACACTATGGAAAGGCCATCGCGTATGCGGCCACGTCTCAGCTTGAGGAAGCGGACAAAGAACGAGAATCTTTCAAGCTCGCTTCTAAGCTCGTCCCTCCCACACGTCTCGACTTCCCTAACAAAATCACCGACATTCTCAAAGTAGCATCCGCGATGCTCGATGGCGAAATCGGTTATAGAAAAGGCGATTATGACGAGGCATTCTCCAGATTACGGGAAGCGATTACTCTAGAAGACGAGCTGCCTTTCGCAGAGCCATGGGGGTGGATGCTCCCAGCTCGGCATGCATATGCTGCGCTCTCATTGGAACAAGGCAGAGTTGAGCAGGCGGCACAGGCTTATGCTGAGGATTTAGGGCTCTCCCCTACACCGAAACGTGCGCATCAGCACCCAAATAATGTTTGGGCTTTGCATGGATTTCACGAGTGCCTTCAACTGTTGGGTCGTCATGCGGAGGCAAACATTATCAACAAGCAACTTTCCTTGCTCTTGTGGAGGCAGATGTTGAAATCACATCCTCATGCTTTTGTCGGCTTGGGAAATTGCCTTCGTCCTGTGGGAAGTCTGAAGTGAATGGTTGCCAGAGCGTGGAGCCGACGTGCAGAAGCTAGACGAATGAACACTTTGGTTTGGCCAAATTAACAATGCTTTACTGGCTTCTCGCTCATTACATGTAGAGAGGCATAAAATATGGCTCATGCCTACCAAATTAGGCACCAAATATGCGAGGCTTTTATGGGTTTCAGCAACTCCTAAAAAGAATAGATTATAAACACGGGTATGTATTACACAACGGCATCTGCAACTTGCTTGATCATCCCGCTGACCTCATCAACGATACGAAAACAAGGTACCAACTTCCGCGCTACCGGATCGTGCGGGCAGAGATCGAGTGGATCATGATCAACAGCCTCCTCCTTTGTCCGACAACGGCCTTCAGAATCGGGGCAAGCTTCATGGCCCACCATATGGCGATCACGTTGCCGCTGCGCAAACTGTTCACCCAACTCCAAAAGCTTTTCGATATCCATCTGGAGGCCGTGCACGACAAGGTCTCGGAGCTTTTCACCGCTGATTTGTAAATTCAGTTCAGATGGGACGCCAATATAGATGGTTTTGGTCTCGTTGCTGGTATCGAGCTCAGCACAGTGATTATTCAGCCAGCGGATGTACGTTTGATAGCCGGATGTTATTTCGAACATCAGCTGGCCAATAAGGAGCACATTTTGAACGGTCACTCGAGGCGGTTTGGATACATCGTAGCACATAGGACAGATCAGTAGCCTCTCCGTGAGGGACAACCCTGTGCGAAACATCGGGACGATACTGTGTGACACGCTCGCGCGGCTCAATTTCCGGACTAGATCGGAGACCTCTTCGTCGCATTTACAAGACTGTGAGAATGACATGGGAGAGACGTATGTATCCAAGGCTATTGGAGATATCTCAGGGTCTTGCAATCCGTTACGTCGTTCTGTCTGCAATAACTCAATTGGGAAGGGATAAATGTCACCGTTCCCGAGCGTCTCCCAGTGACAGGAATCGAATCCACAGTTCCCGGATAGCTCGTATGGTAATGAGTCGAACTCACCGGCTCCCACTATTGTATTGCCGGCGTCATTCTGAGCAAAGGCCGAGTGAGAAACGACAGCCGATAAATGTGAGGAGCTTGAGGATCCTATTTGGTCGTCTCCGTCCGGCAAATCGAGATCTGGTTCTTCTTGCCGTGCACGCTTTCTCGGCCTTCCAGGGGCTCCTTTGTCTTTGAATTTACAAGGCACTCTTGAGCCTCGGCAGCGAGAGCAACCGCTCTTTTCGCCTGAGCACCTGAGCTTCCGTGCCCCTATTTATCATTAGCCACACATTCAGCGGGACGGAAGAACTGCTCAGCTTACGGCATGTTTCGCAGGAACTTCGCTGTCGAGGATACATACTATGAGTGTGTTAGCTTTATGTAAACGGACATGACCGAGGTCGAAAGCTGACGTGCACCTGGGCAGGTGGAATCGATTGGTCATCCTGCGCTGAGATGGCGTCAACCGAGCTCCGAGCGGGGTACAGAAGGGGCACTTGAGCAACGGCATTCTATGCATCTTTCCCTTGGGAATTAGGATGGGATGTACCAATCGTAGAAAAGAATCAAAACCGAAGTATTGCGTGTCTTTCTGAATACCAATGTTCGAAGCTGTCGTGGCGGATTTTTCCAAAAACCTCCGAGAAAAACCTCCGAGATTCTGTGCAACTCCGCTTCTCTGAGATTTCCATCAACATCTTCTCCATTTTAAATAAACAAGAGATTGTCATCCAAGCATCTGTACAACATGACCAAATATATAACCGCACGCGAGTTGCGCCAGCATTGGGTAAATCACCATGAAATTGCCCTCCTCGACGTCCGCGAAGAAGGTCCCTATTCCGAGGCCCATCCTTTATTCGCACTAAGTGTGCCAGTTTCAGAAATCGAGAAGAAGCTACCTCCACTAGTTCCTCGATTGTCGGCTCCAATTGTTGTCTACGACGATGGTGAGGGTTATGTAGATCGGGCTACTGCCCGGATATTAGCACTGGGGTATCGGGATGTTGCCATTTTGACAGGCGGGCTTTCTGCGTACGCCCTCGTTGGCGAGATCTATCGCGATGTCAATGTACCATCCAAGGCATTTGGCGAGCTCGTTGAATCTATCAACCACACCCCATCCTTATCTGCGCGGGACGTCAAGAATGTTCTGGAGAGAGAGGATGATGTGGTTGTCTTGGATGCCAGACGTTTCGAGGAGTATAATACCATGAGCATTCCCCACGGCCGCAGCTGTCCAGGGGGAGAGCTTTTGTATCGCTTTTTTGAGGCTGTACCATCCCCACAGACCACAGTCGTCGTCAACTGTGCAGGTCGAACACGGAGTATTGTTGGCACCCAATCTCTGATCAATTCTGGAATTCCGAATAAAGTGGTTGCGCTCCGAAATGGGACGATCGGGTGGACATTGGAGGGTTTGGTATTGGAGACAAAAAGGACGGAGCGGGTTCCGAGTCCTTCAGTCGAGGCATCACAGAAGGCACGAAAATACGCTGAATTCTGGGCGAATTACGTCGGCGTCTCTTTGATTGACAGCGACCAGCTCACCCAATTTACCGCGGAGTTTCAAGATCGGACTCTGTACCTGTTAGACGTGAGAGACCCCAAGGAGTACGCTCTCGGACATCCGACCGGCTTCTCCAATGCTCCTGGGGGGTCAATTAGTACAAGCAACCGATGAGTGGGTCGGTGTTCGAGGAGCTCGCATTGTTTTGTACGACACAGATGGCGTGCGAGCGCGCATGACAGCCAGCTGGCTCTTACAACTCGGTTGGGAGGTGTATGTCTTTGAAGAGCGGTCTGGGGTGCCTGATGCACTTCCGTTGCCTAAAGGACCTTCATGGCATCCTTCAAAGGATCGCTCTATCACGATCAATGATCTTCAAAATCTCACAGGAGTGACTGTGGTCGATCTCGCCCGTAGTCCATCCTATCAAAAAGGCCACATCCCAGGCGCATGGTTTGCTTCTGGTCCCGAACTTGCACGAGATTTGGGAGTTCTCGATGGTGATTGCCCTATTGTGCTGACCTCGCCTGATGGCGACGTTGCGGGGATGAATATTGACGAGGCACGCAAGTCAATCTCGCGAGAAGTGCTGTATTTGGTGGGAGGGACAATGGCCTGGGTAGCTGCCGGCCATCCCCTCGAGACAGAGTCACGATGGCTGTCGCAGCCAATCGACGTGTATAAGAGACCGTATGAAGGCACAAGCAACGCTCGCAAGGATATGCAGGGGTATCTTGACTGGGAGTATGGGCTTGTCGCGCAATTGGCGAACGACGGGGTTGCATGTTTCCACGTTGTGCGGGGTCTCGCGTGGGAACCTATCTTAAATACCTAGCTAGGTAGGCACAGGTGAAATTAGGCCAGTAAAATATGTGATTATGTCAGTCCACCCCATAGAAATCTGACGGCCCCGCTTTACCTACCGAGCACGCATGACGCCCCGGAAAAGCTTGGCATTGTTCCATACGTCAGCCATCTTGGTGGCTGCAGCTTGAGAATATTGAAGCAAAAAGGCGAAGAAAAGCTCCATCATCGCTACCAGTATGAGATAAGATTGAGATATGCAGTTTGGAACCTCGATTGCTGTGACCCCTTTTCATCATCAAAGCCACACGCTAAGGCGGAGCAGATCGCTGTCTGCCTTGGCCCACCTGTTCGTATTTCTTAACCATCATGCTCGTCACTGTGAGTCATGCAAGAAATATAAAATGGCCCAGTTACCCCCAACTGACAGCTTTGCACCAAGGAATTTACCTCGTCATTTCCCCGATTTTACAGAATGACAATTTCAACTGCATCCACACCTCCAAACAAGGCGCAACGCCAAGCGTTAGCGGAGGAAACCCGTAGGCTCACTCCGCAAATCATCAGATCTGCAGATGCATCAACACAGGTCATTTACTACCCAACGCAGCTACCACGGCGTGATCCAATTCCAAACGCGAGAGGGCCAAGAATCACCGTCCAGAATAGCGATAGCTTTACGGCCGCCAGAGCCATCCTGGACACTAATCCCACTGCCAAGATTGGGGTCTTGAATATGGCTAGCGAGAAGCACCCTGGAGGAGGATGGCTTCGGGGGGCATTAGCACAGGAAGAGGCGCTATGCTTCCGAAGCACACTGGCTGCGACACTACATAAGCGATTCTATCCTCTCCCGGTGCTTGGTGCAGTCTGGTCTCCGAATGTAGTTGTCTTCAGAGACGAAGTGGCCACAGACGCCCGAATTTACGAGCCCGCAGAAATGTTCACTGTGGGTGTTGTCAGCTTAGCAGCAATGAGGCGACCTCTCTTGACACCAGATAAGCGCAATTTTGGTATGACCCCAAACGAACACACAATGTACGACTAGTTGCTGACACTAGACAGCGCGTCCACAAGACATTCGTACAGTCAGGGACAAAATGAGACAGACTTTACGTGTCCTCGCAGTGAACAATGTCACCCATTGCGTACTTGGCGCAATGGGGTGTGGCGCATTTCAGAACCCTCCATTACAGGTCGCATTGCTTTTCCGTGATGTCTTGGAGGAAGAAGAATTCATGGGCGTGTTTGAAGAAATAACCTTTGCGGTTTTAGATTCTAGGGGCGAAGGAAATTATGCCATATTTAGAGATACCCTGCAGAGTCGTTCGTGACTTGAGAGTCGGTTCATTGAAGATCGGAGACCAGAAGCACCAGGGAAAAGAGGGTTAAGATTGGGCTCTGGAAAATTAACATTTCACTCAAACTCCCTATTATCCATAAGGAACACCTCCTAGTGCGTTTCGTGATTTGGCGGTGAAAAGTCTGATTTGTTATGCTCGCCATAAGGACATCCTCTGAAAAGCGTAGAGAGTACCCGGATTCAATTCATCCGCTAGGGGGAAATGATAACAATAACAGAAAAGGTTTAATATATCACGGCAGCATTCAATCCTATCTTGTGCGTAACATGAGGGATCAGGCACCCGGTGACAGCACCTGTTTGCTATCTAGCAGTAGATATCTAGCTCTCCTCCCTTCCCCCCTCCCTACCCCCCCTCCCTTTTCTCTCTCCCTTTCCGTCTCCCATCCATCAGTCGCATAAGAATATATACACAGTGTTCCTCCTTGTCGCTATCAACTGATTGATAATAAGCACCCTGGTCAAGGGGAAGTGGTATCTGACTCGGCCAGAGTTGGAGAATAAACCAAGGTTCTTGTTTCTGGCCTGGGGGGTATATTATTGTACAGTTATTCCGGTCTGACACAACCTTGGAAGAAATTAAAAGACTGCAGTCTATTAGAAACCCTGGAAGGCGGGCATTTCTTCCACTCTTCCTCTTCCGCTTTTCAATTGGTCTGGCAGAAAGCTCGAATTCTTCTCCCCGCATGCGAAAGGCATAGGAATGAACCCTCTTTCTCGGGTTCCTTCGTTTGAAATAATCACACATTCTCTGCCATGGCTGTCACTGAAAAGGGACCATTTCTACGCCCAATCACCCATGTATGTTTAATCATGACGCGCTCAAGTGACATACTGACATAACAACGCCCAGCCACAAAGTCGTGACACCGATGGAATCTTTCCACTGGATGGAAAGGATCTGGCCTCGGTCACAGATGAGGCTCTGGCAACTCTTATTACAACTGCTCCTATTATCCATCAGCTAGATGGAACAACTGTTGTTCGGCTTTCAGAGAAGTTGATAATGAAGGGTGGTGGAAGTGTCCTGGCCAGTGAAGCGAAAATGCTCAGTCTCATTGCTTCTAGAGCTAGCATCCAAATCCCGCGAGTCCATCGGTCATTTCAGGTGGAAGATGATACGCAATATTTCGGTACATCTGGGTATATTGTGATGGATTCCATCCAAGGCCTACCTCTAGATGAATGCTGGAACGGCCTATCACTCGATACCAAAGGGGAAATCGCCACGCAAGTTGCAGAAATTAGCAAAGAGATGCAGTCTATTGAGCTTCCGCAACCCGGCCCTATTAGTGGAGGGCCATGCCGGGGTTGGTTCTTTACAGATTATAGCGCAGGGACTTTTATGGACACGGCTGAAATGGAAGCATGGTTTAACCACAAGCTCGATATCTGCAAGATAGTCCGTCAAGCTCCAGAAGACATGCCGCCATTCCATTTTTCCAAATTTGTTGTTACGCACCAGGATATCAGTCCTCGAAACCTGATCTTAGATCAGGATAAACAAGTGTGGTTGATTGACTGGGCATACTCTGGCGCATATCCTCCCGCTTTTGAAAGGGCTGCGTTGTTAACTCAGCCGTCTTTCACTGATTTCAATGAAATGGTGTTATCCCTTATTCCACGTTATCCCGAGGAGAAAGTGCAACTTGACGCTATTGCATATGGATTAACCACTGCGGCATTGGCCTAAGACTGCCTTTGCCTGTCCCCTTTAACTTCCAGCACAATATCCCGGAACACTGGAAGGTCTCATCACACAGTTGCTCTTTGAAAAGCTATGCTCCTCGACATTGGCTTGAATGGCTTGGACCAGCTATGACTACTAGTTCTGGTCGGGTTCGGGGTACAGACTTGCTCATCAGGAGCTTGCTCACCGGCCAATCAAGTCTAGAAGAGCATGAATCCTGGAAGAAACACCGCACTGCCTTTGTGGAAGTGCCCGACCCGTCAATGAAAGGGGAAGATCAAGTTAACAGCGTCAGTGGATATTATTGAACACTTTCTCAATGCCCAATTCCTTTTTCTTGCTTTTATTTTCCCACCAGAGCATCAACTGCTTTACTGAGCGTATAAAACCTATCAATGGATATATAGATCTCCATACGAAATACGAAGAAAACACTAGCATCCTGTGCCACATCTTTGGCAATATATCACTAGTGCGATTGCCACTCGTCTGATGAACAGGATTCTACATACAACCTCTGCGGGGCGAGCTTTCTAGGCTAAAACACTAAAGTGCCGAATCCCTGACATCCCGCATTCCTGCCACCTCTGATTGATAGTTCTCTATGCCATTTATATCGACAGAATGCATTTAGCTAAAGTAAAAGATTGAGATTGACTATTCACAGCTCCATAGATACATGAGTAAATTCTCGGAGTATATTTGGAAGGGGTTTGCCACTCCCATTGGAATATTTGATAGTCTCGACACAAGTCCTCAAATTCCACTATGATCCTCCACTCATTGGGCATCGATGATACCGCGTTGACTGGGACAAGGATGGGTGCAAGCAGACATATAGATCCATTGTGAGAAGAAGGAGAACGCAGAATTCTGCTGGAATGGTGGGCGAAGGGAATGACATGGCTTGTTATCAAATTAACTGCACAGGTAAGAATCCATACTCGAACCACAAAAACACCAGCAGCATCTTGTCTATTACAGCAAGACTCGAGGTTTAAATAACCGGTGGAACTTCCCATCTTGTTTCCAGCACTCTCGGACTCCCGGATTATTAGAGCCTAGGCTTCAATTTTCCATACGGTGCGGCAAATCTTCTCCTCTTGCCTCTCTTAGTGTCATTCCGTTGCCCATGAAGCGAAATCTATTCACTGATCTATATTCGATGTCAAAATCCTCCGTCCTAAAACTTTCGAGAATTTCTGACGTGAATTCTTTGCATTAGCAAACATAAGGTTTTCTTATTTCACAGTTAGGGGTTCATCTTGCCATACCTCTAAACTGAAGCCGGCTTCCAGCGTACAGAGCGGTAACGCGCCCGTCTGACTTACCATTCTTGTACCAACTTCGGCATGACCCAGACCACACCATACCCTTGAGAAATTCTTGTGAATACGTGTTATAGTCATCCAGAGCTTCCTGTTTCACACAAATTGACCTATGTATGACAACGTCAGCAGATTTTACGATCACACAACCAGACTCCGAAACATACTTGATATCTTCCGTTGCCATCTTCCGACACCACTTCAATATCCATTTCGCCACGCAGAATATGTTCTCTAGGAGAGAGCCATGACCCACTGCTGGCCGTGAGTAATCTTCCCTTTACTGGCGAGGGGACGCTTACCGGGACTATTGGGACCATTGAAGATGAAATAGTTTGGAGTGTTGGCCGCTGCGATCCCAAAATATGCTTCTGGCGAGTCACTCCATGCGAGATCGAGTTGATGTCCATTCCGCCCTTGCACGGTCCATGAGGGGCGGTAACTAACATCAAATCCAGTTGCGCAGACGATGATGTCGAACTCGGTGTGCTCATGGGTTGTTTGAATCCCAGTTTCTGTAATTTTGACTATTGGGTTGACATTGACCCTCGCATTCTTCTCACGCAGAGCCTCGAGATACCCATCGCCGGGTGTTGCGCGTCGGCATCCAAGCTCATAGTGTGGAATCAGCTTGTCGCAGAGCTCTTGATCATTCCCAAGCCGCTCTCGCATCGATGCATGTGCCTGCGCAAGAGCAGCTTTTTGAGCTGTCGAATCCTTGAAGAAGATGTTGAAGAAGTTGTCTTCACTATATTTGTGTTACTACGATGGGAAAGAATCATTATGCAGCTGCCGGAAGTGTTGACGTACCTGCGCTCAATCTCCTTACGAAGCTTAATGAGCGAGGCAGGGTTATCACAGAACCCCTTCTTTTCTTCTTCGGTAAATGCAAAATTGGTTCCGTCTTTTGTAAGCTCAGCCGCATGGTTAGAAAATATCCATGTAGGGGAACGGATGTAGTTGGTCAACTGAGCCGCGGTCTTCTGCAGCTGTGGGAACACTTGGATAGCGGAAGCGCCGTTGCCAATCACCGCGACTTTCTTGCCTGCCACATCGATAGAAGTGTTCCTGGGCCACTTTTGTTAGACCAATGAGGTATACCGACACGAAGGCAGAGAGACACACCAATTTGCAGTATGAACAAGCTCCCCTTTGAAATCATGAAGACCCTCGATACCAGGCCACTTCCAGTTACTAGTATGATTAGTCTTATGAAACTTCAATGGTTGCTTTGTTCATACTTCATGAAGCCCGACCCGTCGATCAATATGTTACATTCGTCTTCTTTTTCTTCGCCATCTTGTCGAATCTTGAGGCGCCACTTACTCGAAGGCTGGTCCCAGGTCGCTTGGACTACTTTCGATTGAAGTTGGACATGTTCAGCTAGACCATACTTATCTGATGTTCTCTTTATATAGGACCAGATCTCGGGGCCTGAAGCGTAAAATGTAGACCAGTCCGGGTTGGGCTCAAAAGGGAAGGTGTAGATATGGGCAGGAACATCGCACTAAGCTCTCGAACGTCAGTTAATAAGGCTGTTGAATATATCATCGAATAACGCACCGCAACTCCAGGATATCTATTCTCCAGCCATGTTCCACCAACGTCTTCATTCTTGTCATAGATGGTCAAATCGATAAAGCCTTCAAGAGCCTTATTGTATTTAACCTCATATGCTGTCATCAGACCGGAGTACCCGGCCCCGACACACACAATGCGTATGCGTCGAGGTTTGTATGCGGGCTCTTGCAATAAAGGAACCCAATTCTTCGCATCGTGTAAAGGATTCAACGCCGACTTGGACGCCTCTAGAGAGCGTTGATTAACTTCAGGCACCATGTTAGACTCTATGGCGAGCTTTCACTGGGACTTGGGGTTAGCTTTAGTTGAAAGTGTAGGAGAGAAAAAAGAGTAAAATGCAGAGTTGGGACGGAAAATGGCGGAAAATGGCGGGAAATGGCTCACGTAGCCGTATTTGGCGTTAAACAGGCAATGGTATTACGCCTGACTATGTTTATACTGGAAGGAACAGGGTATCCGAGCGTAACCGGATCAATATAGTTGGGTGGCAATAGGCTGGCCCCACAGATACATGGCAGGGGCGGCGATGTCTGTTCCGCGGGCGGCACGGGCCGGGATGGAGCCAATATCACCACTAGCGTTATCGGCCTGGACGCGTGATTGGTCCGGAATAAAGGTAGTGGGTTGCCGTCCAAGGGTGCCGGGCGGGGAATATGCGGGGTTCGGATGTGGTGGCATAGTATAGCAAAATACACCGTTATTTTTATGAGATATTTATCCGGGCGATCGATGCATGCTCTGGCCAGCCATTTACCCCACCACGACAGTCCGGCCGAGAAGGGACGCTAATGTACATACACGTACTTGCCTTTTTTTTATTGGTAATACCAATACTAAGAATTGTTACTAATCAGATTCTAGTATACAGCTCATTGCATTTTCTATATTTATTTTGTTGTATGGATTCGAAAGAATACTATACGTATTACTGGTGGTATGTATATAGTAGCGTCCCTTCTCGGCCGGGCTGTCGTGGTAGGGTAGGGCGGGGAATATGCGGGGTTCGCGGCATAGTATAGTAGAATGCGCCGTTATTTTTGCGAGATATTTATCTATTAGTCCCTTAAATAGGTGGATATGCATGACATCTGGCTATAAGGATAGGTTTCTATTAGTCTATTATGCAGGTAGGCGGATATGCCCGTAGCTAGCCGGGCGATCCATGCATGCTGTGGCCAGCTATTTAGGGCGGGGAATACGCGGGGTTCGGATGTGGCAGCATAGTATAGCAGAATGCAACGTTATTTATATGAGATATTTCTCTATTGGTCCCTTAAATAGGTAGATATGCATGACCTTGTATGAGGAATTTTGATCTAGAGGGACAGGCAATTATTGCGCGGTCAAGCGAGCACTAGGGCTAGTGAATATGCGGGAAAATCCATATAGAGCAATCATAATATGCGTGATATGTACAGGCTTGACGACAGTTAGTATCACAAGACCCTTCACGATATCACCGAGGTAGTATTGGCGGTACGGCTCGAGGGCCTGGATGTGGGAGTCGGCGATATTCCCGGTACGTGATCATCGTAATAGCGAGGCCAGTCGGGATAGTAGAGACGATTGGTCGAGGGTGCAAGCGATGGCGAAGTCTGGAGTCGCGGAAGGGACACCTTCTGAGTAAGGCAGACTGCTCATTCAGAACAAGGCAATGGATCAAATATGCCTATATAATCGTATGAGAACCCCAGATAGACTCCTTATTAAGATTCAAGTTCCTGATCTCCCTCCTACATCGCTATACTGCTATATCCTCTGTACAAGGTGCAATCTTTTCGACTACAGACCCAGGCTAAACTATTATACCACTGAGAAGCCGTTCCTTACCTTGGGTTTTTCTCATTCAAAGCCATGTTGCAGAAACAAGAAGCAGTAACGCAGCCACGCCTAGAGCGTCTCGAGAAAATGCTCGGTGATCCTCTCTTCGAGAGCATACTCTGGGGCCACGAGTACGACCTAGGTGGACTAAACAACAGTCTGCGTGTTAAGATCGAGTCCGGGCAGTTCAAGAGGATTGTGTTCTATGGGATGGGATGCTCCTCGGTGGTGTCCGACATTGTCAAGGGCTTCTTTCTGACGGAGCGCATCCCGATACACGTCCAGGTTGTCAACGACTACGACAGCGACTGGTTTATCGACAGAGACACCTTGAAAGACGATTCCACGCTGACAATCATCGTCTGCTATAGCGGCTGGTCGGTCGAGCCGTGCCTGTTCTTCGAGACCATGCGAAAGATGACAGGAAACAGAAACCTGATTGTTCTATCTGGAGGCGGGAAGATTGCCTCTCTGTGCAAGGAGCAGGGCACCTCGTTGGTCCAGTATAAGCTAAGACATGCCGACCGGGAATACCCGCTCTATCACGTTCAGCAGTTCTTCTCGATATTCCTCGATCTCTTCCACAAGCTGAAGATCACAAAGTCCTCATACCAATCCGAGCTTGAGGACTCGGTCAAGTTCCTGAAAGCCGAGTTCCACGAGGAAACCCTCAAGCGAGCAGAGGCCATTGCCGAGAAGCTGAGGGGTAGCCGGATCGTCCTGCTGAGCACGGCGGACTGGTACATCACCCTCCTCAAGCAGACAACCATGTTTTTCAACGAAATCGCCATGGTTCCGACTCACAGAAACCTCCTGCACGAATTCTCCCACACCGAAGTGGCTGCCTATTCCGACCCGGCCAACAAGCAAGCCATCGTCACCTTCTGCGACTCCAATGCCGACGACTACACGAGGAGTAAGATCCAGACCCTGGAAGGGCTGTTCGGTAGAAAGGAAGTCCCTCAGAACCGTAACATCGAGTTTGTCAATATCGACATTAACCAGGACAATTTCTTCAAAAAGTTCTTCTTTACGCACTTTTTTACAATTTATATTGCGTATTACCTAGGGAAATACTCCGACGTGGAGGGGAGAGACTTGATCTCGATCGCCGCGAAGAACCCTTGGTGGAGCCAGCGCTCGATCGAGCTGTTCCCCAAGTGTATCGATATCCCTTCGGTTCTCGAGTCCTAGAAGGCTGGTGACAACCTACACGAGCCAGCAGGATTGCAGGTGAATGGATGCTAAACCGTTTCTCTCTTTTCAACAAAGGGAAATGCTATTTGCGCTGTTCTCTCTCTTCAACAAGGGGAAATGCTAGGATATTCTAGTTATGTTACATTACGATTATTCTGAAATGAGTCCATATTCAAGATTCTATTGTCCTAACCCGGGCTGTTTATTAGGAGATGCTCTCCTGTGCGACCTCGAGTAAAATTCGCCCACTGATCGCCACTGTAATAGCAAATCATATAGGATCACTTGGCCCGATTTGGAACATGAAGCATTGAAGATACTCTGACACGAGATGTATTGTCTATTTGCCAACATTTGTTACATGATGCGCCTTTGAAATATATACTTTAGATGCAGGAATAAGTCCATGAGCCATGCCGCAAAGACAAGCATAGTCATGACTGTTGCCACCCAGGCTATGGCGTTGGATTCCAGCTCCTCGCCAATGCGAATCGTGGCAATTGTGAAGCCAACATTGGGGAAGATAATGGCCCACCAAGAAAGTGTGAAATTCATCTGTGGCTGCGACATACTATTGCCGTATTTGGGAATCATAATGGGCAACTGAGCGACCAGCGCAATCGCGAAAAGCCAGAATGTGAAGAGCCAAAGGAATATGCCTATCCACAATGCCACGACGTTCAGGGTTTCTGAAGCAGTAGGGTGCTTCGCGAAGTATCCGTATTCGTTGGGGATCGCCTTGGCGCACCCAATGAGAGCCACAATGGTGTATCCTGATGAACCTACTGATATGAAGAGTCCGGGTCTCTGGTTTGCCGGGCCGAAACCATTGATAAGCATGTTGCCCACGAAGAGCGGAAGAAACAACATGCACAACATCCACCCAAGACCCTGAAAAGCAATGCCGGCAACGATGATGGCCATTCGTTGTGAGAAAGGCTGATATGCTGCGATAGACGACGCGACAGTGCCGGTCAGCATGGCATTATAAATCATCAGAAACATTGGTGGACTCATGGTGCCAGGCTCGAGGGGGGCAAACGACAAACATGACGACGAAGATGACGATATTATACGCCAGGGTGATAGCAGCATAGGTCCAGAAGAGGACCCGGACAGCGACGATGAGCCAAGAACCGGCGTGAGGAACACCGAAACGCTGCATGCATATGATGATGGTCGCCATCGAGAGCCATAGAGAGCCTGTGAAGTAGGCTTCCGGGGGGTTGGTGAGGGATTTGCGTAAGTTGGAAGGTCTCTGTACGAACCGACAGATAATGGCTATGGTGAAGAGGACGAACAGAACTAGGTTGAGGATGAAGACTACGACACCGGCGGTCTGCAGCCCGCGAAATTGATGGGGGGTTTCGGACAGGAGAATGGCCACGCCACCGGTAGACTGAGTGCAGGTGAAGTTAGCCCATGTGAAGCGATTGAGCAGTCGAACCTCCTTAGCGGCGCTTTCGTCTTTGGGTTCCGCATTGTCAGGTCGAGCGGCGTTCCTCGTTGAGGCTTCATGCTGCTCTTCGTCTGGCATAACGACTCCGTAGGGACTAAAGGTAGGGTCTCAACTGTGCGGAAATGGCTGATTTCCGAAGAATGAAAAGAAACGAGGTGCGACGTTGCAGATGGCCGGGGGTAGAAAAAGCTCGCGAGGGGTAGCTATGCAGGGAAGCGTACTCCGTACCTAAGCGAGAATCTAATGGCGGGTGGCACTACAGGGATGCCCCGAATTCCTACGCGGGCGCCCGGCACAATTAGCCTAGTTTTCTGCCACGACTCCAAATTCCTACGCGGACGCCAGAATAGGATACATATCAAAAATATTAAAGCATTTGGGCTTATTTTATTCCCATATTCTTTCAGATTTTAGAACCCCCTATACTATAACATAGTAACTTGATATATAGAACTTTTAAGGGCGTCAAAGGTGAAACTGGTGTGCACATTCATCGTCTTGCGAATCAATCTGGCACGATAGAGAGGTTTTGTGCCAATAAGGTTGTTCAATAACCGGTTACGATACCCGCCCCTTTACTTATACATGCCGCTACATCTTACATTCGAAATTTGTTCTCACAAGACGTCTTACAAGACGTTATGAAGATGTATCCAGAGAAATATGATTGCAAGACGTTGATTTCGTTAGTTGTCGTCGAGCATGAGCATTTGACGATCTAAAACTTCCAAGGCAGTCACTCAGATGACCCAGGATTGCGTGTGGGCTTTCCTTTTCCCTCCCCAGCAGAACTATTCAACCAACTCAAGTATGATTGCCAAAAAACAGAGAATATCGATGTCACAATCGATCGAGACTGGGGTTTGATATATGAAAAGTTGAATGCCGTCACCAAAGGCCAATATAGAAAGCTTCTGGGAATACTTATAGATGCTGTATTCTTCACTCTTTCAATTGCACCCCAAAGCCCCTCCCCGGCGAGGAGTCCATGGAACGCAAAAAAACAGACATTGAATATCGGGGTGTAAAGGGTTTGATTGGCAGCTACCTTCGCCCCCAAAGACAGAGAGGATGAGCTGTAATTGAACCGCCGCCCTAAGAACAGGAACCATTCGTGACTGGGAATTGCGATAACAAGGCCGATGATGACACTCCGCAGCGAGCGATGATAGTCGAAATCATCGTCTCCTATCATTTGTGCTGAAAAATCACCAAGACAGAATATCAGCGGTGTAAGGCACAGTTGGGTAATATATGGTCGTCGGCTTTGAGAGTGTGAAAACCAATCAAATAGTGATGCAATGGGTCTCTGAGGTTTTCGGGACATCGGCCTCGGAGTTGTATCACGAGGAACAGCATCTTGTTTTGTTCGGAAATTTGTGGCTTGAGTGTGGTGACAGTTCACTGGGATACGACTCGGTAGCCTGAGACGCAACCGAGTGAGCATGACTTCGTGTCGAAGATAAGGATGGGAACAGGCGAGAAGAATCAAATCAGTCGGATGGGACTTATTACTTTATGGGGACCGCAACTCGAATTTCCGACATACCAAAAAAAGGCGGTACTCTCAATGTCCGAAAAGACATAAGGGGTGGAGTTGATTGCGAAGGTGTATAGCGCTTAGGGGTCAGTTTGAACAGAAATCATACCAGGGGGACCCATCTGACCTCTCGCTTTACTCCCATGGTCAGTGCTTATGTTTACGTCCCTGGGTTTTGCTTATAGGAACGCGGTATGGTTTTGAAATGTATGGTATATTTGGTTAGATCATCCCGTTTCGGAATGAAATATATGGTGTTAATAGATGGCCCATGACTACGAAACCGTTGTATCTACTGGTATATAGGTTTTAAAACCATAATAGTAATAAAACTACTGGCAGGTTCTATGACTATTGGTAGGTTTTAAAACCACTAGTAGGTATCAAAACTACTGGTAAGTATTAAAACCATAACGGCTCTAAATTCTTCGCAACTATTTTTAGATCGATCTCAATGAAGACTGCCCCAATTTTAGAACTAAAACCGAAAATGGCCTAAGCCTTTAGAGACGTCGTCCCCTACACTATTTAGATGCAAACAAAACAAACTAGAAATTTCATAGAAAGGTAACGCATGATTGGTTCACCATTACTCCTACTTAGGACGGGCAGTTGCCTTCGTAATTTAATATTTGGCTGGATTAAATGATAATTTCTGCTGTATGGCCAAACTATATTTAATGGCTTTGGACGAGAAAGACATATTCCGTATTCAACCTCGCACTTCCAGAGCGACGAATTCCGTTAATACTGTATGGCGTAAAGACAAGACATTTAGAGCTTTATAGAAGGTGGATATGTACTTTTACCTGCCTGACGCATAAGTATAAAGTACTATAGTGCATAGTCAAAGAGTCAGAAACATACACAGGAGTCTGTTGATGAGACACCATTTCCCAACCTTCCGGTACTTCTTTTTTCATACAACGGCGCCATATGCTGGAGCAAAGAGCATTGAACACCGCTTTATCTTCTCCGTCTCCCACCTCTCGTTCAGCAGTTACCCTGTACACAATCAGTGCACATGTTCCATTGCTGTCGACGGGAAGCACTCGAGCATCAGTTATAGTGTATTTTTTCCACGGTTGAAAAGCGTCGCCGGACAGAGCGGATCGGAGAGTTTCGTCTGCAAGCATCATCCCGCCTGGGAAGAGCATCACGCAGTCCCTTGCGAGCAATGGGATGAGAGCGACTCCGGACTGGCAAAGTGCATTCCATGCGCTGGCCTCGCAATTATGAATTTCGGTGGTATCCATGGTGATCGGTAGAAGAATTGCAAAGAATGATAAGGTGAATCCAAGCTCAAAGCCGATGCCTGTGAGCAGTGAAGCTTATTAATCAGCAATACGACCTCGGAAGGTACCTACCTAGGTAGGTACCTAGGTAGGTATATGCCTTGATCTACCCGAAAAATATCTTGGCTTGATTCAGAACACGATTTCAATCACCCCCGCCGAGATGGTTTGTCTAAATCCCCATGGAACCATCAGGTCGGCCATACCAAAAGCAGCACGGGTCAGCGTAACTTGTTTGGAAGCGAAAGTTCAAAATATTATTAAATATTGATATATATGTCATTAATCAAAAATTTGGGAAATCTCGCACGTCCCGAGGCCAGTGCGGGGTAAACGGAGCTCGTAATCATATGACCCACCAATTAAATTTAGTTAAAGAGCAACAAATAGTGACTATTCGATAGAAACTCGCGATACAGTACTATCTCCCGTGCAAAGCTGTCAATATTTCTGCTGACCTAGGGATCTCGCAGGGGAGGTCACGTGACCTCCAACACCTGAACTTATTTTGGAAGTCGGCTAGACCAATTATCAGCAAAAAAGTCCAAGACTGTGAGTGTATTATGGTATCGTGGATTTCAACATCATGCCCGATTATATTCGCAAACAGGGCTAGACTATTCGTCAACTCGCGCAGCAGAAGATATCCCCGTTGTTGACTACTTAGTACCGACTTAGGCAGACAGCCCTACTTCGATGGTGTTCTACCTGGGGTGTGAACAGTGCATTAGCCGGACACTGTTTCAAATTCCCGTGCTCGTGAGCTATCAAGCCCATCCCAAACCATGAGCACCGACCTCCTACACCAAGTCCAGTCGCAGCATCTCTAAGCTCTTCGATTACGAGGCGACGGGACGTCTCCACTATTCGAGACAAGTGATCCAAACTGGCCCAAGCTGGGCTTTGAGATGGATGAATCCCCTTGCTCTTTCCCCTATGAAGTTGATGTCTCCCTACGGTTTCATTTAGGTAGCTCTACAGCAGACAAGAGTTCAAGCATTGCCAAAATAGGGTATCAGATTATATGCTATACCGCCTAGCAATACGCTGCTAACTTCCAAACCCACCATTTTAAATCGGGGGCTGGCCTCATTAGAACATAGATGAATTCAGTCCAATCTATGAACCTTTAAAGTACGTACCTTGCATCATTCACGAGCCCCCACTTCCCATTCTCCAATCAAAACCGCCTTGTAGGTATCAGTCCCACTAAACATCGTCCGCGGGCATGCCAAGCTAGTAGTCAACAAACCTCCTTCTCCAGGGCTCGTATAGGGGACCACAGTATACAGAGAGACGTACCTGCTTTGTCTTGCGGTTTAGCCACGTGCAGTTACCAAGAGTATTAATCCAAACGTGGTGTGGAGCTTCTAAGGTTTAAATATTGGACCCTTGAATTTTTGACACGAAACTTTGTTGAGATAATCGTCAAAGGTCCAGTCCACGCTTGATGTTATGTATGCTCCTTGAATTTCGGCAGGTTTAACATGTCCTATTTTTCCTTCCCTGATGTATCGATACTATAACATTAAAACTCTTCGGTGATGGCCGGGATGAGCAAAGTGCATATGTAGGGAGTGAGGTTCGAGAAAATGGCGTCTTTGCTTCCAAAGCCTGTGAGGGTGATTCCCAAGGTCTCTAACCCTGGAGTTCTCGATGAATTTCATTTTTTTGTTTGCTGGAAATACACCCGTGGGCCCGCGGACATGACCCGTTTCTATATGTAGCAACCGCCTTGGCATGGCTTGGTGAAATGCTTAGCACTTGCTTTCGAATCCCGCAGGGTTCCCAAGCTTAAATAGCTGCCCAGGTGAGCATATTGCTGCTCTTTATAAATTACGTTCACACTCATTTTACTGTTAAATCTTCTGTCTGTAAAGTGTTGGTATTAGTTCACGCCAGTTCCTATCACTCAACGGTTTCCTAGCTCGAGAAATCAATGTTCGCCCTAGGCCCTTTTCTGGGATACGATCAAAGTATATGGATCGGAGGTTGATCACAGTGATCATCAACGTCGTCAAACTCAATGATTGCGGTGAACTAATATAGAAACCTTGTCCTGTTTTGACATATGTACTCCGTACTCCGTAGTTAGGAGAAATCGACTAATTTCGGTGAAATATAAACCTTAATAGGTGTCTTGTCCACTTCTATGATCACATCTACCCTCGTGTTGGCGACTTGTCCATTTACTTCATCATTGAAGGGGATTTCAAGGTTAAATAGGGGTGACGATAATTTATATCAAGTATCCGTGAACTATATAAATGGTCCATAACCCCCAATTCAATTCAAAACAGCAAAGCAAAATCAACACTCGCAAACAGAGTTAATCTCTTGGGAATTACAGTCACCATGCATCTCAATTCATTCGTTGCCCTCAATGCGCTTGCTGGCGCAGCTGTGGCATCTCCGGCTCCCGCTCTGCACCCCAGGCAGACCGACCTCGGGACCTTCATCCAGACTGAGAAATCAATTGCCCTTCAGGGAGTTCTCAACAACTTCGGCCCCAATGGCAACCTCTCTCGGGGGGCAGCACCTGGTGTCGCTATCGCCGGAAATTCTGAGATAAACCCTCCTTGTATGTTTTACTTCGTATTTCAACACGCAAAGAACGTGTAACGGAGACTGATATCTCCTAATTCCAGACATCTACACCTGGACCCGTGATACCGCCTTGACTGTGATGTCCCTTATCCACGAGTTCCTCGCAGGAAACTCGTCCCTCGAGGAGCTCATCCAGCAATACGTCACCACGTCGGCTAAGATGCAGACCGTCAATAACCTGTCGGGCGACCTGTCAGACGGCGCTGGCCTCGGTGAGCCTAAATACAATATCAACGTCACTGCTTTCAACGAGCCTTGGGGCCGCCCGCAGCCCGATGGCCCTGCCCTGCGTGCATCGGCCCTCATCGCGTACGGCAACCATCTGCTTGCTAAAGGCCAGCAGGCTAAGGTGTCGGAAAACATCTGGCCTATTGTCAGCAACGACCTGGCATACGTCGGCCAGTACTGGAACCAGTCGGGCTTCGACCTGTGGGAGGAGGTTAATGGCACCTCTTTCTTCACCACCGCCGTCCAGCACAAGGCCCTTGTTGAGGGTAAAGCCTTTGCGACCGCCCTTGGTAAGTCCTGCACCGCTTGCACCGTGGCACCGCAAATCCTGTGTCATCTCCAGGACTTCTGGAACGGCACGACACTGATCTCGAACTCGCCTACCAACGGTCGCAGCGGTATTGACGTCAACTCCGTTCTCGCCTCCATCAACACCTTCGACCCTGCCGCTGCATGTGACGATCTCACCTTCCAGCCTTGCTCCGCCCGTGCCTTGGCCAACCACAAGAAACTCATTGACGGATTCCGTTCTATCTACGGCATCAACAAGGGCAGAACCACTGGCAAGGCAGCCGCTGTGGGCAGATATACCGAAGACATTTTCATGGGCGGCAACCCTTGGTACGTATTACGGCCTGGATATACCATCATTTGGAATTTTGATTAGCTAACATTAAACAGGTACCTGGCCACCCTTGCGGCCGCTGAGCAGCTTTACGATGCCCTATACCAGTGGGACGGACAGGGTGCCATCACTATCACCACTCTCTCCCTGCCATTCTTCCGCGACCTCGTGGCCAATGTCCACACTGGCGTCTACCCCAAGTCATCTCCAGCTTACAAGTCTATCACTGACGCTGTGAGAGCCTACGCGGACGGTTTCATCGCAGTCGTGCAAGAGTACACCCCTGCCAATGGCGGCCTGTCGGAAGAATATGAGCGCGACACCGGCGTCCAAAAATCTGCTCCCGATCTCACCTGGTCTTACGCTTCCTTCTTGACTGCCATTGCTAGACGCAACGGTTCCGTGCCACCGTCCTGGGGGTCTTCTTCCGCACTTGCGCTTCCCCAAAAGTGCGGTCCCACCACTGTCCAGGGCACCTATGCGGCTGCCACGCCTTCTTCGTGGTAAACTACTATACCGAGGGGGCTGATATTTCCAGGGTAGATTAAGAGATGTAGGAAGAGCGGTACTGAAAGGGATGCAAAGTCATCGGTGATGAAATTGGATATTATGTAGACTAGGCTAGAATATAGATGTGCAGCTGCTGACCGATATATTTTCAGGAAGTGATGCACTCCATAGATGTGAAAGGATAAAAGTACTGGAGATTTAAGTACAGTAAATCTATATTATTGAGAGTTTAACCATGAAGTATTCGACTGCCGAGTATCGCGTGACATTGTATTCCGATGCAATATTTGACAGTAATTGGGGTTGGCGGGTTGGACCTCGGAAGACTGGCGACCGGCCAATCACGGAAACCACGTGGAACAACAATCCCCGAAAGTTAATTGGAGAATTGAAATTCGATAAACAAATTGACAGTTCAGTAGCATCACATCTGTACAGTAACTGTACTTACCTACGCGGTAAGGATCAGTTGCAATCGGGTATCTCCACACGTCGAGTACGAGAGGTTGAAGTGACCCGTGGATGCACTACCCCACAAAAAAGAGGTTCCGATCAACCATGAAGAACTTCATCGGAGCCATCTTGGTGACAGTAGCTGTTACAGCTACGGCGACTAGCGCATCTGCTCCTGCACCGGTCCCAACTGGATCGAGCTATGCATCTGGTTTTGACATGACCAAGAGCTGGGCCAATCTCAGCCCCTATAAGGACGCAGATAGCTTTGGCGTCCCGAGTGGTGTGCCGCAAGGGTGTGAACTGTCTCAGGTGCATGTTCTTCACCGCCATGCGCAGCGATTCCCCACGGATTATCCGTTGGACGGCGAGGGAATGACCGACTTCGCAGCCAAGCTGACCAATTACAGCAAAGCTAACCCAGACAAGACCGTGGCTGTGGGTCCTTTGAAGTTCCTGAATAACTGGGACTATGTTCTTGGCGAGGACACACTTATGGAGAATGGTGCTGCAACTGAGGCTGCATCCGGTGCCAACTTTTGGATCAAGTACGGAAGACTGTTGTACCGTGCTGGACGTGAGAATGTAGCTGCTTGGAGCCCATCTCTTAACATTTACCCCAACGGCACAGACCGCCCGACACCGGTGTTTCGCACTACCTCCCAGGAACGTATTCTGGAAAGCGCACGTTGGTGGCTCAGTGAGTGGAACTATCATGTCACCGATCAGTCCTGGATAACCAACTAACCTCTTTGACTAGGCGGTTTCTTTGGCAACAGTGGAGCCAACAGCTCTTATGACCAGTATGATCTTGTCGTGATCCCTGAGCAGGCTGATTTCAACAACACTCTCGCTTCTTACGAAACGTGCACGTTTGATTATACTGAAGGGTGAGCGAAAAGTCCTCCGACAAAGAATGTGTAATCATGAAACCGTACTAACAAAAAGCCACAGCGACAACGCTGCTAAGATCTTTATTCCTCGATACACAAAGGATGCTCGCACCCGTCTGTCCTCCTACTTCCCTCCCGACTTCAACCTGACCGCCATGGACGTTCTTGCTATGCAGAACCTCTGTGTCTACGAGTACACCAGCCTTGGTGGCTCATCATTCTGCTCTCTTTTCACCGAGCAAGAATGGAAGGACTACGAATACAACATTGATGTGCAGTACTATGGAGACTACGCCTATGGCTCGCCGAGCGGTCGCGCCCAGGGAATCGGCTACGTTCTAGAGCTCGCCGCTCGCCTCGAGCAAAAGCTCATCACCTCAAGCGATACAAGCATCAACTACACCTACACCAATAACGAAGCCCAGTTTCCATTTGGCCAGCCCTTCTACATGGACATGTCTCACGATGATATCATCTTGTCCGTGATCAACGCCCTTGGTCTCGACTACTTCAGGTACGGTCCTAAGGGTTTGCCCGTGGACATTGACCATGCGCCTGAGCGCAACTTCTCTCTCAGCCAGATGACACCCTTTGGTGCACGATTCGTGTCTGAGATCTGGACTTGCCCTCACGACGTGTCATTCGATTACTTGGATCCTGTTCTCTACACCAACCCTATCATCAAGTCGACTGCCAAGACCACGGAGTACATTCGTTTTGTGCTCAACAATTCTCCTCTCCCGCAAGATGGACTTATCGGTTGTGAGGATTCCAGCAATGGTTTCTGCCAGCTCGATAAGTTCTTGCGTGGCGTGCCCACTCTGAAGGACAAGGCACAGTTCCAGAAGGCATGCTTTGGTAACTATACAACCGGAAGCCAGGTCGGGGATGGTGCTCCTGAATCTTAGACCGAACTAAGAGGGCGATCTGTACATATGCACATAAGTCCATCTTTATATGCCCTGTACATATATCATTTACTATACCAGATAAGAGTAATAAGCCTTGTAAATATCACAGTTAAGCTCATAACTTGAGAAAATACAGTATTTCGGATGGGTTTTCGTTGCATGATGAACATGCATATACGAGCCCTTTGCAGGGTAATCGCTTTAATCATTCATGTCAGGCATGAACACAGTCTCCCTAGGCAATAAATAGATACCCGGTGGAGTGCTATCTTCATTAACATTTATGCTGATCCAAATTCGCCCAAAGCTAAGCTTGCGCTGGCTGAGTCTCCTTCATTTTTTGCTTATGAGTTTGGCGGTTCCTACCGTGGTATTTACCTCCACGGCTCACCATACCCTAAGCGTCGGAAACGGTTGGGTGGCCAGTCTGTGGTGGAAGAATGGTAACGCCCTAGAGGACAGACAGCATATATATTCAGTTCGCTGCTGGCATAGAAGGATGGGCCTTCAGATTCCCCACGCGCCTAACGGATCCGAGCCAGAGTTCCCTCGCAACTCTTGTAACTTTTTCACGCGTTTGACGAGGGTACCCACACAAATTGGCCCAATAAGCGTACAAATAGATATCGCCCAGATGATAACCAAATAGATCTCAGATATCTCACCAGAGGACCCGCTTGCGAAGAGGCCTTGGCTTTGTGAGAGTGAAGCGATGAGATATCCAACCTCTCCTCTTGCAACCATGGCCAATCCGAGAATCGATGAAGGGTATAACGACTTCGGCTTCGGAGGGAATGTCACCGCTGAACTTCGTCGTGAGGTTGTTGCTTGAGGTTCATCTTGAGACTCAGGCTGACTGGCTGGTTTCTCACTAGGCGAAGACCCATGATTCTTGGTCATTTGGTTTTGGGTGTTTGATTGGCTATTCGAGACGCCTGCGGAATCCTCGGATGATTGAATGGGGGTTTCAACTGCGGTCTGTTGCTTTCCTTTCTGTAATTTATCGGTTCTCTTAGACACGCAGAAGAGGGGAATGCGAGAAAATGGTCTTTTCAGTCCACTTGCGAAGCTCGAGAGGGGACGCAAGGAGAAGCGGACGAGCCAAATACCAGTAATCAATTTTGCGAACATCATCAGAAGGGCATAAATGACGCCGCGCCAAACTACATTTCCCTTAAACATCTCGGTGATAGGAATTGCAAACCCAATCGATGCCTATTCTTTACGTTAGTGAAGTGAGGACGGATATGAGACGAGACACTCACGAAAAACAGCGGTGTCAGAATTCGAACGACTGGCTGTTTATAATATTTCTCATAAACCTTTCCCCCTGTTGGTGATTCATCACACCGTGTACTTGTAGAAGCTGCATCTGAAGTCTGGCACTGTCCGCTCAGGGAAGGGGTGCCGTTGTCTTGGGCTCCGGGGTTTGAAGAATTAGGGTCCTTGCGAGGAGTGTCCGGAGGAACAGTGCCAGGTAGTATCTTCAACTCTGCGATCATGCCATCAAACCATGTAACAATAACACCCGCAAGGTAAGCCGCAAATAGACTTGACGTGCCTGCATAAGTCGCACCGGCAACAATTCCCACCAGAAAGGCTGTCTGGTATAAAAATGCAAACTGCATGCTTCCCATGAAATTAGGGATTTTCGGCTTAGCAGAGATAACTCTCTTGAAAACCGGCCTGATGAAGCATGCGCATAGAAGGTAAAGACCCACGGCAAGACCAATAGAAACGAAGACTGGTCGGATAACTGTCACCGCAGTAAAGGACGACCCGCCAAGATTTGAAATGATTTGGACCATAACGAGACCGACGACATCATCTATCATTGCAGCATTAGTAGTAACTGTACCCAGGCGCGTAGAGATCAGATTTGTTGTCGATAGGATCGTAAAGGTAGTGCCAAGGCTCGTTGCGCTTAGAGCGGCACCTGCAGCAAAAGCTTGCAATGAGGTTGCTCCGACTAACTCCTTAAGAATGAAGGACAAGCCCATCGGCGCTCCAATTCCAGTGATCGCAACGCAGAGAGAAACCATCAAGTTTGCTCTCACGGACTTGATCGATGTTGATAGACCGCCTGATCGAACGTAAGCAGGGAGCACAATTTAGAACTTGAAAAGAATATGAAACTACTTACCCTCATATACTAACATAATCAGTCCCAGATATCCCAATTGCTGGATAACAGTTTCTGTCTCGCGATCTAGCCATTTTGCTCCAGGGGTACCCCAAAGAATACCGATGAAGAGCTGCCCAATGAGCCCACAGTATAAAAGTTTGTCAAGGCAAACATTCACGAGATTCAAAACCACAAGAAACCCAGTCTGGTTGAGTACGGTTGCTATTGGTGGTTCATGATAGGCAAATGCCGCATCTGAGCCATCCCCAGCCATTGCACCTTGAACGGAAGACTGTTTGATTTGGGGAGTATTTTTAGGAAGCCCTCGGTAGATAAAGAAGAGGCAGAGGCGGGTGTGATTGAGAAAGTGGGCGCGGACCGGCGGAAATAAAAGAATTCGACGGCGGACAAGATGGAACGAGGCAAGTCTTGGCAGAGTCATTGGGAGGGTTCTGACGCTGGGCTAAGAGACTTGGCAGAGGTGGCGGCGCCCAGCGGAAGTGAAAGATATGGGAGGTAAGTCTTGGCAGTCATTGGGGGTTTTCCGACGCTACCTGGTCTGTTAAACTGGAAAACGTTCCAAGCATGCTTCAAAATAAGAGATGCGTGGTGGCGGTATTTTCTGGATGCAGGATGGGGAGGCTGACAGGCATCTTTGTTGTGCTTGATATGGTTGATAACGATGGGTGTGAGAATGGAATCAGGCTCTTGTATCTCAGACAGCTTCCGAATTCTAGATTCGTAATAGGGGCATTGTCTTATGAGGAATATTCGAAGGTCTATCTTTGTCTGCAATCTAAAACCGTTATATTGAAATCACCAAAAAATAGGTGCGAGGGTAGACCTCGTTTTTCTTGCAATTTACCTTAAAACCGACCATTCCCTTAAGCCCGTTCGTAGCACCGAGAGCCTGACTGTCAGACCTGCCAGACACCAGACACCCTTGCCATGCACCTGTGTTTAGCTCTCAGCGTGAATGCAAGATGGGAACGGCACCTTTCGTTCTGCGGAGATCGTGCTAAGTCCGAGTTGGCCAATCACAGCGTAGAACGGCACCGTCGAGTTCCCGCCTAGGTAGAATTCTATAACGAAGTATACAAAAGGCCATCAAATGAAAAAACAGAATATATATATCCTAGATTGATACGCTCTTTTTTTATTTCCTTGCCTCCCACACTCCATTTTCATCACTATCAAGTCCGCAAAATGCCTTTCTATAACACCTACCCGGGCTTCCTTTATCGGCAGTTCCTGGTCTGCCCTTCTAAGGCCCCGTCCACCACTTCCCTTCGCGGGAAGGCGGGTATCGTGACGGGCTCCAACACTGGACTGGGTTATCAAGCCTCAGCCCAGTTTCTCGGGCTCGGACTATCCCATCTGATTTTGGCCGTCCGCAGCATCTCTAAGGGCGAAGCTGCCCGAGAATCCCTTCTCGCTTCACTCTCCGCTTCGAGCAAACCCTCCATGGTCGAGGTCTGGGAATTGGACATGGGCAGCTACCCCAGTATTATCGAGTTTGTCGACCGCCTTAAGCGCTCCGAGATCCTGATTGACTTTGCTCTTCTCAACGCCGGTGTTGCCAACTTCAACTTCACCGTCAACCAACTCACCTCCCACGAGTCAAGTATCCAAATCAATTGGCTAAGCACAGCTCTCCTAACTCTGCTATTGCTGCCTGAACTCGACCGTCAAGCTGCCAATAACCTCAATCGCACTCGCCCGGTGATTTCCATCGTCGGAAGTGAAACAGCCGCCTGGGCCAAGTTTCCCGAAGCCCAGGTGGCTACCAAGCAGGGATTCCCACTCATCGACGTATTGGACGACAAGAGTCACTTCGACATGGGCGATCGGTACTATACTTCCAAGCTGCTCTATCAGCTCTTCTTCCTCGAGTTGCTCGGCAGACGGTCCAGTGCCAAGCGCGCCACGGGCACCATTCTCAACTTGGTCAACCCCGGTTTTTGCTATGGCTCTGAGTTGCATCGCACAGCTGAGGGTGCCTTTGGTAAGGTACTTGGTGGCATGAAGAGAGCCATTGGTCGCTCTGTCTCTATGGGTGCGCGTACACTGGTTCACTCATCGGTGCTGGCCGGTGAACCTTCCAATGGCAAGTACCTGAGTGACAACAAGCCGGCTCCATTTGCAGGATATGGAGACAGTGATTCTGGTAGAATAATACAGACTCAGATGTGGCAGGAGACATTGTCCGAGTTGGGCCCGGTGGTGGATATTGACAAGCTGCTGTCGGAGATTTAATTAATTCTCAGGATGATTTTTTTTCTCGTTCAATTTTGGTGTCTTGTTTCTTGGTTCTTGCCCTGTTTTTGCCATGGCTGAGGCTGGTATTGAAGTTGTGACATTTGTGACATTCTCCAATATTTGTTGTGTTTCCCTAGGTCGTCTTCTGTAGTTTTCAATGAGAAAGATTGAACCTGGTCAACATCCCAAACAATGGCCTCAGGGATCGACCCATGGTGGATTCCACGGTTGCTGACTAACAATAAGGTTCCTCCCGATATTGAGCCTTGGTTAACCTGCTTAGGTCCCACCTAACCACCTGCTGCATATCCCGACCACGGAGGAAATCTGACTAGGTACGTACTTGATTACAGCATCGCCAGCATCATGACTTCACCCTCAGTCCATGCGATCGAGCCATCCCAACTATTACATTATCTGCCCACGTATCGGGTGCTGATCTGCCTGCGTTGCAACTACGCGATTCAGCCTGGTGCAGTCGCTCGCCATCTCAAAGAAATCCATCATCTTCACCATTTATCCCGCCGACCTTTTGTTGACTACGCCTCGGGATTTAAACTAAGCCAGACCAGTGATGTCGTCTTGCCCGATGAAACCCAGTTTCCAGTGCCTTTACTGCCTGTCCAAAATGGGCTAGCGTGCTCGTTTGCAGGCTGCGCCCATCTTTGTGTCACCGCCAAGCGCATGAAGCAGCACTGGATGTCCGTACACCACATCTCTGCCTCAGGTCTTGGAGATTTTTGGGACCCAGTACCGCTGCAGACATTTTTCGGGGAAATGCTCTCCACTACTTTACTAACCCCGCGTTGTTGATTTCGTCGTCGTCTGACAAATCAGGTGGACCGACGAACACGGTAAGTAGATCAATAGCCATACCCATCATCGTTCCTTGCTGATTATCCCTCCTGACTTTGACAACCCCGGCTTCAAGCGAGAATCGAAAATCGAGCCCTTACCAAATGTTGATCACAAGCGACGCAGGCCTACTAGACCATTATCGGAACTACACCTACAAAACCCTCTCATGCGGCCCCGAGACAGACGATGCGTTTCAAATCATTGTCCCACAGCTAGCCCACCAGTTTCCCTTCTTACTCCATGGCATCCTATCCTGTTCCTCGCTCCACCTTGCTTCTATCGACCCCAAAAATCGACCGTATTATACGATTCGGTCAATACAACACGCAGATCAAGCGGCTCCTGCATTCCGATGGGCAACTATAAATGTGGATAGCAATAACAGTCAGGCGGTGCTAGCTTTCGCATTTTTCCTCGTCGTCTACACGCTAGGCTCCGAGTCGAACGACCAACCGTTGTTTCTGAGCAAAGATATTAGCCGAGGAGAAGATGCGCCTTCCTTGGAATGGATTGAGATCCTCCGTAATGGCTGCTCCATGCTATGCCCCTTCTGGACGGAACTCACCACTAGTCCATTGGCACCTTTCACGGCACTTTGGCGGGATGATCTCGGCGTCCCTACTAATCCAAACGACCCACTACTAATTACACTACTCTCCGTCATTCCGGAATATAAATCCGAATCGACTGACCACTATATATACCGCGATTCCGCGGTCAAATTGGCACGGGCCTTTGCATTTATTGAGCGTTTTGGCTCACCGCCAACTATATGGGATGTTCTAAATTCATGGCCAATGCGCGTTTCACCCGAGTATCTGGCCCTATTGAAACATAACAACCCAGGCGCTTTGCTGCTGTTGGCCCACTATGCTATCCTTCTAAAGCCACTTCGGGAAGAGTGGTTTCTAAAAGGTCGAGTCATGGAATTGATAGATAAAATCGCGCAACGATTAAAAGGCAATTGCTCGCCCCAGATTTGGGAAGTGTTTTCTGTGATGCAGCGGGAACACTTTGCGAGTGATGCTATATAATTTAAGCGCTTTGATTTTGTTCATTAGATAGTCATGACAGGTACAAATACCTAGTACTCCCCCGCAGCCCTATCTATCAAGGGCAATAAACCTTAGTGAGGCAATCCATTATTATAGCTGAACAGACCCTTGGGATCCCACTTCTTCTTCAGATTTAATAACCGAGGCAGCTTTTCAGCACCATACATAGCATTTAGTCCCTCGGTGCCATGGGCATAGCTGACGTAGATGTGCAGATCATCAAATCCGCTGGTAGCGTTGAAGGCCTTAACCGCGGAAAGGCCAAAGTCGTCTACCTTATCGCCGATGGAGCTATCGGTAAAGCTAAATGTAAACATTCTAGACAGGCGTTAGATGTGTACCTAGATTCACATGGACATACGAATAGGGGGAGAAGGCTTACTCATGAGCACTGATTTGGCGATGGGGATAGGCAGTGGAGTCACCTGCAATAGCAGTGACGGCCTGGATGGGAAAGAACTCCACCTGCCAGGCACTTCCCGAGGCAGAGGGATAGTCATTCCAAAATTGGACGAGCTTGTCGAAGAAATTGATGTGTGTCGTTGCGTCAATTGAGCGTACGCCAGCGGCCCACATATCGTGCTTTTGGCCCTTGGCGCAAAATTCTGTGACGAGTCCAAACCCGGCAGCTTCGTTGATTGCATCCCAGTTGATCATGGAGATGTTGCGTTGAATATAGGTCAGGTCGAGAAAGGGGGCAATTAGATTGAGCCCTTCTTGCTTGGAACCGGGGTAGACGGCATTGAAGAGGATAACGGGCTAAATGGAATGGGTCAGATGGGCAATCGTGTTTTCCTTGGTTGAAAGAGGACATACTCCTACGGAAGGGTAATTCATGGCCAAAGCATACAAGGACAGATCGGCCGGCAAGGTTATATAACTGGCCAGAATGTTGAAAAAGGTTTCGTTGAGGCTGGCAGGAAACATGAAGTCGGCGTGGAATACATTGCCGTCGTTCGTCAGGTCGTAAACTTCATATGTGGCCGAGGTGACGATGCCATAGTTGAACCCAGCACCACGAAGGCCCCAGAAGAGGTCTTCGTTATGCGAAGCGGAGACGGTGATGAGATCGCCAGTAGGGGTGACGAGCTGGACCGATTTCAAAGCATCGAGAATGAGGCCGTGAAGGCCTTGGTATCTACCAACACCACCTCCAAGGGTAGCACCCACCATCCCCACGCAAGGGCAGGAGCCAATTTCTGTTCGAATGGCATTAGAGAAGATGGTAAACACACCGTATGGGGTGAATCCTTACGAATCTCTTTTCCTGCTTTGAAGAGAGGTCCAACCACTTGGGAGAATTTAGCAGAGCCACCGATGGTCATAGTGTTCTGATTTGTATCGATAGCGACACTATTGAACATGCCCAGGTCAATCTTGAGACCATCTTGAAGAGCCCCGAAAGAGGTACTGTATCCATGGCCTCCACCACTGGCCAAAAAGGGGACATTATGATTGGAAGAATATTTGACCTGCGATATTATACGGTCAAATGGGAGAGGCAACATTTAGAGAGACAAAACGTACCACCGCCTGCAAATCAGCAACGGAGGCAGGCTTAATGGCCAGAGAGAAGGTGGGTTCCTCCCAAGCGGTCCATCGCTGGACGGTGTTGGTCCAATTGGCATCGCTAGGATAATAAACCTCTGTGGATGAGGAAAGGGTGGAGAGAAGAGTAGAGATATCAGAGGCGGCTACTCGAGAGAAGAGAACTCCAAGGAGAAAGAGCAGGGGAGATATAGCCATGGTTCCTTGCACATGCATGTCGACCAGCAGGAGTTGGGTCCCAAATCTGTTCCGGTCTCTTTATTCCGTGTCCAGTCTGGTTTTTATAACTCACAGGATGGTCGTTGAGCTGACCGCTCTACCTACAGTATAACCTATTTATAACGATACCGGATAAATCGATAACCCGGTTATAACGATAGCAATCCGGTGCACGAATTAATCTGCCACATAAAAATCGTTAAAACCTCTTTACTACGAATATCGCACATTCACCTTTCTTACACACAAAAAATCGTTCCAAGGCCCCAAATTTATATCGAGGGCTTAGTCAGCTACCTTGGCCAATTAAAATGCCTTACCGATCTCTCCTCCTCCCCGGTCGTGAACCCACTATATTTACTTTCTCAACCCACATAGGTAGGTAGTTAACGAGCTTATGTAAGATAGTATTGATACTACCTACAACATAGGTAGGAAGATATTGATCCATGGATACTATTGTACTTAGTAAGCTTTTTGAGGAGGTTGATAAGGATGAAATAGTGGTTGAACAGCCCCGGGCTGTATACCATAAGGCTATTCAGGCTTTTAAACCCCTTTAGTTATATGAAGAGCAGCAGGATCAGGGTGAAATCTAGTTAATTACTACTCTATATAGACATAAGAGGTTAATTGAAGCAAAGAGAATAGGAGGGCAGAAGCAGAGAGATATAAGGAGCATTTTTTAGGGCCAAATTTGTATATAAACCAGAAATATATATTTAATATATTGCACCTTGACTTAACGATTACCTGGGTATAACGATGTTTTTGCCGTGTCTAAATTGTATCGTTATAGAAAGGGTTTGCTGTACAAAGTACAGGCATCAAGGCTGGCTGATCTTTAACTTGATTAGAATGAAGATTGGACCTCCCCACTCTGCAAGACCCGCCTTCGAACAGCAAAATATCGATCATTTCCACAAAGGTAATTGACTGGCACTCTTGGTAGTTCTAACGAAGCAACGATCGCAGAACCCAAGGTCAGGGATTGTGATCAGCAAGTAAGTATACTCCGTACAGATACGATCAACGCTACACAGCCCCAAATATCATAATGGAGTTTCTCGCTTGGTCCCTGCAACTCGGGCTTATATGCGACCTGAACTCCTGAGCTGGTTTTGCCTGAGATCTCTTCACTCCGTACTCTGCACACAGTTGTTTCGCCCTTTCCACACCTAGTCGTGACCATGGTGACAGACGACCGCACCTGCTACTACCCCTTAGGGACAGAGGCCCCAGATAATGTACCATGCGGCTCCGAAGAAAACACCTCGTGCTGTCGCCCCGGAGATATCTGTCTAGACAATGGCCTCTGTATAAGTGTAGGGCAACAGCCATACAGTTTATGGCGAGGAGCATGCACAAACAAAGAATGGACCGGGTGCACACCGCATTGCAGTAAGCTAAATCTCCCCGATATCCCCTTCGAAGCAGCGACCGGTGACGAACCCCGACTAATAATGCAATTAGAATACTCGTCACCAGAAGGAGGCGCCCTCCTTAGTATCATCTACTCCTGGGGCTCAACCTCTCAATACTGCTGCGGTGCACCAAAAGTGGTTGACTCTGAAGATGGCGGCGCTGAAGTTGGCTGTTTCAATGACTCTGATAATGGCGCCGAAACCTTTGAGCTCGAAAGTGCCAACGTCGTCTACGGACGTGCTCTCCTCTCAAACATCTCGACCACAGCACCTACCGAGACCCAGGCACCGTCCGAGACCCAATCATCGTCCCCTACCGACATAAGCAGCGGTTTAGGCGGCTCCCAGACGTGTCATAACGCTGCTATTGGTGCCGGTGTCGGCGTTCCGCTCGGCGTTTTAGCGCTACTCCTTTTGATTTGGGCCATGCTCGAGCGAAAATGGAAGTCTGAACTTAGACAAAGTATGTCTAACGTCGCATCAACTAGTTCGGTAGCCGCAGGGACGTCTTTAGGCAATACTTCTCCAGGCGCTAATGAGGTTTCTGGAATTTCAAGAAAACTGAACCAAGTGTCTGAGTTAGAGGATGGTGGCCGTCCAGAACTTAGTGGTGATACTCGATACGGACATTGAAAAAAGCTTTGGGGATCCATTAGGTATAGATATAGCTCTTATGTATATTGACTTAATAATTATAATAGAGAACTACAATAGGTCGTCAAGGACAGAGGCCGCATACGCGGCGGGTTATTCTTGTATTTGATCAATTGGTTCTAAATCGTTTGCCGTCCGAAAGATCACCCAAAAGCGTGATAAGTTCAGAGATCACCGCACTTTTCGGCTACTCTTTGCTCTTCTTTGGACAAGCTCCACATTACTCGTTCCCCCCAAATTACCGAATCTTCTCAGATCACTCAGTGCTGTTGGCTGAAGGGTGTCTTGGAACACAATCTTGTTTAGAATCAGTGACAAGGGTGGTGAGCTGTTGATATGGAATGATATTACTGCACCTGGGTAAAGGACCTACGAAGTAGACATTTGGGCTGCAGTGTCAAAGCTGTTTGGAGCTAAAGATTACAATTGGTACAGTAGCGGGGGAACGCTTCCAAAGACGGTTCAGGCCGAGATGGGTCAAAGTGAAGAACGCCAAGGCTGCCCCTGGGTTTCCTCTCGAAAGTGAGTTATAGAACATACCGCCTGGGTAGTAGAGGTTTATGAATTATATTAGTAGCTCAACCCTATCTTCCGCCTTTTTAATCGAGATTCTGCCTGTTTTACGCACCTGGGCATCAATGATATTACGTAATACAGAAATGTCGGCGGGGCCCGCCCCGCCTGAGCCGCATCTACACATTATTACATAGCCCAAAAATGCGTCATTGGAAGCCCTAAAGATCCTCACCACTTTAGACACTAGAAACCCCTTTACTTTCGAAATATTTACTCTGCGAGGATCCCTGGATTTCAACAGAGTTCGACTGTAGGGGAATTCACGTGATGTGTGTGATGAATTTATGATAGGATTATAAATTGACCTTCCAAAGTCATGTTTTCATTTATCTGTTCGAATCTGTCCCTCCAATTCTCCATTCAAAATGGCTTTTTTATCTACAGACAATGAGGCAGCCATAAACAGAACCAGGGGTGCCTGCAACACCCGCAATCGGGGTATCTTCTGGCATATTCCCGTGGAAGCTCCGGCCTGTGCGTCCATGCCCGCCGGGAACATGGCCAAAGTGATGGAAGAGTGCTGCAATGGCGCGTCGGTCACCCAGTATGCGGACGGCTGTGGCATCTACTGTCTCGCCAATGGTCAAGACCCCTACAAGCTCGGGGACTGCATCCATGACCAGAACGCCTACGGACTCTACAGTTTCTGCACTCTTGGCTATTCAAATTCGACCACTAGCAGCTCTAAGTCCACGTCCTCGGACACTACTACTAGCACGGCCTCGCCTGTGTCCTCGACTTCCCCAAACGCTGCCACTACGAACCAACCAATCTCCAAGTCTGGCCTCGGACTGACTGCCCTTCTTTTCGGTTCGGCCTTTATGGCTGTCATTTGAATGACATCATCCAAGGATGGCTTGATGTTTTGGTTCGGGGAAGATTTTGGGTATTTTGGTAATATTTTCCTTATTGGAGTGGATGAGCGACCGAGTTTGGTTACTTTGGACATAACAACTTCGTTATGTAAATTAGAATTTGGCATACATAACTAATGGATTTCCCGCGCTGAAAATTTGTGGTTCTCATCGTATAATACATGCGAATGCATGTTCTACAAAAATGTCGATATAGGCGACCTTGCGGGGCGATTATATTGTTGGACGCTAGGTTTGGCCCCCACGCGCAGTGGGCGCCCGGGTTGTTGTATGTTGTATAATCTTGGCGAAGGTCCGTATCGTGGCGGAGCCATTGGAAATTGTTAATTACAAAATCCCGTGTGGGCCCAACTCTGGTTTTCAAACGACACAGCCTCCGGCGCTAGACAATAATAAATATCCCTCGGTTTCCCGCCAAATCGTCACATTTTCAATAATCTACTAAGCTTCTACCGAAACTCCCTCTCCTTTTAAAACATGGGTCTTATCAAGTCTGGTCTTGCTTTAGGTGGTGGCTATAGCCTCATTAAAGCCGCATCTAAGTGCGTTCTTCAAGTCTTCTACCCATGCTTGTCACTCTCATACTCATATATCCTCCATTAGGGCCGCCACTGAACACGAGGAGCAGAAGCAGAAGCAGAGGGAAAATCTCCAACCAGCTTCCCAAAGGCTCCGACATGCTGCCCAGCAACAGTACTATCTTAATAACAAGCGGCGAATGGGCTATAAGGATGGTAGCCAAATGAACAACCCTCATGTCCAACCATCGTACCCTCTACACGGGCTTCGCTCAAACCATGACAGCAATGTGAACAAGCCTAAGCCACAAGCACAATCCCAGTCGACCCAACAGCCGTCAATACGCTATACAACTACAAGGACCATGGAGAATCCTCCGCCATACGACCCTTTACCACAGGCACATTCCCAGTCAACCCACCAGCCGTCAATGTGCTCAAGGGCCATAGAGAACCCTCCTCCATACGATCAGAGCCACCCATACGAAATGCAGGTAGATGGCAAGGCCGGATCAGATCAGGAATACTACAAATCAAAATAGAAGGGTATAGCTTGGATTAAGTGTGGTAGCCGTTTACGAGGGGCTTTGGATTCGGTTGGTTTATATTGAATTACAGGTTCTACAAGATCCACTATAGACCCTGAGACCTTTTAAGTCGATTACAAGGTGAGATTGATCCAGAACATGCGGGATTCCTCGCAGACACATTGCAGTGAAGGCGTTGATAATGAATCAGTGGCTATTTTATGCCCTTCTTACTATATACTCTCGGGAAGATATAAGCTGCTTTCCATGCGGGAACTCTCGCTGCACTGCGTCGCCACTTGTAGTATTTCTCTTCACTAAGATAGGGCAGGGCAAAATCCGGAATAGGCAATTCCTCACCCTTCTCTTGCAACGTCCGGCAGCCCTGTCAGATTGGACCTGAAAGGGTAGTCCCAGTCATCGAGCAGGCTAATCAGTCGTTCCCGAGATGCTTCCAATACCTGCAGATCGTCCCCTTGATTTCCTGCTATTTGAATAGTGTCCTCGACTTCATCCCAGTTTTTGTTACTTGGAGCGCCGATACCGACAAACGCGGGTTTGTTGAAATTGGTATTGGTCCTCAATGGACCCTCACCGTTGTCCTCCGCTATCTTTGTGTCCTGTCACTGTCTCCGGTTGCGGTGTTTTTGTGTTTTTGAAATTGTATGAAATGAAACGATATGATTGGTCGAATCGAAAATGAGCTGAATGCTGTTTTTGGATGGAAAATTGGTTGTTGTGGGGTGCAAAATCCCCAGTGAAAATTCTGATTTGTTGATTTTTGATCGATCCGGTCAGGGAAAGTGTGGGTCCCAAATTTGTATGGTCCACCCCCTCAAACAGGGCCCCGATCCAACACGTTCTTCGCCAAGTCGCGCCGGGAAAGCAGTGAAATCAGGGATCACTTCTCATTCAACCCTCATTTCCCAGTCGGCTCTCACGTCTCAGCTCAAGGTAATTTATCACCAAGGCAAACATTTCTCCGGCCCAACCATACGCTCTGTTGAGCATACGCCTATATAGGCGGGCAAGTCTGAAAAGCAGTTTGCCCCGCGGATGGGGCTTGCGAAAATTGGATACTCCTCTGAGCATCCAGCCTGGTCGGCTGAAACTGCCAGAGGGAACCGTAAAGTCTAGTGGCCGTAAACCCCGCTGAAGTCATTGAATGTAGGAAGTCGTTCCATGGGGCTTCACCCGGCAAGGAGGTGACAACAGGGTTAAAGAATATGACCTGAAACACTTTCAGTGCACGCGCATGAAGGGTTACTTCCTGGCCAGCGGGAGTGGCTTGTGTGAGCATTTCAGCATTTGTCATTGCTGTGGAGTATCGAGGTATGCCACGGGTCTTGATTTTTGTTTTGGGTCGTGCGGCATGAAGTTGTTTTGGTGGAATAGTCGGGACCCCAGAAATAGGATTGTGTTCGAAGTAGATGTCAACATTGCCTTCTCCTTTAATATTTGCGGTTTCCGTAGGCAAAGGTTCTGTGGGCTGAACCCAGTTGGGAGTGCGTTGTAAAATGCGCCGCTGAGATAGGAGATTCCCCACAGCCATGTCCCATCGATTACAAGTGTAGGTAATCATAGTCTTGTCAACAGTGGCCCAGAAAGCATCCAAGCAGGCTTCAGCACTGTGAAGTGCTTGGACACCTTTCTTGGTGCCACATTTCTCAACGGGATAGGTGAACTTTCCACCGGAAGGTTTAGGCTTAGATGTAGACTTACAATTTGACGAGTGGGAGCAAACACTTCCCATCCTCGATTTATGCCCACTAAACCAAGAGGCTCCTCCATTAGTAGAAAACCACGAACCCTTTCTCGTGCCCCTTTTGGTTTTCTTTGGGCCCTCAATGGACATGTATAGCATTTATACCATCACCGAAGAAAGTTCAACTTGTAGCTGGACCAACTCCAAATTCCCAACTCAGCGTCCCTTTAATCCACAAGCTCAATCATCTGGTTTGGATAGATATTGCGCAGGTTATCTGTATAATATAGGCTTCCAAATTTAGAAAGCTGGGTGGATACGAGTGCTTTCTCAAACCTAGCGAGCTGTTGAAGAACCTGAAGTTTGCCCACGTGTCAGGACCCGGTGTGTCATTCCATAACTTGGTAAGTTCAAATTCCCGACTCTTCTCCATTAATATATTAATATATTCTGGACTCCAATCTCCTCGGTAAAGGGGCTCCAGGGGTAAACCATTGGGGTTGGGACACTGAGTATATTTGAACCTAAAAAATAGGATTAGACCACAGGATCATATAGCGCTTAGCAACACGAAGCCAAGCAACTCTCACATAGTCCATCGTCGCCACCTCACGGGCTGTCGTAAAGTATTGAGGTCCACCATCAGGATTCGGAAGCTTTACAATCAATTATTTCCAATCGTTCATCCAAAGAATAAAAGCCTTGTTGAAATTCCCTCTGGAAGCTTCTGCAGTTCGACGCACGATATGGACCCTGTCTCCGGAGTCGCGATTGTGACGAGTTCTGCCAGATTAAACGACACAGCGGCGAGAAAGCTGTTCCTTCTCATCCCAACGCCATCGTCCCGATGTGTAGCGTCAGGGTTATCCATATCGAAGTCGTGGAGATTCCGCATTGTATGACAGGGATTGCATGCGATCGCGGGGGAAGAAAATATTCGAAAACGTGTCAATGTGCCGCGAAACCCGATATCGAAAACTGGCTATCTCAAGAACTTGAAATGATGCCTGGTGAATTGCTGTAACTTTGCAAGCGTGTAAATGAGACCTGGGTTGGAGATGCCATAAACCCTGCGTGCGTACGACTTGTCGCGGAAGTGAAGTCCACATACGTCGCGTTCAGAAAGTAGATATCTTAATCACATGCATCACATGACTGGGTGTCGCGACTATCTTGACTCTTCTCGTTCTATCCCTTTCGCATGCCTCGTTGCTATTCCGGAATATCTGCACGTAGTCCACACCAGGAGGAACAAAAAAAAAATTTCAACAAAGTGTGTAATGATAATAATGAGGACAACTGATGATGATCGCTACCTACTGACATGTAACTCTCTATATAGCTTCATTGGGATAAAGAAACAAAGACGCAAAGTGAAGTCTGATGCAACTGCATAAAAGCAGCCTACTGCGTCAATGCATCAATATCCAGAATATGCTATAACCAAGATTTCCTAGGTTGATTGAAGACCACCTATGTGCATGCCTCGAGTGCTTAGTGTTTATTGTTTAAAAGTTAAATAGTCCTTGGAATTATCCAAAGAATCAATCAAGTGATGATGTCATTTTGGCCCCAACGAGGTCTATAATACCTAGGTATGGAGTATGACCGAGAGTATCCAGCTATTGTACCTTACACAGATTTATCAGCGACGATCACTAGAGACTTAAATGAGGTCTGTGTATCAGTTATGAACGAATTCGGGTTATGCCCGAAGATCTCCCGGCTGACATAGATAGGGATAGATATTCCCTGATTGGTTATAATTGGTTATATAGGTCCTCGTGGTTCCCTAATTGAACGTTATTCCACCCTTGGAACCCGTAATGACTTCATAGGTAGCTTTATTGATTTCCCCAGGTCTTTAAGTGGCAATCAGAACATTGGAATATTCGACAAATCCACTGTTGAATATGCAGAGATGGGCAATAGAAGAAGGACTCTGACGTCAAATTAAGTGGGGAATGCCAAGAAAGGAAGGGAGCTTGGGCAGATCACCCAAATCGACGTCTTTTTTTCTTTTTTTTTCTTGTCTTTTCTTTCTAGATAATCACTGAAATACTGGAGGATTGCAAATATGGTGGATAATGTGACTATGTAACTGTATACAGATACAAATGCTGAGATCTTTAATACCTTCAATTATATCAAAATCACAATGCCTATATCTTAATCTATACTACGTTGTACGCCACGGGCGCCACCACTCTGCAGTGTAGATCCACTATAAATCCGGTTTCAGCCCGTGGACTCCCAAGAAAGCCGACGAAAAAGTCTGCACATACTTTGTACATGCTCCGTGTTTGTACATATAACACCTGGAGAAGGTCCACAAACCTTTTCTCTCTACTCTTTGCTCCCTCCCAGGATGTCTACCCCAGAGCAACAAGAAGCGCAAGCTGTTCACAGCGAGAGTAGATCGTCTGCCAATGGCACGGACAGCGAGTCCAACGCGCCGGTCGATTTATCCGCCGCGCTTCAGAAAAAAGAGACTGAACGCTCCGACGGAAAGCGCGAGCTAAAGGAAGGAGAATGCTATGAAATCCTGGGATACTGCTGGCCACGATGGAAGAAATGGACCTATCTGGCTGCGGTCGCCTTCGTTCAGGTTTCTATGAACTTCAACACCTCGGTCTACCCGGCTGCTGTCAAGGGTCTGTCCGAGGCTTTCCACATCAGCGAACAGCATGCTCGCACAGGCCAGATGGCTTACCTGGTTACTTATTCTATTGGTTGTGAGCTGTGGGCTCCTTGGTCCGAGGAATTCGGTCGCTGGCCTATCCTTCAGCTCTCCATGTTCCTGATCAACATTTGGCAACTCCCTGCAGCCCTTGCGCCCAACTGGGGCAGTCTTGTTGTCGCTCGTGCATTGGTTGGTTTCTCCTCGGCAAGCTAGTGTCTTCATAATTCGGTAAACTAACATAATATCTAGGGTGGTCTTTCTACTGCTGGTGGCAGTGTCACCCTCGGTCTTATTGCCGATATCTACGAGCCCGAAACACAACAATTCCCTCTCGCATTCATCGTTTTGTCCTCTACTATCGGTACTAGTATTGGTGGTGTTATCGGAGGACCAATTGCGCGATGTAAGCAAACCATTCCTTTCCCCATGTACCGGTTTCCGACCTATTTCTAACACCTATGTTTGATATTTAGTCCTTGATTGGCAATGGTTCTTCTGGATTCAACTCATCTTCGGAGCAGTTACCCAGTTCATTATATTTTTCATGCGCCGAGAGTCGTTCCACCATTATCATGGACAACGAAGCTAAGCGCCGCCGCAAAACCGGAGAAGACCCGAACATCTACGGACCAAACGAGCTCAAGAAACCCCGTGTCTCCCTCAAGGAAGCCGGCAGGATCTGGGCGCGTCCATTCTACATGCTTCTGCGCGAGCCCATCGTCCTCTGTCTCTCTCTTCTTTCCGGTTTCTCCGATGCTCTGATCTTCACCTTCCTCGAGAGCTTCGCCATAGTATACAAGCAAGGCTGGGGCTTCGGTACACTCGCTCAAGCATGGGCAGTTATTCCCATCAACGCCGCCTACTTCATTGCCTACTTCAGCTACTTCCCGTGGTTCTGGCGCGATCAAAGGCTTCGACTCAGATATGGCGATGCCGCCATCCCACCCGAACGCCGTCTCAAATGGCTTCTCTTCCTCGCGCCACTCGAACCCATCGGTCTATTCGGTTTCGCCTGGACATCCTTCGGCGACTCGAAAAACGTCCACTGGATCGGATCAATGATTTTCTCCGGCTGTGTCGGTATCGCCAACTATGCCATCTACCTTTCCTCTGTTGATTACATGGTCGCTTCCTATGGTGTCTACTCTGCTTCTGCGACTGGTGGTAATGCTTTCGCGCGTGATCTTCTTGCTGGTATCTCGGCCATGTATGCGTCGCCTATGTACAAAAACATCGGCAACAAGTGGCATGTCGAGTATGCAAGCACCGTTCTGGCTTGTCTTTCTTGTCTGGTCGTGGTTCCTATCTATATTTTCTATTGGAAGGGACCGCAGATTCGCGCGAAAAGTAAATTCGCCTCCACGCTTGCTGCGGACAGAGAGCAGAACAATGGTCGGCGGGTCAGCAGGATCAGTCAGGAGCCTCATTATTGAGCTTTGGTCTGTACATGCAGGTGCATTATTCGAAGCACGTAAAATTGCGCATATATATAGATATTGGTTTTCACGTCTGTCATGTATATATGACTCGTCATGGGTAGATTGGGATTTTTAATGACCTTATTGACCATCTCATGACCGCTACATAATCTTGGGGTTGGATTATGATCTATATATCATTACAAGTTGATTAGACGACCTAGATTCAATTTTCAAAATAATCATTCTGTGCTCATATTTAGGAACGCATGATCAACATGTGATGGGACGCAAGAACCAACAAAAGGAGCGAGCGTTGAGGTCGGGTGGGGAAGTCCACGATGGATGCAGCAAGGATATGCACTCTCCTACATCCACGCACTTCCCTCATAAGAACACCATTGATTTATATCCCCTTTCTCGTGCATCCAACCTCCCTAACCACACCACCGACAAAATGGTCATGATCACAAGCTCAATCGAAATAGCCGCGCCACCCGCAAAAGTGCGCGAGATTGTATGTATAAGCCCTGAATCCCAAATCCTTGGCGAAACGAACTGACCAGTTCTCCCTACCAGCTCCTCAACTTCTCAGCATACCCAGAATGGCATACGGAATGGCTCAAGAGCATCGAGCTCAAGGACAGCACCAAGACCTCACAAGAACTTTCCCCAGGCGACAAAATCGAAGTAAACATCGAGAACTTCAAATTCGTCGCCGAAGTCAAGGTGAGAATAACATCTTCCCCTAACACAAAAAAAAAGAACTTAAGCTGAAGATTCTCACCAAAAAAGGACAACACCGAGAGCTTGTTTTCTTGGCAAGGCCCGCCCGTAGCTACCATTGCTGGTTTGCATAAATTCCATATCGAACCGGCCAACGATGGGGCTTCGACTGTTTTCACACAGTCGGAGGATCTGAAGGGTCTCCTTGCGTTCATTATGAGTCCTTCTCTGCTCGGGAAGAAGATGCGTGCCCATTTCGATATCTTCCACAGGGATCTGAAGGCCCGCGCTGAAACAGCCTGATTTGGGGGCTGGATTTGGTGCACACGCACAATTTACTGTTTTGTGCACGCACCTTTGGTTTCAGGTTAAGGCATCGGCGGTGCCTTGCCTCTACGAGACATATATGCAGATATGGCCACGGAGGTAGATCTTGGCCACAATTATAAATAATTCGATCCTTCTGGGAACACAGTATCCATTAAGGAAAACACGCTTGTCATGTTATCTGGACTGTCTAACTGACAGAATGAGCGGTCTCAAATTAAATCGCGATCGTGTAGTTCTGCGCTCGCTAACAATGGCGTGATAGGCATGGTCGGAACCAGGCCTTAGACGGTTGTGTAGTTGTGGCATTTCTAATAGGTTACACCTCATACTTATGGCAATGCAACAGTTACCTCTAGCGTGGAAGAAAACATATCACTGACAGAAGGCTGACTTGGCCGATGGCTGATTAAACGCCCGCTCGGCAGACCAATTAGCTGTGGTTTGATCGCGTCTCACAGGTAGCCATCTCCTTTTGGGTCGCGATGCTCATTATGATAATGTCATGTATGAAGATCTTTTCAATGATCAGGCTTTTGACAAGTCATGCTTTGCCCATAGAAACTGTTGAATGAAACTGTATTTCATATAAATTCCACGCTACTGCTATATGGTGACACCGATATCGAGAGGTCCGGTAGTACTGATTGATCCTTGAAATCGAAGATAGTATCCCAATGAGATCGAAAGAGATCTTCACTCTGCGGTTTCTCCAACCACAAAATGGTCTTGATGTGGGTGAGGGTGTCACCGAAGTTGCCCAGTTGCAGAGCGGCAGCTATATCTTGTGCCCTCTTCATAAACCACCCGTGATGAGCCGTGCCAGCCGAAGCCACCAGTCCGACCGCAGCAAACCAGACATCAAGTGAATCATAAACCCGCGTTGATGCGAGATGCTCAAGGTGCTCCATAAATCGAACCACAATCGTATTCTGTATGACTGCATGCGAGTAATATGTTGGTCCCTGAGCAATGAACATGTAGAGTATGATTCCGTAGCGAATGGATTCCGTCGTCGGTGATGACGGTGGTATTGCCGTAGCTGGAGCGGAGAGTAGGAGTCGGTGTATGACAAAACAGGTAAGGTCGTGAAGTTGTGTGGCAGGTAAAGGTATATTGCGCGCTCGCTGGAAGATGTTGCGCAGACGACTGAAGACATTCTTAACGGCATAGTCCATTTCAATGGTGTTGAGATCAAATAACTGATCGTCGAGCGTGGTTGAGTCAAACTGCCATTCGGGGATGGGAGGAATGCCATCTCCAATGCCGAAGTCATCCTGGGTCTCGAATTGAGGATGACCCATGATGAGCATCGATACCCTTTCGAATATGTCAATAGCAGTCCTCTAGGTCGCAAAGGGTTTGGCTTACCAGCTGACCATCCTCGCGGTAAGTGGGCTTGTCTGCCTTACTGCGTTGATGCCGCCTCTCATGTCGACCAGCCTTTTTAATCCGTTGACATGCATTTCACCGACTTTTATATTTCCTTTACCGAACTAAGAGTCATACATAATCAGGGATTGGTCCAAATTACAAAACAGCCAGAAAAGAGGGTGGTTATGGTAGTATCTCACCTCAATGGTTGCCAAGGTGATGACTGAGTTCATAGTCCCATCTTGAACAGCCAGTGACATGTATTCAACTTTGCGTCGCAGTAGAGCCACCGAGTCTACCATAAGAAGTTCAGAGGTCTGAAACCCTTTCTGCGCCAGCAACTCTTCGTCAAGACATGCCGTCTGAAGAGAGACGTGAAATAGTGCTGGATCCCCTAGTGCGAGTGGCCACCAAGAGACCAAGAACGGGTTTGAAGTCGCATTAAGGTCGAGAGGGTAGTATTGGAAGGCGATTTTGTGGAGGACTAAATGGGTAAGCTAAGTTTCATCCTCAATGCTTCATTGGAGGCCAACACACAGCTGTAGATCAGACGTTGAACGTGTTCTCGAGGAAGTCTAGTCTGCGGATACGAATCAAACGGATCAAGAGACCCGAATCTGTAGTTGGTTAAAGTCCCGGATCCATCTAGTGGGCTTGTTGATGTCCCATTCTGCCACCCGGAAGTTGCCGGCCCCGTCGAAGGTTCGTTCGCATAGGCACATTCGACTTGCCGCTTGATGCAGCGAGAACAGCGCGGTGTGCGGAGATCGCAGCTGGACTTTGACTTGGCACATGCAGCACAGGACCGGCGGAGAGATTGACGCATTTTGCAAGGATATTCGTGGACATCCAGTGGGGAATGTTTTCGCTCTAAGAATAGCCCAAGCTGGAACCCCACACCGCTTTTGGGATCGCGATGCGAATCAAAGAGTTGGAAGGTCCCAAACGCAAGTCTCGACAGAAGTCGGGTCAATATTGAACTTCCCTGGCGATTATTCCGTTATATGTGGACCTCAGGTTAATGTCCCGAGCCCAAATCAAAAGAGGACTAGACCCCGCTTTACCCCTGCTTGGCATCGGAGTCTAGTCCTAATCGGGTAACGTGGGTATCCCAGTATATCATGCCATTACAAAGAAACCTGCCCTCCAGGACTACCTAGGTGTTTTCTGCCTGTTTTAAAGAAGGGTCAGTTAGTTAACTTGCCCCTATCATCTACCACCATGAACTCCAACATGGCTTTCGAGATGCCCAACATCTCCATCGCTCAGAATGAGCTGCCGCAAATATGGCCTTCCAACCAACTCAAGTTTCAAGGCCACTTGACTTCCTTGACGAGTTTTTCAGTCTGGCAGTATGCAGTAACTTTCGTAATTGCCATATTAGTCTATGACCAAGGTAAGCAGAGCCACCAAGACCATAGGAATTTGCTGATCAGTCTCTAGTGATGTATATCAAACGAAAAGGCTCTATAGCTGGACCTCCACTCAAGATACCGCTCATGGGACCATTCATACAAGCCTTGCACCCGAGGTTCGAAGGGTATCTTGCACAATGGGCGAGTGGACCACTTAGCTGTGTATCCGTCTTCCACAAGTAAGCACGAACACCTGTCATGTCATCAGACTCTATCCATCCCACCAAATTGTTCAAACTAACACAACTTACTATAGATTTGTCGTTCTAGCCTCCGACAGAGACATAGCGCACAAAGTGTTCAAGTCACCCGCATACGCCGAGCCATGTATAGTACCGATCGCCAAGGATATCCTAGGCCACAAAGCATGGGTCTTTCTCCAGGGCAGAGATCATGCCGAGTACCGCAGGGGGTTGACTCCTCTATTTACCAACAGGGCCATGGCTACATACCTACCGGTGCAAGAGAAGGTTCTGTCCGATTATTTTGACAAATTCGTTGCCGCCAGCAGGGAAAATAAGGGACAACCAAAGGAATTCATGACCATGTTTCGCGAGATCAACTGTGCACTTTCATGTCGCACGTTCTTCGGTGATTATATCTCCCAGGCCGCGGTCAAGAAGATTGCAGACGACTTCTACCTCGCCACAGCCGCCCTCGAGTTAGTCAACGTGCCTCTGTCGATGTACATTCCATTCACGAAGCCCTGGCTCGGGAAGCGAACCGCCGACGCTGTGCACGCCGAGTTCTCAAAATGCGCAGCTGCATGCAAGGCCAACATGGCGACTGGCGCGACGCCAACGTGCATCGTAGACCACTGGGTCCTCCACATGATGGAATCCAAGCGCTACCAGGAACGAATCGCAGCAGGGGAGACCGACGCCGAGAAGCCAACGAACATGATCCGCGAGTTCACGAACGAGGAAATCGGAGAGACATTGTTCACTTTCCTCTTTGCCTCTCAGGATGCGTCGAGCAGTGCCACAACTTGGCTATTCCAAATCCTCGCCCAGCGGCCCGACGTGCTCGATAAATTGCGTCGAGAAAACCTGGCTGCTCGAGGTGGTGATAAGAACAAATCCTTCGATCTTCCGATGCTCGAGTCGCTCACATACACCAACGCGGTCATCAAGGAGCTCTTGCGCCACCGTCCACCTGTTATTATGGTTCCATATCTCGCAACGAAGAACTTCCCTGTCACGCCCAACTATACCGTCCCCAAGGGCGCTATGATCATCCCATCCTGTTATCCGGCTTTGCATGATCCGAATGTTTACCCTAATCCCGATAACTTCGATCCTGAGCGTTGGATCTCCGGGGATGCCGAGTCCAAGACTAAGAATTGGCTAGTATTTGGTGCCGGACCGCACGATTGCCTCGCAAGAAAGTACGTGCCGTTGTCTATGGCTGGTATGATAGGGAAAGCGGCGCTGGAACTTGACTGGGAACATCATGCCACGGACAGATCAGAGGAGATTCGAGTTTTTGCTACACTGTTTCCAATGGTTAGTACACTACCTTCTGGTATCGCTCCGTTCGTACCGTTTACTGACTCTTGACACAGGATGGATGCCCGTTGGTGTTTACGAAACGTTCATAGAGCCATTTTCTTTTTGCATTTATCGGGATATAATTGAGTCTCTCCGCCCTAGACTCTTTCACAATGAAATGGTATCCTTTGTGAACAGAGCTTTAGCACTGTCAATCTATACGGTTGATTTATCATATTGGTACATTCATCTCTCTCAGGCTATCGTACAAACAAATACACGTCTCGCATGCGACAAAAATTTACAAAAATTCAGAATCCTGCCATGGCCCGGGTGTTCCCTTCCTTAGAAAGCAAGCGATTGATCTTTTCAACAAGCTCATGAGTCCCATAAGGCTTGTAGATGATATCATCCATTCCAGCATCGATCATTTCCTTTTGTTGTGCGTCTCTGACATTCGCGGTGACTCCCAGAATGGGCACGTGTGTTCCAGTTTCCTTTTCAATGTCACGAATCGCGTTCGCGGCACAGTTTCCATCCATCACGGGCATTTGTTGGTCCATGAGAATGCAATCGAATGGGTTATCTCTATTCGCATCCACAGCCTCTTGTCCGTTGCTCGCTACCGACATGTTAAAACCCAGTGTACTCAACTTGCGAGATATTATTCGCCTGTTGATGACGTTATCCTCAACCAAGAGAATACGCTGGCCGTCGCCGGTTAGTTTCTCTTCATCTGAAGGACTTTGATCCGCCCGCTGGGTCTGTTCATTCTCGACCTCGCGAGCTATACTGTGGGTACGAATTGTGTCTGCGTCCTTTGGGCCACCTGGCTGTGCCTCAAAGATGATATCTTCAGGGGGGGTTTTCTGACATCTGGGGTTCTTCTGTCATTTCATTGACACCGCGCATTTCATTTCCCAGCGACTCGATATCAACACAGAGTTTGTCGAGGGCAGAAACGTCGAAACCCTGATCCCCTTCACCAGCTTCCTTGGTTGTCCTGCGTACTTTGAAAAAGAACCCAAACGTGCTTCCATGGCATTTCTTGGAGCTCACGCCAATCTCACCCCCATGCAGGTGGCAGAGTTTCCTACATACGTTGAGGCCAAGGCCAGAGCCACCGTAAATGCTTTCGGTTTTGGGAGTTGCCTGATTGAACCGTTCGAAGAGCCGTTTCTGGGCTTGCTCGGTGACCCCAATACCAGAGTCCTTGACGGCGACCATGATATACGCAACTTCGCCATTTCCCCATTCAGAACTATTAGTCCCGTCTTGGCGGAGTGCTGATTCACCTGAATCGAAGAAGACGATGTTTGGCGGGTACGAAGTTGGACGCTCGATTGAAGCACCCACTGAGACTCGGATCGATCGCTGGCCCTCCGATTGGGCGGTGAATTTGATAGCGTTCGAGAGTATGTTGACGAGAACCTGGCCCATCCGATCTAGATCTGCCATGACCCAATCAATGCCGCATTCGGCATAGGAAACATCGGCCTTGTATTCGAAGTGGATTCTGTGCTTTCGGAGCTCTGGTCGGAATATCGCCATCGGAATGGTGAGATGTCGCTGTGGCTGGACCTTCCGTGGCGACAGCGGCAGCATCGACGCGTCAAGTTTTGAAAAGGTGAGAACATCATTGACTATTTTCTTTTGATGCCTGATGCAGAGACTGATTGTCTCGGTTGCCTCGGTGATGCTCGTGACTGAGATTTCATCCGGCTTCTTGTTATAGATGGCCTCCTGAATATCCTCCGTGCAATGTACAATCGCAGACAGAGGATTGCGAATTTCGTGACTGATCATATCGATGAATCGCTCTTGTTGCTTCTTGCGTTCCTGCGCCTCCTCCGCAGCCTGCCTCTGTAGAAGTTCCGCCTTTTTCTCCGGGGTGATATCTGCGATTGTACAGATAAACACGCCACCGTCGCCTAGTCCAAAGCATTGTACATCTTTATCATCCAGTCGATCCAATGTCATGACACACCAAATTGAGTCCGGGTCACGCGTGTGGTATTCGAAACGTAGCGGTAGTTTGGAGGTCGCGACCTCCCGATACCCAGTAGAGCACCCGGTCGTAGTCGTCTGGATGGACCGAGCGTAACCAACACTCGGAGAAGTTGACGCTGGGGCACGGGATGAGTTCACGGAACCGGCGATTCACAGAGACCAGTTCATATCGGTGGCTGAGGATGGCGACGCCGTTAGGTAGGAGGTCAGCCAGCTGTTGTGCCGAGACATTTTGATTGAAAGTGAAAGTCATCTATTTCTTCGCGCCGATTCGCGCTTCTTCCAATATCAATGGAAGAGACGTCGGACACTGATAGAAAATGTTTGATGACTGCCCAATGAAGTGTTACCAGCAAAAGATTCGGGTGGCGCGCATGGCAGGTGAGGCTGAACCGCGATCGTCGATCTTCCCGAATGTCTGTAAATTAATTGATGATTATAAGCCAATGTGTAAGCCAATATGTGTTGGCTTTTATGAGATCCCAGTCAAAGGCAGGGCTATGACGATATATAATATTGTACGTCATTGTGGATTCCCCTTCAGTCCCAATGTGGAGGTGAATATCCTCCAAAACGTTGTGATTGGCAAAAGAGACCAAAGTGATGTCCACGGGGGGTGACCCTGAAGGCTTGGCACATGGCCTGCATCGTGACGTCATTGAACTTCAAATAGCCGAGCCCTACCTGACGAGAGAAGCCTCGGATATAGTGAGCTCTGCTTTGACTTTTTAAATTTCGTGTGTGGTGATCTTAATCCTAATGAATTTGACTTTGTGCGCGACTCATAATGTCGGTGAAGTATGCATAGTCCTAATTCCTACGTATATTTAGTCTGACAGGGAGACATCTCATAATTACTACAGAGGACAGAGTAAATTGCGGGTTTGTACGAAGCATAGCCTTTCCAGTTATGCAGAAGTATATATAGAATATTGCAACCTAGTAACGGCGAATTAGTATAACAAAAAGTGAAATATATGTTTCTGAAGCACACTATAGTGCGAAGAGTCACATGTACGAATTCTATACCATGGTATTCTTCCGCCATGCAGGCTTTAGACGTTTAGATATAGCAGATAGATCATCACCAATCATCAATGGTTGGTCATGCTGGTCATCTTGGTCAGAGCTTTTGCTTGACTGGCGATCAGCTTGGCAAAAGCAGGAGAGAAATGTTCCCATTGACCACGTTTGGCTTGGCAAAGGTGATCCGAGGGTTGGAGGGGAGTCATTGCTTTCTAGGTACATATCGTAGTTTATCCATTATTCATCAATTTGACAAGTCCAGTAAATAGAGGTCATTCGTCAATGGCCACGTTGTAGGATGAGTGGAGCCCGCGCGCTTCCTCCTACATTAAGAGTCGTACTCCGTATGGAGCACGGAATATGCAACCTGCTAAAAGGAGAATTAAGGATATTTTGAAATTTTCGACAGCGCAAAAGACTAGTCCCCCACTCTGGGAGAACCAGAGGTCTAGAAGACGGCCGGTGGATGATGAACGTGGGATGAGCTGTCGCGGCGGGAGAGTAAAAAATCAGCGTGGCGAATCCCGAATTTTGACCAGATACCAAAAATAGTTGACATAGAAAACACTTTCTATTGCGCAAATTCAAAATACTAGCTAAATCTTATAGGTACTTTTATTTAAGTCCATATAGTTTTGAAGAATCCAGCCTTGGAGTAGCCCTAAAACATCAACTTGGCCAACAAGTCCCTACCGGCATGCCGTGGGTCTTAGCGCTCGGCCCGATAACTTTTAAGTTTTTTTTTTTAGCAAAATTGTAGATTCCAAAGCCGATAGCCATTTTCAAAACGCCATTGATGCGTTGGCTCAATAAAGTGTGAGCAATAGGGCCGCGATGCATATGCATTGCGTTGTCAGAGCCATATTTTAATCACGATAATCATATACCATCTCGCATGTGCGAAACGACAGGGCCAGTGATTCCTCCCCTCCACTCCTCGTGGGTTTATCGTGGGTCTTCCATCTCAAAGAGGTAACCCGAGAGAACATGCTCCATTCTAAGATCTTGCTCAAAAGGGTAATCCGAAAGGCATCACTCCACTTTTTAAACTGGATCGATTGAAGATTTTGATTTTTTAGTTTGATAGTAAATCGTATATTAGTATGAAAGTAGGTACCAAATGCTACCCTGGCCATCCGTTTCCATCTTAATTTCATTTTCACAATCACAATGGGCATTGTCGACTATTTCAGTCGACCGCGTGGCCATCAGGCACATGGTGGTGGTGAAACACCAACCATGGAAGCCCCAAAAGTAATCGAGCCTAATATAATCTCGAGTCCAGACTTCTCGGGCGCTGTTACACCTGCACAACTGCTCCCTTCTCCGGCTGGCAGCGAGGATACCCTTATTTTCGAGAAGATCCCGCACCAATTCGGTCGCCTGGCTTCTTGGAAAGGGTCTTTGATTTTGCTTGTCACCTCCGGCTCTCAGTTTCTAGATAATGTCTTCATGACGAGTGCCAACATTGCCTTGTCGTCAATTCAACAGGACTTCGACGTGTCTAGTACCGACTTGCAATGGATGATTTCTGCATACACTTTGTCGTTTGGTGGCTTCCTTTTGTTAGCCGGTGCTTTGTCTGATCGGTAAGACACTTCATTCGATTGTCCCAAGACTTTGGCATAATGCTAACCTGCACAGATATGGACGAAAGAAGATCCTCTGTCCAGGTCTTGCCTGGCTTTCTGTATGGACCCTAGCCATTGGATTTGGCCAATCGTTTATTCAACTTACGGTGTTCCGTGGCATTCAAGGTATTGGAGCTGCGATGACTGTGCCATCTGCTATTGGCATCATCAGTTCCTACTTCAGTGGTGTTGATCGCACCCGTGCACTGTCAATCTATGGAGCTTCGGGAACCCTGGGATTCTGTACCGGTCTCATCTTTGGTGGTTTCTTGACCTCTTCGTTGGGCTGGAGATACATCTTCTACCTGATTGTTATCATCACTGGGTCTTTGGGAATCTTGGGCTTTATCGTCCTCCCAAGCGATGTTCCTTCCGAAAAGAAGCACGAAAGAATGGACTACATTGGCGCAGTGATGTCGACAGCTGGCCTGATCCTGCTCCAATTCGTCCTGTCCAGCGGTGGAACCTACGGCTGGGGCCAGCCGTTCATTATTGTGCTGCTGATCTTGGCAGTTGGTCTTCTTGTTGGATTCACAATCCTTGAGAAATACGTCAGCAACCCTATCATGCCGCTTTCTTTGTGGAAGATTCGCAATTTCGCCGGTCTCTGGGTTATTGGTTTCAGTGAGTTGCCTATTTCCCGATATCGTGCTTCGAGCAGTGCTAATTATACACAGCTGGCTATGGCACCTACCAAAACGTTATTTACTATATCGTCCTTATGGCACAGGAAGTGGACAAGCTTTCCGCTGGTGATACGGCCCTTCGCTTCTTGCCTATGGGAGCGATCGGCTTTATTGTTTCTCTTGGAACAGGAAAACTCCTCGAATTCATGAATGGAAAGCACCTTCTCATTATCGGACTGGTTCTGGCTGTGGTCGCTCCCATCTCGAGTGCTTTGACTTCTAATCCTGAATCAGGCTTGTATGTATCTCCATTTCCTTTTGCACCACACTATACTAACTCTCGCAGTTGGCTCAATGTTCTCCCCACCTCCCTTATCAGTATCTCATCCGTGTCTTTTATCTTCGTGACGACGAGCACTGTGGTACTCACAAGTGTACCGGTTGAAGTCAAGAGCCTTGCTGGCGGCATGGTAGGTTTTGCCTTCCTGCACCATAGCTTCTATATGCTAACCTCATAAACCAGCTGAACACTGCATTCCAAATTGGCTCCGGCGTTGCATTGGCTATCTCCGCTGCTGTTACCGATGCCGTCGATATCCAGCAAGGACACGGTCTCGCGGAACAATACGCTACCGGTCTCTGGTGCTCTGTCGGCCTAGCTGGGCTTGGGCTGATAATTGGTATTGTTTCCGTTCGGCACAAGGGCATCGGACCTAAAGATAGATTGGGTGCCGGCCCAGTTGCTATCTAAAACCTTGTTACGACTTCTTTTCGGGCTTTTTTTTTTTTAATAGAGGGATGATAGATAGACTTGCTTTTTGTTTTCCGTTTGGCATTCATCTTTAAATATGATGGATTTAGCGCTTGGTTATCATGGCGGGGAAATGAGGTAGATAAATCTTTAGACGGTATTTTCTCACAATATCAAAATGATCGCACACTTGACATGCCTATCTAAGCACATAACACATGGTTCCATGCCCAGGTGGTTCTCGGCATTGCGTACTTTACCCCTTGCTTTGGGCTCTACCGCAACCGTACATGCATCACACCGCTTGTTGCGGTTGCGTAGCCCAACAATATATTTCGATGAATTCCGAGCCACGACAGGAAGTTACATAAATTATTGAAATTCAACCTTGACAGATTTTCATTCTCTTCTAGAAGTATAAGAATCGCCGTCATGAATCCACACGAGGAGCGGAGTAAATACGAGGGTACAGAGAACAGCACGACTCATACCCCTCCAAACACATCTCAACCTGTTGTCAGCGACCGTAAAAAGGTCCTCATCGTTGGCGCTGGTAAGCCTTCCTCCTTTTCCCGACCCATTTCAAAATCGGAAATTCCTCGCGAATAACTGACATCTACCTAGGCTCGGCTGGTCTCGCGCTAGCCCATGGATTGAAAAAGGTGGGAGATAGCGGTCGTGTCTCAATCTACCACACTAACAATACACGCTTTAGGCCGGGATCCCTTTCTTAATTTTCGAAAAAGAAGAAGCACCGACTCGCAAACGAAACTGGAGTATAGGACTGCACTGGGGCTACGAACCACTGCAATACCTCGTACCCGCGGATATTTTGGCCGGACTCAAGCAGGCGCAGGTTGACCCGCACATCCCCACCACGCACAATGACAGACTGCCCATGATCAATGGTGAGAGTGGAGCTCTTATCACCGAGCTGAAGTCGTCCAAAGTGTACCGTCTGCGCCGAGACAAATTCCGGGCAATGTTGCTTCAAGGCATCGACGTACGTTGGGGGAAGCGTCTCTGTGATATCACTCAATCTCCTGCCGGCGAACATGTCACTGCGAAGTTCACGGACGGCACAGAGGTGATTGGTAGTCTTCTCATTGCGACCGACGGTCCACACTCGACCACACGTACACTGCTGCTCGGCGAAGAAGCCGCCAAAGTAACACCGATTGATTACGCCGCAACTATATGTTTCACTCAGCATACGCGTGAGCACGCCCTGTTTCTACGTGCCCATCCCCACCATCCGGTTCACCAGGTCGGTCCTCATCCTGAGGGTTATTGTGGCTGGATGAACCTCCATGACGGAGACGATATAGACCATCCAGAAAACTGGATTTTTACCCACTACATCTCCTTCCCAGAACCGCGCGACTATGTCAATACACGAACCATGCGAGAACACGCTGTCCACCAGAAGGAGTTGGCCCGTCGTTTTGTCGACCCCTGGCGCAGTGCCTTTGAGTGGATGTCCCCCGATAACGAGGTCTGGTATTCCAAGCTTCGAAACTGGGACCCAAGTCTCCCGGAGCATCGGTGGGATAATCAACAAGGCCGGGTAACTCTGGCGGGTGATGCTGCCCATCCGATGACTTACCAGCGTGGCCAGGGGCTCAATCACGCTATGAAGGACGCTTACACTGCATGCAAGGCAATTGAGTCATTCTGGAATAAGGGTGACTTCACCACGGAGGAACGTGCCAAGGCTATACAGATGTACGAGAAGGAGATGATCATGCGGACAGGGGAGGAAGTTCGTTTGAGCGAGGAGACCACTCTAAAAATGCATAATTGGTCCAAAATTATGCAAAGTCCCCTGGTGCAAAACGGAATGACAGTCAAGTCTAAGTAAATCTGATCAAGGGCCCAGCCTAAGAATGGATAAATCCCGACAAGCCAATGCCTGAACAGCTGGCGATGAAATGGATTCGTTAAAGGTATTTTGAGATGTTTAAGCAATCCTGGTTTGTGATTCATATAGCTCGTAATTTTTGAGACCTCGTGAGATATGCATTTTAATACAGGAAGAGTTTGAAGGTGGTTAATTGTCGTTGCACCTTCCCGAAGTTGCAATTTGAGGCCTGATAAACAAGGCAACAAACACCCATGGGCCCACATCACGTGTATGTCACATCCGCATTTGGACATGCGATGCATTCATAGCAAGCTGTTCTCGGCACTTAAGGAATGTAAAGGGGAAAAAAAAAGTTTCTTTCTCAATGATCCTTGTGTGATATTTGAAAGATTGACTTGGAATTCAACACTTTCAATGTGGCGATGTGGTGTGAATACCTTTCTCATTAATCCTCATTGCTGTTAGCGCCTCTCACTATGATCGCCAGGAGAAAAATCCTCCAAATGGCCGCTGTGGCGGCCCTTACTACTTTATCTGCTGTGCACGGCGTTCGTCAGAAGCTTTGGCGATAAAACATGGTCTATCTCGATTCCCGAACTCTCTCGGAACACCTTAGGCGGTAGTGTCTTTGAACATATCCAAAACAGCACTCTTGGGGTTAGAAATTGCCCACCGTCTTATCGATTTGGTTGCTGACTGAACATGGATTTTCAGTTTGAGCATATATATGCGATCAGTATGAAAGAACGGACCGACAAGCGCGATTTCTTGACATTAGCAGCCTCGATATCAGGGTTCAAGGTGGAATGGCTCGACGGAGTGCGACCCGATGATCTACATCCCAAGGCCATGCCTGATGTACGCTTCCCATTCAATAAATTCCAAACAATCTCCTTATGCTTTCTTAGGGTCTGGACCCCTCACGCGTGAAGCCCACTGTTGTGGCATGTTGGCGTGCGCACATGAATGCATTGGTCAAGCACAGCCCCACCCCATTCTCAGTGTCCAAAGGCAATGCTGACGTTTTAACATCCGAAAACTACAGTGTGATAAGCAATGACTATTCGACAGCTTTGATCTTGGAAGATGACGCAGACTGGGACGTGAGCCTCAAATCCCAGCTGGAGGAATTTGCGCGCGGGTTGCACGCTTTGAAAGGAACCAATCACGTATCTAAAGAAGCTCCTTACGGAACAGATTGGGATCTCTTCTGGATCGGTGGGTGTGCCTCGGGCCCGAACGCCAACGAAACAAGCTTCTACGCTATCCCCATGGACCCCACAGTTCCAAGGGTCCACCACCGAGCCACCTGGGGTGGGCCCACCGAAAAGTGGAAACAACAATATCCAGAATTGGCCGAGGACTCGACGCGATTTATATATCGGGCGGAAATGGGCTGCTGCATGTTTGGCTATGCAGTTACGACCAGGGGCGCTCGGAGCATTCTTTCAGCTCTTTCCATCGATCATCTGGATAAGCCGGTAGACGATGCCCTGAGTGAATTGTGCGCGGGTGCTAATGGGCGTCACAAGATTGAATGCTGGGCTCCATTTCCCAACTTGATTGGTACATATAGAAAGGCCGGCTCGGCTTCTCGGGATTCAGATATCGAGAACAACAACGCGGCTGACTTCCACGAAGAGCAGGCTTGGAATATGGTATACAGCACCAGGCGTAATATCCACCAATTGGTCGCTGGTGAGGAAACTGTTTACTCACAATGAAAGGATGAAGATGTGCCATGGTCGAGCAGAGCGATTGAGCGCAAGGAGTTTGTTTACCCCGGTGGATACCTTTTCAATTAGCCTTGCCTCAAGTGCTGGTTAGCTTTATGTGGCATTTATATATAGACCTCCGCATAATACCTTTCTTTAATTTTCTCGAGTAAAGCCCTGTTAAAGCTGGATGGGGAGAGGGTTGGGTCAACACTTGGTATCTAAGATCTCGGCTTCAGAAGTTATTCCATAACTCCTTGCTCCTGAAAGGAGTTGCCACAACATGTATAGTTTGCATTTGTAAAATGGCCACACTGCCATGTAAACGAATTAATCGAATTGTAACCCAATTGTACAGTATCATTCCATAGTTGGAATTCCTCAACCCTTGGCATTTGGGATTAAGTTTCGGGCTTTTATGCTCGATTTGATAGGGCAGAGCTTAGAAAATGGAGTCCTTTAGGGTCGGCCCGGTAGGCTTTATCGATGATTGAGGACTAATACCTACATGCGTATGTAGGTATGCTCCTGATGTTATATTTGTTTACTTTAAGTGGTCAAAATAGGTGGTCTATAATAAAAGTTACCTTCCTTTCACTTGTATTGCGGTTTTATGATTATCATACAAGTATCTGTCCCATTTCCTTCATATTCCGTATGTTGTAGCGCATCAAGTATTCAGCGCGTTGACTTGGAGATGTCTAGACCCTTATGTGGCAGTTTTCCCCTTGCGTCGGCTCTTGAGTACCATTTACTCCAAACATTGGATTTTCTTCAACAATTCTACCAGACCGTCTACCACTTCTTCATTCTCTCCTGTTAATCTCCCTTTCTGTGCATTCTTCAGCCCTGTCGCAAGGGCCTGTCCTGTCCTTTCTCTTTTGCTTCTCCAAATATCGCCAGCCTGGCCATTGGAAGCTCTGGATCCTAAAGCAAGCTGAGAGGAATGAGTCCAATAGCCTTGCATGTTCCCTTCTGGTCATGTGGCTTAAACATCCTACTTGAGCCCGCTGGAAATGAGGAGACGATGCACAAAATAATGGAATGCCTAGAGCCTGACACCAACGAGCCGAGATAGCCGGGTCTCAACTGTCCCCAATTTCTTTAAATCTCGGAAATTTCATCAAGTCGGCAGCCGCTGATAAGTCTGACTTGCACAGAAAACTTCGTCGATCCGTTGATCAACGTTGACTCCAATCCTGCCGATCCATTATAATTATATTACCCCGATCCTCACCCAGTTATACACATGCCACGATTCCTTGGCCTTCGTGGCAATAGCCTCCATGTAGCAGCCATCCTCGGGGTGCTCATGCCCGGAATCCTCACAATAGGCTACAATGCCTCACTACTTGGGGGTGTCTTGACACTGAAGAACTTTGAAGAACAATTCCCCGAAATCGATATTGCTGCTGCCGATGATAAACCACATGCATCAACGGTTCAAGGCCTTGTTGTGGCCTCTTACACAATAGGGGGGTTCTTTGGAACTCTCTCGTGTATATGGCTAGGTGACAGACTTGGCCGGCGACGCACAATAATGGCTGGATCGGTCGTCCAAGCCGTTGGAGCTGTTTTTATGGCTAGCGCAGGCTCTCTCGCCCAACTCACAACATCTCGAGTTATTCTCGGTTTAGGCACGGGTGTTCTACTGGCCACAATTCCTCTTTGGCAATCTGAGATATCGCCTGCCGACAAGCGTGGTGCTCATGTTGGCATGAAGGGAATATTCAGCGGTTTTGGCTGTGCCCTTGCCCTTTTTCTCGACTTTGGAATGTCATTCACACAAGGCAGCGTCGCCTGGAGATTTCCTTTCGCATTTGTGGTGCTGCTTTCCATTGCTGTCTTGGTGTTCATCTACCTGTTACCAGAATCCCCCCGGTGGCTTGTCCGACAAGGCCGACTCTGTGAGGCTAGTGAGGTTCTAGCAGCTCTTGAAGATATATGTGTTGATGATCAAGTCGTGAAAGCAAAAATCAAGGATGTCCAAACATCGCTGGACTTGTTTGAGGAAAAGTCACTTGGTCAAATATTCCACATGGGGCCGCAAAGAACCTTCCATCGAGCTAGTATTGCTGCTTTGGCCATGTTGTTCTTGCAACTCACCGGCTCTACGGTCATCACCTTTTACAGTTCGTATCCTTAACCATCCATCCCATATCTATACAGTGCATTGACTTATTCTGCGCTTTTAGCAACCGCAATCTTCGAAAACAATCTTTCGCTGGGTAATTCAACATCGACGGTTCTAGCTGCAGTCTATCAGCTAGTCGGTCCCATTGGCGGGGCCTTCTGTGTTTTCAAAATCGACGGACTTGGTCGCCGTGTGTTGCTTCTAGGCAGTGCAATCGGAAACGTAGTCTGTCTGGCTTTAGTAGCTGGCCTCGGAACCCAAACAGGCAACCCACTCGCAATGCGGGGTGCTGTTTTCTTCATTTTCCTGTTTCATTTCAGCTACATCATCGGATTTGGCGCAATTCCATATCTCTACGCTGCGGAGATTGCACCTTTGCATCTACGCACGACCATCAACAGCTTCAGCATCAGCATATCCTGGGCAGTCAGCATTTTACTCACGGCCGTGACACCCATTGCGTTCAACAGCATGGGGCAGACATACTTTGTCATTTTCGCGGCTTGCAATGCAATGATGATACCTGTCATCTATTATCTGTTTTCCTGAGACTGCCGGGCGCAGTCTTGAGGAAATGGATAAGATCTTTGCCCTTTCGCGTGGTGCCTTGGATGCTGTTAAAGTCGCTCGGCTTCTTCAGCATGGACAATCAATTGACCTGTCGCTTGAGAAGGGACTTGATCCTAAATTCAAGTGCCCGGAGCTTCAGCTACGTGAGATATATTCGTCTTGATCCTTTTCCAAGATTTATGGTGTTATTGAGTTGAAATGAATGAATAGTATATGTATGAAACTTTCATTGGTGGGAATAGATACATGATGCTTTGAATTGCACTTTCTAGAATATGCCAGGAGATCTGTCGATAAACGCGCATAAATACCAAAACAGAAAGAAGCACATACAACACATGCAGTAACAATAAATACAATCGCCTTGTCTAAAATCGCAAACAACGTATGATAAGTACACGAAATGATGTGCGAACTATCCTGCTCTTTTCTCGTTTTTGATCTCCTCCTCAGCTCGCAAGGTGATTGCCAACATGATCGCCCCTAGCTCCTTTATGGACGATTCCTTTGAGATATTCCATGGACCGTATTGGTGCATAGTTAAGAATGATGGATTCTCTTTCAAAGATAAAGGCAGCTTATTGTTCAGGTAATCGAGATATTTCTGGTTGTACTTAGCAACTGTCACGAACACCTCATGCCGATCTTGCGATAAATGAAACCGCCTATTGTAATATTAGTAGTACTCGTAGTTGCGTTCAGAAGGGGTAAATGCATACGTGGTGTTGGTACGCTGAGCTAGGTCGCCATCGCTTTTGATCCAAGCGACCATTTGGGCGGCGCCCTCCTGCATCTGAATAGCCAGGAGATTGCTAAACCTTAGAACAGGTTTGACCTCGATAAGGACCCTGGGTTTTTCGCCAGGACTGTCAAGATACCCGTCCGTCCTTGCTTCGAACTGAGCGTTTTCAAAGGTAGCAACAAATGGCTTTCTGTGCAATGTCCAGTTCGAGTAAAAGTCGAAGTGGGTTGTCAAAGCATTGAGAAATACTATCAGCGCAGTATTCACAATTTGTTCGTCCTTTGTCGGAGGGTACAAGATTTTGTCTAGTTCCCGTGAGATTGTATTTGGCGGACTAGGGCCAGGGCTGGGGACTGGGGCCTGAACTTGGGGTGCGGCTTGGGCTATCATCTTCGAGGCTGAATTTGCTAGACTGGTTGGACTTTTTGGTCGGGGTTTCAAAAGGATCCAACCTAAGTCTCGCCATTCCTTATCTAGGGGATCATTTACCTTTCCACGAGTTCGAGCTGCGATAGGCGTGTCGAAGGCTTGAGGGTTGACTTCGGGCTTGGACTTTGTGACCTCGCGCTGGTAGTGTCGAACAATGGCAAAGTTTCCCTCGGGTGTTGCTTTTGAGGGCTCTCCTGAGCCCTCAGAAGAGCGCTCTTCTGCGAGCTCAACACTTTCACAGTACGTGGCCCACGACTGGTAAGAGAGAAGCTTTTTCTTGGCTTTCTGTATCCAATCCTTGTCCTTTGTGGCCAGTTCATTGACGATTGTGTCTGCTTTGTGTATCTTCCAAGTCACTCGGAGGAGCAGAAACTGCTTATAACCAATTTTAGAAGCAGACAGAAGCTCTTGGTCGTGGATCGTCTTTTCCTCGAGGTCACTTTTGAGTCTTGGCGTGTCGCTCGGCAGCTCCTCTCGTCACATTCCATCACATTGACTCTCCACTCCATCTTATTGTTTGTTCTTTCATTCATCCTAGCTAGGGATCTGACTTAAAAGCCCGGGATCCAGTCGTCCTTGTCCAGATTCATCACTCACCTTCAAGCTATCCATCACCGTACAGATTCACATCCCTCTTCTACAAAACATGTCTCCAAAGAACCAAGCTCAGGAAACAAGTCGGCACCTGAAGCAACGTATGTTCTTGGTTGATCTTGAGTCTTCCATCCAGAATATTGATGTGCACAAACTTGACGTGACTCGACTCAAGAAATTGAACGTCAACCTCTGCCGTGTGACTCTCGATCAAAACTCGGAGCTCAAGCCACACTTCTTTGCGCCAAGACACGACATCCCGCAACCCAGCGATGAGATACTCGATGAGGCCTGTTCACCTGAGAATCCTGCTTTTACAGACCCATACAATCGTGCATATGTCACTCATATCTACTGGCAATCTTATGCCTTCCACGATGTAGATTTCCTCGATAGCGCGCCTTGGGGTTCGAAGGAGTAAGTCCACCCTTACATGGAGCTATCTCTGTCGGCTCCATCATCTAACACTAGTCGATAGTCCTGGTGACTATACCCCCTTGCGGGAGCCTGTACCAGTACGATTCTCCCGCATTTGGCACTTTTAGCACGACCGATATTGCTGGGGGCCAATTTCCGCATTTTAAAGCAGTCATATACAACGACTTGGAGGCGGACAATGAAACTTGTTTCCGTGGAGAGCTCTTGATCATCCTTCGCCTAATGTTGGGTCAATTAAAAAAGATTCGCTTGCTTCACCATCATAAAGCACCGGTAATTCTTCATGATCCCCTTTCCCTATTCTATTATATGTTTGGGTGTTGCTGACTGAGTATTCTACAGGTTTTACTCATCTCATTGGCAGGCAAGCGTGCACGCGTATTGGAGGCCTATTTTGATGAGGGATCACAATCCCTTATCGTACGCTCTTCTGGTCTGTACGGATTATCCGACCGGATGTCGACATCCAAAACGTTCAAGACCCTCGCTGAGTATTACCTCGGCGATCTAGCAGGGAATACGGTGTAAACCGGTGTTCCCTCTTTTTCTTGGGTCGGCAAATGGCTTGGAGTTTGGTTGTATTTTATCGGATATCGACGGTGGTGAGGTTGATCTTCTAAGGTTTGGCGGTGCTGCCGCATTTTACGCAGTGATGTATTTAGTCATTTTCATGAAACAAGTTGATAAATCTATAAATCGATACTACCTAGCAGATCTCAGTTTTAGACGTTATACCCGAGTAGACCCTTATATTACCCACAGCAACGGATATAAAGTCTGGCCCCACACATACTCCAGTCTTTTATGCTTAGTTCGATGTATCTTACTGCTAGACCCAATACGACAACACAATGAATTGGATCTGATAAAGAACGTAAGTTGGATTGAAGACTTGAAGTGGAGTAGTGGAAGTTATCGGTGTGATAGCAAGCCAAAGGTGGGGGCTTCAATGATTTTCGCTGCTCGAGAGTTGGTGGGTTATCTATTCTGTTCTGTCAATAGTTTCAATGGTATTAACTTAGACTCCAGTAAGCTGATTTCGGGTCTAGTCAAGTCTTGCTGTAGGGAGGAGAGATGGGTCTGCTATAAAAGATTCAACCTTAGAAGTCAGGTATGTAGCAATCCAGATGGACAATATACATAATAGAACATGTGCTTTTAATGGATGTTACACACATAGGATAATTACGTACCTAGGTAGTTATATAGTTGATGAGTTCATAACCTCGAGCCTAACCTGCAGGCAAAACATAAGACAGTTTCGTCCTCTTCAAGGGATACACCCCCACCTTGGTTCCTCTCCACTCCAAATCCCCCAAACTAAACTCCATTTTTCATCAACTGATCATGTCTTTGAACCAGCCATGTATTGGGAAGCAAAGACGAAATAGAAACGTCTCAGGAAAGCCAAGAGTGAGCAAAGCGCGCTCCTGCGAAGCTTGTCGGCGCTTGAAAACGCGATGCGAAACGGGAAATTATGAACGATGTCATCGTTGTGATGTTCTTCGGTAGCAACCCAGAGTTGGAAAAATTGTGTCGGGTCACTGAGCTTTCATGTCTGACAATCTGTAGGATTAGATGCTCGTTCCAGGGCATTTCCCGCAACCATCCCGGACAGGCGGAGGTGGATTCTGTGACGAGCCATGACTACCATGCACGGTATACCCTCTCATGGCTGATTTTGCTAAACCCTATCAATATACTGATGGGAGAAAAAAAAGACTTTGTGCGGTGGAAACCGCCTTGAGCCAAGTTCAAGCGTTCCTGTCTGTCCGCAGTTCTAGCGACTACCGGAATAGACAAGAGGTAAATTTCAGTTACCTACGTGGTATACTAGCCATATAATTAATTGGATACTCTAGGCCACCCCGTCTACTATCGAACAAACTGCACGCGATGCACCCATGAATGTTATCCAAGAGATCCGACAGAACATCACTTCATATGAACAACCCTCGAGCAGTGATGATAGCACTGAAGACATTATAACCAACGGCATAGTTTCCGAGGAACTTGCTGTCACGCTTCTTGAAGGGTAAGAACGCTCCCAGCAATGTTCTCTGGATAAATATCCCGAGGTTGACTTTGCAGATTCTCGAAATTATCCAACCGCTGGTTATTCATGAGTACAGACCCTGTTCAGCTACGCACCAAATCACCGCTCCTGTTTGGTACTTGTATCTTGGCAGGTCTCCATATTACCCCATCCTTGCACGGGTCACCAACTCATCAAGCTTTATATCGTCATATTCATGGGCTGCTGGGCCAGGCACATCTTTCTTCTACTACTTCACTCGACACAATTCAGTCGATGTTGATTTTCTCCATGTGGGACCTACGACCGACTTTGGGCCCTGACCATAGTACCTCATGGCTTCTCAGTGGCACCGCGGCTATGCGGGTGATTATGACTACTCCGTTTGGGCAGCTTCCAAAGACTAGCGATGCCGATGGACGCGAACGAGCCCATGCACAAGAAATAATGCGCACGTGGAACTTGATTTGCCTCTGTCAGTTACAGTACGTTGCAATTGCAATGACCCAATTTCGATTCCTCCAATGTCTAAATCAAGAGAATCTAACGCCGGTCTTAGGTTTTCCGTAGGCTCTGGCCGTCCACCGATCATACCTAGTCAGTACTTTGACGAATGCATCCGAGTCCTCGACTTCCCATCATACAATGCGCGGGATGAACTTGTATTGGCTGGAGTCAGGTTATATCGACTCCTCTGGGAAATGATAAGCTCAAACGAGATACAAAAGGGAAGTGCTGTTTGGCCTGAGATCGACAACTTGCGAAACGCGCAGGAGAACATTTATAGTAAGCAATTTATAATCGCAGCACTTACATAAACACTAATTTTGTTTATTATAGAGCTTGATTCTTCCGAACCATTGCGGTTTGCATACTCCTGCGCCTACCTGATTCTGGCACGTCGCACACTCCAACATATGAACGAAACCCAACCCGAGGAAACTACCACCTCCGGAACTACACCGGAGGAACCAACCCTCCCGTTAATCCGGTTCGCGATTAACCAGTCGCATCAACTCTTGAATCTATTTGTCTCCATGTCAGATTTGACCACTTATGTCCATCCTGCTTACGAAAACGTGCTTTGTTCCTTTGCCATGGTGACACTGGCCGAGTTTGTGGCCCATTTGGATGACGTGTGCAGTATAATTGTTCTCATGGAACAGGCCGTCTCTCATATTCAACGTGGAGGCAAAGCCGAGCCTGTGAGCCGGTGGTCTCTAAACATCGTGAAGCAATACGTTGCAGATAAGGTTGAGCAAGATTGTGTGACTTCGATGGCAGGGGATCACACAGGGATCCATATGGCGCAGCCAACTCATAATTCTGGTGAGTCCTGGGCTTGTAATGAATGGGGATTTGAACAGGAATTTCCTTCGCTTGAAGATATGTTCTTCGGTAATGTGATTTAGAATGAGTTAAACAAATATTGACATGCCCCCATTGTGGATATAACCCATCCGCTCCTATCATATATATATTCAAAAGTGCGGGACATCAACTGTATTCCCTCAATCTTAGACCTGCTTGGCACTCCTTGGGCTTTTTCGAGAATCCTTCATGTGATTCCATGATTGGCTGGCATAATTCGAACTCGTACCGATGAAACAAAGTTCCGATAATCAGCTGCAGCTCCATTATGGCGACATTCTGGCCGACACATGCCCGCGGGCCATGTGAGAATGGGTTGAAAGCAGTTTTCTGTCGGGCAGTTAGGTTCAACCAACGGTCAGGGTTGAATTCTTCGACGTCGTCTCCCCAAATATCCTTCATGTGATGGATAGTGTACGAGGGCACCGAAAGCACCGTCCCAGGGGGGAAGTGGAAGCCATCGAAATCGACACCCGGGCTATGGCCAGCAACCAAACGTGGCAGACCAATAGCTGAAGTAGAATGCAGTCGCATGGCTTCATCAATACATCTTCGCAGGAATGGGAGACCTTTGATTTGACAATAAGATGCAATATTTGCCTCAGGTCCAATTGCTTGGTCTAGCTCCTTTTGCAGACGAGGAATTATCGTGCCCGGCGCACTGCGCTCACCGTGCAGGATCCAGTAAAAGATCCCGCAGGCCGTATTGGATATTGTGTCCGAGCCAGCGATGAGTTGCGTTAGGGCCTCTGCTATAAGCTCATCCCGCTCCATTGGCCTTCCATTGGCATCCCTTGCTTGTAACAAGCGCGAAAGAATATCGTTGCGCGAGTCGACCATTCCCTTCTCTGCGGCATCCAGCCGTGACGCGACAGCGGCGACAGCAATCCCCGTCAGGTTCTCCACGGCCGCTATGCCCTTGGTGAAGAACGGGTCAGGAAGGTACCGAGCCCATGGACGCAGTGCTGGGAGAATGCCCAATGTCGAAGAGACCTCGCCTCGTCTATTCAACACGTCGACTGCCGGGGTGTATGAAATGGGTCCTCCGTTCACGAGCTGCGTCTCAGTCTCGTCTTTGCCCTTGTTTACCATTCCAAATGGCGAACCAAATGCCAGGTCTCCAATTATGTCAAAGGCAAGGTAGCTGAACCAGGGCATTGCGTTGTATCGAGCAAATTCCTTCCCATTGTGTTGCGGCTGAGACGCCGCGATCCGGTCCAGCTGGTTTATCCATCGGTGTAGGTTTTCCGCCATGAGCGGTTCGAACTCGGCGACCGACCTGGGAGAGAAGGCGTGGGATATAATCTTCCGTTTTCGTGTGTGTTCGGCGCGGTCGCGGACATTGAACATGCCCGGGGTTCGTGCCACGAAGGCTTCATAATAGTGACTAGGCATCCTTCGTTAGCGTTAAGAGATCTCAATCCAGGTAGAGAGCATGACTTACTCCTTGAGGAAGCCGTTTCCGTGCCCATAAACAACGTTCAATGCCCGTTCATCGGCGATAGACACATGGTTGAAGCCAATACGGACGACTTTGCCGTATTTTCGATGCGCCGCGTCGACTGCCGCATATTTATGGCCACGTTTGGCGCTTAATCCGACCCATATGTTGCTGAATTTGGCAACAAAAGGACCCGGGACTCGACTTAAGTGCCCATATGATACTAGATAGGGGTATATGTAGTAGAGAGCGACCCACACGGGGATGGCCAGGGCCATAGCCCATGGCGAAAGCAGAAGGGATAGAAGAGCCATTTGATATAGCAATCAAATTCGAATAAATTGGCGAACTAAAGATCAATCCATTATCTTCGACTTTTTTAAGTGAAATCAGTCGCACTCAACATTTCACATGTTCATCATCCGTCCGACGGAGTACAAGCAACACCGTCGGAGACGAGACCGATATGCAGGATCGATGTACAAGGTCCAAAGAACCCGCAGATAATTGACCCGGCAAGCTTTTGATAAGGGAATAAAGCATAATTTAAGTGTAAATTCATTGGTCAATTTCCTCTAAGCTCGTTTCTCGATTATTGACTATCGACGGAGGTAAGCGGCCATCAAGGCGGCATCTTCGCGTACCGCAATCCAATCTCCGGTCTCACAGACGTTCTTTCCATCGAACCACTTCCAAACAAATTCTCCGTAGAGTCCCAACCCCGTCGACGTCGAAGGCCAGCTCGGACTTGCATTGAGTGTCGCCGTCGTAAAATCCGGTATGACCGAAATGACCCTTGGACGAGTCGTGTCTCCGTCCACACACAATGTACATACAGGCTTTATAGCGATCAGCCTAAGTCCCTATCTGCAGTCTCGAGAAAGCACCTCAAGACACTCAACACTAGGTACTTTGCACCTTTACCATCATCACATATTCATCCGTCCAGAGATGATTCCCGGTACTAGAGATCATCGCCAGCCGTCGAACCCCTGCACCAATGCGATAGGAACACTAACACCGGTAGCAACACACATTATCGTTCGCTTTTTCCTGGTCAAAATGATGGCTAACAACCAAGGCGAACACCAAATGCAAAATCAGTTATCGCGGGTCTTTAGCAACGGGTCCAGAGCCTGGAACAGTCTTCGGCACAAAAGCCTATGCATGGCCTATCCGACACGGGTCGGGAAATATTTGGCCACCCGTCCCAGCCAGGAGATCTTCGGTGGATTTTCACAAATCTGGAGTTATGCGATGGAGTATATGGATGGGCATAGCTAAAGAGGTACGATATGCATTGACATTCGTTTTAAAATCATTCCGCTAATCATTTCGCAAGTTTGAGCCATTTCTTGCCCAGGCTACAAAACGACTTCGGAACGGATTGTTTGCCGCGGACTAAGGATTCTTTGAGGTCTGCAGCTCTCTGGCCGTCGCAGAAGCTGATCGGCGCCGGTGCCAGAAATTCTCACAGGTCCATAGAGGGCATGCTCCCATGGCATTAGAAAGTGAGAGCAGATACGCAGACGGGCTGAGAAGTTACATGGGATATGTGCATAACACCCGGGAAAGCCGTCAAGGCCGACGGAAGCAATTAGGGGGAAAGATCCATGTCGACTCAAGCATGGACCGTCTGTGGGCATTCGATATAGAGAGGATAGCAGGCAGGGCATCCCTACCTGCCTGTCCTCCTCCGACACTCTGCCATACGGTCGACCGGGTTTAGTAGGTCCGGAGGTCCCTGCAAACGAAGGGGTGTACTGTCACACCGTCGATCATATACGTATATGTGTCGTTCGTGCCTAGTAGCAGCGTGGGCAACGAGGATAATGGAGGGAGCAGAGAGTTAGGTGCCATTTTCGCTCTTGACCAGGACCCTATCGGCAGGCAGTTATGGATGGGCTCCATTATAATCGACCCGCCGGTGGTGCATCCACCTTCATCGACGACTACTTCTGCTGGAAGGTCTGCTCAATCTTCGCTTTCTTGGCCTTCCTCTTCTTTTTGTTGGGTTCGCATCCAAGAAGCGTTGAGAGTGGCGATGACGCCCATTTCCCTACTACGGCTGTAGGTAATGTAGGGAAACCTAATTCAAGTATACTACGTACGTTTGCTTATCATATAAACTAACAATATAGACATGAGACCTTTGCATTCGCATCACAGTATAGGAAAACCTGCTGTAGCCAGGGAAAACCCATACCAAGGCAGAGTACTAGTGGGAATATTTTCAAAACGCACAACATGCATGTTGTAGCTTTAACGCTCAGCCCAGAAAGAAGTTCATGGTAAACCTCAGGTTCTTCCGCGTACCTCTTAAGCACTGGGACGTATAAAGAATCAGGTCTCCGAATAAAAAAGAGACAGCTCGGCTTTTCCGTAATCGTCAAGTTCCGGGCTCTTCATGGTCAGGGTGATTTTATCCCCCGATACAGTTCCCACGAACCTATGTTCACAACTTGGTTAGTATATAGTAATTGCAAGATAATGTAAGACATTCGACAGAGATTTGGGCAGAACTTACCAGTAATACTGGTCTTCACCCACGAATAGCTCAATCTTATCATTAGCTAACTTGGTGATAGTGCCGGCGATTGAGAAGTTTGACTTGGGGGTGCCGTTCGCAGCCTTGGTGAATTGCCCAGATATAACAGCGGTTGACCCTTGGCGGAAACCTCCATTGGTTGCGAGTATGATCACCTCATTCTCGGTTGGGTAGTGGGTGTTCGTATCCAATTTGCCCTTGTAAACACGCATTGTTGGAGAGAATACGAATTTGCAGTTGAGCCGGAGAAGTATAGCAAGAGATCAAGATGTGATGTGTGATGAATGGAAATGTCTTGGGGTGCAGAGCTTAACAGTCGGCCAGTTCCCCTGGGTGGACAACTTTATACGTCTACTTAACTGCCCAGCTTTGTGTCGGTGTACTTTCTGTGCAACCCAGCCAGTCCACCGTGCATCATCTCAGCTTGCCACTGATTATAAAGATGATGATCACCTGCATGGCCGCCTAAAGGCTGCATAAGTAGATCACATGGCTGCGCGGAGGACTTGGAAAGCGTGATGCCCCATCAACAGATAGAGCAACTCAAAAACCTACAAACCAACACTTATATACTGCATCGCGAATCGTCATTCGTCGGACTGGAAAGGTTGCACAGCACGTATTAGGGTTAGATCAGCATGGAGTTGTGCTAGTGACATACAATGTCTTCCTACCAGCTCAATCAGGGCAACCGATCACATTCCACGCAAGTAACCCTATAATACATCATAGAGGCTAGGGTGCATTCGAATGTTGACTACGGAGTAGCAAGCCACCTGCTTGTGGTCCACTTTACACTCATTTATGATACGGACCGACCAGTGGCAGTGTTAGCTATCACTTTCTCTGGCCTTGACACGGTCAGCCTTTTTCTTTTTTATATATATAAAAAAGAAAAAGAAAAAAAACAAGCGTTTGGATGCAAGCACGCAATTAATGCTGGGCTTTGGTGTCTAGACATCATATTTATTCCACAGAAAAATAGCCATCTCATCAAGTTATAGGGTGGGTTTTTCGAGCAGGTGATCACAAAAATCTTCCAGTATAGCTAGACTCATGCTTTGAGGCTGCCGAACGTCCGTATATTTGGTGTATCCATCACCAATGGGCTATAACCTGATTCCCATATACGTACGGGGATATACATAGTTGGTATAACCTACATATCTCTTTACATTATGGGGGGTTAGGGTAGTAAAACCCACCCATACGTCTAGCTATAAATAGCACAGGAGTACACACCTGCTCTGTCTCTAGCCTATATGGCCTATTCCTTATCCTATTTTGTCCTCTATATCGACTTATAGTGAAGCCAACGAGGTCGTCGGTTATAAGGCGGCTTTGATAATATAGGTCGGGATAACTAGTAAGAATATGAAAACAATTATGTAACAGATAGGTTACGGGGGAAAGGCTGTCTCATTTATGCATAAAATCGGAGCTAAGGTAGGCAACGCGGGCTGCAGTCGCGGGGTCGTAGAAGATGTGACGAGTCACACGGGAGAAGGGAGCGGAGCTTAGAAACTCAGTGATCCGGATAAATAGAAAAAAAAAATGCCTTGTCTATCAGGTGCAGGAAGAAGGGGCAGCAAAAAGAGAATCTGTTCTGTTAGGTGGGGAAGGGGAGTAGGGGGCTATTCAAGATATACTACTAGCACGGTCGTTGATAACGGCCGGTATCTCTAATACCTAATTGATAGAACTAAATAAAGAGCACCCTTTATCCTTCTCAGCAGTTTCTCTGCAGATCCTGTCAAGGACTGTAAACTTCCGACATATGAAGAGTTCCTACGGGATTAAATTCAGGTATGACAAGACCAGCCGTACAGCTCATTGTGAGTATTACATATACCTTATCCCACTCTCAATGGTATGAGGTTATTTGTTTGTTTATGCACATGGTGCTCCTCAGGTGGACATATAGTCAACCGAGTAACAATCCGCTATGCCTATCTGGGCTAGCTTGGTTTCTGAACCTTGGAATCTTGGAACTTAAAGCATATCACGTGATCACGCGGGTCCGCCCGAGGTCCCGCCCTACAGGGCTTCCCATGTGCTCCTCAACTGCTTGTGCGTCCAGATATCGGATTCGGCATTTATTGCCGAGACAACATCCCTGTACCTATAACTCACTATGCCGAACAGGAGCCAACCTTGGGGCACGGTTATGTCTCCAATCGCCCATTGCGAGAAGAGGGCCCCATAAACAAAAATGGAGAGAAGAAAACTGAACAGCAGCTATCATATTTGCCAAACCCACCTGAATAAGAAATTTCTACCTCCCAAATGAACTGGAAAGCAAGAGTTGTTCTTCACAAACTGGGTTTATGGGAGACAATTACGTACAACCTTCGGGAGTTGGGGGTGACACCTCGAAATTTTCGCTCATGGCCCTGAAAAGTCCCGGTGCTTATCCAGTATAAGCCTAGCGGATGTCATTGTCTCATTGTTCCTGCGGCTTGGTCCGACACGACCAACTTGTTACCTGCCGAATACAAATGAACCGAATCTAGCGCCAGGAATCTTGCGAATCAGTAGTCTCCCCCACGGCTCAATCAATATGATTGATACACATTGGTTTGACTAACCCCACTGTGCTCCACATCTAGACAGCCTTCATCACACTATGTACTCCAGAATGTCATGATGTTGAGGGGGTTACTCCCGAGGTCCACTTTGCAGGTCCGACCATCGGTCGATTTGGCTCTTTGATCTTATCTGATCCGCCTTTTTCTTCATTTTGATCTTGACTTCTTTTCGTCGACATTTACATTTGTTAGGTCGCACTTGCATCTACACAAGTCTGGCATACGGTTCACCAAATCATCGATACACTGCCCACGATATCTCGACACAATGGCCAGCGAAGGTCTCCCCAAGGATCAGAACCTTTCCGACCCAGAGTTACAAGGAATCTTAGCAGGAAACGCCCGATTCCGCCGTTTAGGCTGGAAACGACTCACTATCATTTCGATAGTTGAGGCAATCGCCCTGGGAAGCCTAGGCCTACCATCCGCATTCGCCGCACTCGGCATGGTCGCAGGCGTGATCCTGACTATTGGGCTTGGCTTCGTCGCAATCTACGCGGGCTACAACATCGGCGCAGTCAAACTGCGATATCCACAAGTTGGGCATTATGCAGATGTCGGTCGGCTTCTACTGGGAAGTTTGGGATCAAAACTGTTCGTCGGCAGCTTTGTTGCTCTTCTTGTCTTCGTTATTGGGTCGCATTGCTTGACTGGCGCGATTGCGTTCCAAAATATCACTCAAAGCAGTTCATGCTCGGTTATATTTAGCGTTGCATCTGCTGCAATCCTGATGTTGCTCGCTATTCCTCCGTCGTTCGCTGAGATTGCGATACTGGGCTATATCGACTTCGCGTCGATCATCTTGGCTATTGGGATTACGATGATTGCCACCGGTATTCAGAGCTCGAATGGTTCGGGTGACTTTGCTGCGGATCTCTCGCCGTGGTCTGCTTGGCCGAAGCCTGGTCTCACTTTCTCCGCGGCTATCGTTGCCACCAATAATATTGTTTTCGCATATTCCTTTGCTGGTTGCTTGCCGTCTTTCATGGAAGATATGCATACCCCCGAGGATTATGTCAAAACATTATGGTGGCTAGGGGGGTATACAAATTGTTATCTACACCCTGACAGGGTCGATCATCTATGCCTTTGTTGGGCAGGAGGTGCAATCACCTGCTTTGCTGTCCGCGGGCCCCGTTATCTCAAGGGTTGTCTTCGGCATAGCGCTTCCAGTCATCTTCATTTCGGGGTCTATCAATACAACAGTTGTCTGTCGATATATCCACGGAAAGATATACCGGGACTCTGTTGTTCGCTTTGTCAACACCGCGAAGGGTTGGAGTACATGGCTTGGTCTTGTCTCTGTTGTTACCATCCTAGCCTGGATCATTGCTGAGGCTATCCCCATCTTTTCCGAATTGCTCTCTATCATCTCTTCCTTGTTCGTGTCTGGTCTCTCTTTTTATATCCCACCAATCATGTGGTACGTGCTTTTGAAAGAGGGTGCATGGTATGAAAAGCACAATTTAAAGCCAGCCATTCTAAATGGTGTGGTCTTCCTGGTTGGTATGATTGTTTTTGGATGCGGTACCTATGCTAGCATCGCCGAACTGGTGAGCCTTTTCCCCTTTCATCATCCGAGCGAGGGAACTGACAATGTTTCGTAGGTTGATAAGTTCCAGTCAGGGTCGGTAAGTAAGCCATTTACCTGCGCTTGAAATATCGCAGCAACGTTCGTATACCTGTCTCAGAGGGAAAGAGACAACAGGATCGGACTCGAAAATTCTTTGCAAGCGGGCTCGTTTAGACACAGTTAGAGTCAAGTCAACAGAGAAGAATGCCACTTTGAGAGAGGTACCGTCCAAAGGAACATAGGCCAAAGTGCGATACTTTGAGATAGTTCATGTTTGAAGACACATCGGGATCCAGGGCTTTCTGATTGATTAGGTTTACGCAGAAGAAGAAAGTACCTGTATAAGTTTTGTTTTTACGTGAATCGAAGAACAGTAGTATAGAGATATCAGATTACAATAATAATCAGGTCAGTCGATATTCACCTCACTTACTTCACTTACTTTACTTACCTCTTTTTCTCATTGCTCCTTTCAATCCTCCTCCATCGGGTCTGTAGCCCATTCGTTCTGCTCGAAGAACTCTTGTAAGTTGCCGCTATCATTGCCGACAAGTCCCGCTTCGTTAAAGAGTGCAGGATCTAGCAGCCTGAGAAAAGCAGCGTCACCATTATCTCCCTCTTGAGGTCCTTGTCCAGCGAGAGCAAGTGCAGGGTCAGAGATAGGACTAGCAGAGGGAGTAGTGACAGTTTCGTGTGGTACTTGTAGCCTTCTCCTTTGAGCCGGTGGAGCATCTGTCTGACCCTCGGTCTCTGCCTCTGCTTCTGCTGTTGCTCTCGCTCTCGCCTCTGCCCTCTTGCGTTTCCCTTTAGCGAGTCTGGTGGTCGCATATCGGGTGAACTGTTCAGCACGGCGGTTATAAATGAGCGTGCGACCGCCCGTCTTTGCAGAGGGGCGATTCACTGCTGGCTGTTCACCAACTAGGGCACCACCTATAGAGGAAAAATGTTAGTATGTGGTCTTTCAATGGAACTGGAGTGGGGAAGGACGCCTTACCTTTTGCATTACCGTCCCGGATAACGATAGTCATATTAGGTCTGGGTAATGGTGAGCGCCTGTTACCTTGGCCTTGGAAGGGTTCAGGGGAGGGATTTCGAAACTTGGACCAATGCTCACGGATAGTTCGCAAAATTGTAGATGCAAAATTCAGAGAAGTCAGTCGTATCTCTCCAGCCTGTGGGTCAGCAATATACCTATGGTCAATTTGGCCCAGAGAGTAATGGTCGAGTCAGATTGTTTCTCCGTCTACCAGATAAGCTTCTTGGATGAGGTTTTCTTTAAATCGTTCGAATTTAATGTTAGCGATGTTGACCCAGTCCCCATCGTGGCTTATATCCTGCGGGTTTTCTCTGTCAGTTAAGAGATCACTCACCTAATTGCAATTGGCATATCCGGGCGATCTGCTCGGACGATCTGGATATCACCATTAGGTACTATGCAGGGCCGAGAATAATCGAATTCCATCTGTTGTTCTGGTCGCTTTAGTGCTGACTCTTCCGATTGCTCTTGTGCTGGCTGTCGTGCTGACTCTTTCCGTTGCTGTGCGGGCTGCTGTGTCGTCTCTTGTCTCTCTGTCGGTCCTTCCGGTAGTTGATTTTGCCGGCGTTCAAAGTCCGCTTGCAAGTCGTCTTGAATACAAGCGATGTATTTATACAGCGAACCAACGAGAAGGTCGGTGTCCGTGATGTGATTTCTAATAATCGCTGGCAACGTCGGTATGCGCTTGCGCAACTCGGATCCGATTTGATCGCGTGAATAACTTGACATGAAAAGGTGGATGAGGGCTCTGCCGCTGCTACAAGCCTCAGCCGCTGCGATATCATAGATTTCTTGTGCTAAATCGAGGGTAACCTGTTGGTCTTCTGGACGTCCTGATATGCCAAGACGGTCGTAACAATATCCAGAATCGTAGTTGCGGGGCCAATCTTTGAGCGGCTTAAGCTGGATTGTAGGCATCTTCGAGGTGTTCGGATCCATGATACTTGAATGGTGCTTGAATGGTGCTTGAAAATGATCATGAGAGGAATCTCTCCATTTTAATACTCGAAAGGTCCTTTTGTGACTGAAGATGGTCTATTCATACCTTATGGCCTTGAATCTCGATTCAATATGCATTGTTAGTATCTCTAAGAGATAATAAAGGGATAAAGACGAGAATATGCTGGTACACACTAAATTAGGATCAAAGAATAGACTGTATCAAAGCGAGGTTTCTTGTCGACATTATTATTAGACAAACAATGGGACCTTTGCCTTTGTTGGGATTTGGGATACTTGCCTACTTGTGATGTATTGTGGCGGGCCTGGTTATGCCATTGTGACCATTGCCAACCCGCCACCTCATTCTAAGGTGGATGGCGAGATTTTATCATGTCAATCTTCTAGACTTGATACAGATAACTTACGATTACAGAGATTGGTGTTAATTAAAATCAGATAACGTGGTGGATATTTGCGTTAAAACTCCTTAGAAAATATGAACAGAAAATCCATAGATATGACCCTCCAAGGCGACCAATCGCCAGCAGAACCCATAGAAGAAAAACTAAATGTGCATACCCTTCCTTTTATTTTCATGATTCATTGTTTTAATTCATTTTCAACATGTCAAACAAGCACTGGCTTACGCAGAGACGTAAGCTTGGCCAGCCTGGTTGAGAGTGTTGTCGGAAAGCAAGTAGTTGTTGGCACACATGAAGTAAGAGTAGCGAGTGACACCAGGCTGCGAATCCAGCCAAGGGAGGACATCGTTAAGGAAAGCAGCAGTAGTAGCGGTGTCCATGGCGCCGCTGATATCGGCGTTGAGAGCAAACTCGGTGATCCAGACCTCGGACAGGCTGTGCTTGGAAGCAGTGTCGACGGCCTTGGTGACGAAGGACTTGAAATCGTCGGCAGTGTCGCCGTACCAGTGAACGGCCAGACCGGTGATACCACAGCCGCTGCAGCTACCGATGAAAGACTCGAACCAGTCCAGGCCGGATCCGGCCTGGGTGGAGGAGGTGACGGCGGGCGAGATCAGCTTCGCCTTGCCAGACCACGGGGTGATGTAGGTCATGTAGTAGTTGGCAGCATCCGAGGGGCTCATGCTAGACTGCGAAGCCATGTCGGGCTCGTTGAATCCCAGAATGTAGGTGCTTCCGCTGGACAAAGCACTCTCGATGGCAGTCACCCAGCCACCGAACATCTTAGGGCCCCAGAGCATGGGGACGAACTCGACACCAGAGGGAAGCAGGCCAGAGAGGGAGCCGGCCCAGTTGTAGGCCCATGAGATGGAGCCACCACTGGCCATAGAAGACACAGTGGTGACGTCGTTGTAGGCAGCACCACGCTTGCTGGATGAGGCGCGCTTAGCCTCCATGGGGGCGGCCATAGCAGAAGTGGCAACTAGGCCAGCAGTGAAAAGCTTGGTGAAAGAGACCATTTTGAATAAAGTCGAAAGATAAGTCACAAAAGGAGTGGACTTGTAAGAATAGAAAAAAGGAGGGGAAAAGAGAGAAACCTGTTCTCGACCTTATGATAAGGAATGTAGACTTGAAGGAAAGTGAGGCTCAGACCGTGCACGGCACAGGACTAGAAGACCAGAAATGAAATGAAGGAAAGGTAGGTGGTTGGGGAAGAGGAGGAAGAAGAAGAAAGATCAAGGGAGGCGGAGGTTTTAAATCACCCAGACATCAGTGTGTCAAACCTACCAGCCTAACCCGCTGGCTGGAAGATATTGCATTTCTTCACGGGTGGAGTGCAGATAGGAAGTGGTTATTGGATGTTCGCGGACCGAGGAGGCGGGCTCGACCTCATGCCTTTGGCCAGATCAACTGGATGCAAAATATCATTGGCGCCGGGGAAGACCAGGGGACCTTAATGGACCTCATGGGCCATTGACAGGAAGTCGAACCATGGTGATTGGCTTGAACCGAGCGTCTTTTCTTACATTTCTTACATGTGCAATGAAAAATCATTCTCCAAGGCGCTAATTGACACTAATTCTTTCAATTCTTCGGGATCACGTAGGTTCGCATCTGGTCTAACTCCACAGCCAAGATCTGTAGACCACTCCACAATAGCCTGGACCATAATGGGGGTTTGTTACATTGAATTCCGATATTGACATGCAATGGGGAATACACGCCTTGGAACTCTGTTCCTGGTGCCTGTAACTTTGTGTTAACAATAATTGGCGCGCCCCTGGCAGAATACAAAGGTGTGCAATGAGAAACAACCTCCGAAGAGTTCACAGCCCAATGACAAGAAATTGACATAAATTGAGGTGATGTGGGGGGCAAGAACGTACCATGGATGGCATTGCATCATCCAGTGGTTTGCCATGTAGTCCGACGCGCAGTTCCCTGGCTCCCGGTCAGGGGAGCCGTTCTGATAGGCGCACCTTGGATACATCGTCATTTGGGTCCTTGGGTGACCTATCATATCATTGCGTTATTGAACATAACCCAAGGAACTCACTGAAAACCCCAAACATTGCACTACATTTAATTTAAATTGGTTCCAAGGTCTGTGGATTGTAACACTGTGGGATTCTGGAATACTTCAACGTTCAAAAAGAAAATAATATCTCTCAGCCAGACAGAATACAATCACCACACAATCGCAGGCGTCAACTGAAACTGACTAATATGACACACCGACTGTGTAGGCGCCACCACATCAACAGTATGGGTCGAATCGACCACTCATAGTAACACCAACCCCGATCGACACCATGTTTCACATCCAAGCATAAGATCTAGACCGTCTCTCCCTTTCACCGATATCCCGGTGCGTTCCTTACTTCTGGATCGACTGGATGGTTCTAGGGCTAAAAGAAAGGAGGGGCGCTTGTCTGAAACCAACCCCTCTTCAAGCCCCCTGCCGATCTCTTGCCGAAAAACGGCCAGGACAAGCCTTGCCGGACTACACGCCGGTGTTTCTTCCGGTTCTTTGCATTTGGATTGGCGCCCCATTCGATGTTCTACGGTTGTTCTCCAGCAAAGGTATATCGTAATTTTCTTTTTCGTCGGTTTTGGGTCTGGTTTCTTTGTGTCACCTCTTACTCATAGTGATTTGCTAATTGTACTTGTCTCCCTTGAAATGATGACTGGGGATCAATGCTCTTGTTCCCAGTTCTCCTATAGGCTGTTAGAACATAGTACTCAAGTATACCTGCAGGATGCGATGGTACATAGGTTAACATACCAAGCAGATTCAGAATTTTTAATCATATCATCCAGCCCTGTGGTACTTGCTCTACGGTTTTCATTCATTCTTTGATTTCATTGTAGTTCCCCGAGCCAATAGTTGCCACTGCACTAGAGAGGATTGCAAGGGCGCCATGAGATCAGATTTCAGTCACCTCCCGCCTCTGCAGCCAATATTCCGGACATGGTTCCGAGGGATATGCATGTCTGCATCTCTATTGCCATGACCAAGACTACGGTTCTTCTCATCTGAAACAGACTAAATCCCACCGATCTCTTTGTGATCCCGCCAGCGTGGACCAAGACTCTAAATTTGTTTTCAAGGCTATTCAACATACTTTCTCGGACTATTGATTCCCGGACAATTATTATCATAATTTTCTCCGAGGGGAAAAAAGAAAAGAAAATCTCACTTGTTCTGGCCGCGTTGGCAAGTAATGTGGCTTGTCTCGGTTCCCACTTTCCAAAGTTCCGGCGCTCTGCCCACGTCATCCTACTGCGTAGAAGGATTGCTGGCTTACTCCATACACATCTCAAAAGAAATGAATAGGAAACATACGGGAGGTTTATTGCTCATAACTTACTAGTCTCGTTCTAGCGGGTCACCACTCTCTCGCTTAAGCTGTCGTCCCAGCAAACCTGTTTCGACTAACCTTAACAATCAAGCAGCCTAATCGAAGACCATTTTCAGATTGTGACACATGGCCTTCATCGTCAGGCACTCAGGCCACTGGCCATATACCGGAGATACTGAATAAGTCCGATATGTTTAGCTACAGTCGCCGATACGAAGATGTGTTCAAATGGATGCCATTGATTGGTTTAAAGAAGTACGAGACAACGCATGTCTGTGGTTGATATAACAAGTCGACCTCGTGTTCCCATGGAATTCCTTCGGTTTCTCGGACTGAGACGAGAGCAGGATGCGAGTCTCCTGGGTCTCATCATGAACGACGACATGTCGCTATCGGTGACGATGCTAGTCTCAGTGTCGACACATCATATATGTTGATTTCGGGCAGTTATGCATACCCGAGGGCCTCTTTTGCATCGGCAGTTTATTACACACGAGTTTCCTCCCTGCGGGCATCAGGCTCTTGGTTGTGGTCATTCTGACCCTACAACCTCTACAACAGCAAGGCTTCCGGCCTCCACGGCTGCCTGGGTACATTTCATCACCTCCGTGTGCACGTCAACGTTATTGTGAGCAATGGTATCATGCCGCATACACCACGTCATTGCTTCACCAGTCTGTTATCTTTGTCTTGTTTACCACCCGTTAAACAGTACTCGAAAATGTAGGTGCCATATAAACGTCTATGGCATACGGAGGTCTATACGGCGGCTTCGTTGATCACCTGCATTGCCAAATGACTACGGAATGCTGATATACAAATTCCAAGGGTAGATCCTCAACCCACGCCGAAGTAGTCAGGGTTGCTTTGGAGTAAAATGTAAAGTCATTTCCAGTACCACCTTTCTTCCAACACAATTTGTCATGAAGGGAATAGATTTGAACATATTCTACAATCCTTACTTTTTTGGAGTCACTAATTGCGGTAGTCTTAGTGGTTGCTGGTGACAGACTCATTGCACAAGTGTATCCTCACTGGCCAATACTCAAATGTCTATACATCAATTCGAAATTTTGAGATTCTAAATCATTATATTTGCACAAGATCTATAGTCCACTTTTTATAAATAAAATACCACATCGAGCAACTGTCATCTATACCTCCATCCAATCACAGATACTGCCCATACTCATTCCAAATAAAGCAGGCGGTGAGCAACGATGATGTAAACTATTCCATTCTCTCCGCATCGTCAGCAGAGCTCCCCCAACCTTCAATTACCATTCCCTTCCACAATTCCCAATACAAATACTCCCGTACAACAATGCTCTCCCGCACAGCCCCTCGAGCTCTGCTCACCTCCGTGCGCCCATCCATCCGCACAACAACACCCACCACTTCAACTCTGCTCCCTCGGGCTTGCGCCATCCGCCCAAGTTCCGCCTCAAAGTTCACCCGCTCCTTCCAGTCATCCCCGGCAATCCGCAAAGGCATTCACCCAGAATCAGCAAACCCCCCTGCTCCGAACCCCCAATCGGGTTCCGTTGCCGGAGCTGCTACCCATATCACTGAGCCCTCGCCATTGACTCCGGAGGAGTACTACGAGTACTCGGAGCATTATTTCAACGTGCTGCAGAGCGAGCTGGAGAAGGCACAGGAGGAGGGGTCTGATATTGAGGCCGAGTACAGTGTATGTTTCCTTCTTCTCTATATATCGTCTTTTCCCGGTCTTCTTCTTCCTTGCCAAATTTTTCGGTCTATATAAAGACCTTCTGTTGGCACGGTATCCAAAATGTGAAAGGTTACTAACCCACTCTGTTCCTCCAGGCTGGTGTTCTGAACATCTCCGTTCCCGCGCTCGGCACCTATGTACTCAACAAGCAACCACCCAACAAGCAGATCTGGCTCAGCTCGCCCATCTCCGGGCCGAAGCGGTATGACTGGATTGTCGAGGGCGATTATATGCATGAGAAGCAGGACTCGCGGCCTTTCGTTAATGGGCAGTGGATCTACCTGCGTGATGGCTCGAATCTGACCGAGTTGCTGAACTCCGAGTTGACCTTGCGTTTGCCCAAGGATATCTACAGTGAGGTCATTGAGTGAATGGACCGTCTTACTGGGCTATCGATTACCTAGAAGAAGAAGATTCTTGCCGTTCCAGTTTTTATTTGGGATGTTGTTACATACTGTAGTCTAGTGTTCGTTCTATGATGCGGTTGCATTGAAATCTTTCGCGTGCTGATCCTTTCTCATAATTTACTAGAAGAAGGGGAAGGAGTAATTTAGGAACATAGTTATGGGTATCATTTGAAGCAAATGCACTAGGTGAGTATACAGTATGTGTATGTGTAACGGTAACGCAGTGCTGAGCGGAAGGGGCATCACATCGCCCCAAATGAACAGGTGCATCAAAGTGTTGTTCTTTCTGGGTGAATGAACGCGACATGTACATAGCCAAAATACAGTCTCAACCCGATTAATGGAACAGTGTCTTGACAGGCCAAGTGATATTGTCCCAGGCGAAACTCACGCTAAGGACTGAGGAGTCGCTGAGCCCCAGTCAACATTAAATATGTTGAGTGAGCGAGGTACGGCGGGTACCCCAATGCGAGTCACCGAGACAAATAGGCCTTGGGAACACCGAGTCACTTGGCAATATGCCTATAGACGGCGCCTGCAGCAGACCATAGACACACGCTTGCGCGATCCGACGTGTAAAGTGAGTTCCGGTGGATCACAACCACTCAGACTCGAAGGACTGCCGAGCAGACACAGCTGGGCAGTGGAAAGGCAAAGTATCCAATCGCTCGAACCACTTCCGCCACAACAACATAAATGGCTGCGAGTCGACTTCCAAAATCAACAGCATGGTGACTCGATCCTTTCGAGGATACTTTCATAATCTCCTTTATCTCACGCTCAAGCCTGAACAGCCACCTCGCTCGTACTCTGCGTATCGGCTTTAGGAAGATCGGCCTGTAGATACCCCGCAGGGTGTATAATTAGCCCACTGACCACATAAAGCGATATGCATCTGGGTAATATGATAGGGAAACATACCAAGTCAAAGATAACCCGGATCATCAGACTGCAACTCGGACACACGGCGATTTCTTCGCCATCGCGCAAATCGTCGATCGCGATCTCGAAGCGGTCGCCACATGGGCAGGGATATGTGTAGATCTGGATATTCGGGTCGAAGGTCATGTCCTCGATCTCGATTTCGTCGTAGATGTTCAGTCCGTCGTCGGCCATTTTGAATAATTCTTCGTATGTTTGAGAAAGATGTGGCGAATGAGTAGATCTTGTAGCGTTGACTCTTTCGGGCAGAAAAAGTTTGGCGCGGTCATGTGATGCGCGGGGTTAAGATACAGACATCCCCGGATTTAAGACTTGGTGAACTTTGGGCTTTCATTTTGACAACTTAGTTGGACAACATGGTTCCCAAAGGCCATGTATGGCTGATAGGAAAGGCTCCGGGATATTCAAATCATCCCAAGCTTGCTCCCGTCGATTTCAGCCAGCGCAACCGCAAAGTCCACTACAAGTCCACCGGGTCAGCAGTTGCAAAGACGAGTTGCGATGCCTACCAAACGTAGATGATGTTGTAGGATGTGCCAGCATGAGTTCCTGCGATGGCGAGGCAGCTGGTAAAACATCGAGGTTGGTAATAGATTGGGTTCGGGATTATTGAGGTTGGCCATTTGATGTTTTCTCTATGACTGCTGTAGGATGCAGACTTGTGTAATTGGCCCTGGGGATATTAAGGAACAGAAAGAAGTTGGGACATCTAGGGGGGGACCACTGATTCACATATCTAACGAACACCATACGTACGTATATTGAAGGCATATTAATTCTATTATGTACTTCTCAGGTATGTATGTATGTAGTTGCAGCTCATTTCTCTAATCGTGCAATTTCCATCTTTACTTCTTCAACCTCTCTCGCCAAAACCCCATACCGACGGGCAATATCCGCATAAGTCCCTTCATCCGCATCGATATCAGCAACCGGATCAGACACCTCAACATCACCATAAGCTCTCAGCTCTTGAACCGTCATCTTCTGGCGGTGCTGCAAGCGCTCCTTCGTCTGCCTCAAATGCTGCCTATACCGAGCAAGAGCAGCAAGTGTTTCCGGCGTATAGAGCGTAGCCGCAATCTCCAATTTGGTAACCCTGTTCAAACCGTTAAAAGACCATTCCACCCAGAAAAATAACAACAAAACTTGAGAACCAGAAGACAAAAACATACTCTAATTTTCCCTCCACGCCCTGCGCAACAATAGCCAAATGCTCCGCCTTAGCTTTCGTCGCACGCGCCAGAGCCCCATGCTTCGCCCGCTCCAGAATCACAACAGTGCGCTCCAGGACCCGCGCACGCACGGCAACAACCTCCGCCGCCGTGGCAGCCATCTTCCGCCGAGCAACTGGTAGCTCGGAGAGCTGTGTGTTGCGCAACAGGCGTATCCGCGCCTGCAGCTGTGATGAGAGTGGTGGAACTGGCGCCATCGAGGTCCGGACTCGGCGGTCGCGCGCTCGGACGCGTGCATTGTGGTTCGAGTGCTGTGTGGCTGGTGCGTCTGTGTCGGGCGCGGTGGCCGGGTCTGTGTTTGCGGTTGATAGAGCGCGTAGGTCTCGAATGGCGGACGAGAGGGCTTTAGAGAAGGATAGGATGAAGGCTGGGATATTGGTGTAGAAGGCTTCAATGTCTGGTCCCAGGAGGCTGAGTGCTTCGTCTGGTTTCTTGGGTTCCGTTTCTGGCTTTGAGGTGGTGGGCTCGATTGCGCTGGATGGGGTCTCTAGGTAGAGTGTTATTATGGCGAGGTTATCGTGGCACTGGATGTGGTAGGGTTGTTAGAGATGCGGTTTTCCTCTTGATGGCTTGCTGGGCTGTGGCGGGGGTTGTACTGACTTCCGCTGGTAGATTGCTGTCTGGGGCAAAGGCCAATTGCCGGAGCATGTGCTCCTTGATCCGCTTTTTGGCATTTTGAGTCTGGCATTGCTTCAGCTCCTAGTGATAGAGTGTTGTCAGAGCTCTGTTCATGTTTGGGTCCGTTGGGTATGTGCTGCGCAATGGCGTTTCGACGACTTACCTCAACCACGGCCATGCGGCCTGGGTTCGCGCTGTGAGAACGCGTTGAGGCATCCGGATTGAGGAGGGAGGTCGTTAAATTCTCATATAGCCGTTTGAATTGAGGATTCTGATCAAGAATTGAGGGGTCGCAGGGAGGAATCATGTTGATGTTGCAAAGATACTGGGGAAGTTCACCGCCGAAGAAGACCCGATGCGTCACGGCCAATGACAGACCTAATAAGGGAGATGTTCGCAATACAATATTTGGTACTCCGTACATTCGAACTACATACCTAATGGGAATCAGACTCTTTACTATTACAAGTACATATTCATTTTGCATTTCCGCGTTTCTTTCGTAATCATACAAGTTGAAGCCAAAGCTTCGGTTCACCTCTTCCAACCGCAACGTCGTCGGAGGAAATAGAGCAACCTCATCCACCTATCCTAGTTGTGAAATGAAACGGGAGAAAAAGTGCACACTCAGGCGTAGGGGAAGGGAAATTCAAGGGATCAAGTGAATAAAATCCTGTTCGGCCAATCTTGAGCGTAAGGTTCGTAGTGGCAGTAGAAACCTCGCCGGGTGCAGGGGTATTCAAAAGCAAAGTATGTACAGACGTTGCTGGCGGGGACTGCATAGCGCATTGCAACCAGCCCGTCAGGATCCAGCGGTGCGACTGAAAAGAGAAAGATGTGGCGAGAAATTATTCAGAAGGACAGTAAGGGAAAAAAAACGACGCTTGGAACGCAAGTCAGGGTGAAGGGCCATCCCGCATGGGAAAAAAAGAATTGCGGGATTGAATCGGAAGAGAGTTTTTACTCCTCCTCGCTCTCTTCCTCAGACGAATCGGACTCGTCGTCGCTGCTTTCATTGTGTTCAACCGAGGCCACTGGGTCGGGGGAGTGAGCGCCACCCTGGAAACGAGAAAGGTTGCTCTGGAGCATGTTGATCTGAGCTTCCTGCTCGAACTTGCTCATTGGCTTGTTCTTCTTGGGCTTGGGAGGTGCTATAGCGCTGGCAGGGACATCATCCTCGTCCTCATCATCCATGAGATTCGGTACGTGCTTCTTCACGAAGTTAAGCAGCTTCAGCAAGACATCGTTAGGAAGCTCGTCGATGTCCAACTCAATCTCGGCCTCATCGGTACTCTGCGGAACGTATATTAGAATTGGTTCGTGTGCAATGAACGTATAAGATTCTTACCTTGAGTTGAGGAACGTTGTTCTGGATAATCTGGAGGGCTTGTTGCATCCTCTTGTCAGGAAGGCTACTGATACCATTCGAGATGATCTGCTTCTCGTTGTAGGTGATGGCGCGGGTTTTGCCAGGCTGAGAGATCTTGCTCTTCTTGTCTCTCTTTCCAGAACTGAGTTTCTTAGAATCCTTCTTGGCAAGCTTCGTCTTGCCAACCTTCTTGGAGGAAGGGGGTGTCTTCTTTTTCTTATTAGTAATAGCCTCGACCTGACGAGACATCTCAGCAATTTGCTTCTGAAGCAGCGTAAGTTTCTCGTCGTCTTCTTCGCTCTCTTCCGCATCCTCGTCACTGTCTTCATCGGAAGAATCAGTGTTCTGCTCGGGATGTGGCTCATGCGCTTCGAGGTAGTCCGACTTCTGGGCCCACTTTCCGTTGAAGATCTCCTCAGCCCGCTCGCCACAGACGTAAGTGGGGTCACCGGGGATATTGAAGCGGTAGCAATTCTTGAAAATGAGACGGACATCGTTTTCGAACTCCTTCGCATTCTCGTACTGGCCAGTCTTGAGTTTGGATTGAACGGTCGACAAATCCATCGGCTTCTTGATGACGCTGTGGTATGTAGGAATGTTCAGAGCAACGGGATCCACGGGATAATAGAAAGGCATCACCCAGTTGTAGTGCTTTTGCTTGTGCAACTCATCCAAGACATCCTGGCAGAAGCGCAATTCCCATTGGAACTTCTTCTTCTTTGGCTTGGTGGAATACGGAAGGTCACGCTTCGGGGGATGAATGGACCGTTTGGGGCGACCATCGGGGTTGGAAGAATCGCGGCGAATGACAGGCAGACCTTCGGGTCCTAGCGCAAATGTCTGAGACTGGGGAGAAGAAGCCTTGGGCTGGCTTGGCAGAGAAGTCCGAGGCTCCCGGCGAGCAGCAGACGTCTTCTCCGTTTGCTTCTTTGGTTTCTTCTCTTCAACCTCTTCGGGCTTCGGGAGGTTAGTCATCTGCTTGTCGAATGTCGCCTTGAGCTTGATCCCCTCTTGGGTGACCAGATGATCTGCGCCATTGAAAATGGTCGTATTATTGACCATCAGTGCAAAATCATCGGCGACTTCCTGGGGGGAAGAATATTGATTGTTCTTGAGCTTCCTTTCCATAGTTCCTAGGTCCATGGGCTGGGTGATAATAGTGTGGTATTGCGGAATGTTCAACTTGACAGCATCGACAGGTTCCTTGTAGAAACGCGCATCGTGCATGCGCTTCAGGCTTGTAAGGCTCTTTGAAATGAACTTATGTTGCATTTTAGTGAGCCCCGGTCCGCCGCGAGTTGGACCAGGTGTTGCGCCAGCTGGGGAGCTGAATCCCGGTGCCTGGGAGTTAACAACCGAGTCGTCGCCCTCCACTTTAGTTCTCTTAGCAGCTGGTTCTTCACTGAGATCAGCGTCGCGCTGTCGGGAAATCTTGGAAGGAGATAGCGGGGCCTCTGGTGCGTCCTTCATCTCATGGTCTTGCGGCGCGGTGAGCGCAGGTGGTGCAGGGGCCGGGGTAGGATGATGAGGCAGGTCGGTTTTCACGGCAGTGGAAGCATCTTGAGGGGTGTCGATGGCCATTGGCTCAGTTTTGTCGTTAGCACCATCTGTGGATGCAGGGATTGTGGATGCAGGAACCGTGGGAGCGTGTACCGCAGCTTCCGAGGCGGACGAAGGGATACTTTCAGCCGCGTTGTTGGCTGGAGCAGGAGTGGTAGATTCCTGGCCCTGCGGAGGGCTGATCTTTTCTTCAGTTGGCTTTGTCTCCGCTGGAGCAGATTCTGCGGCCGACGGTGTCTTGTTTTGGACAATTTCTGGGGAGGTCTGATGATCGGGGGACTTTGGCGGTGAGGTGGCAACGATTGTGCCATTGGTGTTCGAAGGCGCGACGGGAGTGTGGCCGTTCAGCGCAGGTGATTTAGTCTCGGTATCCATGGAACCATCGGTCTTGAGATTCACTGTGTCATTTTGCGCGCTGTACACTGGTCAGATCAAGAACAGGTCCAATACTTAAGCTGATGCACTTACCTGGTAGGTTGGTAGTCAGGCGCAGAAGGGCCAGTGGGGGATGGGGGCAATTGAGGCTTGTCCTCCTTGGTGACAGGAGGAACCTCGGGAGGCGGAGTCGCCATTGGAGTCGCGTTGGATAAACAAGAATACAAGTTAGGAAAGGGTGGCAGTATTGAAGATGTGAGAGTTATGGCAAGGTGTTTTTAAAGGTAGTGATCAACTGAAAACACCCGTGGGATCTCTCCGCGAAACAATCTTGTCGCGTAAAAATAACCTCGAGTGAACAAACACTAACGGCAACCAAGGGCACGTAGTACGGACTCAATAGTTGATGAGGTTTGATATCAAATGCGTGGGCGCGAATAAAACGCGACGGGCGGGGAGGGGAAGAGTGAGGTCAGAGATGATCGAGAGATAGGAAGAGTGGAGAATGCGATCGGAGACGAGGTATTTATACTGCCAAGAAGGCGGTATAAAAATCGCTCACGTGATGTAGAATTGAAGCCAGGTCTAGATGACTTGGTAAACCAAGATATGGAGCTAAACAAGTTCCCGATTATCGCCTGAGGCAAGTATCAGGAATAAAAGGGAATTATGAAAATAAAAAATAAAAAAAATAAAAATAAAAGGATAAAAGAAAATAATAAAAAAAAAAAGGGAGACTTGAAGGCGGTTAAAAGGGAACGCGACGCGTTTGTTATTGGGTAGGGCGGTCAGGAGAATAAAAATAGGAGAAACCAGGACGGAAGCAGAAAAATGGTCGGGAGGGGATGCCAGAATCCTTAAGTACAAACGGCCGCCTTGCACTCTCCTCTTACCCAGTTCCACCAGCCACACTAGTCCCGATTCTGTTCCCTTCTTACCCCTTGATTGGTTCTTTACCCCTGGAACTTCTTTTTTTTTTTCTTTTCTTTTCTCATCTTTTCTCTTTCCCTTCGAGTCTTAGACAATTTACAATGGAAGTTTTCTGTATTCTTTTTTACTTTTCGCTTTCTTTTCTCAACTTTTCCTAGACATGTTTTGTAAAACCTTCGAGGTCGAGTGGACGCATATCTCGGATGACTCAAAGCCCTAGGGTTCTGGCTAAATCCGGGTTAGGCCGGGTGTGCTGGGAGGTCTGAGTCACGTCACCACTCCAACTTTCACGTGACTATATCATGATGAGTACACGTATTGTACATTGTTCAAAGGTTCCAAGGTTGAAGGTATGTTGATAAGAAATAACATCACCATTCTATAAACGTACACATTCGGCGCAAGGAACATTGTTATACAGTTTTGAAACATCCATATATGATAGAGTAGGCTAGTTACTACCTGGTTCCCCGCTAAGCATCCTGGAATTCCCAATCAGCACTTTGCATTTACTACATAATCGATGGGCAGCTGCACCTTCACCCTTACAGGTTAGGCAAATATACACATGTCATGTAACTAACTTGGGACCTGGGGGGGTACTTTTGGCCTCGAAGATCTGCCCAATGGGAGTCAGTATAGTCCATATGCTTTGATGTATATATTGGGCATAATTTTTAGTGCTAGGCATTTTAGATGGCTCAGATTTACCTGCAGGCGTTATAGTGAAGGCTCTGATTTGACTACCGTCCTGTTTCTCGTACATATTGAATTTGTTTTGGGTCGCATAATGAACTTGAAACTTGTTGGAATTTTATTCTGGTTCTACAAAATGAATATTGAGGGTGGCTGCAGGAAGTATAGGTTGAGATGGCCTGCAAAATTTGTTATATATTTGTCGCTCATGAAAGGGATGCTGACATCAAAAGCGCCCTAGATGAAGAAATAAAGAGTGATAGTAAAGGGATTGAAGATGAAAAGAAGACTCGCCCGGACCGAAAAAAAAAAACAAACAAGCCCGAGAACTCGACTAAGATAAATCAAAGAGTTGGTAGAGTTACCCCAGGGCCTCATACTTGACTGACATTGAAGCATCACGGGATGATATGATTAGATAAGAACCTCTTATAGCCTAAACCCCTTTAGGACTAGCCCGTCAAGGCTCTACAGAACATTTTTTTTTCCTGTCCGGATCAACTGCGAGACCACCAGCCTAAACCCCCATTTGTTTCCTTAGGGGCGGAAAAAAAATAGAGTCTTATCGGAATATTTGCTGTCTTTATTTGGGTGTGCTATATTGATAATTATCTTCACACCACCGCACCCTCGACAGCGACAAACAAAAAAACGAAGATAAGAAAAAAAGTTACAGCCAAGATGGGAAAGAAGACGACTCGCCCATCCACCAAGGTCGTCTCGGCCGCCGCATCGCCAGCGTCGGGCATGACATATGCGGGCAGCAAGTCGTCCATCCTGCGCGCTGCATTCTCCCCGTCCGAGTACCAATTGGCCTTGTTTGCGTCCGTTATCCAAGGTCTCGATGGCCAGCACATTCGCGTCCACGACACACAGACAGGACGCCTCCAGTGTGAGCATGCTCTGGGGCCGAAGGAAACGGTGACCTCTTTGGACTGGGGATACTACGGTGGCTCGGGCAAGGGCCGTGACCTGTCGAAAAAAAGCGCAAGCGCGGCTCCGATGTCAATGGAGCTGTTGATGGCCTGGACCAGGGGGGATATCGTGGTTGCATTCGGCACAAACACCTCGGATATCCGCATGTACTCGCCATCTGAAGATAAGGTGGTTGGCATTCTGACCGGCGCGCATGAAAAGGGTATCAAGGACTTTAAGTTCACGGCCGATCGGCCCGCTGAGGAGGCTTGGAGTATCGGTGGTGACAATAAGCTTGTCCAGTGGGACTTGCGCACCGGACAAAGCACTAAGTAAGTTTGGGTATTTGTTAGGCTATACTGAGCTCCTAACTAACGATATACCTCTAGGACAATCCACCTCCCCGCATCCTCAGTCTTCACTGCTCTCTCCCGCCCCGTTCCCTCGAACCCTCCTCTCATCTGCGCTTCCCAGACCCCGTACTTAATAGACACCGAGAAGGCCGATGAGCCGGTTCAATTCCCTGCCATGCGCAACCCTATCCACACTGTCATTTCGTCCTCTTCCGAGTCTGCTGGTGTGGGTGCATTCCTTGCATCCGATGGTGACCGCTTCGTCAACGTCTTTGACGCCACCACCCAGAAGCTTGTTCGCAACCTTGTCGCCGACCAGGAGGTCTCGTCGATTACACTGCAAACAGATGGCGTGGCCACCCCGGAGAAGCAAGTGCTTGCTGCAGTCACCGCAGATGGTAGCGTCGAACTCTTCACCAAGCCATTTGTTCAGCCCCAAAGTGCGCCCTCCGCAAGTGCCAAGGCCAGCCGCAAACAGATGACCCAGAAAGCAAACGCAACCCTCAAAATCACCAACACCGAGTCTTCGAGCGCCTGCGTTCCCGTCGCGGCCGTCTCATTCCAGGGCCCTACCCTCGTGGTTGCATACACCGAAGGTGGTGTCATCCCTGTCTTTGAGCGTGTCAAGTTCCTTGACGAGAACACCGATGAGCTCTCGTTCACCGGAATCAAGTCTGTGGTGAAGACCAAGTCTGGCTCAACACTTGCTTCCGTCACAACGAATGGAGTTAAGAGCGCAAGCGAGACCCGTGTTGACGAGTCTCGCATGAATGTCGAGCAGGGAAACCTGGTCGATGATGATGTAGAGATGGAGGACTCACGACCGGACGCATCCGACTCTGGCAGCGAGGAGGACTCCGATGACGAGGACAACAAGAAGTCCAACGAGAAGAAGACAAAGCCCGCCAAGCAAGTGGCAGCGAACGAGGACATTGAGATGCAGAACGCCCCCGAGTCCGAGGAGGAAGAGGAAGAAGAAGAGGGCGCAGAGCCATCATTCGGAGAACTCCTGCGTGCAAACGCAGGCCAGGAAGTCGACGTCGAGGCCGAGCTTGATGACGACGTCCTCCTGGGCGCATTGGTTCCCGGCAAGCCCCAAGCCGCAGTGCAACAGATTCCCACCGGTGTCTCGCTTGCTACTGTCCTCACGCAGTCGCTCAAGACCAACGACAACGGCATGCTCGAGTCTTGTTTCCACACTGGTGATACCTCCATCATCCGCACTACCATCCAGCGTCTCGACTCCTCGCTGGCCGCAACTCTGCTTCAAAAACTCGCTGAGCGCCTTGCCTCCCGGCCTGGTCGCTACGGCCACCTTCTCGTCTGGGTGCAGTGGACCTGCGTCGCTCACGGTGGCGCCCTGGCTGGCCACCCCGATCTCTTGAAGCGCATGACTTCCCTCTACAAGGTCATGGACCAGCGCTCTGCTAGCCTGCCATCCCTCCTGCTCCTCAAGGGCAAGCTTGACATGCTCGATGCCCAATTGGGACTGCGACAATCGATCCGCGGAGGCGATGAGGGCATGGACAGCGAGGACGAGGATAATGTTATCTACGTCGAGGGTCAGGATGATCTCGAGGACAGTGAGACCGAGGCCAAGACGCCGCGGAAGTCAATACGCGACCAGGCGTACGATGAGGATGAGTCAATGATGAACGGCGTCGATGAGTCCGAAGACGATGAGGATGATGGAAGTGACGACGAGGATGATGACGAAGAGCCCATTTTGGACATCGAGGCTGCTGAGTCTGTCGGTTCTTCCGATGCTGAGGAATCGTTGGAGGAGAATGAGGATGAGGACGACGATGAGGATAGTGATGGCTCGATGGTTGATTTCATTGCCGACACGGAAGACGACGAGTCTGACGATGCCGCTGAGGTGCAGGCCCCGCCATCAAAGAAGAGCAAGACATCCGTCGGCAAGAAGAGCAAGGGCGGCAGGAAATAAGCGTGTCTCTTTGAAGTTGTACGAATTAGAGATGGGAGAAGGGGGTAACGGTCTATAAAAGAACATATTTTATTTTTTACTTCGATGCATCCGACCGGGTCTGCATTTCATTTCATTGTTTTATTTTTGCTTTCGATATCTTGTGCCTCTACCAAGCGCCTCTGCGCCTCTATCAATGTCTATTGAATTCCACCTTGGTATCTTGATGTCTCCTTGTATAGAGTACTCCACACTTCTCGAGTACATAGTCATTAGCGTTTCCTTGGCACATAGATATATACGAGGACGGTAAAAAAGCATGAACAAAACCGGACATCCAATGTTTCCATATATAACTGGGGATTTATACCAGCAACTCCTCCCCCGACAGGGACCCTCATGCAGGACCCGATGACCCGGCACCCCTTTCTCCCCGAGGGGGATCACCACGGATGTCGTCCGGTCCTGCGAGGGATAGGTAGTGAAGTGGCCCAATGCACTGACATCAGCAGTATCGAGGGCCAGAATGGCTCCATTCTTTCCACCTTCAATCCAGGCCTCGGTTGTCGAGTTCGGGAGCGTGATATGCGCTAAGCCGGAGAGGAAGACCACCCATCTATAGTGCGTCAGCTAAAACAAACATGATATACAACATATAAAAACAACGCATTCAAGATGGATGATTTTGAAATAAGATTTATATATCAGAATCCTTGGAAAGAAGAAAATCACTCACTGCAAAGCAGGCGCGTTATGTCTACCACCATCAAACCCAGCCGGCAATACCGTAAAGGACGCGTTCCCACCGATAGTCCCCAAGTCCAGCGCGGCGGACCCGACCTGTCCGGGTTTATCGGAAGTTTCAAATCCCGACTGCAGAGCCCAGCACTCTAAAGTGGAGCGATTGTGCCGTGCGCCGAGGACGGTCACGTTGAGGGTGGAGCCGAGGGAGGTATCGGGGGCGGCGAGGATTGTGGATGGGAGGATGAATTGGACGAGGGTTTGAAGGCGCATTTTGAGGAATTGGTATGGATTGTGTGAGGGTGAGGGTGAGGAAGAGAGGAAATTAGGAAGAATTCAACATACTCTATAAGAAGATTTAGAGCTGAGATCTGTTTTTGGGAGCTGAAGAAAGGTGGAGTGGGATCAGCGTTCTCTCTTTAGTGTATAATTCCTATGTACCTAGGTATAATAGGCTGACACTAATGCAGAGGTCAATGTATTGCATATTAATCTGGAATGTGAGATTCAGTGCGGAGTACCGATTGGGAGAGGTTTGTTCTGTATATACCGAAGAGCGCGAATTATATCTATGTGTTATATATCTTGAATTTTGCCACTCGACTGAGCAAAAGGTATAGTAACTAGAAGGTACCACACGAAGCCAGCCATTCTAGCATTGAAAGTGTGTTGTAGGAATTTCCCTAGACCTGTTCAAGTGTTCTATATTTCATAGTAAAGTCGACCTCGGGATATTACTATGTTAAACATATGTAGTCCGTAGTCCACCTGGATTGCACTGTAGAAAACGAGAACATCATAATTCAATTCCTCACAAAGAATAATAAACCTACCCAAGTTCTCTCTTGCAGCACTAAACTAATAAAAATATAAGCGTTTAATGATAGTGAGAGTACCCAGTACTCAGACCCAAGAGACAATACTAACGAATGACTTCACAACCGGACTTCTCAATGCCCTCTAGGCCCTCGAGAATCTCGCTTCCGCCGAAGAGTCCACAAGTAGACGTAGTGCTTGCCCTTCTTCCAGTCCAGACTTCATGGAACTTCACAGTTTGATCACTAGACGCGACAATAATGCACCCTTCCTCCTTTGTTCGTGTGCACCACATTCCACCTTCTTTCTCCTTAGGAGTGACCATCCGAGCACCGCTCTTGCGGTTGCCGGTCCTGCGCCCACGGGTCGGAGCTCCTTGTTCTGGAGACCGAGACTGGGTCGACGAGGACGAGGACGAAGCTGAGGATGACTGACTGTCCGGACTACTGAGAGTATACACCAGAGAAACGAGGGACTTTCCCTGGATATCTTATTGCCCACAGTGCTCTTCCGCAGTCGAAGTTGCTGATTGGTGTTTCCGGGCCATCCCAGGTGGTTCCATAGGGCCCCCCAGGGAATGACGGCCACTTGTGCGCAGCTAGGCCAGGCAAATACCGCGATTCGGAATGGGTGATTTGGCTGCGCATAACCGAAAGTAGCGGCGACCTCACGCCGAGTTTCGCTCCATATGAGACTCGTCACCTGCGCGAAGACATTGATGCTTGCGAGACAGGCTCCGCTCCGGGTGTGATAGAAGTGTATAGCCTTGTCGTTAGTACCTCCCCCCGTCGCAAGCAGAGACGGCTGCCATGGCGCAAATGCAATTGCTTTGACCGCAGCGGAGTGCATCAGACGATGTCTCTGACGGCCATATGGGACCAGAATCGTTCGTCCACCACCGGAAATTAGAGTGCCTGCATGGTTTAAAAGCGCGGCCGCGGCCGGGGGCTTAATGGGAGCAGCAAGCCACGATGGGAGAACAGGTCGTCTAAGAAACGTTCGTCTTCTTGTGGTGCCCAGAGGAAGGTATGGAAATACACCGAGGCTGAAGCTGCTAGGTGAATCCGGGGGCGTAATGGTTGGGACCGTATAATTTAAATGTTGTGGTGGAACAATCTCGGCCAGCTCAAAGAGAAGGCAGGCGTTATCATTACCGCCCGTGGCAAGGTACTTGTCATCGGGTGACCAAACCAGTCCACAGATTTGTTGAGTGTGTGCACAGATCTTGGCAAGAAGCGTCATGGACCCGTTCCATTTCCACTTAGCCTGGTCTTCTTGGTCAGACCATTCCACCGAATAGTACCAGATGTTTCCAAAGTCGTCACCGACAACAATCTCTTCTGCGTCGACTTCCACATGCATGAACCGTTCTGAAGGTCGCCGTGATGTTCTCGGCCTAAATGCCACGCATGTAAGGGGACTGGGATGACTGATCTCAAACCGGGGTTGCTTCTCGAATGTGCTCCATAGAGACAACTGGCCAGACCGCCGGGCCACTGCAAGAATGCTTCGCTCGCCATCCTCAGAAGAAAACGACAGGGAGGTCACATAATTAGAGGGGTGCAGATCTGGAAAGGGGGGGATAATCCACTCCATGGCCTTCAGACCAGAGATATACTTGATGGCACAGGCCCACAGCCAGTATCCCAGATGTTGTTGAGTATGCAAGAGTGCTGCAGTAAAAATCGTCCTTGAGGAAGGGAGCATCAAGGATTCGAAAAGGCTTCGGTGGGACAACCTCTTTTCTGGCAGGAGATTTGGGCCCTGGGTAACAATCCGAGTCAGTTGATGCCGTGGAGAAGGCTGTAGATACTGCCAGTCTCACGATTTCCAAAAGTTGGATTAAAATATCATATATGTTTTATCTGTAAATAGTAAATATGTTCCAAAGGTAGGGCCAGGGAATGGCGGTTGCAAACTACAGTTGCACTTACAACGCTCCTTTTCAACTTTCTTCCAAGCACTGTCCTTCCACTCAAACGGGGAGAGGCGCTCGAAGTCTGGGGAGGCTGGATTGAGGGGTGCATCCAGATACCGCAGACAAGTAGTACCTAGCTGTCGAGTCGTCGGGTCAATTCCCAAAGCAAGCGCAAGTCTCGACTCATGGATTTCTTGTTCACTGTATTTTGGTTTCTTGGGTAAGAACCGAGCCACGAAAACCGGGGCAGCTGATGATCCATTGGTCGAAGTGGTTGGCGTGTTATCAGGAGCCGCACTAGGGGGAACTACCAAGGACCGCAGAAGCCCCACCTACGTTCCAGACTGCACCGGAGCTGACGTGTCTCAAAGATTCATGTGTAGCGTCGTCGTCCGTGATATTGCCATCAGTGACTAGACGAGGCCGTTGATGTGGGATCTGCTGAAGCCGAGTTGGCTGCTGGGGTCTGTTGGCAGCATAAGTCCTACGCGGGATTGAGGGTAGGAACGGATCATCACCGGGCGGAAGTCGTCGAAGCAGTCTCTCTTGAGGCGAAAGACGCTGCGGATGCTTGGCCACACGAAATGTTGTTGATGTTGGTTCCACGAAGTCTCGCTTTGGGATAAATCTATCAGGCGACATCGGACTTCGGAAAGAACTTCTTGTTACTGCTGCATGTCCAGCGTTTCTCACTCTGCTGCGACCTCTTTTGGGTGACGAAACCTGATTTTCTTTGGAATGAGGGACGGCTGTCAGAACAGGCTGGGCCTTGGGCTTCGACAATGATGATTGAGAAGCTGGTGTTTCAAAGAATGGCAAATTGATAGTTGCAAATTCAGTCAATTGGACAGGTTCACTGTCCTTGGAAGACTCGGATCGAGAGTGTGAAGTCAATGGATGTTTGTGACTGCCTGTAGAGGTTTCCTCGAAGGAGTGACGTTGCATATCTACCATTGTGCTGGATGCAGGTCGATAAGCTGTATATGAGTAATGGTCTAGAGCTAAGAAAAGGAATGTATAAGGAGGCCTCTCTTCCAAGGCATAGCGGCAAGACGAGAAAGACGATGAAGCAAAAGACAACCTTGGAGTCCCCCAAAGTAGAAAGAGTGCTGATCACGTGAAGCTATACAAATGGGAGTTTACGTAAACCACCCCACCGCCTCGTGCACCAATGAGACAATTCAAGTTGACCTGGGGCATCTGATTAACACGAAGCAACCTGTCTACATATGTAGGTAACGCATTTTGCTTATTTATTATTGTCAAAGAGCAAAAATGCCCAGTGTGAGATCAACTCCGCATGGCTGTACCGCTCCGGGCTGACGATTGCGATAGCATGGTGTGCCACGATACAAACCAGTTGAGAAGTCCGGCGAAGCACGACAGCAAGAGCTGCAGAAGATAGAAAATTACAAGGACCTTGAGGTTTCCGTATCCAAAAAGGTTGGTCATCTTATAGATTTCACCTACAAACAGAGCCTCACACAATACAGGTGGCTGAGCATGAGTACACAATCGAGACCTTGAAAAAGATCTCCGAGCTGCTGTCTAGCAATCCTGAATACTACACAGCCTGGAACTACCGCCGGCAGGTACTGCAGTATCAATTCTCCCAAGCAGGAGGCTCGGATGATGAGGCTGCTGCCCATTCAATCACGGAGTTAATCATGAATGATTTGCATTTTCTGATTCCCCTTCTCCGGAGCTTCCCCAAGTGCTACTGGATCTGGAACTATCGTTTATGGCTGTTGGATGAAGCTCGCCGTCTACTACCACTTCCCGAGGCCCGGCAAATCTGGCAGCAAGAACTCGCCCTTGTGGGTAAGATGTTGACTCTCGATAGCCGGAATTTCCACGGGTGGGGTTATCGACGCTTCGTGGTTGAGACCTTGAAGGAGCTTGGCACTGCCGAAGAAGCAAGAAGCATGACTCAAAAGGAATTTGAATATGCCAAGAAGATGATTGGAGCCAATCTTTCCAACTTCTCCGCGTGGCATTACCGGACAAAGCTTATACAATCCCTTTTGGATGAGCAATCTGCCAGCGATGACGATCGGAGAAGAATGTTGGATGATGGTTGGTCTCACCTGTCTTAGGAGAGTCTGACTTATGCTAACTTGGTTTTCAGAACTATCCCTCATTCATCAAGCATTTATTGATCCTTATGATCAGTCACTTTGGTTCTATCACCAAAATTTGATGTGTGTGTTTGACCCGTCGATGGCGGAACGAACTATGGCTCCAAATTTGAGCTCGTCCGACCGGCTGCAGTACATTAGGAATGAGATTGAAGAGATCCAGGAGATGTTGGATGGAGCTGAAGACTGCAAATACATCTACCAGGCATTAATTGAGTGCACTCTTCTCGCATCTAAGGTTGAAGGCAGTTTGTCTTCTGAGGATAGGGACCAGATTCTGAGCTGGCTATCAGAATTGAAGAAGCTGGATCCATTGCGACGAGAAAGATGGCTTGATTTCGAGAAGACCTTTTAAGGTTGTGAAAATAAATAGTTACATACCTCCAGGGCTATGAATAGAGGACTATTTGTTTATTGACCCCTTTACCCACTCTGGAGTATACCACCATAAGACATTGAATTCCTAAAGAAAACAAAAATACCACATTAAGACATTCTTATAGCATACATATGTAGTAAATCTATAAATATAATATGCATATTAAGACATGTCTGCGTAGAATATGCAAATGCATTCCCAACGTCTTCGACCTGTTCCGCCCTGGGGCGCCAATCAGCGTACCTGGCCGGTCGAATCACTTGAAACTCGCCAAAATCCCTTCAATTCCTTCCTCATTCCATCTTTTTCTTTTTTTGCCCTTTTTCGTGAATTCCACTCCCTTGCCATTTTCTGTCTTTTAGCTCTTCTGAGCCTCTGCTCTCTTGCGATCCTATGGGGTGTTCCATCTCCTGATTGTTGTGGGGTCATCTAAACAGCTATGGCCGACATGTCTACGTCTAAACACAGTCCCGAATATGAAGGGGTAAGTGGTTAAGACTCAGATCTTTCCAAAACCCAAACTTGCCTTGACACGAGCTTATCGCCATTCGAATAGGAGTCTTTTGATGACGCCCTTGAAACAGCCGAAATCCAGGAGAACAACAACCTCAACGTCACCATCCCCAAGTCCACTTCCACCCGATCGCTGACCGACAGCCCTCCAATTGGCTCACATATGTCTCCGGAATCGACGGAGAAACCTCCGTTCCCTTCTGAATCGCAGGACGAGAAGAAGACCGAGACCGTCGAGGGGCAGGACAAGGATGGCCAGGGCCTGGATGGACAGAATGACACGAAAAATAAGAATAAGAACAAGCGAAAGGGGAATAACCAGGACGAAGGAACGGATACCAACGATGAAAATAGCTATGACACCGACGATGAGGTGAACACCGCGACCGATGAGCCCACCCAGGGTGACAAGCCGGGGCAAGGGTCCGAGGTTACGCAGACAGAGGTAGAGAAGAACGGAGAAGATCATGATAAGAGCCCACTGCAGAAGTCGCCTCTACTCACGTCCCACCGTTTGTCAACATCGTCATCGCTCGACGAGGTGAACCTGATGAACAGCAAGGAAGACGAACCAACAGACAAGGCACAACGCCCAGGGGACAAAACAGAACCGCCTCCGTTGCCTCCCAAGGACGAATCAGCCCCTCCGGCAAGCGTAGGGCTGATGGGTCTGTCTGGTGGCCTGCCCTCAGTCCCATGGGCGCCTCCTCCAGTGAACAAGAATCCGCCTATCCCCCCGCCAGCCCCTCCTCGAAAGTCTAGTGGCCCCTTCGCGTGGTTCTCTCGAAGCTCGACCTCGAACACTGCGAAGGACATCAAATCCCCACCCGCCTCTGCCAGCCGACGCAACACTGCCACCTCCGTATCGACCCTTGGCAGCAACCTAGACCAGATCGCTCGTGATGGCGACGACGTCTCGAGTGTCGGTTCGAAGAAGCCGAGACGCAATAGCCTGAAGGATCAATTCAAGATGCTGCGCATGCGCGAGGAGAGCCATGCGCAAGAAGTCGATCAGACTAGCGTGCGATCGGGCCAGGCCATCAGCCAGTCTGGAGCTAGCCCCCCCTATCATCCCCGAGGAAGGAGAGCAGGGTATCTTGGCAGCATCAGGAGCTATCTCACCTTCAACGCCGGTCGCTCCTGGGAGAACAGGTTCTGTGGCTGATGCTTCCACCCCCGTGGACTGGGAGATGTGGCAGCACCTTGTAAATAACGGGCCCCAAGCCTTGGCAAGCTCAGAGGAACTGAATGCCGCTATCAAACGAGGTATTCCTCAGACGATCCGAGGAGTGATCTGGCAAATTTTGGCGGATTGCCAGACTGCTGAAATGGAGGACATCTATCGAGACCTCGTTGCGCGTGGCACAGCACAAGAAAAAGATGGACGAACAGTAAATGGCACTGAGACTACGTCGTCGCGCTCTTCAGTCCGTTCCCACCACTCGGGTTCCGGGTCGCGGTCTAGCAGCGCTGCCCCTAGTCCATCTTACGAAGGGGACACAGATAAGTTGTCCAAGGAACAGGCCTCCAATGACGCCGAGCGCCTGAAGAAAGCAAAGACAGACGCTGTTGCGCTGCAGAAATTGGAGAAGACCATTAGGCGAGACTTGGGTGCTCGCACTAGCTACGCGAAATACTTTGTTTCCCAGGGCAGCCAAGAAGGCCTCTTTGGGCTGTGCAAGGCATACGCCTTGTATGATACGGGAGTAGGATACGCGCAAGGCATGAACTTCATTGCCATGCCATTGCTGTTTAACGTGAGTATACCTTGAATCAGGCTGACTGGCTCATTGGCTAACGATTTTCGCAGATGGATGAAGTCGATGCTTTCGCCATGATGGTCAAGCTGATGAACAAGTACTCTCTACGAGATATGTTCATTCAGGATATGCCTGGGCTTCACCGTAGCCTCTACCAATTCGAGCGACTTCTAGAAGACCTGGAACCCGCTCTCTACTGCCATCTCCGGCGCCGTGGAGTTCCTCCTCAGCTGTATGCCACACAGTGGTTCTTGACTCTGTTCGCTTACCGTTTCCCGCTGCAGCTGGTGCTTCGCATCTACGACCTGATCTTCGAGGAGGGACTAGAGACCACCATCCTCAAATTCGGTGTTGCGATCATGCGACGCAATGCGGACGCACTACTTGAAATGAAAGACATGAGTGTGCTCACTACTTTCTTGAAAGAGCGTTTGTTCGACGCCTACATCGACAAGCAGCCATCCACCTCGTCAATTCTGGAGTCAGGCTTCTTCGGAAGCTCCGGTGCCTCTGATAAGGAGATCTACCGATCCGACATCATGGTGCAGGACGCCTGCGCCATTCCCCTCACACCAGAAATGCTTGCCACCTACACCGCCGAATGGGAGGAGAAGACTCGAACCGAGAAAGAGCGTGAAGTCGAACTAGAACACCTGCGGCACACCGTGAGCACGCAGGGCGCGCGTGTCCGACTTCTTGAGGAACGTGCTGAAGCATCGGACAAAGAGCATGTGCAATTGGCCTCTGAGTTGGTACACGTTAAGGTCGAGAATGAGGAGCTGCGCGACCTCAATGATGCGCTGCAACTCCAGGTCACCGAACTCAAGAACGTGGTCGATAAGCAGCCGGCCGAAGTGGAGGAGAAGCTCCGCCTGGAAATGGAACGGATTATGAAGCGGAATATTGAAGTGCAAAACGAGAACCGTGCGATGGAAGAATCAATGTCTGAGATGGAGAAGGAGTTGGTTGCCACGAAAATGAAGTGGGCAGAGGTAAGATATCTCCTTCAATATTCAGCATGGGATGCCGAGACTGACGAACTCGAACAGATTTCCGAGAACCACGAGAACCTCCGCCAGAAATGGAGCGACCTTCGTCGTGCCCTTGACTGATCATCTCGTTGCTTCTATTACCCCTCCACCCTTCAATCCCGGATAACAATATCCGGTTCTGTATATTTGGAATGCCCAATGTGGTAGCGAGGATCTGCGATCACGTCCTATGCGCATTTGCACCATACTTATGGGCCGGGTCATTTGCTTCTGTCCTGATTTCCTCCCGGTACCTGCTTCCCCCTTTTTGAGCCAATATTATGATTTGCAACCCCCTTTACGACCCTCTTCTACAAGCTCTCAGCATGCCCATTTTGGAAGGCATCGGTGTTTTGCTACCTGTTGAATTATATTTGCTTTAGTGTGTATGTCTATCTCGGATCCTCGGGCAGGGCGTACTAGACGTATGCAATGTACATCATCAATGGACTGTGTTCTCTTATTATCTACATGTAGCTTCCGCATGTACCAGCTCCCTACCTTATCTCTATTCTCTCTTTATACGAAGTTCAAACATGCACAAAATCCCGATCTCTCACTCTATATTCTCAGGTCCATTACAGAATATTCTCGTAGTAACTCGTCAACACATCCTCCTTGACAGGCCCAGCACAAGCCTTGAGAGCCTTATGCGCCTCACACTCGTTATCATAGTACTTCATATCCTCCATCGAAGCAAAAGTCGTCTTGACAGACACGTTGTACCCCTTATTACGAGGATCAGGGATCGAAGCGCCAACCGCAGCAGCGAGGATGTATGGCTTGCCGTCCTAAAAAAAAACACCCGTTAATAACCGTTCAATTGCGTTTCATCCCGATAATTCCCTTTCCTTCCGAAGGGCTAGTGCAACATCGTACATGTATTGTACTAACCAAGCAGCATGGACTACACAGGGCTATATGTAGACTGTATAGAAGAGACAAGATGCACTCACCTTAGTAGCGGTCTTCGCGAGGACCTTGTACTGCTCCAGTACGCGGTCGCGATCCGCCTCGTTGGGGATCTTGAAGAGGGTGATTCGTTCGATTGGGGCCATTGTTTTGAGGGTGTGGAGGGTGAGTCGGGACATGGATATCGGGGTAAAGGGGGATATTTATATGTTCTATGGGGTTTATATGGCGGGGTTAAGGTTATGACTGGTTTCCTGAGTCCAAGGTTTCCGTCGGCTTGTGGGGTGAAGACGGAGGAGAATCCGTTCATTGATTTCGTTAATTAATGCATGTCTTTTTTCTAGGGTTAGTTGCTTTGACATTGATTGTTTTCTATATCCTGTCTGTCTTCTATATCGATCTCTTCAATTGGGAGTTTCTTTTGGTTGTTAATAGGGCGGAATGGTGTTGGTTGGAGAGCGCGCAATTTCCGCTCGGGTATTTGTTGTGCGGAATAGTCGAGGATGATGGGGTTATATAGGCGTGCGATGGATATTTAAGTGCCTCGGTATATTATTTAGACCATTGCCATCATGCTATAGAATAGACTACACAAAATATATCTATACGGCTCACTATGTGGCCTACTAGAAGCACAGGACATCAGTCTCGGAACTTATTAGCTTCACTAGACTCCTTAGTTTGGATATGACATGGCGCTTCTCTTCTCTCCCATGCGTGTTCAATCATCCCATGCTCTGTGTACAGAACCCTAGTACAGAACCCTAGTACAGAACCCTCGCCTGGAAAGGAAAAGCAAATGGAAGATCCAAGATCACAAAAGGAACCACTGATGGTCACAGATTCCCACGAAGAGCCTGCTCCCTCTCAAACGCCTCGAACAAACTCTTGAAATTCCCAGCCCCAAACCCATCAAACGAATTCCGCTGTATGACCTCTATAAACACCGTTGGCCTATCCCCAACATGCTTGGAGAAGATCTGAAGCAGGTATCCGCGCTCGTCGAAATCAACCAAGATATTCAGCCGCTCCAGCACATCTACATCGGCTCCAAGCGTCCATGACACTCGTGTCAGCCGTTTCCGCAGATCGGCATAGTATGTAGCTGGTACACTGAGAAACTGGACACCGCGCGCTTGGAGCCCAGTTACGGCAGCCACAATGTCGTGCGTGCGGAAGGCTATGTGCTGGACACCAGCGCCATGGTAGTAGTCGACGAATCTGTGAGAGTTAGAAGGGTTGTATGAGGGTGGAGTAGAGGAGATGAGAGAAAAAGGAGGAAAGGAAGCGAAAAACGGGGCGCCTTGCATACTCTTCAATCTGTGACTTCTTCTTGCCTGTTGCAGGTTCATTCATAGGCATCTTGATGGTTTCGTTTGGGGAAGCGATGACAATTGATCGCATCGCTGAGTACTCGCTGCACATGTCTTTATCGTCGACGGTCCAATAGCGATGGAAGTCGAGGCATTCCTCATAACTAAAGCTCATTTGTTAGAGCGGCAATTCCAACATGGACGACATTGATTCTACTCACTATTGGACAATGCCGTCCACACCTCCCCACGACTGATTCCCTACACAGTGATCAATTTCGAGAATCTCGATGGGCGGTAGAAGCTGTGTGATCGGATCTTCGCTATCAAGCAATTGATACCCAGGCAAGAATGGAGCATCCGCCGAATACCGCTGACGATTCACCAGAGAATGTACGGTATCCCCGTACGTTCCAACCGTTGCGGACACGATCAACCCATGTCCCTCGACGGCAGACGTCCGCGGCTCGGCGATGGCGCGAGCACCGTTCGCAACAGCCCGCTTCCATACAGCTTGTATATCGCCCGCGATCCGGAAAGCGACGTCCTTCACCCCGTCGCCATGCACGGTCAAGTGTTGATGGATCTCAGCCAGCGTCGCCCGCTCATAACTCGAAGCCTGGCGCAAGAGACCGTCTTCTGAGCCTTCGTTCGGCGGACCACAAACTGGCCCCGTAAGGACGAAAGTAGCGCCACTGTTGGCTACAACATAGCTCACGAGATAGGGCGAGCCGGTTTCCGGGCCGCGGTATGCAATGGGGCGGAAGCCCATGCGAGTGATCCAGTACGAAGCGGCTTGTTTGGGATTGCCGACGTACCAATGGATGTGATCAAAGCCGACATACTCGGGGCCCATCTTAGCGGGAAAGATATCTTCATTTTCAGGGACGGTCATGGTTGGTGCTGTTGATTGTGGCTGCGCTGGTATCGGTGTAGGTGTGAACTGAGAAGCATGTCATCCCTCCAGCAGTCCTTGGCGCCGGTATAAGTTGCGGTCAAGTTATTTATGAGTGATTTTGAAGACAGCTGGGTCGGGATTGAGGAGAAAAATAGAATGCTGGTGAGGGGATCCCTGCCCAGACGTGTCACATTCCAAGCCCGCATCTCCGGATCAACCCTGGAATAGAGAGAGATGGCTATCTAAGATAAACGTATGAGGCAACGCTGAAGTCATCCATTCATGACAATTCCTTCTGCTGTCTGTGCGGGCTGTTGGCCTTATGGGGAAACAGAGCTTTGTCCTTCTTTGGTGAACCTTGGTAGGTTCGAATTCAGGCCTGTATACCCGCAGAAGCCGAATTGATGTTTTCGCGCACCAAAGAGGGTCAATGCTGTAGAGAGAAGCCGCTGTTCTCCGTAGCAAGCGCGAGGACAAGTTCAGTTGAGCTGGCCATGCATGTAACCTTTCATCCAAGTCCTGCGGCTCCAGTTTACGTTGTAAACAATGGATGCCATCTGCAGAAGACCCCATCTCGCCAGTTTATCCCATTCCAATGCAAGAAAGTAAAACCTCCAACCCAGCCCAATCAAACATTAGTCACGGGCTCTGGCCGACTCTTGAAGAAGATTTTATAGCGCACAATCTCCACAACCTCCAGTTCCTCATCCTCCGATGCCTGGCGTTTTCGTAGCACGGCAATCGGCCGTGGCAGTTTCTTAACTTCCCCAGTCATCCGCTGGTACCGGCCAATATACATGTAAGCGCGCTTCATCCATTTTGTGTCGTCTGGGTTGTGGACCGAGTAGTCTGGGAACATGAGTTTTCCGATCGGAGTTTCGAAGGTGGAGGCCGGATTGTCCATAGAGGAGTAGTCTATATCATCCTCTTCGTTCCTGAGGGGACATTGATTGTGCCCTGGAGCTCGAGAAGGGCCAGGCCCGAGGGTGTTTGAAGGAGTGTTGGAAGGGGATTGTTCGGTGTTGAGGCGGTTGCTGTCGCCGTTACCGGGCTTGAACAGTGTGGTTGCAGCTTTATGGAGGGCATGGTGTAACTAGTGAGTCCCAAGTGCTGTTCAATTGAAGTTGAAAGGAGGGAAACGCGAACGCGGGACGCGTTTGGCTTTCCCCACACTCCTTATCGCGAGATTTGGGCATTGGATTTAGCGCAGCATACATTTTACTATTATTATTCGTAGAATTGATGGGATTAATAGTATGTACATGCCAATTGGATACATAAATCCTCAATAGTCCACGGTGTTTCTGTCTTGGGAAAATAGTCAATACTTGGTCCAAAGCCATCCAAGAATCCAAAAGTCCAAAAATTCAGTGAGTTAATGCATTGTAGAGGTAACAATGATGTAGATTTGCTACATAGTTTTGGCGTAATAGAAGCATCCAAATCATAAGAGTGTAATAGATGGCCTTTCCAAGAGAACAATTTTCGTGTCGCAAAGGGCAGTTATCTTGATTCCCTACAATATAGCTCTGAAGGCAGAAAGTGGCGACGACGCAGCGTTCAGTTTTGATAGAACCAGGATACATGCGTGAATTGGCAGGCAACGCTCAAAAAGACTAGGATTCAGATACCACAGCGCCCGTGATATTGTGCCTTGTATCTGGACGTCAATATGTCAGCTAGGGTCTTTTAATTGGCAACATTGAAACCACGTACCAATAGTTCAGGGGTATTTATTCAATTGCAAATAACGAATGGTCACAATGCACAATGCACAATGCCCAATGCATAATGAGTCAAACCCATGTCAAGACGTGCTACTCTTATAGCAAACATCTTCAAGGTTCTGCAGGCCCTTGATAGCCTCTGCAGCCACATCTTCAGCAGTCCCAGCTGGACCCTGTAATTTGCCGTAACGGAGATCGCTCATATCCCCAACAGTCGTATTAAGTTGAGCCAGAATCTTCGCAGCCTCTTGATCAATACCAGCAATTTCATGCTCGATATTAGTGCTAGCCGTCTCCATTTCAGCCAGGAGACTAGCCACTGAGTGATAATCTTCCGGTGCAGCAGTAGATGGTTGGCCGAACAGATGAAGATCCATGTCTATCTCACGCTGCTCTTCCGAATTGGACTCGACTCCAGTGGCTGTGATAGCTTTTCGGAGCTCTGCTCTCTGCCTTTCACCTTGCTTGACCTCATTGTCGATGCTTTCATTGACTCGGTCCATGTCCTGTTCTCGGATCTGTTGTAACTCCCGGTACATAGTCCTGATGTGTGGATGGGCTCTCAAGCGTTTTGGGAAGAGCTCTGTGAACTTTTGCAGCGACATGACTGTCGGTAGCGGGGCTGGAGAGAGCAAGAAATTGCTTAGGATGGACTCCTCGGAAAGAGGCATGATGAATGTAGATGTAGTAGTGCAGAGTATGCAGATATGTAGAGTATGTTTTTCCTTGGAGACTCCGTTTGTCGCGAACCGAAGTTGACAATTATTCTTCACGTGAACAAAGAATATGGGAAAAAGATGAATAGAAGAATGGAAATCAATTTCTTATTGTAAATAAGAATAATTGTATGAATTAGTTGTCAATGTAAAAAAGAGGTGACAATAAGCTGCCGCGCCTAATTTCTTCCAAGGGGCCCATTTGGCCCATCTTCGCTTGTTTTCCTTCTTTTTCCACTCGACTTCATCTACATCTACATCTACATCTACATACACCCTCAACCTCTCTCTTCTAAACTTGATTCTTTCTATTCCTTGAGCTGGTCTCTCGTCTGATCTAATCTTGTTCCCTTCTTGCACCTTCTTTGCTGAATCAAATCTGCTGTCAAAAAAAAAGCCACATCTTGTATTGCCATTTGTGCATCTTCCTCTCTTGTCCTTGCTCAAGTCTGCAAGATCTATTTGCAGTCTTACAATCTATTGGAGTCTCTGAAGGCTTCCAAGATTCCTCTGATCGTGGCTGTTACCGCCTGTATCACACCCTTTTCCCGCAAGACAGGGAACATCTTGACATCTCTACGCCTTTGAGCTTGAAGGTTTGCAACCTGTCATACCAACTTCAACACGCACATCTTTCACCTTTCTCCGACAAAAATGGCTCCTATTTCTATGTATAGCAAGGATGAGAAGGTCCTTTGCTTCCACCATGAGATCCTTTACGATGCCAAGATCCTGGATGTTCGCCACAAGGATCCCAATGACAAGAAGAGCCCCTTTGAATACCAGGTCCACTACAAGGGCTGGAAGAATACGTAAGTCTGGCTTGTTTCATTTCTTCCCTGTTCATCTACATCCTGGCTGTGATGTTGAGATTGCTCCCCCTCCACTCTTGGAAAGTTTGTCCGGGCCATTACGGAAGAATTGGACCTACTCTATGTTATGCAAAAAATGCCTCTTGTTTCCTATTTTCTACTGCACATGTTTTTGAGAATCAATATGTCCAAGATTATTCGATTCATGAAACAATTTGCTAACATTCGACCAGTTGGGATGACTGGGTCCTGGAGGACCGTCTTCGCAAGCACACTGAAGACAACCGCGAATTGGCCAACAATCTGCGTCGCGAGGCTGAAGCTTCTTTCCGTCTGAAGAACACCAAGAGCACTGCTAAGAAGCGTGCCGGTTCCGACCGTGACTCTGTGCGGGACAGCGAGGAGCGCGGCTCCGTGCCCGGCCGTGGCACCAAGCGAGCCCGTGATAGTGATATCGAAAAGGTATACAATTACCACCTCAGTCTACTAAATATTGGTTCAATAGAACCAATACCAAGAAAAAAAAAGATTACAAAGGAACTATAACATTTATGATCACATACTAACAATCTGCAACAGGAGGAGAGCTTCAACCTCCGCCCCTCCGTCCGCATCATTATGCCAGACAACCTGAAGTCCCTACTTGTCGATGACTGGGAGCAGGTCACCAAGAACCAGTGCGTCATCTCTTTGCCGGCGAAGTACCCAGTCCGCCAAATCCTGCAAGACTGGCACGAGGAAGAGCTTCCCAAGCGGGCGGGCTCATCTGCCGACGAGGACGTGTTGGAGGAAGTGGTCGCCGGGATCCAGGAGTACTTCGACAAGTGTCTGGACAAGATTCTTCTCTACCGCCACGAGCGCCCCCAGTACCGTGGGCTGCGCAAGAAGTTCGAGGCTGCCACCGGGGACCTGGCCGATAAGGGCCCCATCGATGTCTACGGAGCGGAGCACCTGATCCGCTTGTTCAGTATGTATCCCGTTCCGCTTCACCTTACTTCGGGTTCAGTTGTGAGGGTCGAGGATCGTGCTAATCTGTGTTTGTATAGGCACCATGCCTGAGCTGATTGCTCAGACTAACATGGATATGCAGGCCACCAACCGCCTGCGAGAGGAGATCTCCAAGCTCTCCATGTGGCTGAGCAAGAACTCGGAGAAGTACTTCGCCACCAGCTACCTGCCGGGGAGAGCACTCACTGAGTGCTGAAGAAGCTTTTCTTCGTGGGGAGGGAGGGAGGGAGGGGGGCTGCTGTTTCTTTTGTTGCCTGCGTTGGGGTGGGGGTGGCCACCCCTTCAGCAGCGACTGTTCTTTTTTTAGTTTTTTTAAATTTCGATTCGTGAAGCGGGGGCCCGGCGGCCCGGAATACAAAATACGTTGTTTGACTATATCTTAATCTTCAAGGCGTAGAGTATTTCAAGGTTTTCGTGGGATTGCGAAGTCACGGTGTACTGGGAGTTGAGAGATCGAACTCTGAAATCTCTATGATATTACTTGGTTGTTATCATTGAAGCAAGGCAATACTGACTTTACTCTGAAAAAGGAGAAATATGAATTCTTAACTGGATATCTTCATAGAAAAGTCAATGACAGCACCACTACATAGTGAACTAGCTTTCCACAGCCACTCACAACCATCATGAATCCAGATCAAGATCCCAGATCCATAAACTAGAAAAAGAAAGAACCACAAACCCGACACCTAAGCAACCAGTTGCCTAGCATCATCAACAGCACACCGCGCCGCACGCTTCAATTCACTCTTCCACTCCGCCTCACGCCACTTAGCCCAAGCACTCAAACCCTCAGGCGGCTGAATACTCAGCGTATCATAGCCCTGCTTAATGATACGATGGACCTCACGCGGGGAGAGATTCTTCTTCCTAATCGACGGCAACGCCACCGGCGCCGGCTCATCAGCTTTAGGACTAGCAACAGTAGCAGCAGCGGTATCCACACCCTCGGAATGGAAGAGGAGGGTGTAGAAGTGAGTAGACACAGATTGGAGTGTGTCGATAGCTGCTGAAGTCACCTCGTTGCTTTGGGAGATTGCATCGGCTGCCTTGGAAGAGGTTGGGGCGCCTGCTACATTACCGGAGCGCGACAATGAGTATGCACCGCGGAACTTGGAGATGATGGGGCCTGTTTCGACGAGCTTGTAGAAGAGGTCGTCGTAGGAGGCTGGGTCTGGGAGGAAGGTGTCGCCGCCTGAGACGCAGAATGCGATTAGGTCTGCGAGGGAGGTGGTGAGGGTTTGGATCCTGGGGTTGCTGGTTAGATCGGAGGCGTAGGTTGTTAGGAAGCGCATGAGGGAGAGTAGTGTCCGCCAGAGCTCGGACCAGTGGTACGTGAGGCGGATCTTGTTTTTTGAGAGATATGTTAGGAGGCGGAGGGTGATTGCGATTGTGTGGCTGGGAGGATTGTTAGTTATGGCATGGCTAATGAATACAATATGTGGTTGCTTCATACCTGTAGATGTTGACGTCGAGGCGCCGGCGAAGGTTATGTGTAATAGTATCGATGGCGATATCGAAGATGACGGTTGCGAGGACCCGGTCTCCGCTGACTAGCGGGAGGTAGGGCTGTCTCTGTCGACAGATGCGGACCTTTCGCTTGACATCTTCGCTGCAAATTTGCTTGCAGATGGTTGGGTCTTCGACCAGAATGCGAAGTGTAAACAGGTTTAGTTCGGCATAGTGCCCGACCCGCGGGGATCGATATGCATGTTGGAGAAGATAGGAGGACAATGAGAGGAAGCTCGAGAAAGGAGGTTCTTCCCCGTTTTCTGGTCCCAGATGAACCAAATGATAACCAAAGAGCTTATTGGCGTTTGTGAAGTCGTATGTCGCCATTAGAATTGCGGCTTCTTGTGCCGGACTGCCAGGATTGTAAGTTTCAAATCAAAGGATTCTCCGCGGACATAACTTACAGATCAGCGAACATGGCCTTGGCTTCTTCCGCTGAAGGAGGGTTCGCTTTGTCCCTGGCGCCAGGGGCGAACGCTCGTAGTCCAAAGAAAATCAATGTGTTGGTCAAGCTCCAGCCCTCGGGAATATCATCCTGGACAGCAATGTAGCCGTTTCGCAGGCGATTACAGGCCAGCCCGACACCCTTGGCAACTTTTTCAATACTTGACTCGTTCACAAAATCATCAAGTCGAAGCTGGTAGGGATTTTGGAATTCAAATTTGTTGTAGTTTGCCAATAATCCCAGAAGGAGGAACGGGTCGAACACTTGCAGGGGATTATCAGAATCAGAAACATACTATTGGCAACTGTCAGTTATTTCCACACATAGAAGCAACATGAGTAAATCAAACCTTCATAAGCGATGGGAAAAGATCCCTGTGTGTAAGATAGGAGACCAGGCTAGTCTTGTATGCTCCGCTGGTCATAGCAATAGCCGTCTTGATAGCCTTGAGTCGCACATCAACTAGGAAAAAAAAAGTTAGGATCAACTGCCATAGCCTCGGTTAAGGGCATAACAGATAAAAGTCTTACAGCTACTGCCATTGCGAATAATTCTGTCCAAGACGGCCACGAAATCAGGAATGACATGGTCCACTTCGTCGAGTCCTGCAAGAACAGTGATGACATCCGAACTTGGGTTTGTGTATTTCTTGCTCAGAATGCTCGTCAAGAAAACAGTCAATGTCTGTCAAAGAGGTTAGAGAATATGCTCCAGATACTGATCATGAGGGTTCTTACATCTAGGGCATAGGAATCCGCCGGCGCGACCCCAGCTGCTGCCTCGCGAATGGCACGGACAAAGAAACGCCGAGTTTGGATCTAGTTATTGCATCAGCTGTTTGAGTTTACCTTTTTTTTTTCGGGACGCTTTCTGAATCATGGTTTACCTGTAGACCGATAGTATCGTCTGGGCTCAAATTGTCCAGGATAGCATGGAGTTGGTTCCGGTCTGGAGGTAGCAAGAAGAGTTCTCTCCAAAAGCCCTCCGAGGGCTCTGCATCATCTGCTGCCTATGAAGAGTATGTTAGCAATATCACATAAAGCCATGTTTATGTTCATACTTTGAAGAGATTCTCATAGAGCTGGACAATCTTAGGTTTGAAGGACTCTGGTCTACTCTGCTGGGTAAGGGGTGAGGCGTCCATGGTATCAGACAGAATGATCTGCAACGGTTAGATC